GGTGTGTTTTTCAGATGTTGATGCAGCATGTGATGCAGAAATATTGTTTTCAATTGCTGTAACACGAGGATTAGCCTTGGTTTTTCTGGCTGGTTTTCTGGTTTTGGTTACTCTAGTTGTTGAAGAGGTTGAAGAGGTTGAAGAGGTTGAAGAGGTGTTTCTTCTATTGGAGTTTCTTGTGACAGCCATTGTTTCTAGTTGATGTTGATTTAATGATCACTTGTTTTATTTTATTCGTGGTTTTAACCTGACAGAATATCCTCTACTGTGTGTATATAAGGTAATTCCGATGTTCTATTAATATACATATAATGTTACAATTAGTGGATTCTTGATTCTTCTTATAGTTGATGTGAAATGTTGAGTATTGATGAATTGTGCATAATTGGTTATTCTGGTTATGTAATACCTGACAATCTTCCTCCGCAAATTCTGCCAATTTTTTCAGGCTGATTAACTTTGCGAGGTGAAAAAAAAATATGTAGAAGTTAGCTTCAGGCAATATGTATCTTTAATTGAGCACCAAACTCACAAAATGTCCACTGAACTAGTCAATGAAATTTCTAATTCGGGTGACCTTCAAAATGTCGACCAAACTATAAGTGACAATCAGGAGCTGCATAGTATGGTAATGGAAGATGTAAAAGAATCACACATTGAACCAGATGTTCAGAAGCTAGATACACAAGACGAAAAAGAAGAGTTACCAAACGAGACCCCATTTACACAAACAAATGACGGTGAAGACGTTAATAATGCGGTACCACTGCCTGCTGAAAGTATAGGTCCTGAGAATAATGATGATTTTTTAGATACCATATTGAAAGAAGCTGAAAAAAAGGAACCTGAGCATTCTACAGAAGGCAGCTCATCAGATTCATCACAGGACTCTAGCTCTGAAGAAGATAACTCTGATAGCTCTTCAGAAGGTGAAAATGTGGAATTGGACGCTGGTGTTGCCGGTGAAAGTGATGGTGAAGACGATAATTCAGGAAAGCCAATTACCTCAAAGAACGAAATTTTAGATGAGCCTGCTCCTGCATTCCCAGAGGACTTTAAAATAAATGAATCAGATCCCATCGAAGAAATAGGTACGATTACGAGTATTGTTGAGAAAAGTATCATAATAAAGGGCCATATATCGGGTGAGTTTAGATTCTTAAAAGAAGAATCGGTGTTATGTTTAGAGGATAAAGTCCCGTTAGGGTATTTATTTGAAATATTTGGGCCACTTGCTCATCCACTTTATCGAATCAAATTCAACTCAGATGCTGCTTTGAAAAAATTTGAGGGTCTTGAGGGTAGAAAAGTGTTTTATGTTGTTCCAAAATCAAATTTTATTTACACGGATTCTATAAAGGCTTTGAAAGGTAGTGATGCCAGTAATTGGAATGATGAAGAAATAGCTGAAGATGAACAAGAATTTTCTGATGATGAGAAAGAGATGGAATCCAAAAAGAGCAAGAACAAGAAAAAAAGAAATAGAAAATCTAAGGAAGAAAGTCAGAAGGATGAACAAACACATAGTCTTCCAAATAAAGTTCCAAATCGCCAGAGGCAAGAACGGAACAATCAGAAAAGATTTCAACATCAAGTTAACTACCCAAGGGTTCCACAACAAGAAACTAACTTGTCTTTTGGTTACCAATCGAGATCACAACGTGAGCAGCAACCAACACAAAGCTATGCCCAAACACCTGCTTATTACCAGGTTCCACCAACAATGTTCCAGCCACCTCCTCAAATGGCTTCACCATTTCCTTTTCCACCACAAGTACCAGTTCCAGCGTTTCCGCCTAATATGAATCCACAACAATGGCAGCAATTTTATCAAATGCAACAAATGATGATGCAACAAATGTATGCTGCTCAACAATCTAACCAGTTCCCGCCTCAAGGTCCTCCAGATTCGAGTGGTCCTAGCACACAATGAATGAGTCTACGAATTTAATCTTGATTATATACATTTTCCTTTTACTCGTTATCCGTAGCTATATGTACTCCCCTCGTTGGATAATTTCAATTTCAAGTTATTGCAGTGTTTTGAGGGCCTTATCAGCAATAAGCAAAGCTTCTTTTGGAAATCCTGCTAAAGCAGCCACGTTAATGGCATAAGATTTTTCTGAAATACCATCTTCTAAGGTGTGATCAAAGAGTAATTTGTTGTTGAAGTAGCCAATCTTTGTCCTTTTGAATGTGACACGATCCATTGAACTATTCTCCGAGAGTAGTCCATGAAGTTCTTGTCCAAAATGAGTGGCAAATAAACCTCTGCATCTATTGACTTTCACCATATGATCTAGGGTTGCAAACGCAATAGCCAATCCTTCTCTTCCACTAGTTCCTCTTCCAACTTCGTCTAAGATAGCTAAAGAGCGCACAGTTGCACCTTTCAAAATATAGCTGGTCTCAACCATTTCCACCATGAATGTACTCATCTCATTGTACAAGTCATCAGCAGCCCCAACCCTACTAAAAATTTTGTCAACAATACCTATCCTGGCAGATTCAGCTGGAACATAACAGCCTATTTGAGCTAAAATAACAATGATTGCATTCTGGCGTAAAAATGTAGATTTCCCACCCATATTTGGACCTGAAATTACCCACATTTGATCATTTTTCCCTATCTCAAAGTTGTTTGGAGTGAAGTTCTTCAGCGATTGTTTCAAACCTTCTTCCACCACTAGGTGTCTCCCATTTTTAATTTCTAATTCCAAACTATCATCAACACTAGGACACACCAGATTACGATCAAGCGATAAAACTGCAAATGAGCTCGTAACATCCAGAAAATCCAGCCAGTTGGCCACATTTCTCAACGGTAAGCTTTGCCTAACGACATCTTTCTTCAACATTTTGATGACATTTTCTTCCTCGGCTCTAATTTTATGTTTAATTGAATCAATTTTTGAACCTAAACTGGACCAGTTGGGATAATTTAACCATTTGGTTGATGAACTTTTTTGAGAGATGGTGGCCTCTGGTAAAAGCTCTTTGAGTCTATCATGGTCACTTCCTTTATAGGCTCTCAGATAAAGTTGATAACCTAAGGAAGGACTAAACTTAAATTCAACGGACTTGAACTTTAAGTCAACCAGCAATACTTTTTCAAGATGTTCTATTAGAGCAGCTTTTTCATTCAAAAGTGAGTTATGCATTTCATGCAATTTTGATAGACCTTTCGAAGCATTCGGACGGACTGTCCATAGAAAACTATCACTATTGACCAATTCTTCATCCAATTGCGACTTCTGAGATGGAGCAATCTCTTTCTCCAATTCTTCTTGCTCTGATCTAATAGTCTGTAGTAACGCAACTTCATCGAGGTTATCAAGAATTGTCTTTGACAGGTTTTCCAAGGAATCATAGTTTTCCAGGTATTCTTCCAAAACCTTAGCATTGGCTTTTGATTTAACTGCTTCCATTTTTAAAATTGATTGTAAGCTACCTACTACTTCAATTGAGCGTGCCAAATATACCAAATCTAAAGCTGTTCCTCTTCCAAGAGCAAACCTTTGAACAATCCTGCTTATATCATGAACTTCAGTCAGCTTAGCAATAACGTTTGTTCTGAAAATTGTGTTCTTAAAAAACAAAGTGACCAATGCTTGTCTGTTTTTGATTTCCTTCAAGTCAGTAGATGGTGCTGAGATCCATTGAGATAAAAGCCTAGCACCTGATTGCGTTACAGTTCTTTTGACACTCGAGATAAGTGATCCCTTCCTGCCCTCATCTTTAAAAGTTTTGTGTAGTTCGAGGGCATCACTTGTTCTTGTGTCTATTTGCATTATATTCTCTGGGATTTGTCTCACTGGAAGCTGAAGATTTATTGGAGAATCCGGCAAATGATTTTCAATATATTGTAGTAGGTTTCTCAAAGCAGCAGTTTCTTTCTGTGTAAGTTCTTTCATTGTGTTTTCTGCAGTTTTTGAAAATGAACTGAACATGTGATTGTAAAGATCCAAGGTCTTTTGGAGTGATGGAAGGGCCTGAAACTTCCTAAAATATCTCTTGAGTTCCACCAGCTCCGAGTACCATTCCCCAGATTCTAATTGTTCAGGGACAAGTTTTTCATCTAAGAGAATTTCACTTGGTTTGATTCTGGTGATGGTGGAGATTAAATCTTTGAGGGTTGTTTCCTGGACAAAAATGGATCCGACTGATAGATCTGTCCATGCAAGACCAACCTTGAGATCTGGTAAAGCTTCTCTTTTAAAGGCTGTATCTGGAAAATCAACAGATAGTAAATAGTTATTTTCCTGCTCATTCAAAAACACTTCATCAACCAATGTACCTGGAGTAATAATCCTTGTGAGGCGACGTGTTACTTTCTGTACTTCATTGTCAATACCTGTCTCATTCTTGAACTGTTCAACTATAGCAACACCGACGTTCAAATCTTGAACCAAAACCTTCAAATGTCTATCCAATTGTGACAGTGGAAAACCTGCCATCGGTATTGCTGACTCTTTCAAGTTTCTTTTAGCTAATGTGAGGTTTAGCTTTGGTGAATATTCAACAGCATGTTCGAAGTAAAGTTCAAAGAAACTTCCAAGTTGTGTGATGACAACATAGTCTTTATATTTATCCATCATTTCTCGGACAGCCTTTAATGAAGGTGGCAAGTCACGTTTCTTGAATTCATTTATTTCATATTGATCTGGCTTCTCTTGATTCAACACTTTCTCTACTTTCGAGAGCTTCTTAGGTAAGGTCCCCAATGATATTGTATGAACAGTTGGAGATCTCGACTGGTTTGTTGGACTGTTTGACGACCATCGCATCTGCCTGAAGAGGCCCCGCTTTGGAAAGCTTAGAGCGTACTTAAACATAACCTGTATCCTCTCTGTCCATAGAAAAGGATGAAAGCTGAAGTCGACTGGGCCTGTGGTGTTTTATTCCGCTTTCAGAGTCTATTCGACATGGTGATTTGGGTGATCTATCACTTTTTTTTTTCAGTTTTGTTTTTGTTTACACCTGTGTTAGGTACACTTTCCCGTCGATACACAGAACAATTTCTATTTCATATACATTATCCTGAATACACACTAATTTAAGTAGCCTTTGCACCCAGGAGCACCACATAAACATCTCACACGTTCATTATCGTTGGTTTCCCTTTCAAACTTGTAATCATAGGTTAGCTCTTCATTAGCGGCGATGTCTCTCAAAGCATAAATGACAATTCTCTTTTGGCCCTCAACTTTTATAATCTTAGCAGTGCAACTTGGTTGGCAACAATGATTGATGAATCTAGCGATTCCTCCTTTCTTGGTTGCATCTATCACTGTGTTTTCATCAATCCTGAATAGATAACTTGAACCAATACCAGACTTGAGATAGGCTTTTTCTCTAAAATCAGCAACCTGTTGTCTAATTCTTTCACCAACATACTCAATAATCATTTCTTTCTGTGCAATTGGCTCCAATGCATATAATCCCCAGTTATGAATAGCAGATCTAGCAAATGAAACAGGTTTTTTCCTTTTATTTAGTTGATTCAAAGTCAATATTTCATTTTGAGTGTTGAAAGTACTAACTTCATAGGCAAATCTTCTGTTATTAGCTCTATTAACTCTTGAGCTCTGGACACGGGAAGATTCATTTTCCTCATTTTCAACTTGGATCGTGTTTAATGGATCATGTACACGTTTTCTATGCGGCAAGTATTCAATTTTTAGCTCATCAGACATCTTAATGTATCCTTCACTTCTATGAGATCCAGTCATGTTGGACAAATGATCAGGTGTAATCTGTTGTTTATCTGGAACTTTGCTGTTTTTGAGTTTCCAAAAGGTATATTGTGATGAAACTGTCGTGTTATTGCAAATATCTTCCTGGTAGAGTTCTTTCAATAAGTTCAAATCTTCTTCATCTTTTATAACTTCTTGTATACCGTTTATATCGAGCAGTGTATCGTCATTTTCTTCATATACTGGGCGAGGGAAATCAGTACTTGTTGGTCTGAACCTTTTCTCGACCTTTGAATAATCAACATCAGCTTCGATGTCCATAGCAGTATGCTGTTCCTCCTCTGGTGATTCTTTTTCAACAACAATTTTATCCACTTCAGGTGTTTCTGGTGTAGTTGGTTGAGATTCTTTTGATTTGACATTTTGTTCATCGTCATCTTCTTCTTCACCATTACCTTCATCTTCAGAGGAGCTTGAATACAAAAGTGGGTGTTGGTCTTTCTTATTCTTCCGCAGAATCTTTGATTTTTTCTTTGGTGGACCTAAAACATCCATTTCGTCATCACCACCGTCCTCTTTTTCTTCTTTATATTGCGCTTCAAATTGAGGAGTTGAAACAGTTGATTCTCTAAAGTCACTTTCGCTATCATTTTCAAAGTTCAGCCTATAGGACAAAGGCAATGACTTCTTGTTTCTCTTCTGTGATCTCTTCCCCTTTATTGATTCTTGGGACTTATCCTTTTTCTTGAGAGAAGGAATCTTAGGAAGTGTTCTGTGCAATGCAAAAACATCAACAGTAGACTCATCCTGTTCATGGTCAGTTGGTATGCTCTTCTCTTTTAGTTCTGATGTTGCTGGTTTAGAGGAAGGGGCAACGGGGACAATTTTGGCTTTCAAATCTGGGAAATTATCTATGTTGAGAAATTCCAAAACAGCAGGTGCAATAATTTTTGTTCGAATATCTTTCTGGACAGCAGACTCCAATTCTTTAACAAGTAGAGATGTGGCCTCTTCAACAACATCTCTTTGTGTAGAGGCATAACTTTTGTCACTGTCTTCAACCTTATGACCTTCAGGAAGATGAAGCTCCATATAAAGATTAACTGTCAAAACTTTCTTCCCATTTGCGAATTGATAACACCGTTGAGCTTCTTTAACACTATTGAAAACAATTAGCACACCAATGGGGTCAAAAAGAACTCTTGTCCAGTCATAGGTTTCTAATGCCTTCTTGATATCAGTTTTTTCAACTTTACCTTTAACATATTTTGAAAGAATGAGAATAAATGGTCTTCCCTTGACATACTTTTCCAATTCTTGAGGAACAACGGACTTCTTCTTGACAATTATTTTCTCTTCTTTTGGTCCAGTGGGTATTTGAGTTGGCTTTGAAGTTGAAATGCTTGAAACATTAGTTTCTTGAGGTTTTATCTGCTGAGCAGATTTCACTTTTGTGTGTGGTATAGGTGAAGCTGTGGCTGCTGCCACCATATTTTCCCGTTTAGAGATTGCATGCAGAACTGCCTTTGGTGCAGTGGGTAATATAACCTTTTTCTCTTGGAGCTCTACCTTCTTGGCTTTTGAGACTCTCTCTTTCAAGATTTTAGATTTTAATACATCCAATAGTTTTCCGTCCTTATTGATTCCAACGTGAATAGTATTTGTTTCTATTTTAGACCCATTTAACGCTGAAACCGAATGCCTTGCTGATCTATATGCTTGAGCAGGGGAGCCACCAAATTTTAATCTCACAATTCCTAAAGGTGTACCAGTGGCTATGTCCATAACGTTTTCGAATTCAAGTATTTCACCATGACTTTTTATTTCATTTCGAAGGTAAGTCTCATTGAAAGCTTTTGCAAGTCCAGAAATAACAATTTCATTTGGAGGTGGACCTCCAATAGAATGCTTATCATACAACAATTTGGGAAGTGGTAACGCTTTGAATGGGATTTTTTTGAATTTCTTGATTTGGTGATGTTTTTTATTTTGGAGGTCTTTTCTTGGATCTATAGTTCTTTGAGATTTATCTGACTTGTGGTAAATCGCTGAGCTCCCCTTCGATGGATCTTTCTTTAACTCAGGATCATATGCAATACGAGATGAAGGTTTCTCAAGCTGCGATATTGTATTTTGGTCTCTGTGAAAACTACCATCTTCAAGCAACTGGTGTGATTGGTTGGAGTATTTCACATCTCTGAAAACCTTCCAAAGAGAGTCAACACGAGTTTTTGCCACATCTCTTTCTTCAGTTGACTTTGATGAAATTGCTGGAGTTGAAGATGTAGGTCTATTATTGTTGACACTATTCTTAGGTAGTGATGGACTTCTTGATGATGTTGTTGTTGCAGGAGAGGGAACATATTTGTCAGTTCTTCGATCCAAATATGGTGTATGTCTTCCTGAAGCTGTTGGACTATCCTCATAATGATTGTGTCGTAGTGGATAGCTTCTACCACTATTTGGTGTTTTGGATGTATGTCCATTTGGGATGAATATGTCTTTGTGGGATGGCACATAAGTATCTTTGCGGTGGTAACTATTGTGGTTGAACTCTGTTTTGTGTTTTGAATCAAATTCTTCATCTGTCCCATATTTTTCTGGAAAGAATGTAGACAGATTGTTTGCCCTTCGATAACTCATATTGGAGCTGTTGATGACTTTCCAACCTTATATGCAAGGCTGTTTACCAAATATGTAAACACGGTCTGATTTTAGAAACAAAAGAAATATTCAACTTCAAAAGATCCTTGAAACGATTCTTCAGGATATGACAGGCAGTTTTCAAGTGGCTCAATATTTTGAAAGTAATAGCAGAAAGACAAGCAAGTTCCCAGTTAACGCAGATGTTATTGTGGAGTTTAGGCTTTATTATGATTTTTTTTCATGCCTTCTCAGTTTAAAGAAATTTCATCCACAGTATTTTGATAACGTTGGCGCGCCCGCGAATTTGGGGAGGTTACCCTGAGAGATATAACCGTACTTTTATATTATAATTATTATCATTATTGCAGCAGCAGCAGCAGTATTTAATTCTATTTTACTAGTAAAAGTACCTGGCAGATGCTTAAACAACTTTAACACCGAATCTTTTTTTAATGAGAATTGTGCTGCGGTTTTGAAAGCTTTTTTGCTTGTCGAGATATTTTGCATTTATGGTGTCCCATTTGATTAGCAATTAATGAAAGAAAACCAAACTACTCTGTTTTCAATGTTAAAGGTAAGCCTGCATTCTGACAGATTGACATACACTTTAAATATAGTATGAAATTCTTAGACGTCATGATGAATAAATAATTTGACAAATAATAAATAGTTTAATAAATAAGGGAATAAATAAGTTGGTTGAACCAATGACAAAAAAAAATTATTTTGTTCTAATATGTTTCAGCTTTGTTGGACTGTGGTAAAAGTTCTTGGAGTAGTCTTTCTTTTTGAAACGGCGCTCGTTTGGCTCCTGAACAAAGAAAGTCCAGCCTTGGCCCTGTGCAAATTTTATCGCAGATTCCTTTGTATCAAATTTCATTATGGTACCTTGCCTTGATATAAGTTAGTGAAGATTCCTGAATCGGCAAATGTCAATTCCAACTTACATATAGTCACTAGAACTTTGGTACCCAATCAAATCATTCTCCCATCTATGACCTTTTCCTAAAACGTCCCAGTCGAGTTTCCAATTATGACGCCCTATAAATAAAAATGAGGTTAGCATTAAAACTCTTTCTAGCTTGAAAAATGAACAAACATACCCCAAATACCACTTTGAGTGGCAGGTTTACTTTCTTTATAGATTCGAACAACCCTTTCGGTGACTAATTCCTGAGGGGCACCACTTACAATTTCCTTTGGAAGTTCACCATGATCTTCTTGTTTTTCAATAACTTCAGATTCATTCTTTTGCATAACACTTAGTGACGTGTGGAAAAAGCGATAGGCTGGGATCACTCTTGTAACACCGGCACTATGCTTGATTGATTGAAGCATCTTGAATGGATTTGTTTTGTTTCTGATTGTTAGTTTTTAACCTTTCAAAAGAAGTTGTCTATTCTTAATTCTTCACTCCTTGATTTCAGTTTTCGCGGAATCGAAAATCTGTCTCGAGGGCTCTACCCTCGTAATACGCGAAATCTAAAAATGAATGCTTACTACAATTTAAATCTTGATTTGGGTACCGAATCTTCATCAAGGTCAATCCAGTCATCATGAGCTCTCCATTTATATTAACTGCACTTCGAGATGTTGCTCCTACGCTCTCGGAACCATACCCACAAGAATTAAAGAGACTTATAGACAATTTATACAATTCCTCGAAGCATAAAATACAATTGAAACAAAATGAAGAAATAGCGAGGTATCATATTTGTGCAATCATTGCAGTGAATAAGCTAAAGCAAGAATTGGGATTGCTTGATCCGCTTCTTGATAAATCCCCAGTCCCTACAAGAACGGTTCTTCAGCTTTTACATCTTTTTGAAACCAGTTTGCAAATAAAAGGTTCAAAGTCAACACCAGTATCTACACCTCAAAAGAAGAGAGCTTTGGAAGTAGAAGTAACACCACCATCTACAAAGAGAAGAGGGAGACCACCAAGTGCAAAGAAATTACCGTTGACTGAAAGACTTGTGGCTCTTAGCTCACAAACCTCCAAAACACCTGAAACTTCACCAATCAAATCTAAAACAGCTGCCTTTTTTAAAACATCAAACGGTTCGCCTTCGGTAAAATCTCCAACAAAGTATCCAGGGTCGTCCACCTACTCCTCACCTTCAAAACATATGCAATTATTATCAGCTAGTGAGATTACTGGTTTATGCAATAAATTTCAGTTAGAGACATCCATAATAGAGAACATTTTAGAAACTTTCAAACAATACTGCAGTAAAGTCTCCAATGAATGGGTACTACTATGCGGTCTTATAATTAATTGTTATTTTGTGATCAATCACAAGGTCATAAGTGAGAATGTTGGTTCTAAGACTAATGTCATTAAGACTATGTTCTCCCTTCAAAATGGGGGGTTGATGCTCGATGAAGTCAACAAAAGCATCACGATTGTTCAAAATCTAATCACTCATAACAAATGGTTCAAACAGCTGAAAATGAAAAATGATCTTTCCTTTGAGGAACAGACTATAGCATCAACTTCAGGAAACATGATCTCCAAAAGCTCTCAATTTCGCTCCGAAAGATCACAAAAGGACTATAAAGAATGGGTAGAAACGATCAAGCATAACATTTCTCGTTGCATAAATACTTGAATAACGTATAATATAAGATCAACTGGATTACTTCCCTTTAATTATTGCAACAATGTTCAAGACCTTGATGAATTCGCGAAATTTCGAGATTTATGTGCGCGTAACAGCTCTTTTTGAAAAAAAAAATCGATGATCTCGAAAGGTTGAAAAATACAGAATGGCACTTTTTTGATGGTATAAAACTTTTCATTTACTGCCGCTAGTTCGCATATTATTTGCTTTTTGATCCTGTCGTCTTCAAATAAGATAAAACTAGGAACTACACACACCAAGTGAATCTGTGTTTTTTTGTATGAATAGGTGTTTTACACATTGCACAAGCAGATTCAGTTCCTTTCTTGACCCATTCAGAAATAATTCACTGAAATTTAGTGTTTCAAGCTTTAGAAGTTATACAAAGTTCTCCAATAGACAAATACGTTTATCTTCAACAAACTCAATCAAATTTCAGTCTATTTCCAATCAGATGAGTTTAAAAAGAAATTTGTCATCAGGGAATTTGAACGGCTCAAATCAGAACAAGAGATTGAACAATCTACCTGTTCAAGAAAATGGTCAAGATGACGAAATCTCTGTTGATCAAGACATTTCAATAGATTCACCAGGCTCTAGTGGTGCTAATGAGCTGCCGATTAGTTTGACCACAGATACATTTACTGATGGAAAATGGCATGATACTATTAGCAAAGTTGTCAAAAGTGTTGTTTCAATTCATTTTGCCCAAACAGCTAGTTTTGATTGTGATCCTGCTATTGTTAGTGAAGCCACTGGTTTTGTTGTCGATGCTGAAAGAGGTATCATTTTAACCAATAGACATGTTGTTGGTGCTGGTCCATTTTGGGGTTATGCAATTTTTGATAATCATGAAGAAGCCGTTGTAAAGCCAATCTATAGAGATCCAGTTCATGATTTCGGTTTCTTGAAATTTGATCCTTCTAGTATCAAATATATGAAAGTGCAATCTTTAGAGTTAAGACCAGAATTGGCGAAAGTTGGTTGTGAAATCAGAGTTGTTGGTAATGATGCTGGTGAAAAGCTTTCTATTTTGGCGGGTTTCATTTCAAGAATTGATCGTAATGCTCCAGAATACGGTGGCTTAACTTATAATGATTTTAATACCGAATATATACAAGCTGCGGCTAGTGCATCTGGTGGTTCAAGTGGTTCTCCTGTTGTTGATGTTAATGGGTATGCTGTTGCCTTGCAAGCAGGTGGTTCCACTGAAGCTTCCACTGATTTCTTCCTTCCAGTATATCGTGTTTTAAGAGCACTAAAGTGTATTCAAAGTCAAACACCTGTTACAAGGGGTACTATCCAAGTACAATGGATGTTGAGGCCTTTTGAAGAATGTCGCCGTTTAGGTTTATCAGATGAGTCTGAAAAGAAAGCCCGTGAGAAATTTCCTGAAATCATTGGACTATTGGTAGCAGAAGTTATTCTACCAGAAGGCCCAGCTGATGGCAAAATTAAAGAAGGTGACACTTTGATATCGATCAATGGTATTGATATTTCAAATTTTATCAAAGTTGACGAAATTTTAGATGCTTCAGTGGAGAAAGAAATTGAGATTATCTTACAAAGAGGTGGTGAAAATGTTGTCGTTAATTGCACTGTTGGAGATTTACATGCTATCTCCCCAAATAGATATCTAGAAGTTGCTGGTGCATCATTCAATGATATGAGTTACCAAATGGCTAGAATTTATGCTATTCCTGTTAGAGGTGTTTTCATCAATAACGCCACCGGTTCGTTTTTCTTGGATAAAACTGAAACAACAGGTTGGGTTGTTGATTCTGTTAATGACCACGATATCACTAACCTGGAAAATTTCATTGAAGTTATGAAAACAATTCCAGATAGATCAAGAGTTGCTATGGGATTCCGTCACATTTCTGACTTGCATTCACCACATAACTCAACTATATACGTTGATCGCCATTGGTGTACCAGCTTCAGATTAGCAACGAGAAATGATGAAACAGGTTTATGGGATTACCAAGAATTGGGAGATCCATTACCAGCACTCCCACCAACTCCAAGATCTGTGAAATTCATCGATATACCTATGGAACAGCCAGGCTGTGCACAATTGAGCAAAAGTCTTGTTTTAGTTACTTCTACAATTCATATTCCTGTTGATGCTTTTCCGGCAATCAGAAAAAGACAACATGGTCTTGTAATTGATGCTGAAAAGGGATTGGTTATTGTTTCAAGAAATGTTGTTCCTCATGATTGTTTAGATGTTCACATTGTTGTTGCAGATTCTTTAATCATTCCTGCTAGTGTTGAATTTTTACATCCCACACAAAATTTTGCTGTCATCAAATATGATCCTTCTTTGATTCAAACAGAAGTCCTGACACCTAAATTCAGTGAAACACCATTGAAAAGAGGTGACAAAGCTTTCTTCATTGGTTATAATTACAATTCTAGGGTTGTCACCTCAGAGACTAAAGTCACAGATATCGCATCTATTAACGTTCCACGTAACGTTTTATCACCACGTTATAGAGGTTCCAACTTAGAATCTGTTGCATTTGATACTAATTTGTGTACCCAATGTGGTTCAGGTGTTCTTGCTGATGCTGATGGTACAATCAGGGCTTTGTGGTTGTCTTTCTTGGGTGAAGGAGGTAAAGATAGTGATGTTGTTTATAAAATGGGTATTGATATTACAGAATTCAACACATTTATAAAAGATTTCAGAGAAGGAAGAGTACCAAAAGTGAAAATTGTTGATGCTGAATTTTTTGGTTTATCTTTGGTTCAAGCACGAATTAGAGGTGTTTCAGATGAATGGATTAAACAAGTTGAAAATTCAGGTAAAGATAGATTACAATTTTTGGCAGTTTCAAGAGTATCAGTTCCAGAAGCTGGTGAACCAAAGACAAATTTTGAAACTGGAGATATTGTTTTATCAATTGATGGTAAACCAGTTTATGGTATCACGGACATTACAGCACAGAGTACAAAAGATAAACTTGCTTTTAAAATTGTTAGAAAAAGACAAGAGTTAGAAATTGAAGTACCAACTGTGGAAATCAAACCTACAAATCATCTAGTCTTCTGGTGTGGTGCAGTTTTACAAGCACCTCATCATGCTGTTCGTCAATCAATGATGAACCTACCAAGTCAAGTTTATGTCACGAATAGAATGCACGGTTCTCCAGCTCGTCATTACGGTATAAGCTCTACAAATTTCATCACTCATGTTAATGGTATTCCAACACCAACACTAGAAGAATTTGTGAAGGTTGTTAGACAAATTGGTGATAATACATATTGCAAATTAAGATTGGTTTCGTTTGACAATATTCCATTTGCTATCTCAATCAAAACTAACTATCATTATTTCCCAACTGGGGAGTTAAAGAGAGACTCAAACCTGAGTAAATGGTTGGATATTGAATATAATGAAGAGAACAAAGAAACTAAAGTCACTCATATTTAAATAGACGTTTTTATCTGAATCAATATTGCTGCATTATGCACATCCACCTTCTGTATCAAAGATTAAGCCTCGAAATAAAATAAAAAAACACGTACAAAATAAATCATAAATCCTCATTTTTTTTACTATCAATCATTATGCGAGTTATATACAAGAAGATCAATCACCACTCTAGCAGAAGTCTAATGGTATGGCAGTAATCTTTTAAGTCTCTTGGTGTGTGTTTTGTCATTGGCAGTTTTTCCTCCTAAACCTTTCAAGTATTGTTTACTCCAACCGGCATTACCATGATTTTTACCAGCTTTAGCCTTGAGTTATGAGTTAGTATGATTCAAAAACAGTTTCAAAAATAAATTAAACGACATACTCTTTTATAACCAGATGCAGTTTTTCTCCATCTCTTTGCAGCACCTTTATGAGTCTTCATCAAACCTCTAACAAGAATACTTGATGGTTGTTGTAACGTTATTGAACTGACTTTGGCTGCATTGAATACAGGACGCACAAGGCTATTTAATAGAGCAAACATTTGTCTATTTGTAAAGTTTCAATCAATGTTATCCAGATATCTGAATCCTTTTCGTTCATCTGGTCCTTCGAAGTGTTTTTTTTTCACGGCCAAAATTGAAAACGGTGGTTAGGGAAGCATGTATCACGTGATGGAATGGTAATTTATAATTAACGTACACTCACTCTGAGTCTGATTCTGAGGAAGAATAATTGCTTAGTAGAATGGGTTTGTTATCCGTGTTATTTCTAGAGTTTGGTTTTTTCTCATCTTCTTCTTGATTTGGATCATTGACTGAAATTTTTGTTGTATTCGAGCTCTTCACTTTAATGTAATTGGTAGGTTTCTTTTTAAAATGCTTTGGAATCTCAATATCTGGTGAGTTATCCTTTGGATTAGCTGTTGTATTATGCTTTGCTGCCTTTTTTCTGCTGTTAAACGTTAGGTTTTTTCGTCACTTTAATGCATATTAGACACTTACTTTTCGAATTCTTGTAGACCTTCTTCTAGTTCTCTTTTTCTTTCCAGCTCTTTTTGCTCTTTCTCTGTTTCGAGCTTAGTGTAAAACTCAAGTTCTCTTTCATCAATAGCATGTGATTGGTTTTTAGATTTGACTTTTTCTTCGTAAGCTCGTTCTTTCTCAAGATAGTTCGCTTTCATTTGTTCATAAAGCGACAATGCTTCCTTTTCTTCTTGTTCGTTTGCATATTGATTTGCAGCTTCCGATTCGACTTTCTGCAATGACTTCAAATCACTTTTACCCTCAGGAATAAATCTTGACATGCTTGACCCGTTGCTTTTGAATTGTGGTTTATGGGCTTAATTCAAATGGTTTGTTTTTCAGTTGACAAGTGCCTTTTTATTTCGCGAACCGTTCTACATCTTCGTATCAATGAATTAAGAAATCTATAAAACACATCTAATCATTCGTCGTCGTCGTTATCTATTATGAATTCATCCAGGATTTCCTGCTTTGTTCGCTCATGGTCAGGAACTGGCCAATTCAATGAGCTCTTCTTAGTTCCTCCTAAAGTGACAGAACAACCATAACAGATATCAACAGAGAGCTTTTCACTACTCTCTAGTTCTATTATCTCATCTTTATTGGCTTCTTTCCATTCTTGTAATGATGACTCTTCTATTTCATTTTCAGGACTAACAGATTTGTTGTACGTTATTTCCCTTAACCAGTTCATTGGATCATTGTAAATTTTCCCTTTGCAAATTGAACAATATTTTTCACCAAACTTCTTTGGTTCAACAAGTTTAGCACCGGTTTTGACAACAGTGGATACTATATTATCATAGCCTGTATCAACCACTTTGTAATAGTCGGCAACAATCTCATTTATTGTTTTTTGTTTCACCATCAGTTTTTCAGATTTATCCTTAGGTATTAGCAACAAGTCTGAAAGCTCTTGTAAGTTTATAAACATGTTAATTTCGTTTTGTGAGACATCACGTAAAGGATGAAGATGTTCCAAATTCCATTCTTTGTATGACTCAACTCCGTCTGTTAAATTTGAGTAAATTTCAGCTCCACGACCTTTCACAGTCAATGCGATGACTTCTTCAGCTAGCCTTGACATATTGTGACCCCAAATGATGGTTTTGTGATCATTAGAAATAGCAAAGTTCTTGATTAATTCTTTCTTGATGATCTGAATTAAATCATGCTTTGATGCTCGATTAGGACAAACATCAAGTATTTCATTCACTGATTTCAACTCACTGAAATCTTTCTTAATTTTGAAGCAGTCGAAATTTTGTAATAGGGTCACCTTGTGTAATGATTCTTTGTTTCCAATAAATGAATCAATGTCTAATTTTTTAAACGTGATGGAGTATTGATCCGAGTTATATCGAGTCTTGATTGATTGTATTATGGCATCAACATCATTTTCATAACCATTGATTGAAGAGTCATCAACGTATAGCACCGTCAACTCAAATCCTAACTTGGCTCTTGGATTTCTTAGTTGTTCAATATATAATGAGACCAAAATGTCCAGTAACGCAATTGACGAGGGTCCAAATGAGATAGGGTATAAAACTTTCTCTGGAACGATATGTTCACCAAACTTCACTTTGAATTTCTCATCGCTCATTTGTTTTCTTTGCTTACCACTGATGAACCTTATAAAGCACGATCTAATTATATGTTAGTTGATATGCAACAAACCATAGAAAAGGAAAACACTCACTTGCAAAAGGCCTCTTTTCTGGAAACAGCCACCGCTTTTTCGGTCTTACACCTTGAGCAGTTCCCTAGCTCTGGTAACTCAGCTTGAACAGACATATTTGACTAGAGACTTTTCCACTCTGGGCTTTGGAATCTGTAATAAATCATCAACGACTGCTCAAAGAAAAGAATTTTTTCTATCAAAATTTATGTGCACGTTTGAAACTGGCAGACCATAAAAAAAGAAAAAAACAATACTTGGAGATCGAGAACAGTAATAAACGAAATGAAGATATTCTTTGCTTCCACTGTATACCCTCATTCAACATTGATTTGTGGAAAATGTCCGAAGACTTAAGAAAGGCTGATAAGGAGCATATCAAAATGGATCCAGCCATAGCTAAGGAAAAGGGGAAAATTGATTTTACCAAAGGTTCAGTTAATGAGTACAAGTTTTATCCAGATAATCCAACATCAGAATATAATAAATCAAAATTCGCCTCCAAAGAACCATCAAAATATTATGATCCTTGTGCTCAAAGTGCACAGATGAGTGTTAGATGTCTTGAAGATAATAATTTCGATAGAGATATGTGTCATGAATATTTCAAAGCATATAGAGAGTGTAAAAAAGAATGGTTAAGACAGAGAAGACAAGATAATTTTAATGGGAAAGGTTGGTGATTGAGCATTGGTTAAAATACGTACTTATGAATATGTATTCTTACTTGTATTTAAGAAAACAAAAAGGAGGTAATGAATAGCTGTATATAGTTGATGATGGGTTATTTCTGCAATTGAAAGTCTCTACATCTTTTCAATTACACCATGTATTTAACTAATCAAATAATCCCTTAATCCCTTTTATAAACCTTTGTTTTCCATAAATCTATCGTTAAATAAAAAAAATAAAAATCATTAACAAAATTGCAAGCTTGGTGAAACATATTTTTTACACTTCATTGACATTAAAGTCACGGTGTCCTCTGAATTATTCACCTTTTGATCATTGATCTCATTATTTAGATTGCTTGCATATTGTTCAGCTATTGTTTTTGCTTTTCCTTCAGCTGATATCAACTCCAATTCTCCTGTTCTTCTATCAACACAAATCAAAATAGTTGGTTCAACTTCATTAAACAATTGGTCATCATTATCAGAATTATGACAGTCAATATATATCTTCATTAGTAGAAAATTTTCTTGTAATTTTGATAAGCATTCATTGCAAGTAATTAATGGGATCATATCTTTAACATTTAAATTTTGAAATGGTTTCAATTTTTTCCATCTTGACAATTGCTTTCTTGTGATGCAATTATTATAAATTAATCTGAAATTTTTGGAATGATTTTGTATATCATCTGCAATTGAATTATTGAAGCTTTCTAAAGAATATGAATTATAACGTAAATCTGTATTTTCAAAATCAATCAATTCACCGGAAAATTGAACAGTATTATTACTTGAAATGTTTATAAATGCATTATCCGGTGCATTTTCACTTAGCCAATGTTTCATCAAATATAAATGTTCAAAATTCAACGATCCCCTAACTAAATTTTTTTGATAATCAACAGAGATGAACGCAATTGTGAAAGGAATTTGATCTGACTTTAGATTTTTAACCATAAAACTTAAACCTGGTTTCAAAAATGAACAAGATTTAACCCTAATCATATTAAAATGGAATCCTTCATAATGAGTTGTGACTGAACCTTCACTTAGTTGGCTAGCATCTCTTTTCTTTGGATTCTCAGCTTTAAATTTCAAATGTTTGTTATAATAGTCCCCAACTTCACGTCTTTTAGCTAAAAATTCATTCAGATCTAAATTAATATTTTGGGAGGCTCTATTTATATTGAAAGAATGCTCTTGATGGTTGAATAAATAATTCATTGGCAGTTCTTGTTGTTGATTTGATGGCTCTTCTTGTGGATCATGTCCTTGTGAATTTAAATCATTATAAAATGACTGAGTAGAGTATCTATTAATATCACTCAACAATGAAAACGTGGCTGCATTCCCGCCGTTATTGGTATTGTTATGTGTATTGTTGAGGAAATCTTCTTGTCGTATATGACTTTCATTGTTGTTATTCTCCATTAAATCTGAAAATTGTTGATGATTGTTGAACCTATTATTTGGATGCATGACTCTCCTTAATATAGAATTGTTCAGGTTTATTGAATTATTTGTATATGTTGATAATGAAACATTCCCCGTATCCCTATTCACACTTAGAGTTGATGAAGCTGAATTGGGTATTTCAGAATTGAAAGTACCTCGTCTTTGCGGAGGAGGAGGTGGCGGAAGTGGTGTCAACATAGCTTGACGAAAGCGGTCATTGCTGCTCATGTTGTTGTTGTTGTTGTTGTTGTTTGTTCTTCTTGAAGAGCTTGATCCAGAGTTGATGAAATTATTATTTGGGTTCAAATATGGTCTGTTAAGTCTTCTGCTATTTTCCGAGCTATTATAGCTATAGTTGTAGGTATTAGCACCAGCATCATCAGTATCTCCTCTTAGATTCAAATATCTTAATCTGAAATCATCAACACTATCTTCATCTTCATCTTCATCATCGTCATCAAACGAATAGTCAGATACATTTCCTTGTTGTTGTTGCTGTTGTTGTTGGCTCGTTGTGTTGGGCACCAAGTGATCTTGAGCAACATTTATAGTGACTGTTCTTCCTGTAGCATCAGTTGTAACGAATGGGCGACTGTTGTTGTTGTTTTCAGAGTTATTATAGTTATTGTTACTGTTGATCCCCTGGGGCAAATTGCTTCTGCTCAAGTTTGGTTGGTAGACTGGCATGATCCTGTCTGGCAAATGGGCGAATGCTTTGCACTGGACGTCGAAGTAGTTAAAGGAATGGAGATTTGAAATAAAATGGCCACTGGCAAGTCCTTCATCGAAGCTATAAAGTGAGTTCCAAATACAAGCGTAATGTTGAGAAGAGATGAAGACATAAAAAAATTATCAGTCAAGTCGGGAATTGTTCCGCGAATGCAATCTGTCAACGGGTAAAACTGCCTTTCGTTGGGCGATGGCAGATCCGCCTAATGCGGTAGTTACGAGGGTACCCTCGGGTCATGTGACTTGTTTATGTAATAATTCGACTGTGATTATGTCATTACAGGTTCGCGGTGCAACTAGTATTGCTAACATGAATTTTAGTTCACGTAATTTAAAACGAATCATGATATCATACTCCTGAACCTAATCTCCATGGGCTGAGAATTGAGTACACTAGAATGAGCTCGAATTAGTGGTTAGTGGGCCAAACTTCACCCTCCAAGAATCCACACTGAAGAGTATGCCAAAGAGTCAAGTTACATACCCAAATCCACCTCGGCCATTATACAACCTCTCAAATTTCATGCCAACATGAATCTGTCTTCATTCCTAGACTTCTGGACACTAAAATTAGCTCAGATAATCTTTAAGAAAGTTAGCAGTCATTCACATTTGCAACAAAGTGTAGAACCAGTGATCCAGTGATTTTTGTGGTTTTTAGTTTCCATCATGCACGACGTGTTACACAAACAGCAACATTGCTACTTAAGCAATTACATAATGTATACACATCATAACATCATTGTATTGTGCAAGCACAAATCAGAGCACATTCTTTATATTCTATATTGTTCTATAAGGCATGGCCTCAATACAGGAAACGTCTATAAATACTCCAGGTTCTCCCCTTCAATTTCAATCAATACACATTCTTAAAAACCATCCAATTATTGTAAACAATTCATTACAATTATATTAAGAGATAACTCCAATTTACATCAACAAACATACTACAATTACAATGTCTGACTTAGGTAGAAAAGATTTCACTGACAAAGTTCAAGAAAAAGTTACTCCACAAGATCAAAAATCATACATTGATCAAGCAAAAGAAGGTATCACTGATGCTGCTGATAAAGCCTCTAGAAACTTACAACCAGAAGGTGCCAAATCTGATACTCAAAAATTAGGAGATTCCGTTCAAAAAGGCCATGATGATGCTAAAAGTGCAAACGCTAAACCTTTGAGCGAAACTGCTGGTGAATATGTCGAATCTGCTAAACAAGGTTTGAACCAAGCTGCTGAATACATTTCAAACACTTTGACTGGTGCTAAAGAAGGAGCTGAAAATGCTGCTGACAAAGGTTCTAGCTCAAACTCAGGCATCTGAATGTTTTAAAAAGCTTTTATAGCTCAAGCTACTATTGTCATGCTTCTGTCTTAGTGTTTATGGTATTTTGTCCCACATTTTGTTTTTTTGCTACACTAGTTCTGCTGATTTGATTTTACATTATAAAGATTTGATTTTGTAATGTACTTACTTATATACTATTTATATTATCTATGAATTATACGACTTATCATTATTAATTATTTTTTAGTAGTTGACAGCTATATGGCACGTTATGAAGCTTGTGCCTGAGATGATCGGAGAACGAAACTCAAAAACTTTTGTATGGTTATCGATTGTAAGATCGACTAGGTAGCCCGCTTGGGCTAAACTACATCATTTTACAAAACAGTCGAGATTCGATACACTTCAATCAGGATTTATGTATACTACGCCAGTCGCCTTACAAGAAACGAAAATCATAAGCAACATCACCACCACCCTCGAATAGAGGTTCAGGAATTCACCTTTTGGTTCCATGCCCATTCAACCCAGAAACATTTACCAATAAGATAGTCCATTTGACAGCAAAATAAAAACAGAAGTAAGTCTCACAATTCCATTCAAGATCAAAACAAAACAATACTCTGGGTCTCCATAAAGTTTCAATTCACACTTTGGGATTGGTCATCTCATTCAGACAGTGAAATTGATTGAAGTACTGATGGGTGAATATAATTCATTTGATAGTATGACTGCACATTAATTTAGTCTGATTCTTGGGAGCTTGGAGCTGTTGAATGATAGAACTGATCCTTGGTAAACCTAATACATCTCTTAAAATCAAGCAGCACCAGAAATGATAACCATCTTTGAAAGAACCAAATTACCACCAGTTTGAATGATGTGTAGCTAAGTGTGCATGTTTTAATGGAATATGTTTAGATGAATACAGAACAACTTGTGTAAATTTGTTTGGCTACATGTTTTCTATGTTTTTGTTTTTGTGACGTTTGTGTTTGTGTTACAGAAATGACCCAAGTCGGCATTTTGATGAAAAGGGAAAGGTTAGGGTCCGATGAGAGATGAGATTCAAGAGTGCGCGAACTAATGTTACTAGGCAATATTGGATTATGCAACTGTTTAGACGTAATTTTATGTTACAAAAATACTGAAAATTACAAAAGGAAATTGTAAATACTATATATAACCTACTGCCCTGTCATTCTCTTTAGTTAGGCACAAATTTGTTCAAAACCAAGAGCACCGAGAGCCATTTGGTACTAGTAAGCGGCTGGTCACATGACTGAATTTTCTAGCGCAATTATCAAAACAAAATAATATGACACAAATATAAGTAATGTATAGAAATAAGGTCTCCAGCATCCAAAGTTTAAAGTGGTGTCAAGTTTTGATACAGTTCAATATCATTTTTAATTTGTTTTAAGAATTTAGAAAATTTTATCAACGTACCTATATTAAATTTATAAAACAAATGAAGGTAAACCATTACTATTTATAAAATTCCACGAACAACGAGAAGGATCATTTTTTTTGAAAATCAAGTAAAAAACGAGTTCGCGAAGAAAAACATGTGGTGTGAACCGAGAAAGTGTTGCACTGGCAAAGCACCTTAACTATGGGGGAGACTATTATACACTATAAGTCAGCACAATAGACCTTTCAGAGTGTAGTTTCTTCACCGTATCTAATTTGAATGCTCTTTCGATGCTCAATCGAATTTTTGTGACTCTTTGCTTAATTAAGTTTGAAATTATAGGGCTGTATTGTTGATGGTGGTTTTTGGCGTTTTCTTTGGTTTTTTTTTATTTTTTTATCGGCGCCAAAAAAGCAGCAAAGTTTTTGCAAAAGCTGACGAGATTTCCCGATTGGTATTTTCACATCACCGATATCCCAAAAAGGTTTGCCCAGTGCAATTTGTCGTTGATCACATGACTAAATTTTCAAACGTAAATAACTAATCAATACTATATGACACAAATATAAATAAAATACATATATATATTCTTCAGACTTCAAAGATTATAATGATGTACAGTTCATGTTTGTTTTGACATTTTTATTTTTGTTTTTAAAATTTTAAGAATTTTAACGACACATATATCTCTAATCTATAATACAAATAAGGGTATAACTCTGTTTCTTAAGAAAATTTTCTCAAAACACCCCAAAACTACATTCATCTTATAGAGAATTCAGTTTTATGACGATATAAGAATTTTAATATATATATTATCTAGCAAAGTGTGTTGAATAATGCTGCTTGAAAATGAGAATTTCGAGTGGTGGGTTTTTTTTCATTTTCTCATAGTTAACTTCAGTCGCGAAAACGCGTACTAATTAATATACAAAGAGCTTTAAAAACCAAATACTCAGCTCACGTATTATGCTGATAAATTATAACCGGTACCATGATATTCTTTGGAAGTTGAAGATTAAATAGACATATATTAAATAATCTTTATACTTGAAATTGAACAATTGACACGCGAAAACTAAGTCTATACATAGTTAACTACGGTACAACCTTCGTGTTTGTTCGAATGTTACCCAATTTCTTCCAATCAAGGACTCTTTTGAATGCTTTTAGGCCGTAGAACCTAATGGTGTTAGTCATTTGCTTCGATGTATTACAGTTGTGAAGTTGTGTCCTTTTGGTTTAGTTGTTGTAGTTCTGATGCATAAGACGCGCTTTAAAATTTCCATGTGTACATGTAAACATGTAAGTTCACTACCAAAACAACCGTGGAAACGCCATAAAAACCAAGGCAACGCAGTAACAAACAACCACATCCAATAGATTAAATGGATAACAATCGGACCACCATTCACAAGAAACATTCCAAAGATACGTGAAATATAAAAGGACACAATTTCCCACTTTTCTTCCTTTCTTCTTTTCTTTCTTTCATACCACAAAGTATTATCAAGTCTTAGGCAAAAATACTTGAAGAAGACAACAAAGTAGGTTCTATAACACATCTATCCTATAGCCAATACTAACCTAGTGACCAGAGATACTGATGAGGTGGATGTATGCCTCAATGTGATAGTTGTGACACTATGGAGGTATGTTTTTTGAGAAACACAACTAGAGACTAATACTAACTCTTTCAGCTTAGGTGTTGGTTTAGCTGACTGACGTGGGTGGTTGATGTTATTTGGTTCTGGTAGCTAATTGGGATTGTGGTAAGTGCTATTGTGAATCATAAACCATATGTTGTAATTTGGCAATCTAAAGTGAGTTAATCATTTGATTTGATAACAGGATATGATACTAACAAGAACTCAATAGATATTGAAATGAATTGATTTAATTGAACCTTTAAGGTGAGTATTAATCACTATATTGTTTTAGATTTTGATCATGAGGATTTGGTTATTGATTGGGTTTCAAGCGGGGGTAAGGTTTGTGTGTTTTCTTTTAAGGCTAGCACTCTGGTAGCTTCTAGAGGGTTTGATGCTTAATATAACCAAAATCAACTAACTTCTTTAGCTATATAGTTAATTAGAAAGGATTTGATTCCTTTCCATTGCAAATATCAAATATATGATTATTTTGCATCAACATTTTGTAATTTCGATCAATTCATTTGCGCTTTTCATTTCGTTTTTGCACAATTTTTGCACTGCTGATTTTGCACAATTTATAGCTTTTGCAAAACCCATATTGGTTAAATTACTTGCATGGTTTGCAAAAGGTTTTGCGCTACAAATGCATGGTGGGATAGTGTCCTTTATATCACAAAAAAATAATTGCAATTATTTTTAAGCACTTACTAATCATGGTGTTTTTCCGCGAATTTCTCTCCCATACTAATTTTTCATCGTTGTCGTTGTTCGTGTTCTTCTCAAAACGGCCTAAAAAATAAACAATCCTCTAGAGAATTCAGTTTCACTTAGTTTAACCTATCTAAACATGTATTTGTCCTAACAAATTGCGTCAATAATTCTGCTTGAAAATGAAAATTTCGAGTGGTAGGACGTCGTCGTCGTTTTTTTTTCATTTTCACTAGTTAATTTCGGTCGCGGAAACGCCAGCACACAAATTAGAACAGACAATAATTAACACGAAATGCTAAGCTCATTCTCTTGAGAGACTAGTACTAGTGTTATAATCTTTGGAAATTAGATAATAACACAGATATACTTTTATTAATGTATGTGTAATTTACATACGAAAGCTAAATTTATATTAGACGTTATGCTGTACAACTTCGTGTTGCTCGAAAGTGACCCAACTTATTTAAACAGAGGGCTCTATTAATTAAAGCTTACATCTGAATGACTATAGAATCTGCTTTACCTTTTTACCACTCATATTGTATGACCTTAAATGCTCTGATTAACAAAATATCCTCAATTCATGCTACCCAAACACCTCGAAAACACCATCTTCAGCACTTCGTTCGTATCACATTTCTTCAAAACACCACGCACCATCAAAAATACACACCCACTAGTAATTTTGGGCATTTAGCTTCTTCAAAAGCTTGTAGTGTCCATTAAATTGCTCCAAAATTGTAAAAATTGTTCATTTTATCGGATTCACAATCCACCCATGTATCACCACACCACCATATTCTGCTTATTCCAAGCTCAACAACTTCACTTCTGCCAAATCTGACACCTTAACTGTAAAATTCTCTAAATTTTGATATAGAAACCACTTTCAAAATAACCATTCACCACCAAATTTGATCCGGAATTTTCAAAAACAGGGGTTTCCATGGACCCTTGGATGGATTTTTCAAGGCCATTGATCGGATTTTCCCTGGTTTTCCGCGAATTTTGCCTGGTTTCCGCGAATTTTGGGCGGTTTTGGATGGGTTTTGAGGATCAAGGAAATAAATCTAGAGAAAATGAGGTGCATACCAGCTGAAATTGGGCCTCCAACACCTCAGCGGTACTCCAATAACATGTTCATAAGTTGTATTCCGACCTGTAGAATCCAATAAAGCTCTTAGTTTCTCATTTGGTTGGCTAGTTATGGCTCTGAGTTGCATTTTATCGGGTTTGAAAACCCCCTTTTCACCACTTGACCCCCTTCTTGACCGAAAACTTGTTAGTAAAGTATCTTGTATCAGAGAAATTGAATTGAATATGGAAAATCCATGTGCTTAGCTCCCTAAATCCCTTTGAATCCCTTCAAAATCTTTCTCGGTTTCAAAAATATCAACAAAATTAACCAAAATTTTCACTTTCACCACATCCATGTTTTTGCCATAACTTTCCAAAAAGTAACACTGCAACACCAATTTCAACTCCAGATGTTGTATTTCCACCTCTATTTCACATAATGATACCACCTTGCACATGGGAGCTCCTATGAGAACCTGTAGTCTTCATTTTATCGGATTGGTAGTTCTCTAATTCATAACACCCACGTGAAGGGGTATTTTTATGCAAATTTCATTGAATACGCCTGGTAATCCTGATAGACTAGGTCAAACTATTATCAATGTAAGAAGTTTGCAAAAATCACACTAGCATTGATGGTCAATTGAAGATGTCGAGAGTGTGATTCAACCCCCTAGTTCTACATTCTCGAGATGTTTTTTTTTCATCGTTGAAAATTAAGAGTAGGTCGGAAATCAAAGTAAGTCACGTGCACCCAAACCTCGGAATTTGAATGGTGTGGCGCTTACCAGACCTTTTTTGCACAAGTGTCACAACGGGTGCATTTGTTATCCATTTAGCTATTGAGCCCCGAATAACTAGAGAATAGTGAAGTATGTTTTAGGATTGACACATTTTTTATCAACGCGTATGTTATTGTGCTATTTGCTCTCTCTTATTACCAAACCATAGATAATAATACACTCAAATGTTCACCACCAACTAGTATTGACACGTTAACTGCCCATGAGCTTTTTGTGCACGCTACAGGCCACAAATAACTACAATTAACTACAAAACAGCCAGAATAAAACAATATACTTAGCATTATCACACCTCCTTAAATCACAGATTTAAAAGTCGTTAGTCGTTACCATATGAGTGCATTATATCGTTATACTTTAACAATCAATCACATTCAACTTTCAAGTCATTATTCAAACTGATTCCTGACCAGTTGGTAAACGTTCAACATTTGTGGTTTGCTGCTTCTCACCTCCTAATTCTTCATCTTCACTAGCAACAACACTTCCACCAGTTCTATGGCCCAATTCCCTTGTGAATTTATGATCAGTTGGAACAAATCCCCTTGATTTCCAGGCACTAGGAACAGTATCATACAACTCATCAACAGATTCTAAAGACAATCCTTTAGTCTCATAGACAAAGAAGTAAGCAAAGAAGAAACATAAGAAGTTACAACCACCCCAAATGAAGAAGACTTTTGATTGCAATCTTGCAGAGCCAGGAGCATCATCAACCAAATATGGTGTTGCATAAGCAATGGCAAAATTCCATAACCAGTTACTTGCAGTGGACATTGCAACAGACTTGGCTCTAGTTCTTAATGGAAACAATTCACCAACAACAACCCAAGCAACACAACCCCAAGTTGAAGCAAAGAATGAGATAAAGATACAAGTAAAAGCAACCATTGTTTTGTTAGCAGCATCTGATTTAGTGGACACACCAATGATTGCAATCAACATTTCAGAGACACACATACCAGCAGCACCACCCAATAGTAAGGTACGACGATCTAATAATTCCACCAAGAGGATACCTGGTACAGTCATTCCAACGTTTACGATATTGGTTGCCAATTGAATTAAAAATTCATTCTTAATACCGGAATTTTTGAAGAATGTTGTACCAAAGTAAAAAATGAAATTGATACCAGTTAATTGTTGGAATGCTTGTAAGAAGATACCAGTGATTAATCTTTTTAATTGATGATTAGATGTTCTGAAACAATCAAGCCAACCACTTTTGCCATGAACAGATTCAAATTCGAAATTTGCAATGATTTCACCTAATTCATCAACTAAAGCCGGATGATCAGCAGGTAATCTTCTAAGTCTTGCTAAAGATTTAGCAGCTTCTTCATTTCTACCTTTGGAGACATAAAATCTTGGAGTCTCAGGTAAGAACAACATACCAACAGTTAAGATGATCGACCATAAGAATTGCAAGGCAATTGGAATTCTGTAAGAAGCAGTGCTATCAATCTTGTGGGTTGCTTGATTGAAAATAGCAGCTAATAATAACCCAATGGTGATTGCAAATTGATAGGAAGAAGTAATGGCACCACGAATCCATTTTGGCACTGTTTCAGCTTGGTATAATGGAACACATGCAGACAATAAACCAACACCCAATCCAGCAAAAACACGACCAGCAACTAAAAGATTAATGTTGGTTGCAGCAGTTTGTAAAATGATACCTAGATTGAAAACAATAGTTGTTGAAATGATCAAAGTCCAACGACGACCCAAAGTATCAGAGATCAAAGGAGCCAATAAAGCACCAAAGAAAGTACCAGCAGACAAGATTGAAACAATTAAAGAATGTTCGGAGGATGTAAAAACACCTTCACCACCATCAACACCAGGCTCATCTTCTGGGAAATGCTTCAAAACATAAGGCATTGCCAAAATACCAGAGATTGTACCGGTATCATAACCAAAAAGAACACCACCAAATGCAACAAAAAGCCCAGTGAAAATGGCCATTGTTGTTGAGCCTTCACTTTTTTCATCAATATTGATGTATCTTCTAACTAGCCAATTTTGTTCTAACCCCATTTTGAATATCACTATATTAGTATCACAGTCAGTTTAATTATAATCAGATTAGATCTATGAAGATCAAGAATAACAATGCACTTTAAACATGGATAAAATCATGGATATTTATATTTTCTTGGTGATATGATACCCCGTTTCAATGGTTTGGGACATTCATTACATGTACAAGGTGTATATTGTTTGTGTTTTTATGGGGAAAGGCAAAAGTTGACAACAATATGAAGCTAAATTTGGGTTGACTACACTAGGACGTGGTCGTATAATAAAATCGAATGACTGAAGATCCTTTCCATCATGGGATAATCCTTTGCATATTGTAAAGCGGCAGAATCTTGGATTCTTGAGTCCAAGGTCCAAGTTTTTGCGAATGATTGGTTGAGAATGATCCACCCCCAAGACTTAATTTTCCCCAATAGTTTATTATTATCTGGGGATATTTTTTACGATTATCCAACAATTTGAAGAAGGATTAAATATTATCGATACAAATTCGATGTGGATAGTGGAAGTGTATCTGGATGAACTGGGAGAGTATATAGGCTAGCTACGTTGAACATCACTTCCCTAAGTGTGTACCTGTTTCTTGAAGTCTCCCTTTTGATCACATTCCAAGATCTTGTGAAGCATCCTCGCAAATCATAATGTTGAGATTGTTATAGTAGCTGTACTTTTACGATTGTATGTGTAAGGCTTTTCTAAATTTTCCGATACAGCATGAGCAAATGGGGCAAACTAGCTTAAACTTCAAAGTGCTACTGCTTTGCACAGTGCAGTACAGGAATAACTCTAGCAGTTAATGGACAAATGACCATGAAGTTGAGCTGTGAATTTCCTTATACACTCGCATCATCTTGTTATGGTTGCTCTGGCGATTAGTGGAGTCACACTTTAGTCAACCTGTATGGTTTTAAGGCACCAGGATCATAATATAGACGTTTGACACATCACGGAGTACTCTAATTGAAAAAGCCCTTCAACGTGGACCAATTTTCTTTCAAGCTTTGAGCCCATATACACTACAGGGGCTTTAAGTAAAAGGTATCATGTGTACGTCTATTGTAATTGCAACACCTTGGAATAATTTTGTGCTTTATGCCAGGGTTTTTCCAGGCTTAAAGCACGCAGATCTGAAAGTTGGGGTACGTGATTGGCCTTGAAATTCCGGTTGGAAAAACCTTTGGACAAGACCCTTTACACGCTTCAGCCAATATTGATAAGAGGGCTTGGGCTTTGAAAAACGCGTCATGTCTTTTTCCATGACTTGGAGACAAATCATGGATCTACTTCAATTGTTCTTGTTCTTCTTTGGCCTGTCCAGAGTTTTCCTTGTATTCCTCTTTAGGCCGATTACATGATCTTTACAAATTAGAATCTCAGATATACAATATGGTTTGACAAATTGAGCCACTAGTAAGAGACCTATAATTAAATCCAGTGGTAATGAATCATACCTCTATTATACCTTAATGCTAAATATCTCTCGACCAGAGGCAACAATATTATAAACATCACTAGCTCTGTTATCAGACCTTCTGAGCTGGTAACTATACATAATTTGTCATGACTTGTGGATATATAACTGGTTCCAGATTGACACCAGTATTAATAAACTTAAATATTATACGTTGTTGTTTTCAAAGACTCTAGCCCGGTCCCGTAAACCTAAATAATCATAGATACGGCACATTAAGCTGTATACATTATTGTTCTTCTGCTATTTTTCACCGTATGAGTTGATTGCCAATAAAAACACTAAGCTTTTGATTTTGAAGAATCAGATTTCATATGCAACTTGTTTTAAGTAAGGGTTAACTCAGTTAAACAACAGGCATGATTCAAACCAGAATAGTTTTGCGGAAAAATAATATAGTTGATGAAGTAAAAACTGATAATTAATCAAAACCTAACGCAATAGCTGGAACAACAAAGCATCTCTGTCCACAGGTTGGGGAAAATAAATATTTCAATAACGGTTTCCTTGATGTCAGATTTGCTCCAAGAGTCACACATCATAATATAAAGTTAGCATATGCCATACACAGAGAATCATTGTACTTCAACTGGACAAATGTCAAGCCAAAAAGAAGGGGAAATCATCAAACGGTGTACATCCACAACCTTATTCCTGAAAGTTAAGTAGAAACTAAAGTATGAGCTAACCAAAACTGATAGAACTATTTGTTCTAAGCTATGTTTAAATTCAAACGGAGCAATCTTTTTAAATCTAAAGTTAGATCGCGCATCTAGTTAATTCAGCTTGTTCAAATTAAAATGTTTATCAATGTCAAGGTTCAACTCAACAGCTCAAAACCAATGACACGAAATATTCAGCAGACTGACAAAAGAGCTTTTAATTATCTGCAATTCAATATGAAACACACTTTGGGATTTTGATAACCATGAACTAGCAATGATGGTTTCTTCTCAAGATAACCACGACATACTAATGATTGATTGAAAGACAGCAGCAGCTTTTGGAACTTGAACTGAAGCATGATAAATGCAATGTTTTGCTACTTACATTAACAATTCTGCAACGATTTTCCAACAGCAAGACCATCGCCTCAAAACCTTGCCTATTCTAGCCTGGTTCCATTTTAGGAAACTGAAGCGCTATTCCACAAAAAAAAATTTAAGCGATGAGTACCACAAAACACAAAACCACAAAGTGTAGCTTGAACACAAAAGCAAGAAAAGCCATATATTTATGAATAATTTTAAATTTATGGCTCGCAGAATGTCTTCAGCTATACCTCAGTTCCAAACAGAAATACTACCTGTCTCTAAGTCAGCCATCTACTTTGATCAAAATGACAAACTAACAATATCAGATTCATCAACAAAATCCAACCTAGAGAAAGCTGCAAAGATACTAGGTTCTTCTGACCAAGTTGTTGCTTTTCCAACAGAAACCGTTTATGGACTAGGAGGCTCCTCTTTCAATGATGAATCAATCAAGAACATCTACAAGGCCAAGAATAGACCAGCAGATAACCCATTAATCACACATATATCCTCCAAATCTCAAATCAAATCATTTTTCAATATAGATATACCAGAGATTTACTTACCTTTGATTGAGAAATTTTGGCCAGGGCCTTTGACTATCTTACTACCAATTGATCAATCCAATACAAGATTATCCAAATTAACAACTGCTAATCAACCAACTTTTGCTGTTAGATTACCATCTCACCCAATTGCCAGAGCATTAATTCATTTAAGCCAAGTCCCTATAGCAGCACCATCTGCAAATGCTTCAACTAGACCAAGTCCCACAATGGCATCACATGTCTTTCATGATTTAAATGGAAAGATTCCTTTGATTTTGGATGGTGGTCCATCGAATGTTGGTGTGGAATCAACAGTAGTGGATGGGTTAAGTGATCCACCAATGCTATTAAGACCCGGTGGTGTTAGTCTAGAAGAGATCGTTAGAGTTGGTGGCCAAAAATGGGCAAACATAAGAGTGGCTAAAAGGGTTGCTGATGAAAATGAACCTGTAAAGACTCCTGGAATGAAATATAAACATTATTCACCCACTGCTAAAGTTATTCTTGTTGAAAGTGATGAATCTAAGATTGGTAAATTCATTGAACATAATGGATTACAACAAAAAAAAATGGCATTTTTAACATGTCAATCTTTCAAAGGTGAAGATTTTAATGGTATTGTTGAAAACTTGGGTAAAGAAAAGGAGGAAATCTCTGCAAATCTATTCAACTACTTGAGAAATATAGATGAAATGGGTGTTGATTTGATTTTTGTGGAAACCGTTGATGAAAAAGATGAAGGTTTAGCAATTATGAATAGACTAAAGAAGGCCGCATCTGAAACAATATAATCTACACGAAGCTTTTTATAGATTAGTAATTATTAATGACATTTTCTTAATTTAGTTCTTTGATCTTGCGATCTCTTCCTATACACAGGTATAGTGATAGTAACTTTTTTTCCCTCCTATACCTCTGATCAATTTGTCTGAATATAGTTCCTGTCGTTCTCTTTCTATATCTAGACAACAGAATAGACATCACGACGTTGTCTTCTAATATATTTCTTACCTTCATCAAATAAGAAAACCGAACTTGATAAAAGGGTTAAAAATACCAAATCACTAAAGTATAAAGCTTCAGTTTGGAAAATTGATTGGAAAAATGGAATGTAAATTGCACATAATTGACCCAATAACGATCCTAAAACAGCAAAATTAAACATTTGATTCTTAAATCCTAACTCAAAAATAGATTTGGTAGCATGACGACAACTTAATGCGTTAAACATATCAAATAAGACAAAACATGTGAATGTCATTGTTGTATCTCTTGCAGTAACTTGATTATCGTCATTCATCTCTTTGATATAAACGTAGATGGTACCAACAATCCCAAAAAATGCATTTGACAACAATCTTTTGAAAAGTTCTTCAGTTAAGATTCTAGCATTTCTCTTTCTTGGTGGTTTATTCATAACTTCATGATCAACAGGTTCAACACCAAGTGATTGTGCAGGTGGACCATCCATTAAAATATTGATCCATAGAATTTGCATTGCATTTAATGGGTTTGGTAATTTGAAAAAAGTTGAGATGGCAATTAATGATAACGCAGCAACACTTGTTGACAATTGGAAAGTTAAGAAATTTTGAATATTATTGAAAATACCCTTCCCTTCTTCAATGGCATTTAAAATCGTACTGAAATCATCATTTGTTAGAACCATATCAGAAGCCTCCTTAGCAACATCTGTACCCATTTTACCCATACTAATACCAATATCTGCTAGTTTTAGTGCAGGTGCATCATTAACACCATCCCCAGTCATTGCAACAACATCACCTCTTCTTTGTAATGCTCTAACAATTTGCACTTTTTGCTCTGGTGTAGTTCTTGCAAAAACAGAAACCGATGAAATGATTTGTGAAAGAGTTTCTTCATCAAGAGTTTCCAATTTTTCACCATTGATAACTGACTTTTCTGGATTTCCAACATTCATACCAATTTCTTTTGCGATTTGAACAGCTGTAGTTTCACTATCACCTGTAATCATAATGACATGAACACCACCATGGATCAATTTTGCAATAGCATTCTTTACACTAGGTCTTGGTGGATCTTTCATACCAATTAAACCATCGAAAACTAAGCCTGATGGCTCATCTTCAAAACCCTTGTTAACATGACCAAATGCTAACACTCTAAGACCTTTCAATGCTAGTTTGTGTGCAGCCTCGTGTATCTTAGTATGCAATTCTTCGGTTAATTTTTCCACTTTTTTATCTTTTGTTAAATAATGGGTTGATCTTGTTAAAATACGTTCAGTAGCACCTTTTGCATAAGTTTCAGTCTTTGAAATATCACCAGTATGTGCACTAATGGCCATGAACTTTCTTGATGATGAAAATGGTAGCTCATGTGTTCTTGATCTACTACTTCTGATATCTTCTAACTCAAATTGTGATAGGACTTCTAGTAATGCAATATCAGTTGGGTTACCAACAAACTTGGCAGCTTCTTGTGAATATTTGGCATTGTTACAAATGTTTGCAGTTTCTAAAGTTTGCTTAACATCATCAGTCAAATATTGTCTTAACGATTGTCCCTTGGAAACATCTTTATCAACAGTTAAACTTTCAGAATTCATATCAACAGTCCAAATTTTCTTTACAGTCATGTGATTTTGCGTTAAAGTACCTGTTTTATCACTGCAGATAACATTAACTGAACCCAAAGTTTCAACACTTGGCAATCTCCGAACAATAGCCTTATGACGAGCCATTCTCAAAACACCTAGTGCTAATGTTACCGTAACAATGATTGGCAACCCTTCTGGAATGGCAGCAACAGCTAATGAAACAGAGACTTGAAACATTTCTAGCCATGAGCGACCTTGGATTATTCCAATCAAGCAAATAATACCAATGACAATAAAACTGACAATGGATAAATCTTTACCTAACTTATCCATAGTATTCTGAAGAGGGGTTTTTGGTTTCTCTATATCATTCATCATTTCAAACACAGCACCAAATGCTGTATTATGCCCAGTACCAACAACAACACCTGAACCATGACCATCACGAACTAAAGTACCCATATATGCGATACAATTACGTTCAGTTAATGGGATACCAGCCCCTTTAGGAACAGCAGGAGAAGTGTCACAAAAAGCTCAAGTTGCCCGTTCAGATTTGACATGAAAAAAGAAAAAGGAGAGAATTCGCGAACCGATAAAATCGCGACCGATAGGTCAAAAAAAAAATCGAGTCGACAGTTTCTGAAAGAAAAAAGGGCTTCATCGTGTCCTTCTGGATTTATTCATCAGGAAAAGAGCTTAGCGCCTTGAACATAGAGCTCAAAGCGTTTTGGGAATTTGTTTCAAGTGATAAACTTTCGTAAAGTGAGGCAATCACCCGTTTCCATTTTGAAATCTCAAGAGCTTGTGCTTTTTATCTGTTGTTTATTTTGCTCCTCTTAAACTTGTGTTTTCCTGATTCAATTGCTGAAATAACTATTTTATCGGAGTCAACGTCATCAAAATAGGGTGTTCCAAAAGTACTGAAAAACTTAGAAAGTTTGAATTGCTATTTACTTTGATTCAAAAAACCCACAAATAAAAAATTGTCTATCAGATCATTGAATTTAAATTTGGATCTTTATCTTTGAAAGGTTGATCTTTAAAGATGTCCTCAAAAAAAACATCAGATAATCCATATGATATCGAATTGAACGGAGGTAGTAGGCCACTCACACCATCTCAAGATACTTCTCCGTCATATGAATACTGTACTCTATCCATAGAGCAAACAGTGTCACAACTAAGATCTGATTTAAGTACTGGTTTAACGTCAGTCCAGGATGTTACTCAAAGAAGGGGTTTACACGGATTAAATGAATTGAATGGTGATGAAGAAGAAAATTTGGCTATAAAATTTCTCCAGACTTTTTACCAAGATCCACTTATATTGTTGCTTATAGGTAGTGCAGCTATTAGTTTTTTCATGGGTAATATTGATGATTCAGTTAGTATTACATTGGCCATTGTAATTGTTGTCACAGTTGGATTTGTTCAAGAATATAGATCAGAACAGTCATTACAAGCTTTGAATAAATTAGTCCCAGCTGAAGCTCATTTGATTAGAAATGGTTCAACTCAAGATGTCCTTGCTGCTCAATTAGTTCCAGGTGACTTAGTCCATTTTGATATTGGTGATAGAATTCCAGCCGATATAAGGTTGACAGAGGCTATTCATTTAACTATTGATGAAAGTAATTTAACTGGGGAAACAGATCCTGTTCACAAAGGCTATGTACTACAATAAACATTATTTACATACTTTTATTGATTATGCTAGCTTAAAATACAGTGCTTTATTATGAAAGGTTGAAGGTTGATTTTGTTGTTGTTGTTGTTGTCGTTGTTATCATGCTTATTTTGGCTCCACGTTGTAACGCATACGGATACCCATTGCTGCTAGTTCTGAGTCCAAGTATTTCAAAACAAATGGAATTGCAACAGTAGTTGTATTGTTACCACCAACAAATTTGTTACCTTGGCCATCTTCCCATATATTTGATTCATCAACGTATGAGGTGGAACTGTGCTCAAATTTGGATGAACAGTTACGACAACGTATACTTGCAGCAGCACCAATTCTTGGAACTGAAGTTTGTGTAGCCAATAATGAACCACAGCCACGACAGATTGAAGTTTGTGTATAGTCTGATGAATTCAATAAACGATCTTGTAGTAAGAATGCAGTACCATGACCAATCAAAGCATCACGTTCCATTTCACCAACACGAATACCACCAGATCTTTTACGACCTTTAACAGGTTGCATAGTTAGTGAATTGACTGGACCAGTTGAACGAACTTGGAACTTATCGTTAACCATATGACGCAATCTTTGATAGTAAACAACACCAATATATATATCACATCTCAATTCTTCACCAGTAGCACCAGAATACATTGGTTCATTACCATGGTAGTTATAGCCAGCTTTTCTCAATTGTTCACCAAAGTAATCAGCTGGGGTATCAGATTCACTAAAAGTCCATGGTGTAGAATCATGTGCAATACCATGAAGAGCACCAGCTTTACCAGCAAGAGATTCAACAAACATACCAATTGTCATACGAGATGGGAAAGCATGAGGATTAATAATAACATCTGGTTGGATACCAGTTTCACTAAATGGTAAATCAATAGCTGGCCATTTTCTTGAACACACACCTTTTTGACCATGTCTAGATGAAAATTTATCACCAATCAATGGGGAACGTGTAATTCTGTATTTGATTGTCAATTGTTGGAATTCTGAATCACCATTATCATCACCTAATAGTTTAACTTCTTCAATATAAGCACCTTCTGATGAATGAAAAGTCTTCACTTTAGTCTTACCAAGGGTTTCATCATAAAATGCAACAATTGGATCACCTTCCTCTACTCTAGCTCCAATCATTGGTAACCCATCAGTATCTAAGAAGTTTCTCCATTCTTTTGGCCATTCATCTTGTCCGAAACCAAAATGTTGTGTAATTGGATCACCACGACGTCTTGATTGTGATAAATCAACTTTTTCAACTTTATAAACAGTACCATAACCAAAACCTCTTTCATCTGCAGATTTGTTGATAATCATCGCATCATCCATATCATAACCGGTATAAGAAATGACTGCAACGACTGCATTAGTACCATTAGGGAAATTATCCATACCGTAATCATCATAAAGGTTAGCTTTAACAATTGGTGTTTGACCTGACTGTAATCTGTATAATTTGTTATCAGATCTATGCACTAGTGCAACACCTGGAGTACCCATAGTTTGTTTACCCATTTGACATTGATACATATTTCTTGGGGATTGGTTGAAATCTGAAAATGGAGTTAAATTAGCCAAGATTGACAAAATATTAGTTGGAGTGAATTCAACATGACTATGGACATTGTTTGTAATTTCTTCTGGTGTAACTGCGATATCCATATAGACTTGTTCAAATGGACCAACAATGTCTTGTTTATCTAATGGTAAATAACGAACTGGACGCATCATTCTTGAATGACCACCAAATATAAATAAACCTGGATATTGACCTTTAGAAGATGGTGGAACATAACCAATTTCTAAATCCAATGGTAATCCATGAGTACCTTCAATCTTCCAGAATCTTAAAGTATCAGCAACAATCTTGGCTTGTTCATGAGTAGTCCAACCAATGATATTACCATCTAATTGAACACAACAAACTTTTGGACCAGCAGCGAAAACATGAGCTGGTGAAACACCTAGTGCACTTAAAGCTTCTGGAACTTTGGAAACATCTGAGGCTTGTGTTGAAATTGAACATTTATGAGCAAAATGGTTTAATAAACCACAAGGAGAACCATCAGGTGTATGGACAGGACATAAGAAACCCCAAGATTCTGGTAATAACTTTCTAACTGTAGTAGTTTTCAATTGAGCAAAGAAAGAACCTCTATGCACCATTCTGAAATGAGAAATGAAACGATAGAAATTAATTTTTTCAGCAACAACAGTATAACCTGAAACTTGTTGTAAATCTAAACCAGATTGAGAAACCAAATTACCTGTTGATAAGAAATATTGTAATTTTTGACCAATATTTTCATTAATTCTCATGAACACTCTTGACATATATTTACGATCATTAAAATTGATTGCAATTCCACGATTTATATCTGATTGGATTTGTAATCTTATGTTATTCAAGTATTCTTCAATTTTTTCCTTGATAATCATACCATACAAGAACCCACCTAATAAAACTTCTTGATGTTGAGTAGCATCTGGATTGTCTGGTGCACAGTCACCAGCAACTAAAGTGTATAATTTTCTAATCATAAATAATAACATTCTAAATTTATCTCTATTACTCTCCAAATGGACCAAAACAATTCTTTTCAAAACTTCTTTACCAACATCGACATCTGAAACATCTGGTGTAGCATTGAAGACAACTCTAAACTTATCACCTAAATAAGACAATGTTTGTTGATTTGAATGCAGGTTATAATTTTTAAAAGATCTTAATAACAATTCTAAACGATCAGTCAAGAAAGAATCTGATAAGTCTGAACCAACAATACCATCGAAAATCTCACGATCATTAGTTTCCACTAAAGCTTTTAAAACCATCATAACAGGGACTAAATATTCATTCTTCTTCCAAGAGAATCTAAAAGTGACATTACCATCATTTAAATAATGCAAGACATTTGTTTGAGAAGTTTGATCTGGTCTAACAGATCTTATTTGGATACCAAATTGAGAATATGATGCACCTCTATTTGTGAATGAAGGTCTAATGATGGCCATTGGATGATTACGACGTTGAACAATCAACATACGAATCAATTTTTCAATACCATTGACAATGAAATAACCACCTAGCTCATCAGATTCCTCTTTTTGGTTAACTAAGTCTTGTGGTGATAATTTCTCTAAATGACATCTATTTGATTTCAACATGATTGGAATTTGACCAGCATCTCTAATTTCAGAAACTTCTTCTTCATCATTGACACTCCATGAAACTTTTAATAATAATTTACCTCTATATGAAACCATTCTTTCACGAGCTTCAGATGGCCAAGTTCTTCTATCTAAAGATAGTTTATCACTATTTGGAACTGAAGGTCTTGCAACTTGAACAGAATCAACTCTAATCTTCAACTTGTTTCCTAATCTATCAACGTCATTACTATCAAAGATAGTCTTAGTACCAATGTCTTTGGCACCCAAGTTTAATAACCCGCCATCTGGGCCTTCAGTCAAGGCATTAAATGAACCAACATGAGGTTTAACAGCTTCTTCTAATAAAGGATAAGCAGATTTATCCTTTGGAGGGTTCTTAAAACGGGCTTCACGTTCAAGGGTTCTGAACTGTGCAGTTCTGAATTGAGCACCCATATTTGGACTTTATTCCTTATGATCTAAATGATATGGGATGAGGTTATTTTACCCTTGAATAGTTAATTTATGTATGTAATTGATTGATTTTTTTCCTACTTAAAATTTTTTTTATTTTTCCTGCAAAGAAAAAAAAAAAAAGAAACTTATGTAATCTTTGACGGATTTCGCGATGAGCTAGTTTACCCGGTGTTGATTTTACATGAATTTTGAGGTGTGGAGATGAATTGAGAGTTTGAAGAGTAGTTCTATCAAAAAGAGAATATCTAATTAGCCTAATAATTAGATGACATGATTGATTAATGCTTGTTCTCAGCTCTTTTAACCCAAATCCAAATTCCAATTTTGAAGCTCTTCTGTTTTTTTCGGTTTCGGGCCACTACTCTCAAATTTTTTTATAGTGTGGAATCATAATAAAAGCATTCAATATTTTGCAGAAACACCAGTCAACCCAACTTCCCTTACTTCAAGATGGCCAAATCAAGATTTGAATATGTCAAAGAATTTGAAAAAGATAATTTCCTTCTCCAAGAATGTTTCATAGTGATACGAATTGATGGTCGAGGATTCCATAAATTTTCAGAAGATTATAAATTTATTAAACCAAATGATATTAGAGCATTAAAATTATCGAATGCAGCTGCATTGAATGTTAAAAGATCAATCAGTGATGTTTTTCTAGCGTTTGGAGAATCAGATGAGTATTCATTTGTGTTGAAACCTGAAACAACATTGTTTAATAGACGTGAAAGTAAATTGGTTTCCACATTTGCAAGTACATTTACAGCACATTATATTCAACTATGGCCGAAGTTTTTCCCAGATGTTGAATTGAAAATCAAAAATTTACCTACATTTGATTGTAGGGCGGTTGTTTATCCTAATTTAAAAGTTCTAAAAGATTATGTTAGTTGGAGGTTTGTTGATACGCATATTAATAATTTATACAATACAAGTTTTTGGACATTAGTGATAAAAGGTGGGTTAAGTACAACAGATGCAGAGAAAAGATTAATGGGGACAAGCTCAGCTGAGAAGAATGAGATATTGTTTAAAGAATTTGGAATCAATTATAATAATGAACCGGAAATTTTTAAAAAAGGATCATTAATTTTCAAAGATGAAATTTTACACATTGATGTTTATAAACGTCTTGATGAATTTTTTAAAGATTATGAATGATCAAAAATTATTCATTTTTGAATGTTTTTGAAAAAATTCTCCACGTCATCTTTACCCACAATTTTACCATCTTGAGCAAAAGGGGCCAGGAAGTCTTTTAATTTAGTTTTAATGTCTTGGAAAGCTTGAACACCTTGAATTGCTTGTTCTCTTGGTAATGAATTGATAGCTTTTGCACCAAGGTCATAAATTGAGGAATTGTCATCATCTTCAGGATCAATTTCATCATCATTAGGAGGTTCATAAATAGGATCATCATTCATCAAAAATTGGAATTCATCAAGGATTTTTTTAATTGTAGTATCATTTGTTGTATTGTATAGAGTTTTAAAATTCTCTTCATAATTGGTTTTCAAGAAAATTGAATAATCATAATCAATTTTTCTTTTTTTGAAAAAAGTTCCATCTTGATTTTGTAAAATTATTGAATTACGTTCTTGTAAATTTTCACTTGGAATTCTTTGAACAGTAGTTACCACAATATCATTATTTTGTTTAATTTTATCAAAGAAATCTTTAAATTTATTAATACATTTCCAACAAATATAACAATCAAAATCATCCAAATTTGGGAATCCGTCCAATACAGGCTCACCGTTTTCTTCCTCTTGTTGATCATTTTTCATCAGTTCCTCTTTCTTGTCCTCTTCATTCTTGATATTTTGAGTAGCTGCATCAATTTCAGGCTCACCTAATTGATCCAATTTATTAACACCATGATCTTTTTGCTTTGGAGGTTCATAATGAGTTAATCCCATTATACAATAATCATGAAACCAATCTTCTTGACAAGTTTCACCAAAGATACATTGTAACATATTTGATTTTTCTTCAATTGGGTTATATAATTGTTTACAATCACAAAAATGACCTTTAAAATTTTGATTATAAGAATTTGAAGAAGATGGTATATCATCAAAAATTTTTGATCTTAAATAACAAGGATGATTCATTTTTGTAGTACCACAATCACAAGTGAAATTTCTTTTTGTGAATAGTTCAACTAATTCATGATCAGAATGACATTGAATTGAACAAGAATAACAAATTCCTGAAGTTTGACCAGTTTTGGCAAGACAAGTTAAACATGCATAAATTTGTTGACGAATTGCCCCCATTGAATAAGTACATTGATTTGGATCATAGGGCATCAATTCTTTAGCTTCCCTTTCCAGTTCAAGTTGAGAGGAGATGTAATCTTGAGCAGTTATTGAATCAGAACTTGGATTAGAATCTAGTTCTGGTTTGATATTGGATTGTTGATTTGAATCAACATCAGTTGTGTTCTTTGTTTGATCTTGTTTGGTCTCTTTGGATCCTTGATTAAGTTCCTTCTTTACTTCATCGGAGGCCATATTGAATATAGATGAAAGAAATCACAAGGAAATAAGTGTATAACTCCTCGTTCACTTTTATTGACACTTTTCATCAATGAGTAGGACGCGTTTATACTTCAAAGTTCAAGTTCGCGAAAGTTTCCATTCTGTGTGTCCCCTGTTCAATCCAGGTGAAAGTTCAGGTGAAGTTCCAGGTGAAGCAGGTGGTTTCTTCAAGCACACGTGACATCACCTAGCATTCCTCTTTGGGCAACTCAGCGGTAGCCACTCGCTCACGAGAAGAGCATAGGAAAGTTGATAAAGAAGCCAAAGTGACACATTTGTGACACATAGAATAGTGCTATTAATACTCTGATATCTTATATCCATTACTCTCCAATACTCTCAATCAACCGTTGAACATCTGCTAATCCCTTCACTCGCAACCGTTTCAACAGTCACAGCTTCAGGATGGTTTTGCCCTGTTCAGAAAGTGCAAACAGCCTAGTGTGTCCCCTACCAGGATACCCTTACTATAAATCCACTCCAAATCTAGGAAAAGCTCTATAAAACCATCTCCAATACCCTTATAATCAATCAATACACCCTCTACTTAAATTAAACAGGTTTAACCCATCTAAACTCACTTTATCCCCCTTCCAATTCCAACTCCCTGTGCCGGTGATTTCAAGCGAGCAACTCCGGAGGAAAAATTTTCCCTTTGAATTATTAATCATCGAAGAAAAAAAGCGTTGGTGTATTTGAAATAAAACGTTTCCAACATCCAAAACATCAACAAGGACTCGTTATTAGCTGGTTCTTACAAGTGGTTTGAAGATACTCTGACTGATTGATTGATTGATTGATTGACTCAATAGCTGCTATTTGAAAGAAGTCCCCCAGATCTGACAATACCCCTTATTTTGAGCAGATCATTATGTCCTACAACAATAACAACAACAACTTGGATTATATATCCAAACTAAACTTGGAAAGTATAAACAACTATCAATTCTCAACTGATAGCAATGATCTAGCCTCTTTTACAGACTCTAGTTTCTTTGATTTTGATAAATTCCCCGTTGATGGTACTCATGATGATGACTTGAAACTTAACTATCAACAACAATTTCAACAACAAATCCAAGATCCAGAACAATTTAATGATTTATTAAGCTTTGATGGGTTTAAACAAGAACCAACAAATGATGATGATGTTTTCAAACAACCTTCTTTACCTGTTCAATCATCTTCATTAAGCACTGTCACAAGTCCGGCTCAAACAATACAGCAATCTCCATCATCATCTCCAAATACAAGTTTACATAGTGAAGTTGATAAGAAAAAGAGAAATACTGCAGCTTCTGCAAGATTTAGAATAAAGAAGAAGTTAAAAGAACAAGAAATGGAGAGAACTTTGAAAAATCTAAATGAAAAAGTTTCTTTATATAATGCAAGAATTCATAAATTAGAAATGGAGAATAAATGTTTGAAATCACTAATCATTGAGAAAAATGAACAAAAATCAAATGATTTGTTGAAACAAATTAAAGAAAGATCAATAGTTAGAAGTGATTGAGATCATAACTGTTGTTTATACCAAAAAAAAGTGTTTCAATTCTAAGCAAATTTGAACTTTTTGAAAAGTTTCTATCTGCTTCTATATATATTTATTTGAATTTTTTAATTTTAGGGGTAATGAGTTTATGTGGTTTACAAAAAAAAATATACAATGTTTCATAATATCCATTCATGTATTCAATTAAATAATTAATTATCCCAGCCTAAAGCTTCTCTTTGAGATTTAGAATTTGGATCGAAAACTGGAGGTGTTGATAAACTTGTAACTCTATGAGCATGACGAACTGGTCCTTCCCATTGATCATTATAATCTGAAATTGCAACATGTTGACTAATTCTATTATCCCAAATAACTGAAACTCCTTCATCTTCTTTAACTGGTTGCCAATGAACTCTAACTTGAATATCTAAATTTTTAGCATAAACTTCATTCAAATATTTTAAAACTAAATCACTCTCTTCTTTTTCCAAATCTTTAATACGAACAACATGTGCAGGATTAACAAATAATGATTTCCAACCTGTAACTGGATGTGTAACAACTAATGGATGTTCCCTCTCAATATGTTTTGGTCCACTTAAGATATCATCACGTTCATAATAAACATGTGCACTTTTATGAATGGCAACTTTACCTTCTAGGAATTTTTGGAATGAAGGTGATAATTTATCAAATGCTCCATATCCACTAATAAATCCAGTATCACCACCAGTTTCAGATGTAGAATCTAAATGTAAATGTGTAATACCTGCTGGACTAAATTCATGGTCTAAATCAGTATGCCATCCAGCAAATGCACCACGTTGAAATTTAATTAATGGGCCACCTCTGTTAAATTTATTCCAAACAACTGTGATACCTTTTTTAGCTTGTCCTGTTAATGGATGTTCTTCAACTTCTCCATAATATTCACCAATTTCTAATTGTTTTTGTGGTGAAAGATCTTGCTTTCTGAAAACAACAACAACTCTTTCAGCAATTAATAAAGCCAATTCATCCAATTGTTGTTCATTTAAATCACTCAATTGTAATCCAACAATTTCCGTACCAATATATTTAGTTAAATTGACAACTTCAGTTGCAGCACCAAATAATGCCTTTTTCTCAGGATCAGCATTTAATCCACGTTCAATATAATTTGGATTTGGACGATTTCTAATCTTGTAAGCTTCATCTAGGAAAATTGGAATATGATCAGGGCGACGTGGATAACCTTTTGATAAATCAATACCATATTTTTCTAATCTTTTACGTGATAAAGCTGGTAATTCCTTAGCAAAATCTTGATATCCTTCTTGAACACCATTTGGATTTTTCAATTCAATTTGAATTGATTGTAATGATAAATCTTTTGTCTTTTGAGATAATTGGCTAATTGTTGTCATTTTGAAATGATGATGAACTTGAAAGATCAAATATCAAATCAAGTTCCATCATCATCTTTTTATACCTTTAGTAATTATATATCTCCTTTAATTCCTATTGCTCCATAGTTCTAACCATTTGTCATCTGATTCAAAATGTTAAAATGCCACACTTCACAATAGATTGGAGAAACTTGGAAAAGCCATAATTTGGAATGGATTTATTTCCAGATAGAGTAATTCAACCATCAGCAACATGAACGTATGATATACTACCAAGAACAATCAGCTCATAATCAACTTTTTCTATGATTAATCGTTTGATCGTATCTTACAATAGAACGGATTGAAAGACTCGAGTTTATTTTGTTGAAACTGTGGACCTCAGAAAAAGTAGTGGTCAAATCATTTTCTCAACGTTAAAATTGATCAAAAAGCTTGAAATCAGTTAACATTATGAGCTTATGATTTGATTAAGAAGATATAGATATTTTGAGGTTTTGTTTTGTATTCTACTACAATATTCATCATGATTCAAAACTAATGTACATTATTAACAGATTTTAACTTCAAGCTTCAACTTCTTCTTTAGCTTCAGGTTCAGCTGTGACTTCTTCCGTAGTAACTTCTGGAGTAGTTTCAGCAACATCTTCAATTGGTTTATTTGGACCTGTTGGACCTTGTTTATATTCTTGTTGAGCAGAAGTTTCAACATTGAAGACTCTATACAACACTTCAAATGTTTCCTTCTTGGACAACATCAAATTAACACATTTTGAACCAACCCAAATTGGATAAAATAATTCTTCATGTTCTTCATTAATATCTCTTTTAATTTGAATAAAAGCACAACCTTGACTTAGGGTTTTAACTTTATTAGTGAATTCATCATCAATATGAAGTTCTTGTAATTCATCAAATTTTGGGAATGCTTCTTTTAATAATTTTTCAAATAATTCTAATGAACATTTCAAGACACGAGAATCACTTAAATGTTGTTTAATAATTGGTAATGCTTCACTTTGAATTCTCCATTTACATTCTAAATCAGTTCTTTGAGAAACAAATATTTTAACACCAGAATGAATGATTTTCAATTTTTCCTCGTTTGCTAATAAATACTGTTTAGCAATTGGATGTGATAAATAAATAATTCTTGATGGTTCACCAGTGGCATTTCTAACAAAACAATTATCTGTGACAATTGAATTATTTTCATCAAATCCATAGAATTTCCAACATTTACTTAATTCTTCTTGATCTTTAGCCAAGAAATTGAAAGGTTCTGCACTATCATGATTTGAAGTATTTGATAATTTTTCCTTTTTAGTTGTGGTAGATTCAACTGGTTGTTCAATTTTAGCCTTCTTTTTAGATGGTTCTTCAGTTTCTTGTTCACCTTGTTTTTCTAAAACGGTAATAAAGAACCCACCAGTATTTTGTTGATGAGGATAAACTCTAATACAATCTTCTAAATTAAAATCTTCATCTTCAGTTGGTGGGAAAAATGATTGTTCAACAGATTCATCACCTCTTTCCTTTACTTGAAAATCTTTACCATAAACTTTCCAAGTTTTAACACCATTTGATGAGATTAAACCTGGTAATTCAGTCTTGATAACTTTAATATCTTTATTTTTTCTTAAAGCTTGAGCAATAACAGCTTCATTTTCAATTGGATTAATTGAACAAGTGGAATAAACTAATCTACCACCTTTGGCTAATAAATCAATACCTCTTTGTAAAATTCTATATTGTAATAAATGTAATCCAATACCATCACCAATTGACCATTTATTCCAAATTTGAGCATTTTTTCTAATAGTACCATCACCTGAACATGGAACATCACACAAGATTCTATCAAATTTCATAAATTCACCATTTAATTTAGTCTTTGGGAAAAATTGAGCATCATGATTAACAACTAATAAATTTGGGGAATTTAATCTTTTAATTTGATGAATCAACATATGAGCTCTTTTAAAATCAGAATCATTTGCAACAACAAACCCAGTAGGATCATCAACAGAATGTAAAGATTCAATTAATTGAGCAGTCTTGGAACCTGGTGCAGCACACATATCTAAAACTTTATGATGAGGTTCAACTTTTAAAACTAATGGAGGAATCATTGAAACTGCTTCTTGTCTACTAATGTTACCAACTTCAGTTTCAATAACTAAAAATCTTTGAGTCTTAGCAAATTGTTCATTTTTACGAATAACTTGCTTTGGAACATCAATTTGCCATGCTAATTCATTTGGATACCAAGGTAATGGTTGTGGAGTTTTCAAAGGCTCACCTTCAAATTCAACACCATCTAAATATTGTAAATGTCTTTCTTTGAAAATGTTTAAAATCTCCTTGGCATGAGCTTTGGACCCGGTGATTCTAAAAGTTAAAGGTAATTGATTTTGACAATGCTGTTTAAACTTGGTAAAATCTTCATCATTTAATAAATTTTGAGATCTGTAATAAGTTTCCCATTTTTCATTCTCCTTTTGAATTTCTTCCCATCCGTTTTTTTGTTCAGCTGGGTCTCTAGAGCCGTTTTTACCCTTGTAGTTTCTACCTCTGAAGTTTCTTTTACCCATTTTTACTAGCTTGTTGTTTGATCTTGAGATATCGTATACAAAATTGATGATGATAATACTCAAAAAAATTTTCGAGCTATCTAAATTTTTTTTTCTAGCCCATCGCCTGGTTGGCGCACTCGAAACAATATGAATATTACACTTAATTGCAAAGAAATGGGTTATTTTTGTAAAGAAATGCTATTCAAAAGTATGATAATCGTTATTATTTGATCATCATTCATACCTCTGCTTTTTTTGCTTAATTTATCTCTCAAATCGACCCTTTTTTGCTGATGTTTCTGTCGAATATGCCAATGCCAAACTGGCCCAACCACGGATAAAGTCCAACATTGTGATCAGGTGCCAAAAAGCTGGAGTATAAAAGAATCCGGATAGCTCGAGTATAAATTATTAGCAAGTATAAAAGAGTAACTTCAAATCCAATTATCTCAAATTAAAATGTCAGGACAAACGTACTTCATCACTGGAACCAATCGTGGTATTGGGTTAGAGCTAGTCAAACAACTATTACAAGACCCTTCAAATCATGTCATTGCAACATTGCGTCGTGTTGATGATATTCCTGAGTCAACCGTTACAAAGAACCCCAAATTAACAATTCTAAGATTGGATTATAATATGGATGACCCAGAAACCCAATATAATGCTCTATCACAGGAATTGGCAGCATTGGATGTTGGGATTGATGTCTTTATTGCTAATGCTGCTAAAAACGATGCAACTACAAATGTATTGGATTCTTCAATTGAACAATATTTGAATTTTTTCAGAATAAACACTTTAGGTCCAGTTCAAACTTTCAAAATTTTGAAACCTTTCATGTTAAAGAAGAAAACAAGAAAAGTTGTATTCACTTCAAGTATTTTAGGCTCAATTGGTGGGTTCCCTGATTTCTTATCAAAACATTATCCTTGTGCTCCATATAGTTTATCAAAAGCCGGATTAAATTTATTGGGTAAAGAATTGAGTTTTGAATTAGCAAATGAAGGTTTCATTGTTATCAATTATCACCCTGGATTGATCAACACCGGTAAAAAAGATGAGTTCCCAAATGATGATTATAATGCCCTTAAACAGGATTTCAAACCTGATCAAACAATATTGGATTTTGTTGTCAAGAACACTCTTAGTGTCCAGGAAGGTGTATCCAGAGAATTGAAAATTATCAAGGGATTAACAGCTAGTGATAATGGGAAATTCCTTGCACATGATGGAAGTGAAGTGGAATATTGAATTTTATCATGATGATGACGATTCTGAATCTGAATCTGATGATACATCTTTTTGTTTCTTTTGTCTTTTATTTTCGTTATTCTCAAAGTTATGAGTTCTCTTCCATTCATTGCGTTCTGCAATCTTTTTTGATGTTTGTGATGAAGCACCATCACCATTTGCGAACTCAGCATACATTTGAGCTGAAGTTTCACCAATAAATTCATCCATCCAATGTTCAACTAATAAACCCATTGTTATTAAAGACGTTTCCTCGAATATTCTTGCCTTTTCTGGATATTTATTACTGATGTAGTAGTGTAAAACTTTCAATAGATCAGAATCTGGAAGTTGAAATTTATCATCTCTCAATTTAACAGGAACCCTAGCTAATCCACCAACTCTTTCTGCAATCTCTTCATCAGCCGATCTCTTTACTATACGATCACCATCACAACAATCGAATACATCAATTTCTTTCCTCTGGCTCATCTTCTTATTAATTTTTTCTCTGTTGAAGAAAAAAAAAACTACAAAGAACCAAAAAAAATATGGTTTAATTAACTAATCTGACACAACCATTTTTTAGCCAGAGAAGTGCCATCCTGATCGCCTTCTCACGGGTAACTGTGCTGTGCTGGATTTCTCCCCTTCAGCGGTGCAGTTAGCCATTACCTGAGCCAAACTGGGCCAGACTACTCGTGGCCAGCGGGCCCAAAATTCCGCGAAAATCGAACCAGGACACTGTCATCTGAATTAAAACAGCAAATGCCAAATTAAAAGAACGCTAACAATCCCACTAAAATGCCACTACAGCAATCAAAATTGGATTTTTGAACCACCGAGAGGTGCAGTGGCCAAATCACGTGAGTTGCCCTCGAAATTTACTGTATTAAGTAATTTTTGGCCTCGAAATATAGACTTCAAATCTGAGTAAAATGAATGAAATCAATTAGAAACTGGAAAAGAGATAATCGGACGTGCCAATGAAGTGTTGGTATGATTCTGTATCTCACTACCTACAAGCATCTCTATTTTGCGTAAGTTTAAAGGAGGTTGTGACGATTTATTGTTGAATACAACCCTGGTTCTTGCATTATCATCTCAGTCCAAGGAAACGTTTGTAATACAATGATAATTGAACAACTCATACACACACACATACTACAATCCATCATAAATCACCATTAGATCGTAACTTATTATACAATACACACCTAATCACTTGTATCATCTTCCAGCAATTGGTTTACCAGAGTTGGCTAAAGCTTCTAAAAACACACAAATTGTTAGTATCTAAGGCCTCAAATGATAAAGCAAATATACATACCTCTTCTAGCGGCATCCTGTAGCAAGTTGGTATCAACATCATTTTTACTTATGTAGACATATCTAACAGTAGACCCTCTTAAAAATATACTCTTGACTGATGAAAGATGTGGAAATTTTAATTCATTAGTTGTGGAAACATTATCTAGTTTTAAGTTGAAGTATTGATCTGCTGTTTTCAATGTACCTTTTAATTCAATCCCGTTTTTAAGCTAGTTTAATGAATGATTAGTATACTTTGAATGGAGTTATTTATTTCTTGTGTTTCTATTCAACTTACTTCAACGGTAACCTTTGGATGATGTTAGTACCATAGTCCCATAAAAACACCTAACATAATGTATACTCACTTCACGGTCAACCAATGTCTTAAAAAAAGAAAGGAAAAGCATCTTGAATAGTATTGGATTATAAGATTTTGTGAATAACTTATCGTTAACCAAAGTGTTGATGTTGATTTTCATCCTCAGTTTTTTTTAAAAGCAAAATTCGCGCATCGAAAGAATTCAAGTACAGAGCCCAAAATTTGACGAAAACACTTTTCATTCTAATTTATTTACAAGTATATACAGTGATTCAAATACCTTGTCTGTTTTTCTTTTCACATCGTTAAATTTCATTTAGCTAGCTTAGAAGCTTCACTCAAGATCTTTGATCCACCTTCTTTAGCTTTCTTCAATTGCTGAACATATAAGCCAGATATTAAAACTCTCATATTTGTTCTTGGTTTTCTTAAGTTAGCTGCAAATATCAATGCAGAAGTTAATAATGCTAAAGCACCAGCTTGATGAGCAGAAGCTAATGGGATTGGAACAAGATAAATTAAAGTGGAGATACCTAATGCAACTTGTAATGAAACAACACCCATGACTCCATGTAATGATTTATTTGCAGCTTTTGGAACAATGAATTTGTTTCTTGAAGCATATAAATGAGTAGCCAAAATTGCAAAAAAAGTTGTTGTTGCTAATATTCTATGGTTTAATTGCACAGTTGTTGGATTTTCCAACATGTTTCTCCAAAATTTATCAGATTTATCATCTTTTCTTGCATAATTATCATCAAATAATTCTCTTTTTGATGGTACTATATCATCACCCATATGAGGAAATGTATTATAAATCAAACCAGCATCTAATCCCGCAACTAATCCACCAGACATGGCAGTGATAAAAGTTAATCCAACCAAAAATAATGAAATTCCTCTTAATGGTTTTAATGCAGGATTATCCAATTTTTGGAAAACTTCTAAAGCAGCTTTTGGATCTTTTGTCCATTTTGCCTCTCTTAATATTTCCAACCCAGTCCAAAACATACCCATATATAACATGAAAGCAGCACCAAGATGTGTAGTTAATCTATATTGTGACACTGTTGGTTTTGATTTTCTTTCTTTTAAATTTTCCTCATCAAGACCAGATTTAACCATCCACCAACCGATGAAACCTTGTAAACCTAATAGTGCAACCAATCCAACTAATCTTCCATTAACCCTTGGTGATGTTTTTCTTGAAAATGCAAAATAAGCAGCAGGTAGTAACATTACAACACCAATAGCTCTTCCCCATAATCTATGAGCCCATTCCATGAAAAAGATGAATTGAAACTCTTCTAATGTGATATGAGAATTCAATTGTTTAAATTCTGGAGATTCTTTATATTTAGCAAATTCTTCTTCCCATTCTTGATGGTTTAAAGGTGGAATAGTACCTGTAACTGGTTTCCATTCAGTAATTGATAACCCAGATTCTGTTAAACGAGTTAAACCACCCAAGACAACAATACCGAAAACAAGACCAGATGTACCAATCAACCAATACCCAACATATTTGGAGGTATTCAATAAACTTCTTTTAGGTTTGAACCCTTCTTTTTGTTGAAGTTGTTCAGTTATTGATTCTGCCTTAGATCCAATATTTATACTGGATGCATCTGAAGCTGTTATGGTTGATTTATTTGTGGAAGATGTAGTTATTGACCGAGTAGAGTTTCTTTGGATTTTGTTACTTGATGATATTGGGAATGATTTCTTGGTGGAGATTAATGATAATGGTGATTTTTTAGATTGTGTCGTTATTCCTGAACCTGAAGGTATGATAAAATTGGAGATACATGAAGCTCTAGCTGTTTTCAAAACAGAAGCGTTTTTCATAAAGAAAAACTGAGATCTGGATAGAGCAGCAGACATCTTCACTTTCAAATGAGAGAATAATCTTCAGTGTCAAAGACCTGGATGTGTAGTAAACGATTTCTATATATAAGGTGATGATGGTGGTTTGATTTTCAATCCCGAATTTTTTATTGGGTTTTGAAAAAAAAAATCAGAAATTTTTTGGCGGTGGAAAGCGACACAAGATGTAACCGATCAGAATCGAATGGAGGCCTCTACAAAATTGTGCCAAAACATATTAAATTCATTATTTCATTTACCAAATTCGTTTAGAAAACATTCTATAGCGACTGACTTTATTCAGGTTTCCATGTGTTTTGCTTTCTTTCCGTTGTCTGATTTCATTAAGACTTGGTGACATTGTTTCATGAGGATCATAAAGAAGTTTTCTTGAGGTGCTATCAACTGCACCCATGCCACCCGATACTAAACCTGGAACATAATCTGTTTCTGTATCCGGTTCCTTCTGTTGCTGCAACGCAACTTTCTTCATCCTTAGGTTAGACCATTTGATCAAGATCAGCTCTAATAAAAGTTTGAAAAGCAATAGTGTAATGTATGACAAGATCAATATAATCAAATTTGTGAAAATCAATTGACTAGACCATGACGAACCTTTTGTTGGATCGAATAAGAACCAAGACAATGAATGTTTGGACATCACAACAAAAAGAACAAATAATGCAGGTAGTGGGAGCCCTATTCTATGTTGAATTTTATCATCATTATTATTCGAAACACGAATTTTAAAATTATCAATCACATCAGAAGATAAAACATTCAAATAGTTGCCATATATCTTGGGTCTAATCTTGTTAAATTTTGTGACATAAGAATGTTTAACCCAGTCCACAATCAATTCACTTCCTATAACAATTGCAGTAGGACCGAAAATTATACCTAATGCCTTATTCCAACTTGCAAATGAAGAATTTGGTATTAATCCAACAGTTTCAGAATCATTACCAATTTGGACCAAATTTCTTAAGCTTATAATTGACAGCATTGTTAATAATTGGAACCTTTCAACAACATCTGCACAACTCATTTGGAATAAACCTTCACGATCAATTTTCTTGAAAACAGAACCTTTGATCTCGGCAAATTGATTCGATAACAATAAAGTCAATAAGGAATTTGAGTATGAGTTTGCTGCCACATTTAGTGAAATGGTTTGGTAGATCAAGACAACAGTGTGGATAGTTAGGTAAATAACACTTAAACCATAAAATAGGATAAATTGTGATATTGAGCCCACGTCTGTCAATACCACATTGTTATAACTGAATAAAACATTTAATAAATCTTGACCAACAGTTGCTAATAATTTGTCACTGATCTCAAAAACACCAAACATTACATATAATTTGATTGAAGATTGTGCTCTAATTGTGTGATAAATTTTTGAGGTATCCACATTACTGAAAATCATAGCCAATATTAACAATGAAGCGAATAGTAAATTTTTCAAATTGATTATACTCAAATAGTCTCTTCTTCTCTCACCTTCGTTATTGGTATTGATGATGAATTGGTTTCTAAACTTCATTATCAGCACGGATATATCAATAACGATCTTTAATGGCAAGATAACCAGCATCTTTAAGAATGAATTCAAGCATGACAAGAGTCCAAACACCATAAAGTTCTCCAAGTAGAACGGTAGCTTAATCATATTCATAATCTGTTCCAGCGACTCCATTGAACTAATCAGAGTAGAACCAACATGTCTTTCTGGATCATCATCTTCCCGTGTCTTGAGTTTTTGGTCTCGTATGTCTATTCCTAGCTCTTTGAGCAGCAACTTGTAGAGGTTGTACGAGGTGCTGTGGCTGTTGCCTGAGACTATGCTCAGCGTCCTGCTCCTGCCTCTTTTGCTTCCACTTTTCATGGGCGTGAGCTTTGTCATGGTTGAAGGTGCTGGGTATTAAATTGTAATATGGTTTTTGTTTTGGTTTTTGGTTTTTCCTCTGTTTTGAAAAAAATTGATATCAACATGATGAGATTTCATCTCGCTACAATGTCATCCTCAAGCTATCCAACAATGCAAATCACCACTATAGACTCGTTCAAGCCAATACTGCTCAACTACAGCCACCCAGACACATTGACCCCTTCAGAGGCTAGCAGACTGTCGTTGGCCCTCGTGGAGGTGCTATCAGAAGATGTGTGTGATAAGTTCTTTCTCAAGTTCATCTCCAGATTCTTGACAAAGGATTCGTATAGCGAGATACTGCAAGAGAGAAACATCAATAAAGTATGTGCTTATCCCATGTGCTGTGAATCTCCAGGAAGAATAAAGGACCATTATTCGAAAAGTTTCCAAAAATCTAAAATGCTACCATATGCCTATTTGAATTTATACTGTTCCAAGACACATTATCAATGTTCTGAATTTTACAAGACTCAATTATCTGATGAAGCTGTATTTGCAAGAAAAGATATCACTGTGAAACCATATGGCTCAATGAAATACGAAGTCAATATAACTCTATTGGATGAAGTTTATGAAAAGTATAATCAAAGACATGATAATTCACAATCAATAATGGAGATCATCAAAAATCTTGATAGTATGTCTATAAATGATACCAAACAAAGTAAAGATGAAATGATGGATAGTATGAATCAAATGTTACAAGATATTAAGATTGTGGAGAAAGAGGCATCTTCTCCTCCAGTACCACCAACAGGTGAAGATAATGATGATGATCAAATTGATCAAGATCAGGAGGATCCAGATAGGAAATATGAATATTTACAAGATCAATCAAAAGCTATAAATGGATATGTTTTACAAATATGATAGTGCTAATTTGAATGCATTCTTTATGTACAAGTTTTCTATAAATTCAATATCTTCTTTTACCAAGACCATGTCTTTGTACAATTTCTGGTAATGTTTCACTTCCTAATAAATCATCATGAGCTGTGACACCATTAGCATCAGCCAATATTTTAGCAAATCGTTCCTTCCGCTCCAGATGTACCATATTTGCCTTTGCTTGTTGCTGAATCAGTTCATCTTTCATTTCATTGTTAGCATACTGTTTGTGACCTTCAAACACATATTGATTGGCCTTTCTTTGTTGATCAAGTGCATCAGTAATAAATTCTCTCCAATCAAAACACTCATACTTTGGATCTATCTTTTTCATCAAATGTTCCCATCTTGTTTCCATTTCACAATAAAATAGATTTTCTTTAGCTTTTAATTCCATGTTTGTAAGTTGAATTACTGATATTTTTTGATTTAAAAGCTTCCCACTTGTTCTTCTATCTACTGGCCCCATTGTTCTCAAATAAGGTACCCCCATATACTCTGCTTTTTTGACTCGATAGGGCCCTTTGGCAAGTTTTTGTTCTTCAATCTTGATATCTGTTTTAGCTCTTTTGAATAAAGCTTCAGGTTTGATAATATGTTCCAAAATTTCTGGATCAATAACTTTAGGCATTAATCCATAACGTCTAGAATACTTGATATGAGCATTAACATATGAACCTTCCCTTTGTTTCTCTAATGGCTGTAATGGATCACCTTTGGGTTTCCTTGGTGGGTATTTTTTCAATAAAAGTTCTGTTCTTCTAGCTTTAACCAATTCTCGATGAGTTGGAGGTAGTTCTGCATCTAGTAGCTCCTGTACCAACTTTTGTTCAGGGTTTTTGTAAAATTCCCGGAGACTTTGCTCCATTTCATGACCTTCTTCCAGAAACTTCCTCACATTGACACCACTCTTACTGATTTTACCTTGTCTGAACTTGTACCGTATCTTGTGCATCAACTCCAGTCTGATTCTCTCATCTTGTCCTGGAAGGTGCCTAGCATGCCTGAGAAGAGCCTTATACAGTGAAAACACCTCTTCTCTGTGTCCTGGAAACTTCTTAAACAGCGTCACCATCACAGAACCACCATAAAATCTTGTTTTTTCTTAACAAAAGCTTTAGCCTATAGCTCATCTACAAATTTGATAGATTTTCCAGAAATGGGCTTTACACGACTTCACGAAACATTTTTGAAAAGATCCAAAAACACGTCTTTTAAAAGTCTGAATGAAACAGATCAAATTAAAAGCAAAATTGAATAAAAATGGTGAGTTCTATGCGTTCTATTCCGTCAGTATATTTGCTAACTTAGATATTAAAGTCTGACAGCGAAGATGATCTTGGACCACATGTTCTATTGAAAAGAAAGAAGCAAACATTCTTCCTATCATTAGATCGTACATCAGGTAAACATGTTGTAGAAAAACTACATTCAGTAATAAAATCAATTGGTGGTTTGGGTGAAGATGGAGGTGACAATGAAGCTCAAGATGATCAAGACATAGATATACCTGTCCCTAGTTTTGAAACTAATGATTCAGATGATGACGAGGATGAAAATAAAGTTAACAATGTCAAGAGTTCTAAAAACAAAATCATACCTGATATAGAAGATATTATACTCGGTGAGCCTAGAGATAGAAATGACCCTTATGGGTCAGGTTTTGTAAAAGTTAAAAATATGGAGAAAAGCTTGGGTTTACATAATTTTGCCATAATGGCATTCAGATTGAAAACTGATGAAGGTGATGATTTTGATGTTGTTGAACCAACTGATGCAGAGGAATGAATATATGGGAATATCTACATTTTGTTTTATTGTAGATTCATGTTTTATTATAATGGAAAAGACAATTTACAATTTTCAAAAAAATAGTTAACCCATTAAAACCGTTTTTTTTCTCTTCGTTAATAATTTACACAAAATTCATTCAACAAGCCAATAAAATTAACCATTAACCCATTATAATATAATATATAGACACACAATGAAAGAATCTAGTTAACTAAAGCAGAAGCAGTAGCAGATTCGTATTTCCAGTTTGGTGGTAAAACAGCAACAGTTCTGTAGTATCTAGCTAATCTGTGAATTCTTGATTCAATCAAAATTAATCTAAATTTAGAATCTTTATCTTTTCTGTTTCTTTCTAAATGTTTTCTAACTGAAACAGCTTTTTTAATTAAAAAGTATAAATCTTCTGGGATTTCTGGAGCTAAACCGTTTGATTTCAAAATTCTTAAAATTTTGTTACCAGTGACAACACGAGCTTGAGTAACACCGTGAGCATCTCTTAACAAGACACCAATTTGGGATGGAGTTAAACCTTTTCTGGCGTATTTGATGATTTGTTCAACAACAGCATCTGAAGAAAGTTTGAACCAAGCTGGAGCATTTCTTGAGTATGGAAGAGCTGATGAGGAAATACCTTTACCCTAAAGAAAACTTGTTAGTAAAAATGATTCTTAAAAAAAAAGTTATCGCTCAATCAAATGTTTCCAAATGAGAGCTTAGAAGAAATCTTAACGATGGATACAATAGTTGAATGTCATTATTGTGATCAAAAGCCACTCAAACAATTTACAACTTGTATCTCATCACATTTCTGTAAAAACTGGTATCAAGCAGCCATGAGTTCAAAATCTTTATTGATATTCCCAAGAATCTCTCTTGAAATAAAATGAATTATCCCAATCCCACTTTTAATCACAAAAGTTAGACTGAATAGAATAAACATTTGAAAGAAATATCAGATAATGAAAACCCAAAACCACATTGACCCGAATTCATTACGTTTCAAGCTAAATAGCAAACAAAGGCTATTTTGGATATCTTCAATGAGTTGACACTCTATCTCATATCACATACTTTACTGTGTAATCTACCCATTTTGTTTGATGTTCTTGATGATGATGATTATAATAGTATTAACGTACAAGAATTGAAATTAATTTTTCAACTTATTCGAAACGATCGCGCACCAAAATTTTTTTTTCCAGTGACCGGTTTGAGGATGCACAAAAAAAAATGATTTTTGGTGTTTGGATGTGAGACCTATGTTTGATCACATGACCTAATTCCACTACTAGAGTAGCCCTAATAATGGGAATTTCAAAAGTAGTTGTAGTAAACAACAAAACAAAACAGCATTCTATTCACTGTTATACAATCATTTATAAAGGAGTTAAGATCTATAGCACTTTCTCTTCAATATCTTCGAAATCTTCTTCATCATCAATTTCGATGAGTCTATGACAATCTGTTAGTACATAATTTCATAATACCAAAGTGATTTCACGCTTGATGAGTACACCTAATACTTACTTTGAAACGCCAGCTTTTTCTCTAATTAGTTCTAATGCTGCAGCATATAACATCCGTAGTGATTGTGTAGAAGTTGGTGGTAACCAGTAAACCAACACCAAAGGTGATGATTTACGACCATCTTTTAATGTGATTGGGTATGAAAGAACAACATATCTAGGGCTGTTATCTGGTAATTCCTCCACTAGTTCTTCGATGGAGGTAATTGGACTTTCAGCACTTTCATCTAATTTGATTTCATATGTGGTTTTATCTATTTGATCTGTGAATGGAGTTGATGTTAGTATCAGGGGTTGTTGTTCATTGCTATCATCGCACACATTCCAGGTAGCTCGTCAGCATGGGTTCGATAGACAAATCACTCCCAATCCTTTGAGCTTATTTTGTACCAAGAATCAGCCAAACTTACATATCAATGCTTGAACATCATCACTTCTTGCACTTCCAAATCTAAATTTGCGAAGTTTTTGGAGAGTCTCTTCAGAGAATGAGTATAATGCATTAGACTGGTAACAATGTTAGTAATTTAGTTGAGTAGCATATATATTATCTTGTATACACACCATTTTTATTATTTCCTTGTGTATCTAATTGGTCAATTGGAGATGTTGATGTAATTAATTGTCTTTGACAACAATTGTTTTTGTCCAGCTCTCTGGCGTATTATCTCGAAATATCGCGAATTCGCTCTTATCGGCACGTGCTGTTTTGACAGACAGTTTGAATTAGAAGTAATTATTAATTTTTACTAGAGTTTCAACAGGATAAAAGTGGTATTATCTACATATTTTGATTGTATAAAGTGTTATTATTAAGTTTATAGCTTAAAATTAACAAAAATTGAAGAAAAAAAAATCTGAATTTTTTATCTTTTGAAGATTTTAAAGTTAAATTAAAAATTGGGAGATAGACAAAATTATAATTTTACTAGAATTAATTGTAATTAATCAATATCCATTTCATTGTCGTTATAATAACTAAATTGTAAGATATACAACTAATTGGTTAATAAAGTTCAATAAATTTAAGTTCAAAAAATAATATTTCAGCTTGATTTTATACGTCGTGGACAGCGCCCATAATATTAATTGTTATACTATATATATAATTAATTAATATAATTACCTGATGTTAAATATCATGCCAAAATATTAGTGAGTCGACAATTTTAAATGTGTTATAAATTAATTAATTCAGGCCATTTATATAGGTACTATCAGAATATATAATTTATAATTTAATACTAATAGGTATTCAATATGCAATCAATGCCGACGTAGACATAAATTTGTAGTCCTGATATTCATGATGATTTAGTGAAAGCAATCAAAGGACGTCTTTAATTCTGCAAGAACCTGTTAAAGAAGCTTACAATATCAATCATGACCATTTAGATTGTATTGAACTACACAGTTCATTTAGTTGGCCATCAAAATTCCACTTCAGTACCAATATTATTTTCAATAGATTCCTTCAAGATCTCAGTACCAACCGAAATATCCATAATACTCAAACCGACAATTTTAACTAATACCAAATTCCCTTTACCTGTTATTTGATCATTTTCAACGGTATCTAATTCTCCAATTTCTTTAACATCTGAAGTTGTAACACCAGCCTGGATTAGCTCACCAGCTTCTGCCAAAGTATGCTCATATGAATCCACCACAATTTTTCCATTCTTGAGTGCTTGTTGAACTGTTTCGTTATCAACTTCAGCCATATGAGGTTTATAACTTCCTATCAATGATATGAAAGTTTTGGAATCCTTGCTTAAATTATCAAATTTTATAGCAGGTTCAGTTGATGGCACACAGCCAAATATAACAGAAGATTTTGAAATATCAGCAAAACCTTGACCCAAAACTTCAAACCCAATGTTTTTGAATTCATTGGATAATGATTCTTTTAAGGAATTAGATTTCTCATTTATTGAACGAACTGCAATTTGAACCTTTTTGAAACTTTCAGGGAACAATATCAAGGTTAATCTAACATGCCAGTAAGCTTGAGGACCATTACCATACACTGTGATGGTTTGATCTCTTAATTTTCCATCAAAGAAGTTCACTAATGGGATAGTGGATGCCAAAGCTGTTCTGAAAGCTGTTAATGTAGTTGCATTCAAGACACCTAATAAATCACCATTGGTTTCATCTAGAATTGATACAGCACCCTTGAAACCTTCTTTTGATCCACCTAATGTCTTGATTCCTACTCTTTCAGCAAATGATGGCATGAATATATGAACAGCATCATTATCTTCCCTATTGATCACGATTCTTTCTGGAACCAATGTTGGATCTTTATGGTACTTCTCCAAAGCTTTTTTCAGGACATCTTGGAACTTCAAAACACCTTCTTTTGACAACGAAGTTAGTAAAGAGCTGATTTGTTGATCTGATATAACTCTCATTTGTACTATTCTTTGATGGTTTGTACCTTTATAATTAGTCTCGAGGATTTATTTTCAGCCTAAGCCCGGTTATTTGAGATTATTCCAAACTGCTTCCCCGGTAAAGTTTGGTGCTTGAATGAGTCACTTGATCTGCCTGGAAAAACCTTTCAGCTGAACTGTATCCAATTGATATATAAATGCTTCTGATTTTGCCGAAGGAGTTAACAGAAGCTTTCTGTATTTATTCTCTCCTCCGTCAATGGTCCTGAAACGGGTTGACTTTTGAAAAAAATCTGATATCTAATCAAAACAATACACCCAAGGATCCAATTAAAGATGTCCAAGCCATTGATCAAGCTAGAGAATGCCTTATTTAAAGGATTATCAGCAGCCAAAGGCTCACCAACAGTTTTCAAAAACCCAATTTCTCTAGAGATCAAACCTGAAGAGAGATGGGCAGTAATAGGAACTTTCAAGACACAATTGATGAAGGCATTGGCGTCTCAATATTTACCAGACCCCCCATTATCAAGAACATATCCCTTTTTAAACAAATCAGTATGGCCAAACACAGTCATCCAATTCTTGGAGTTCAAAGGAGCATTGCCAACAGCTCATTTAGCTGCAAGATATGAATTTTTCAAAGATGAGTTTGATGAAACTACAAGAAGATTTGTGGTTGGAAATGTTAACAACTCAAGAATTATAAATGAAGAGTTAGTTAAAGATGTCTTTAAGAAGCTGAAACTTGAAGGATTAGAAGATAGATGGGCTTTAGGGTTAAGTAATGGTCAAACAAGAAGAGCAAGACTAGCTAGAGCACTAGTGAGAGAACCAAAATTATTGATTGTTGATGATCCCTTTCTAGGGCTGGACCCCACTGCTAGCTCAGTTGTGAGTGATGTTTTAGGAAATATACCACCAAATCCTCATGTTGTTTTAGGTTTGAGATACCAGGATGTTGTTCCTGAGTGGATTACACATATTGCAGTTGTTGATGAGAATGGTTTAATAACAACGGGTGCTAAAAATGAAGTTGAAGAACACTTGGAGGAGCTCAAGGCTAAAGATGAAGAGCTGAAGAAAGAACAAATTGCATTAAATAATGAAAAAGTTGAAAATATTAAAAAGTTGTTTAGTTCTAAAAAAGTTGATTATAGTGTTCCATTATTTGAATTCAAAAACATATCTGTTGCATATCGTGGCCAGCCTGTTATAACAGATTTAAGCTGGAAAGTCTTACATGGTGAGAGATGGCATGTTAGAGGTGATAATGGTACTGGTAAATCAACTTTATTATCATTAATCACTGCAGAGCATCCTCAATCATGGAATTCAGCCATTGAAATGTACGGTGAGCCTCGCAGAACTGGGAAGCAAAACTTTTTCGATATCAATGCTGGTATTGGATTCACTTCACCTGAATTACATGCCATTTTCCCTCAAAGATTGACTGCATATGAAGCTATTGCAACTGGATTTGTTGTTGGTAGTTTTATTCCACCAAAAAACTTGACACAAGTAGAAATTGAAAGAATCAGTGCTTATTTCAAAGAGTTCAATTTGGAATCTAAAAAAGATACAAAGTTTCAAGATCTCAGCGTTAGTGATCAAAAACTAGTCTTGTTCATAAGAGCCATTATAAAGAATCCAGATTTGGTTATTTTGGATGAAGCTTTATCAGTTATGGATGATGCAAGAATTGAGCAATGTAAAGGGCTTTTAAGACATTATCCTGGTACAGTATTAGCCATTGGCCATTTAGAATCAGAAGTTCCAGATACTGATAGATATATTAGATTATTGGGTCCAGGTAAATATGAGATTGAACTCAAATGAAGATCTTGAAATGATCATATCATGTAGTAGCGTGAATCGAATTAACAATGCCAAACAATAGTTTATTGACTACTTTAAACACTTTATATTGTTGTAAGTACGCAGGCGCATGTGTCCGTAGCAGGGTAAACTGCTGTGGGAAAAAATTCGCGAATTGTTCGATTTTTGGTCGACGAGTGTGGTGACAATAAAGTGGAAACGTATTAACAAACGAACCAACTAGATCAGATAAGATCAGATCAGATCAATCCATTAATCTTCCAGGATGAAACTTTTCACCACACTTATTGCCTTTTTCATTCTAAGACTCGTCTCTGCTCAAGCTGCTGACTTGCATCCAGAAGAAAACGAAGGTGGTCATTACGTTGACACCAATGAACAATTACCTTTCAACTATCAAATTGGTTACAACATTGCTGGTAAACCTCAATCAGATGTTGTTGAATTTTTTAATGGTGAAGAAATCACCTTGAACTATACTTTCGTCAACAATGAAGATTTAGAAGTCAATGTTGTTGGTGTTGGTGGTAATTTTGCAAACCCAACCAATGGTCAAGTTCTTGCAAACATTTCAGATGCAAAGATCGGTCCAATTGCTATTCAACCAGGTGAAGCTAAAGTTTTCTCTCAAAGAATTGGTATCAATTTACCAGCTAACAACTACTTGTTAACTCCAGGTTTATACGTTGTTAGAGATTCTTCATTAGCTTTATTAGGTGCCAAAACTCAATTAGCCATTGTTTCAGAAGCACCAATTTCTTTATTCAGTCCTCAATTATTATTCTTAGAATTCTTATTAGTTGCTACTCTTGGTGTTGGTGTTTACTTTGTTTACACCAACTTTGGTGCTGCTTATTTCAACACTGTTGCTAAAACTGGTGCTCCAGCTACTAAAGAATCTAGTGAAAGACCAAAAATCACCACCACTGCTAGTGGTAGAAAAGTTGTTGATGAATCTTGGTTACCAGAAAACCATATCAAAAAAGTTAACAAGAGAAAAGCTAAATAAATCAAAGATTTTTTCAATCAAACTTAACTGAGAAGAGAACTCTCAAAAAAAAAGAGTGGATCATTGATTGATTCATTTTATTCACTCATCTACATTCAAATGTCTGTAATTTAATCCATGTTTTGAATTTTTCATCCATTGAAATTATGCGTTTAATTGTAAGTTGTCTAGTAGATCTTCTATCTGATCAAGTTCACTTTGATATTGAGTATACTCTGGCAAGGATTCCACAAGATCATTCTTTTCTCCCTCAAATAAACCTTCGAAATCAATTCTATGTCTTTTGCAAAGTTGTGTTAGTGCATGGTCACAAATGTAAAGCATTAATACTCACTTTTTCGCCAAATAAAATCTTATATCATCAATCAATTCTATGGTATCTGTCTCTTGACGCTCTTGAATTCTTTCAGAACTCTGTTTTTTGGTTGGTTAGTATACTAATACTATTTAAAACTTTTAATAACTCACTTCCAAGACAATACTTGAGAAATCTGGATCTTTCATAAACTTGTCTAAATCATTAGCAATCACTCTAGCAACATAATGCTCTAATCTATCAACTCTTGTTTCCCAACCAGCTCTCAAAATATCGAAAAGGTCATAACCTTCAGGTATTTTTTCGGACGTGGTTAATGTAACTGCAGCCATAGTTTTCAATCTTTCATTCAACAATAAATCACCAGCAAAGAGAACATCAATGGCATGTTCGAGTGGTATATCTGCATGGTCATAATATAAAAATTTGATAATAATCTCAGCCACGGCAGTTGATGAGACAGGTAAATGAATAATGGGTATTGTGACTGATCTATCGATTATATCATATTTTTCACTAACTTCATACACTTGGGATTCAGAAAATGAAGATGAAAACATCACTTTAAAATATTCATCCCGTATCAAAATTGAACGATGAACTGGGTAGTATGTTGTTTCCCCCAATTCCTCCACTGATAAGATGATGTCTGGATATGCATTTGAATTTTGAAATCTTTTGATTTGTTCTTCATTTATTTTATCGTTTGAGTCGATGGTGACCTTTTGACCAATGATCCCGTTTTCAACCAATTTTTTGAAATTATCTCTTGCACTTTCAAACATCCTCATTTGGAATTCATTCATCAGTTTTGCCTTTGCCTTTGAATCATTCCCAATTTCTATCAATTCCTCTATGATCTTAACAAATTGTGGAAGTTTAATTTTCTTACCATAGGCAAGTAAAAGTTTATTATCAACATTTTCAAATTTTTTGGGGTCATGATGAAGATAAATGTAATCCACAACAACAGAGAAGGCATCATAGTCAGATTGTTGAGTTAAAGACACCATTTCTTTATCTCTCCATGAATTTTCGAGTTTTTCACGGAAATATTCACTTCTTGAACTTAATAGAAACCTATGCAATTTCAACCTTGTATTTTCAATTTCAAACACTATATCTTCGGTCAGCAATGTGGAACCACCTAAGAGTGAACGTAAATGTGATGCAAATGGTAAATTGCTATAAACTGCTTTGGAAATATCATATGAGATCAACAAGTTCCTTATTCTATCGGTCAACGCTCCGTAAATACATCTTGCCCCTTCATATTTGTCAGTATCACAAATCGCACCTCTTTGCAACAACAGCCTAACAATTGGCTCATGTCCACATAGACTGGATAAGAACAATGGAGTGTAATCAAACTTGTCCACTTGATTGACCTAATTTTGGTTAACAAATCATGGATCTTATAAACGAAATTAAATCAATTATACCCACATTCACACCAGTGGAAAGCAGCTTATCCACACTTTCAATATCACCAAGCCTGCACGCCAACAACAAGTCGTTAAACACTTTATCGTCAGCCATCTTCTCGGTTCCTGAAGGCAATTTGGAGTTAATTGATTGGAAAGTTTCATAAAAGTGGCACAAATTTCCATCAAAGCTCAAAGATTAGATAAGCGATGTACCCAAAAATAAGCGTCAAAGAGCAAAAATCTCAAGGCTGTAACGTTTACCAAAACATTCAATTGGAACAAGTCTTTGAGATATAAAGTATAGAGAGAAAGACTATTAGGAAGAGATATAGAGTCCTCTCATTAGCAACAAGATGAAGATCTTCTTCAATTCCAGACCACGATCGTTTATTTTGGTTTCAAATGATTATGCCTTAACTTTACAATACATGTCATCAAATGAGCAATGCTTAATCCATTATACGCCTGTTTCAGCTACAGATTTTACAAATTATCAAGAAAGTACTACTCTTCATTACTATGGTCTTGCTGGTGTGCTACAAGTTAAGAATTATGTGTTTCTTTGTGTGATTACTGATCAATCACAAATTGGAAGTCCAAGACCATCAGAAGTTATTTATAAAGTACGAGATGTTGAGTTTTATTGTTTGAATTCTTCAGAGTTTGATAATTTAACAATGAATAGATATAATTCTGAATCTTCAAGAGAAAAATATGAAAACGAACATCCATGTTCCAAGATCAGAAAATTGTTAACATTAGGTTTTTATTATTCAAGAGATTTTGATATGACAAATAATCTTCAAGAAAGAAATTTAAACAGTGATTTACGAAATTTATTCACAAATTATGATAAGAAATATTTATGGAATTATTTCATGATTCAAGAGTTGTTAAATTTTAGAAATAGAATTCTAAGTTCAGAAAGATATTATTTAGATAGAAGTGAATTTTTAACTTTTTTAATTAGAGGTTTTGCCAAAACAGTGAATACCAAGATTGGGAATGATGATTCCTTGGTCACTGTTATTTCAAGGATATCATGTGCCAAATCCACTGGACCATTTGGTCTTACTGGTGTTGATGAAGATGGGTTTGCATCAAATTATATTGAATCTGAATTTTTATTATACAACAAGAATCATTTTCTTGCATACACTCAAATCAGAGGGAATGTTCCATTGTTTTTCGAAGTGGAAAATGCATTATTATCTAACAAGAAGGTTGTTTTCACTAAAAATGATGAAATGAATGAAGTTGCATTGGATAAACATATGGAATCAATGATGTTGAAACATGGGAACGTTTATGTTATAAATGCATTAAAGAATAAAACAAATGAAGAAGCTTTAAGTAATAAATATAAACAATTGGTTTCCAAGAGAGGAATCCCAATGTTCAATATTGATATTTCAAGAGATTCATTGAAAAATTCACCTCATAAGTTATCATATCAATTAAAAGATGCAATTTTGGAAATTGGTGCATTATGTTATGATATTAAGAAGAAAGTTTATGTGGGTAAACAATTGGGTATTTTCAGAATCAATACATTAAATTCAATTGAAAAACCAGGATTAATTGAAAAAGTTATAAGTCGAGATGTTATTGAATTATCATTAAAAGAGATTGGTAAAGTTGCATCAAATGATTTAATATTAAAACATGATTTAGTTTGGGATGAAAATAATGCAGCTTTATTAACAGTTTATGAAAAATCATCAAGAAGACATGGTAAAAAGGCATTTGAAGGTATTTCAAACACTTCAGTTACATTACATGATCCTATTCATGATTATATTTCAATGGAATTGGGGAAAAGAAGAGCTGAATATTCTTCAAATAGTGAAATTTCGATATTTACTGGTAGTTTCAATGTTAATGCAGAAATGTCTGAACAAGATATAAATTCATGGATTTTCCCCACAGATGAAAGTAATTGTGATATAGTTGTTATTGGAATTGAAGAAATTGTGGAATTAACTACAAGTAAAATGCTGGTTACAGATTTAACCAAGAGGGCATTTTGGGAAAATAAAATTAAAAAAACTTTAAACACTAGAGGGAAATATTCATTATTATGGTCAAGTCAATTAGGTGGGATTGTCTTGATATTATTTGTTAAAGAGGATAAATTGGGGAATATTAAAGAAATTGATGGGAATTTCAAAAAAACTGGATTTGGTGGTATGTCAGCAAATAAAGGTGGTGTTGCAGTTAGTTTTCTATATTCATCAACAAGATTTTGTTTTGTTGTTGCACATTTAGCTGCAGGATTAGAAAATGTTGAACAAAGACATAGTGATTATAAAACTATTGCTAAAAACATTAGGTTTGCACGGAATAGAGGTATAAAAGATCATGATGCAATAATTTGGATTGGTGATTTTAATTATAGAATATTATTATCAAATGAACAAGTTAAAGAAGCTATTTCACAAGGGAATTATAATTATTTATTAGAACATGATCAATTAAGTAATCAAATGATTGCAGGTGAATCATTCCCATATTTCAATGAAATGGAGATTAAATTCCCACCAACTTATAAATTTGATAAAGGTACTTCAACGTATGATACATCAGAAAAATTAAGAATTCCAGCATGGACAGATAGAATTTTGAGTAGAGGTTCAATTTTACAACAAGTATTATATGGTTCAGCACCAAATGTTACATTTTCAGATCATCGACCAGTTTATGGGATTTTCAAAGCTCAAGTTACAGTTATTGATGAAGAATTGAAAAATAAATTAACTAAAGAACTTTATGAAAAAAGGAAATTGGAAATTTCTAAAAATGGTGGGTTTTCATCAATATATGCATTCTCAAGTACAAATAACATAGGTAATAGTGCAGTCAATGTTAATGGATTAACTGGTGATAATAATAGTAATAATAACAACAACAGCAACAACAATAGTAATGTCAACAACAACAATAATGAACGTAAATTATCTTCAGGGCATGGATTACCACCACCTAGTTCAGATAAATCCAAATGGTGGATTGAAGGTGGTCAATCAGTTAAAGTTAATCTTGATAAAGGAGAGAACAATGTTGTTGTTAATCCAAATCGTCCAATAAACCCATTTGAACCAACATCTGAGCCTGATTTTATAAATATAGAATAGTTTATTGATCTTTTTCTTCTTTATTAGCTTGTTCGAATTTTTCCTCAATATCTTTTAATTCTTGTTGAACTCTTTGTAAATCTTGTGGATCCGCATTTATATTTTCAGCTTCTTTTATCAATTCATCCATTTTAGATTCGATATCATCGAGCATTTGTTCGATTTTTGTGGCTGTTTTTTCTCCTTCGTTTAGCTTCTTGTACGTATCTGCGAATTCAGCATCACTCATTGCCTTTTCTTGAGTCATTGTGGATTATGGGAGTTGGGTATTAAATGAACTCCTGCTTTAATTATAAAGATCATTCTTGATTTTTGGCCTTGAGCGTGCGCGTGTTCAAAAAATTGAAATTGAATTTTTGGAAGAAAAACGAATACGTGTAACATCAACATCAACATCATTTTAATAGTAATCCAACTAGGAAAATCATGCTTTATTTTAAAGGATTGATACTGTTGGTGATTGCCACTGTCTCGTTGGCTGTGTCAGTGCTGGACCCTGCAACATTGATCATCTATGACCCAAAATTGACCAATCTAGATGATTATTCTAAATTAATTGACAATTTGAAAAAACAATCATATAAATTAACAATTAAACAAATTGATGACGAATCAATTAAATTATATAAGAATGATGAAAAATTATATCAAAATGTTTTAATTTTCCCAACCAAGACAAGAACAATTGGCTCAGATATTACAGGTTTTAAACTATTAGAATTTTTCAATGATGGTGGTGATGTTTTCATAATTTCAAATCCAAATGGGTTAAGTGAATCAGTTCGTACTTTTATTAATCAATTGGGTATTTTCCCAAGTCCAAGAAACCATCAATTATTGGATCATTTTGTTTATGATGAAACAAAAGCTTTTGAAAGTCATGATGTTTTAAAATTAAATGAATCAAATATTGTTGATCAAGGTGCAATTATTAAAAACAAAGTTGACAGTTTCAATTATAAAGGTTCAAGTGCCCTTTTAGGTAATGGAAGATTATTAATCCCAGTGGTGCAAGCACCAACTACTTCATTTGTTAAAGATTTGAAAAATGATGATTTTGTTTTAGAAAATAGTTGGACAGTGGGGACTCAAGGTTATTTAGCAGTTGGATTCCAAGGTATGAATAATGCAAGAGCATTTTGGATTGGTGATGAAGATTTATTAAATGAAGATTTTGCTCAAGATTTTATTAAATGGACATTTCAAGAAACTGGAGTTTTAAAAGTAACATCTGTGGAACATTCACATTTAGATGGTAGATCATATGAGGAAACTCCATACAAGATTAAAGATGATGTTATTTACAAGATTGGTGTATCAGAATGGGATGGTTCAAAATGGGTTCCATTCATTACAGATGATTTACAAGTTGAAATTAAATTATTAGATCCATATCATAGATTAAATTTGAAACCAATTCTTACCCAAGGTGAATCAACAATTTATGGAGTTGAATTTAAATTACCAGATCATCATGGTGTTTTCTCATTCCATACAAATTATAGACGTTCAGGTAAAAGTTTTATTGATGAAAAAAACACATTAGCTATTCGTCATTTAGCAAATGATGAATATCCAAGAAGTTGGGATATTACGAATTCATGGGTTTATATTACTTCAGCAGTTGTTGTGTTCATTGCATGGGTTTTCTTTGTTGTTTTTTTCATTTATTCAACAGATGAGACTTTAGTTGAAGCTAAAAAGGAAAAATAGAGTGAGTTGAAAAAATATATATTTAAGTATTCAATGAAATGTAGTTACAATATTTAATGCAAATGGCGTTTATTGCTTTATGATCTTGATATGCTTCTCCTTTTTCCAATTTTCAAATTCTTCTATCACTTTTTTCAACTCTTGAGTTAATGATTGTACAGTTTTAGTTATGTTTGATAATTTTACATCCAATACAGGTATTGTTTCACCAACGTTTTTCTCTATTAAAGCCCCACCAACCATTCTAAAGCATTTTCTTTCGTTTGGGGTCTTGTTTAAAGTTTCCAATACGATTTTATGTTCTTCTTCATCAGTTTTCAATTGAGTAATCTTTGCATTGATTTCATTGATTGTTGATTGGTATTGGTTGTACTTTACTTGTAGGACTGTGTGGTGTTAGAGGGGAAGTCAGTGATGGTTAAGGATAGTTATACTCACCTTCAGTGTATTGCTGAGACATTGTTTGTGTTGATGATGTTTGGTACTATGCTCAAGTCAACGTTCTAGATGAAAAATCAACACTTTAAAAACAGAACACAACCGCGAATTGACACTACAAGTTGAATGGTGATAGAAATGGACTCCAGTGCCCAATGATGTTGATATTGTTAGTTATACATCACATGATCAGAACATCTAGGGCAAAAGCTGGGTGTTTGGTGATCAATTGCCACTGAGCTCAGAGTGACCTGGAGCAAGGGCAAGACCGTGTAATTCATCTGTGTTATAAGCTCAAATCATAAGTTAACTTCAGTTTGAATAAAAAATAGAAGACAACCAACTAGGAAAAGGGCTTCTAAATCACGAATTCATTGAGATCAACTCTGCCTTCGAATGGATCAAAGACTTTGCACTGGCTTATATACAGCAATTAGCCGCCCAATATCTGATCGGTGATGAGGTCATGGTTCTACAAATGTTAAACGATCAAAAGACCCTTTAAGAGCCAGGTATACATTAGTAATTGACTGTCTAGTAGGATCTCCATTGTAGGCTCATGATATTCACAGAGTGTAGCAGTTTAAGTACACTTCATATCGAAACCACCAGCAAATTGATGAAAAGCATATGTATGATGAAGTCCAAAGCAATGGAAAACGTGGTTTTATTAGAGTGAAAGATCAAAATTCCAACTTAATAGCCATAGGCAATCAAATGGCCATTGCAAACAAAATTAATATTGCAAGTCAATTCAGCAATCGAGTAATATGTCCTTGTGGCTTTAGAGATGGAAGAATAGAAAAAGAGAAAAGAATCTGGATAAACCTACTTTTATAGACAAGAAGTGATTAGCCGCCAACATGGATTCAACTTGTATTAAACATAAACATAAACCATAACATAATCAATCCCATCTCGCCTGTGTAACTTTGTAAGAGGCTGGCTTCTGGACAAGCCCATCGTCAACAACTTCAAACTCTTGCCACGAATGCTCAGCATACTCCACTATGTTATTCTGAATGAAGTTGATAGTCTCAATTTGACTAAAAGTCTCCCCTTTAGCAGTAGTGGTATTGATCTGGTCTTGCAACACTTTGATACGATCATTCAAGACATCCAATCTATAATTCATCCAATCTTTATAAAACTCATTATAACGAGTCCCTGCCAATTGACTAGGCTTAATAGTAGTTGCGGCACAGTTATCCTTCATTGGATCACTAGGTCTATAACTGCAAACCTGGGTGATTCTTTCACTATAATTCCCTCTAGGCTTTGGTGCAACATGCTTTAAAATCCTACCTTGCAAAACATTAGCCCATCCTCTTTTAGGATTCTCCACTTTAACAACTTTACCATCACCTCTAGTTAATGAAGTTTCACCTCCAATCATATCATCTGTTGGACTCATCATCAAGACACAAACAAATTGTGGTGAATCAAAATGCCATGACAAGATAGCTGGGATATCATTTGGATCTTCATATTCATCTTTTGTCTCATCCAAAATCTTTGTTTGATTATTTCTAATACTAATATTGGAATTGGCAATTTCATAATCAAACATATGTTCTAATTCAACACCAGCCATCTTACTTATAATTTCCATAGTTCTTGGATGATTCCATGCTTGATAAGTGAAAGGGGCATAATCTTTAACAAACCCTCTTAGGTACATATCTAAATCACCAGTATTGGAATGATCAGCAACTCTAGCACATTTTAAAAAAGTATCTTTTTGAAACATTTCCCATCTCATTATTAAAATAGCCTCTTCTGTAAATAATGGGAATGGATGACTAACACCAATTGGAGAAATTGGTGTTTGATGAGGATTTTCCACTCCTAATTCTTCCAAAGTGATTTTCTTGGTTGTTTGGAAATATTCATCAGTAAATTCAATATGTTTTGATGGTTCAAATTTAATTGATGATGGATCAATTATTCCAATTTTTTCCAATTCTTTTAATAAAGGTAAAACTTGTTCATCATAAACATCACTTGGAATATCGAATGAATGATTACCATGTAAAACATCTGGTGTTAAAGAAGATGGGAGCACTGCAACGGCCATTGTGATTATTAATTATATTACTCTGTTGAATGAATAGAAAGATGTAAAGGACATCATCATCTCCTTATATAATTTTCAATCATCAACTTTGCACACCCATAAAGATATCAAATTGCTACTCTTCCTGGTGAAATCAGTATTATCTCATTGACATTTTCCTTTCAACAACCCATGAAGCACGAAATAGCGAGTGTTCCTAGATCTCAATTATGTAATTGTAATTGTTCAACTTCTTCAAATGTGTTTTTTATCCCTTTTGGGATATCGGAGTTATCAAAACTTGTTTGATAAGATCTTTGACAGCTTCCTCATGGGTATGGAAATTGAAATACTATGTAATTCATAGATAATTTAAAGGTGTTTACTTGCTTTTTCTTTTGTGCTTTTGATTGACGAATTGATATTTCAACGTTATTATGACACATTTTAAACTTTTCAATTGCTACTGTATGTTCTTTGTTAGAAGTTGAAAGATTGAATAATGAGTGTTTTGGTTGAATAGCTTACATTTTAAATATGTTTCTTTGTGAAATAAACCAAATAGTGAATTCAATTTAACCTTCTATAGCTTGGTGTTATTCCTTTAGTGAGTTGTTCTGTCAATTGAAGCTTGAAATAATAATCTGGAAGAAAAGGCAATGAAGGTTTATCTGATCAACATCAAGACCAAGGCTTCTTTAAGCCTCCAAGAGATACAAATCCAGCTCTCTTCTTTTCTTTTTATTTGCCTACAGCAATATAATTGAAAGTACACATCTCATTCATATCCATCACACTTCCCAAAAAGAACGTAAAAACACACATAACTATCCAGCAGCTAAACCAATTATATCCCCAATTCAAGTCTCAATAGACTTCAAATAAGCTTGTCTATATTGATTATCATCAACAGGTCTTGGTAATGGGATCCATTTTGGTTCATCTTTAAACAATCTCAAAGCTTTTATAAAATTTTTATTTGATAAAGTAAATCTATGATAAATCCCAGGAGGTAAAATTAATAAATCATTTTGGAAAACTTTAATTCTTATCCATTTATCATCTTTGGATCTAACATCGAAAAATCCTTCACCATCAATAATATAACGAATTTCTTCATCTTCATGAATATGTTCTTTGAAAAAATTATCTAATTTTGATTTTAAAATTTCAGGAGTTTCAAAAGAAGTTGGACTTATTTCAATTTGATCTCTATTTTGATAATTTCTTTCATTGGCTAATTTATCAACTTTCTCTAAAGAATCTAGGTTATGATAAATTAATCCAAGTTTTAATAATTCTTGTTCAGAAACTGGTATACCTGAATCATGATCTTCACGATAATCAGTTATGGTATCATCATCATGATAAAAAGCCCTCATCTTGGAAACCCTGTTGAATAATTGAATATGGAGTGAATGAAATGAAATGTAATTGATTCAATTACAAATATTGTCATCCTCATGGGCTATTTTAAAAATTATGGCTTTTTTTTAAACCAAGTCACGTGCTGGGCTCTCAAGTCGCGAATATTTAATACATCTGGTTCTCTAATATGAATTGTATAATGCTATGCTATATAATGGAATATTTAAAAGATGAAAAACATGACTTAACCGTCCCTAATGATATGAATCCAGATCCCCTTGGTTTCCTCCTTGGCCGCTTTGCCCCTCTCTTCTCTCTATTTCAATGCAGTTGTTAAATATCTTGATATATATTCAAATGAAACTAAAGTAACAGCAGATGCAGGTACAGTTCTTGCTAAATTTGTTGTAAAACCTTGATAAAACCCAATTAATCCTTCTTTTTTATAAATATTTAATATTGTATTTATCAACCCTGTTTTAATTGATTTGTTTTTATTAAATGAAGATATTTGCATTCTTGTTCTTAAAATTTCATGAGGATAAGTTAAAGTTGATGCACACATCTTGGATAAAGAACTTGCAGTTATTAATCTAATTAAATTATTTGAATGGGTTTGTAATTCATCATTTGTTTGAGATTTAAAATTATCACATTTTAAAAATTTTTTCAATTTTTCATAAACTGGGAAATGTATAGCAACATGAAATAAACCAAATAATGATGGAATTAAACCTGAATAGAAAACTAAAAAACCTTCATTTTTATACATTTTTTTAAATGCATCAATTGTATTTTTATAATAATTTTTTTCCAAACTTTCTAATGATGATGAGGAGGTTGTTGTCATATTTGAAGTTGTGAATGAATTTTTACCATCTCCAGTTTGTAACATTAATCTTGTCTTGACAACCCAAATTGGATTTGTAATTGAAGTGGAAACTGAACCAGCAGTGAAAGCAGATAAGGAATGAACGAAAAATTCATTATGATTATTATGACCAAATTGATTTTGGAATATTTTTGGGTAATATAATTTCGCTTTTTCATAAACTGTGAAATAAATCATCCAAGTTGGGAAATATCCCATTATAATTGGTACAATACCTCTATATAAACCTTTTACACCTTCATCTTTTAAAATTGTATTTAATGTACCTGTAATACCATGATATTTTTTATTTGAAGATAATCCTTGAGCTTGTAATCTTGTTTTAGCAACATCTAATGGACAGACTGAAACACCTGCAATGAAACCAGCTAATGCACCACTTAATGCAATGATTTGAGTATCTGTGAAATTTGATCTTGTTGTTGATTTTCTAATGGGGTCAGGCGATGTGTTTAAAGGTGTCATTGTATCTATATCATCAATACTATATGAAACTTGATTTGAAGTGATATCTGTAGGTCCACCATTTGTTAAAACATTTGATTGTGATGTACTCATGGCATTCCATGAATATATTTGAGATGGTGAATGGGATATAAGGCAAGAGAAAAAAGATTGAAGTTTTGTGATCGTATACGAAAGGATATGAATTTATGGAATATGGAAATGGATAAGGTGGGAAATGTATTGGATTGATCAAGGTGGAAACAGATTTGTAATACTTTAGCTTACTTTTATTGATTTTAATCAACACTTTTTTTCAAAATTGTCAAAACTCCGTAAAAATACTTTGGTAAGGGGGCAACAGATTTTGTAAGGGTAACGCGCCCGATTTTCGGTTGTAGATGACCTTTTGGAGAAGCGAAATTAGGACTCCAGTGCGAAAATGGATCGATTGGGTAATCCATCTTGCGCAAAACTAATGGATTAAGTAAGTATTACCAGATTCGGTTTTGGCGAAATTGAAATTTGAAATTTGGCACTGCTTTATTTGGAAAGAGGTTTACGGTGAAGGATGGGTACTTGGATAAATTGGATGTGATTTTAACTTCGTTTCAGGGATGGTGGAGGTGTTTGTATGGTGTTGATTCTGCTCTAAAGGCTTTGGTCTTATTTGATTATGGACGGCCATGCAGTGCACTAGTATCAACGATGATTCAAGTGAAATCCGAAGCGAAGTTTAGCAAATGATGATTCAATAAGATCGTGCTTGCTGATTAGCAAAGCTTTTGTAATTAGCTTAACATTGTTAGGGTATTCTATTGACTTAATGTCCATCTTCTTAACCATATCTTAAAGCTTAACCAAATGTTACACCTGTTAATTAAGTGTTCATGTGACTTTAATCAAATCTGGGGTAGTGATCAGTCTAAAAGCCGAGTTTAGTGTAATCCTTCGCGAATGGGCTTAATTGTGCTGAATGTTTTAGATTAAACCCTGGAAAAGTTTAACATTAATCAACTCAAGAGTTTGATCTTGGATTTATATACGCTCTAGTTTTGGTGAGCACTCTGATTATAATTTATGAGACTGCCTCAATGGGAAGCCTTGGAGGGCAGCTGTACTGGAATATTTAACGAGCATGATCAACTTAGAGGAGTGTTCAAAAGCATAGGGCCATCACTTTATAGCCCATTGAATTACGTCTCTTTATAATAAAAGACCATGTCATGTTGGATATAGTAATATCTTATATCTTAAAAAAGCTCAATATGATGAACCTGGCAGCTGGCCGTAGTACTCTTAGTGCTAGCTATGGATATATTGGAGTAAAGCTGGCACTGCAGCTGGTTCATCACATTGTAAAACGACCTCATCTTATATAACATGTACAACTTATATATTCATGTCACCTTTGATCTACAATCAGACCAATAATGCAACTTTTTTCCCAACATCATGAATATTTATTATATTATTGATCAATGATACTATTAATACTCCATGGTACTAAATTTTTAAAAAAGATGAATAAGAAAACAGTACTGCTGCATAAAAAATCACTAGTTGTACACCAACTAGTTTTAAATAATAATAAACCCACAAACAATTAATAAAGTAATAATAATAATGAAAAAAGAAATGAAAATCAATAATAATAAATACGTACACCCACAAATTAATAAAATCTTTTTTTGTGTTTTTTTGCTTTTTTGCCAAAATCCTGGATAACCAACTTCATAACAATAATATAATAGTGAAAAATAATAGATAAAACAACAAGAAAGAACTGAAAAAATATAATAAATGAATAAATAAAGACCATAATCATCTGGTCAAGTAATAATAACAACCAACAACAAAACATACACATCTTCTTCCTCTTTTTCCCACTTCATTAATGAACAACACACATTCTCTTTTTTTTACATACCTTCTTTTTAATCATTTCAAATATAACATACATCCATATTCCTTCCAATGCAAAAACAAAACAACAAAACAAACCAACATCCATCATTCAGCCCTTTTATGCTCCTGCTTAATGATTTTGATTAAACTGATAACCAGCAGCATACCCAGCATTCGTAGCCGCCGCCGTAGCTGGAGGAGGAGGAGGAGGAACAACACCACCGCCATTGGATGTTGAATCATCATAACCAAACCATTTCCCAGAAAGCCCATTATTATTTGGATTATGCAACCCAATCATTGATGAGTTTGATTGTTGAGGTAGGATTTGTGGTTGTTGTAATGGTTGTTGAGGGAGTTGTTGTTGTTGAGGAGGTGGTTGTTGGAATTGAGGTTGTGGTAATGAACTGTTGTTAAACCCCATTGAGGATGGGATTGTGTTGTAGTTGACATCTTTTAATAATGGGGAGTAATCCTTTTGGGTGTATTGTAGATGAGGTGGTAATTGTTGTGAAGGTTGTTGATGTTGAGATTGGGGAGATGATGGAGAGATTGGTGAATGTTGAGTATGACGACGTTGAGGTGGTGGAGCTTGTTGTTGTTGTTGGATTTGTTGTTGTTGAGGGTATGATATTGATGGTGAATATCTTGGGTATTGATAAAACATTGGCATGTTTTGTAAATCAATAGGTTGTGGTTGAGCTTGTGGCGGAGGTTGTTGTTGCTGAGGTTGATCTTGTAATGGTACTGGTGGTGGTAATGAATAGTTATTTGAATTTGGATGAGGTAGAGGGATATTGAATTGTTGGTTTGATGATGAAGATGATTGATGATGATGTTGTTGATTATGTTGTTGATATTGAGGTTGTAAATGAATTGCTGGGTTAAAACCAAGGGCAATAGCATTTGGATTTGATTGATCCATAAAATAATAAGCTTCATCTTCAATTGGAATTTTCCCACCTAAAGAAGATTCTTTAACAGCATTCCATAATTCATTTGATAATTGGATTTTGGATAAATTTGAATTTGAATCACATGGACGTTGTAATTTCCCATTTAATACATCTTCAGCACTATAATAAGAAACCAAATGTATAGTTTCTTGGATTGGTTGAGAATTTATTGAATCTAATCTTGTCACTGTTAAACTTAGTGTTTTTTTAATTAATCCATATTCTTTAAAAGCATATGATGTGACTAATGAACCAACTAATGATCTATTTGGTATTGAAGTATTATTTGAACTTGAATTTGATTGTAATGGAGATTCATAATCATCATTTGATTTCTTTAATTTTTTTTATCTTTATCTTTATTATTTAAAGCTTGACGATCCAATTCTCTATAAACTAAGAATCTACCCAATATTCTTGAAGGACTCCAAGCAACACCATCAGTCCATCTTTTAATACCAGATCGTTCTTCAATAAAGACGAAAACGTTCCCACTTTGGATTAGACTGGAACGTTCTCTATCATGAGGTCTTCTTGGGACCGTGTATAGTTGATTATTTAAACAAGCTTGAATGATTAATAGGGCATCTTTTGTTGAACCAATATAACCAAAATAAGTTGGATTGATTTTTGAGCCAGACATGATGTTGCTACCCCGAGGATATGGGGGTGTATGGTGGTGGTTGGTGGTGGTAATGGGTGTTTGGCTATTGAGTTGTTGGTATGATATAACTGAGTTTATCTGAAGATACACCAGAGCAGTGTGGTTTAACTCTATGGATTCAGTTTGGGCAATAGAGATGTCTTGTTGACGATATCCTTTATGGTTTTTTTTTGTTTAAAGTTGCACTCTATTGTTTAAAAGGGTGTGCGTGTACCAGGTGTGAGGGAGGGTAATGGAATAGCAAATGGCTTATAACCAGTTTAACTTAGCTTAATGGTTAATAGTATAATAGTTAATATCTTAATAGCTTATAGCTTATTGATAATGGATTCTCAGTTGTTTATAAGCTTGAATTCTATTGCTGTGGTGCTGTGTTGTTATGTGTGTTGCTGTGAAGAATCAGACAAATATTGGATTGACACCAAGAAAAGCGAGGGTCTGCTATGAGGTGATGATCGTGAGCCAGGAACTGCGGTAGTATTTAGTTGCGTTAGATTAGGTAGAGTAAGATTAGATTATGATGTTAGATAGTTAATGGTTAATCGTTAATAGCTAATAGTTAACAGTATATAGATAGTTAAGAGATGATAGTATAGTCAATAGTTAATATACACTTAATGTTTAGTCTATAGCTTATAGTATTTCAGCTTACACGAACGGCACACGCTATTTTTAAAACTGTAATTAGGCTAGAATTATACGAAGAATCAGCTGTGACCAGATGTACGCATGATAGTAGTATTAAGCGTAAACTACAGTACAATGTAACATTCTATCAAAAACATAAACATCATCATAATCATCAGCATTTATAAGTAGTTTTATAATCATCATCATCCAACATGCTCATACTACCACTACTCTTATCACTCATATCAATATCAAATGCCCAAAACACACTACCCGAACTACTCACACACAAATCATTCCACAACACAATCAAAGAAGCAAAACTATCTCTGATCGAATTCTATAGCCCTTATTGTTCTCATTGTAATGCTTTTGCCCCCACTTGGGAAGACACTTTCAACCAATTCCAAAATGATGTGGATTCTTCGAATATCAAAATGTATCAAGTTAACTGTATAGAGAGTGGTGATCTATGTCAAGATGAACAAATATTGGCTTATCCAAGTTTGAAAATTTATGATTCAAATGGGTTTATACAAAATTATCCAAATAGTTTGAAAAGAAACAAGGAAAACATAATTGAATTCATGAAAGAACAAGTTATTGAACATGGTGGAATTAGTGATGGTCCTATCGTATCTAAAAGTGAATTGATAACTACTCAAGATATGATTAATTATTTACAAAATGTTAATGAACACCCAATATTGATTTCATTTTGGCCAAGTTTTGAATTAACTGATTTAAACGATTTAAATTGGAAAATTTTTGAAAAAAGTGATTATTATGAAGATTGTTTAGAATTTCAAAGAATTTGGTCAATAATTTCAAATTCATTATCTTCAACAAATATTAAAATTGGTCATTTTAATTGTTTTAAAAATGAAAAAATTTGTAAAGAATTGGGTATTAAACCTGATTTTAAACCAAAAGTTAAACTATTTTTACCAAACTTAGAAAATAATAAAATCATTTCATATGAGAATGAAAACAATGCAAAAGATATAATAAGTTTCACAAAACATACATTATCAATATCAAAATTTACTAAAACAGATTCAATCCAATTAATGGATACAATTAAAACAAATTTAAAACCTTTGAAATCATTACCATCAAAAGCTGAAAATACATTTATTTATCTATATGATGAAATGACAACAACTAAAGAAGATTTCCAAATCTTACCTTATTTAATTGATGAATTTGCCAAACATGAATCAACAAATTTCTTAATATCAAATGATTCGAATATCTTGAAAATTATGGAGTTTCAACAAAGAAATTTAATAAACACATTAAACAATAATAACAAACCTTTCCAATTCAATGAAGATAAATACATCATAAACTCAATGTCAACATTACCAACAATAATAAATTTTAAAGAATATAGTTTGTTACCATCCATTTATCAAAGTTTTGGTCCATATGACATTAGAGATGAATTCCTGATCAAACAATTTATTAAAAAAAACTCATCACCATTCATAACTGAACTAACTAATAAAAATTTCAAGGATTTATTAACTAATGATGAACAATTAGTTATAATCACCACAAATGGAGAATTACCAGCATTAGATCAATTCATCCTAAACATTCATGAATATGAAGAAATTAAATCAACGTATACATATAATGAATTGATTAAAGCTCGTGATTTGAAAAAATTAAAATCTGATGAGTATAAATCTCAAAATGATTATAAACAAATGGTTAAATCGTTAAGAAAAGAGATTAAACAACCTACACCAATAACTTCAAGATATCTTTATCTAGATATCTCTAAACCATTGCCTGAGTTAGGAATACAAGTTAATAATGAAGTTTATCAAAATGGTGATGTTATAATCATTAATTCAAATGGGTGGTATTATAATAAAGATATTGATGGTGGGTCTTTAAATTCAACAAATTTTGTTAAAACTTTGGAAACATTAAACTTAGATACATTAAAGGAGAAGTATTTATTATCTAAGACTTTATTAAACTCTCCATTTAATTCAAAATTTAGATTATTTGATAATATTCATCAGTTTGGAATCATTGGATACATTGGTTTAATCATTTCCATAATAGTCATTGGGAAGTTAGTTAGAAAGAGATTTAACAGATCTAATAATGGTTCTTATTTACCATTATTTGAGGAAAAGAAGGATTAAATTTGAATAAATACAATCATTTGCATTTATTCTCTATTGTAGGCCGTATATTTCCGTGCAATAATTCGCGAATGATTGAATTTTTGACATGTCGTCGTGGCTTAAAAAATAAACAAAGAAAAAACCTCGAAACAAAGAAATAATCATTAAGCTGAATTATACATCAGTTTTATACCCTTTCCATTCACTATTTCAACCAATATACCTCATGAGCTCAAACATCTCAGCCCTGACCCAAATAGCCCTTAAGGACTGGATACTCATCATAGGTTTAATCTTTGGAGGATGTTGTTCAAATGTCTTTACATTGGAAAAAATTGTAACAAATAATCCAGAAAGTGGTAATATAGTTACATTTGCTCAATTTTTTTTCATTGCATTAGAAGGTTATATTCATTTTTTCGATAGGTCGAGACCTCCTTTTTATTTACAACAGAATAAAGTCCCTTTGAAAAGATGGTCATTAACAATTATAATGTTTTTTTTAATTAGTGTTTTGAATAATTCTGTCTTTATTTTTAAAATTTCAATACCTATTCATATCATCTTTAGAAGTTCAGGAACTGCTGTGGTTATGATTATTGGGTGGTTGATTGCAAAGAAAACTTATAATAAAATTCAAATATCAAGTGCTGTTTTATTAACTATTGGTGCTATTATAACAACTTTATATAAAGATCATAATATCTTTGCCAAAAGGGATGAAGGAAATGAAGGGTTCTTGTCTGTTTTATCAAATGATGTTTTATTCTTTATCGGTATTGGAGTTTTATTATTCGCAGCTATATTAATGGCCTTATTAGGGTTATATAATGAAGAAACTTATAAAAAATATGGTAAACATTGGCAAGAAAATGTTTTTTATTCACATTTATTTGGATTACCAATTTTTTTATTCATGTTTCCAAGAATTATAACAGAATTTAAAAATTTATTAAAATACCCTGAATCTTTCAATATCTTGGGATTTGAATTACCAAAACAAATTGTTTATTTAGGTTTAAATGTCTTGACCCAATTCTTTTGCGTTAGAGGTGCAAATATGCTTGCTGGTAATACAACTGCATTAACAGTTTCTGTTGTATTGTTATTGAGAAAATTTACAAGTTTATTATTAAGTATGTGGTTATTTAATAATAGATTAAGTGCAACTGGTTCATTTGGTGCCTTTTTGGTGTTTTTTGGTGCATTCTTGTATAGTTATGGTTCTACTCAAAATAAACCAAAGACAGCTACTCCATCAGTTAAGGATGAGATTGAAATTAAAGAATTGACACCAAATGAAACTGATGATATTGAAAAGGCTAAACTTGTTTCAAAAGATTGATTCTTTTGATTCTTTAGAGATGTTGTATATACAAAATAAATAAATAAATTAGAAGGTGCAATACAATTAAATTGTTCTCGTTTCATTTATTTCCGCATTGGGAAGTCAACCCGAGGCACAAAATTGTTGTGAATAAAAAAAAATGTAAACATTAAAGCTTGATTTAAACGATTTACTCACAAGAATTTCAAGATCCAAGATCCAAAGACATTATGGAATCAACATTATCAAAAGTTCAACAAATAAATCAATTCTATTTGCCAGAATGGCTAACTATGGAACTTATAGCTTCAAATGTCATTTCATTTACACCTTTATTTTCATATGGTACAACAATTCTAAGTATAATCAAAAAAGAATCTTCAACTGGGTTTAGTATAGATATTTGTGCTACAATGTTAATAGCTAGTATACTTAGGATCTCTTATTATTTTATAATCCCATATGAAATTGCATTATTAAGGCAAAGCATAGTTATGATATTTATACAACTTTGTTTGTTAAGAGTCGGATTGAAATATAGATCAAAAGATTATGATGTTGAATTATTACAAGAACAAAATGGAAGTTTTATAAAAGATCTAAAAGAAATTTCACAAATGTTTGCCAAAAATGATTCAACTACAACAAATTTCACTGAAATTTTGGGGAATTTATTATTAGCTTGCAAAGAATTTGGAATGTTAATATTGATCAAATTTATTAAATTTTTCGATTCAAAATATAAAAGAATTGGGTTATTTTGGCAATGGAATGAAGAATTATCTTATTGGAAATTCTTAACCAGGTTTACTTTGATAATGTCAATTTTAACTTTTTGCTTTATTGATTATTTAAAATTTGGTGAAGCTTTAGGGACAATCGGATTATTTATTGAATCTTTATTACCATTACCTCAAATCTTGCTATTGAACCAATTGAAAACTATTCAAGGTTTTAAATTATTATTGTTATTAAGTTGGTTAGGTGGTGATTTTACAAAAATCAGTTATTTGATATTTGGTGCTAAAAATATTAGTGGGATTTTTTTATTCTTTGCATTATTTCAAATGTCTTTGGATTTTTATATTGCATTTCAATTTATTTATTACAAATATTATTATGTTCAGGAACCACAACATGTGGAATTATATGAATTAAGAGTATAGAGAGGATACAAAAAATCAAAATATAATGAAGTTATGACTATAATGATATATGTACACTTTTCTATCTCTATTTACAATTAATCTTTATTCCAAATGATTTTATCATTGTCTTCTTCCAATGCCCGTTTTTTACCCCTTTCGCTAAAAGCTCTTAATAATTTAACATAATTTGTAAGTTCACCATCATCTTTTGAATATCCATGTTCTAATAATAATTTACATTTCTCATCCATAAAATTCAAATAATTCTCTCTAGTTTCATCATCATTTAATTTTTCAATCTTGAAATCAACATTCCAATCATCATTTAATGATTGATATGTTGGATGTCTTGTAAGTATTCTTTTTTCGTTTATCTTTTGATCTATCCAAATTGAAAATCCATGAGCATTTTTGTAAACTTTATCATTCAAATCTCTTAATTTATCAACGTGTTTTGAAACTCGTTCTTTATCCTTATTCTTTTGAGTTTTCGTCTCCTCATCAATTGATTCATCATTCTCAATAATACCAGCAGTCTCAGTGATTGCCTCTGAATATTTCATACCAGCAGTTTGAATTTCATCAATTTCTTTATCAGTAACAGGATGTGCAATAACAATTAAACAGGTTTCGTTGATTGTTTGAGGGACTGCCTTAACAACTAATCTAAATGAGGTGTTTGGTAAATAATCATTAGTTATAACATCTAAAATCTTTTCATAAAATTTCATGGAAATTGTAAATTCATCTTGTGCAAATTTTGAAGATAATTTATCTTGTAATTCATATTTTCTCAAAGTTTCTAAATCAAATGTTCTTTCATTTATTTTTAAAGGTTTTTTACCAAATGAATGAATCATTTTATCCATTTCACTTGAGGGTAAATATTGAAATCCAAACATTTTGGCAATATTATGGAAAGCAAGGAAAATACCATCCATATTACCAATTCTTGCTTGTAATGAATATTTTAATAATGTTGATCTAGCTAATTCCGACATTTCTTTTTCAAATGATTCATATTCTCCAACTGTTTTCAATAATTCATAACCAGTAGTTTCCTCTTCATGAAATGCAACATCATGTCTTATAGCACAAACTGCTCTACTTTTCAAATCAAATGTTCCAGTACCTGGTAATCTTTCATCTTTACAATCTAATTGAGATCTCATTAAAAATTTATCCATCTTGGCATAATGATAAGCATTTGAATTTTTCTCCATTTCTAATTGTGCTTTGGAATTTTCTTCACTTTTATTTGATAATTTATATTTATCGAAAATTTCAGATTCATTTGTTAATAATCTTTCTAAAGAGTGACCTAACCTTGATAAAATCATTTCTTTATCTGCATATTTATCAGAATCAATAGCATAACGAGTTTCGCCATCACTTTGTTCCATTTTACGAACAATAACATTACCTGGTAATTTTGCACCTCTACTGAAACCAACATGAGAATAACGAACATTTCTTGATAAATCTTTTAAATTAACTGGTCTGAAATTTGATAAAAGATAATGGAGATGTGATAAAATACCAGTCATTGAAGATGTGGAACTATAATATCTTGTATTGATTAATTTGGAAACTTTCAACATGGTTTTATCTTTTTCAGATGCAACATATTGAGTAATATGTTGGAAATCAAATTCATTAACAGGTAAAATATTTTTCAAATATGGATCAAAATTGAAAACTTTTGTTCTTGGATCTTGTAAAAAATGAACACCTGGTGAAAATAATACTCTTGATAAATCATGTTTTAAAGTGGGTACTTCACTTGTTTGTTCCACTTTTATTGGTTCATAAGTTGGGGTTGTATCAAGTGAACCTTCAACTACTTGGGTTGTCAAATTTTGAAAAGCTAATACATGTTCTGGTGAACGAAAATATTGATATACTGGTGGTGGAGTTGAAGCTGATATGGATGGTGATGAAGATCCCTTTCCAAGTGATGGTGGAACACGACTCCTTGGTTTATGAAAACCAATCTTTGCACTCAATAGGTCGTCTTCTAAAGCTTTCAACAGTGGTATCCTTGTCTTTTTAGTCAGTCTTCCAAGTTTATAATTTGGCTTATGAGTTTCAAGAAATTTTCTTTTACGTTCACCTGGGTTCAATTTCATCCATTTAGCTAATTGTAAAGCAGTATTAACTTGTACTGGGAAATGTGATATGAATTCTGAAAGTGATCGATCAGGAAATGATTCATCCCAGTTCTCTTTGATGTGGCATAATTCGGGATCTATTTTGGTTAAAGCTTCAAATTGATTGTGTAAGGTCACAACTTTTGATGGTTTACCTGAAATGGCTGATTTAACAGCACTCAACAGCTCACGCGTTGTTGCAGAGTTTCGAGAGCGAGGCTTGGTTGAATAGCACCGTATGCTTGTGGACGGTATGAGCCTTGACCGTATTAGCATCCTGATAGTGGTGAGGTTCAGCAAATAATCAAAATAATACAAGATGTAGATTTTTCACTTTGAAGCTCATCTGAAAATCTTGATTTGAAAAATATTGAAAATACCCTAATTAGGAAGCTACCAGTTGTAGCAATACGATGGTAAATAGTCACATGATCAAATTAATGTAATCCGGGTTTCGCGAATTTTCAAAATTTCAGCCAGTGAGCGGTCGGGATTTCAATCAATCAGAAATCGATTGGTGTTAGATTGTTGTGAAAATGGTGGTTTATTGAAGAAAAAGGTCTCTTAGTACACTTTTAAAACCCCAGTATTATCAAATATTACCTATCCAAGCAATAAATACCCCCATTTGTTAACTAATTTCTGTTTCTGATAGCCCCAATGCCGGGTAAGACCCCAAGATTTGGATTCTGTAATCATGATTCATTACTGTCCGCTGATCGAATTGATAAAAAAACTTGAAAATAACCAAAAACCATTTGAAGGCTCTTTCATTCGATAACGTTCAAACCTCAACGAAACCACCATCAAAAGAGCTGCTTAGGCACTGGAAAAGAGTTTGAGCTAGAGAGCAATTTACAAGCCGCTACTCATAGCATATTTGCAAAAGAACTAACGTTTAAAGATCGACTGGTTGACTATTTTGCTCGAGTTTTCAAATACACCCTTTTTTTTTATCTATAACATCAGTGAGCCTACAACAATACATCTCCACTACACTTCAACTTGATCCATTTCATATTCCAACTCAACAATACATAGTGTCATCATGAGCGCTGCCAACTCTCCTGCTTCAGCTATTGCTCCATCCCCTTCAAATTCAACAAGTATCAACGGTACACCAGCTATAACTCCAAGACCAAATGGTGCTCAGCCTATAGCTAAAATAGTCACATCTAAGGAATGGGTATTACCTCCAAGACCTAAGCCAGGTAGGAAACCAAGTGCTGATACTCCAGCTACAAAGAGGAAAGCACAAAATAGAGCCGCTCAAAGAGCTTTTAGAGAAAGAAGAGCAACAAGAGTTTCTGAATTAGAGGGAAAACTAAGTGAGTTTGAAAAGGAAAGAGAAGTTAATGAGTTGAACTTGAAGAATATAATAAACAAGCTACAGATGGAGAATAAATATTTGATAAAAACTCTAAATGATGTTAAATCTGAATTTGCAAATTTCAAACAATCAGTGCAGCAGCCTCAACAGATAAACGTGAATTCAAGTCATCATTCATCACCAGCTGTTTATTCAAATGGAACAGTAAATGCTCCATCACCTTTAGCTTATTTCAAACCTTCAAATTCAAATACGCCAAATGAATACAGACCAACTCCTCAGCAGTATCAAAGACCTCAACATCAAGCCATCTCACCAGCATTATCAAAATCACCAAATACCCCTGCACCACCAAGCCATACACCATCAACTACCAAAACTTCAATTTCATCAGCTACTCATGAATCAAACAACAACTATGACTGTGGTGTATGTGTTAAAGACGATTGTATTTGCGAAGAAGTTGGTATCAAACCTCAACCTCAACCTCAACAAAGATCTTTATCAGTTATTGAAAATTTCAAACCCATGGCACCTGTTTCATTGAAAAGAAAACAGATAGATGAAGTGGAGATTGATTATACTTCCAAATTCTCTAAGAATCCATCAACGACTAAAAAACCAATGCCAAAGTTGAAAAAATTCAAAAAGCAAACAGTTACAACAAGAGCCAATAGTGTACCGGATGAAGCTAAAGAATTCACAAATGTCTTTGATAAAATCACTGATGATGACTTTGAATCGCCAATGGAACAATGTGGGTTCTGTTCTGATGATTCACCATGTGTATGTCGTGAAGCTGCAAAGGAAGCTGCATCAGCTATAGCAGAATTACAGAACCATCACAAGAGAGATTCCATCCAACAAGTTGAAGATCAAACATTACCACCTATCAGAAACGGTTCAATTTCAACAACAACAAATAAGAACTCTCAATCATCTACAAAATTACCTGTTTTACATCCTGGTCCAACAGTGGAAATTAGTGAAGTTCATAGATCTAGTATTTCAACACCAGCTAACGAACAAGCACCATCAGCAAAGGAGGAGAATCCTCAAAAAACTGGTGGTTGTACTGGTAATCCAGGGACTTGTACACAATGTCAAATGGATCCAATGTCTACATTATTTTGTACAACAATTGCAAGTAAAGCTGAAGAAGAACATGATAAAGAACCATCAGAATCAACCACTGAATCAACATCTACTTCAGGTTTAAAAAAAGAGGATAAAAAATCACCAGTTTCACCACCTCTATCTAATGTTTCTTCAAAAGTTTCAAGTCCATTAACCGTAACTTCCCAGGAGGAAGAGTTGAATTCATTGAAGTCTAAAACTGGTACTCCTTCGTCATCTTCTAGTACGGATTCCGCTAGCTTGAATCAACAAAAGGGTATTTTCATTCCATGTGCAGATGCTTACAAAACTTTGAGTCGTCATAAAGAGTTTAACTCGGTTGATTTTAGTACATTGGTTGGGAAATTAACAACAAGAGGAATGCAAGTTGAAGTCCAGAGTGTTGCTAATGTTTTAAGAGAATTGGATAGAAGATTGTATAATTAGAGATTTTGTTATTATTATAAGGTATAAATAGGTGTTCTTGAAATAAAATGGGATTGAATTTACAAAGCGCAATATGTAAGGAACCTATAAAACGTAAAATTGCAAAGCATATATAAATAATCTTTTTTGAAAACCTTTAGTAAAACAGTGTATATGTATAGAAGCAAAAAAAAAATATGAAAAGAAAATATGAAGGAAATATGATCAAGTTTAAGCAACAACTGCAATACCAGTTGCAACCAAGAATGAAACAATCAAGAAGCCACCAAGACTTTCAAATCCATTGAAAGCCAAATTGAAAACAGATGGAACCATAACGTTGTTACCAGCACCTCTTGAAGAACTTGAAGAACTTGAAGCACCACCATTACCAGATGCAGAGCTTGAAGAGTCACCACCAACAGAAGTTGAATCACTTGAATCAGAAGTACCACTTCTTGTAGTTGATGCACTACTAAAGTTGAAATCACTATCATCATCCCAACATGAATTTTGAGTATTACCAGCATCAGTACCTAATGGGGCACCTGCACCTTTACTAAAGAAAACAGAAGCTGCTGATGGCATTTCTGGTAAAGTGTTATTAGCTTCCCAAGTACCTTCTTCAAATGATGGACATTCTGAATAATTTGAAGACTTTGAGTTAAATCCACCATCACCTTGTGGATTTGGGGTATTGTTATATTGTTTCTTCAAATTATCAAAATCTTGTCTTGGAGAAACAGAATCACCATTAATATCAACCAAACCATAGTTATTAGCTTCTTGAGAATATTCATAAACTAACCCACCAGAGAAAACACCAGACATTTGAGTGGAATAAATTGATTTGATTTCAGTAAATGGTCTTGCACCTGGAACTTCATTACAACCAAATTCTGAAAGGAAAATTGGAACAGAATAACCAGCATATAAAGTAACTTTTTCTTTATAACCTGAAGTTTGATATGAAGATTGTCCACACCATGAATAATCATTAACACCAAACATATCAATTCTTGCATCTTCATCATCACCACAGTTGAAATATTCAGCAGCTAATAAACGATTGGTATCAACATCAGCAGCTGAATAACCCACAGGAATTTTTCTATAATTTCTAGCTTTTAAATATTTCTTCATATCTCTAACAGTAGCTTTGACATAAGTTGCTGAAGAAGTTGTATCTTTTGAATTGATAACTTCATTACCAGCAAAGAAACCTAATAAATTATCATATTTAGCAAATTCATCCATTGTAGCGAAGACATTTTGTAAATATTTTGTATTATATGAACATTTAGCATCACCTCTTGAAATTGAAGCCTCTGGGGTATTAACATCCAAAATTAAATAAATACCAGCATCATCTAAAGCTTCCATACAAGGATCATGATCTAATGAATTATCAACAGAATAAACTCTAATGGTATTGATACCTAATTCTTGGAAATATTCAATATCTCTTTTACAAATATTTTCATCACCAAGAGGATCAGTTAAATTTGAAGATCCACCAGGTTGATAATCAACACCTCTAATGTAGAATCTTTCACCAGATTCAGTATTCCAAAAGGCATTACCAGTGACATTAATAGCTGGTAACGCAGCAGAAACTAATAATGGAGCTAATGACAAGTAGCTAGCGAGTGTTGAAACCTTCATGATATTATATGCTCAGCCCTCTTTTTTGGTATATAAACGAATGTAAAGTAGTTTGAACTGGAGAACAAGGCTAGACAGGATAAGTAGCGAATGTGAATGTGGGTCTTTTATATATCTTTGATGGAGTGATATAAAGAAAAGAAGGCAGTTCCTGTTTCAACTCTTGGTCTTTTTTTGGTATGAGAGAGCTCCTAGTTGGAAAGTCAAGAAAGTTCTTGTTTATGTTCTCTATGAGATCAAGATTTCTCGACCAAAGTTTTTTTTTCTTCTTTTCTTTTTTGCTAATTCACCGAAATCAAAACATGAAACCGCTGTCAAAACAATGCGTGACAGCAACAGTGTGGGATGAGTGAATAGAACGAGAAGAAATCGGAGAGAAATGAAATAAAAAGGGATTTGATATACTATTCATTGATGAGTATGTATATTCTTTCAATAACATGCTTTTTGACACTCTTTACGCTTCAAAATGGTGGTTTTGGTGTGATTTTGGAATGTTTGGAGTTGACTGATGATGCATAGATCGACGTCCGTAACCGAGAGAACCTGAGATTGACTTTAAATTTGGAATTCTGGAAGTTCAACATACAAAAATCAAAACCAGGTTCAGCTTGATTAATGGGCTTACTATGGGCTCAATAGATGAAGAATTGGGCTTCCTATTGTCTATAGCTGAAGGGACTTGAAAGGCTGAGCAGTGCTAAGCCAGCAATCTAGTTGAGTACAACTCTCTGGGCTCAACAATGCTAGGCCGATGTCACTGAACTAGTTGTCTTGTGTGGAAATGAAATTAATCAACTCCAACAACCCTGGAACTACCCTCATGACTATGAGATTGAAAACTACTAAAGGCTCAATCATTCCATGATCATCTCCATGCTCAATTAATAACATGACATTGAAGTTTGCACAGTAGTTTGGTTCTTGCTTCTCTTTGACCAAGACCTCACGAGTCACATACACCAAGATCAAAACACAAGAAATCCACCATCATTAATGCGAATCAAAATTTCCATATTTTGGGGTTCAAAAATCAAGAGTCAAACTCGACACTAGAAGCTTCAAATGTAACTACAGCAACTCTACCAATACTCAATTATAGTCATCATAATATAAACAGTGTATTAATAAACCAAGTCCAAACAAACTACTCTTTAGCATCAACAAACTCATCAATAGCTTCTGGAGTTTCCACTTTCTCGTAAGTTTCATCATTCTCACCATCATCATCAAGTTCCAAAGTTTCTGACTTTATTGATCTGATTGAAGCATCTGGTATACTATCACCTTTGGATTTGATTGATTGTATTGATGGATTTAATTCAACATTATCTTCTTCATCATCTTCTTCATCTTTAATCACATCCTCGTTATCTGACTCATAACCTTTATCTTCCTTCTTGACTTCACTTGGAGCAGGTGTTTCTTCCTCTTTGGTGATTGTAGATTTTGTTTCCAATTCTTCAACTTCAGTTTCCGTATCATCTTTCAACCCTTTTTCATAACCTTTCAAATCTTCATCATTAGGTTTCAAGCTTTCATCAACTTTATCCTTTTCTTCAACTGGATTAATCAATTCAATATCATCAATATCATCAGTAATAACATCACTCTTAGTTTCAGACTCTTTAGTATTCTCATAAGTAACCTTTGCATCAGATTCCAAGCCACTACTCCAAATATCAATAACTTTAATCACCCTATGATCAGGTATTTCAATTTTTTCCACTTTAGCAGTTCTTTTGCCTCTTGGTCCCTTTGCTCTTGATCTTCTAACGTCTTGCTTAACTTCTTTTGGTTCGTCTTCAGTTTCCTCTTCATCATTCTTTGATTCAGATTCTTCTTGTTTAAACATACCAGGCATTGGTGCTCCTGGTCTGGCCATACCCGGTAGTGCAAATAGTCCATTCAAGTTTTGCTTGAATTTGGATCTGTCTGTAGAATCATTTGAATCTGATCTTTCAGAACGTTGGAAAGATTGTGATTGTTGTTGTCTTTCTTGTTCTTGATTTCTTTTCAACATTTCTTGGAATGCTGCAATTTTACTTGATGGTTTCTTTGGGACTGGTGGTGGTGGTGCTTTTGTTGATTTAGGTTTTGGTTTTGTAGAATCATCTTGCGAATCTGATGTATATAAACCAAATATTTCATTTGATGATGAAGTAGAAGCTTTCTTGATTGGACGTGGTGGGATTGAAGATGTGGATGATTTTTTTTCTGAAAAATGTGCTTGAATGTTTTGTAGTTCTTCATTTGTTTTAGAAATTATATCATCTGTTGATTCTTCTACATTATCAGCCTTATCTTCAGAAGTAACTGATGCTTCTTGAACAGATGGGGTAGTGATTTTTGTTGGTCTTTTCGAAGGGCGCTGAGGAACTTTAGGTAACGGTGATTCTTCTTTTGGTTCCTTTGCTTCTTCAACTTTTGGTTGTTCTTCTAATTTTTCAATTGCATCAGCCTCTGTTTCAATGGATTTTGGAGCTTCAGAGCCATCTTTTACTGTATCATGAGAATGTTCAACAACATCAGCTTCAGTGATGATTTCACCTGGTTTATCTTCAATTTCAACTGGGCTTACATCAAAAGCTTCAGACTCTGTCTTTATATCTTGAACAGGTTTTGATACTTCAACAATCTCATCTTTTGGACTTTCTGAAACATCTTCTTGTTTCGCTTCAGTAATTGGTTCTTCAACTTTTTCCTTATCATTGGAAATAACAGGTATATCACGACTATTATCTTCAACTATCAAATCAGCTTTAGTACTTTCCTCACTTGTGCTTGCTAGTGGAGTTTTCTTCTCTTCTTCTGGAAATTGTGCATCTTCTTCATTTTTAGGTTCTTCCTCAGCTTTAACTGATTTACTCTTTGGTCTATGAGTTGGACGTGCTGGAATTTCAGGGGTGTTGGTTGATTTTGATTCCTCAATTGGTTTAGCGGTTTCCTCTTCTGATGAAGATGACTTTTTAGGACGTGGTGGAATAACAATCTCTTCTGGTTTAATTTCCCCCTTAGAAGGTTCAGGGACTGATTCTTTATCATTTTTCAAAGTGTTGTCATCTTCGTTGTTTTCGTCTTTTGTTAAATTTCCAATGCCAGGTATTTTCTCAATTGTAGATTTGAGTAAATCTGGGACAGTCTTTTCTGTTTCATCAGAAGATTGTTCCTTTTTGGAAGATTCAGAAGATTTCTTTGGGCGAGGTGGTATAATTGGGCTTTCTGATCTTTTTGGATGTGGTGGAACAATTGGACTTTGTGATCTAGTTGGACGCTTTGGAATGACTGGAGTGGGAGTTGATGATGATTCAGAGGTTTGCTTCTTCACTGGTCTTTGAGGAATCTTTGGAATTGAAGAAGATGAAGAAGGATTGGAGATTGGTGGACGTGGTGCTTCTTCAACATGATGTTGTTGTGGAGTTTCAGATTCAAAACCATCATCCGCTTCATCAAATGAATTTGTTTCAGGGTCTGAATCCTCTCTCTTTTGAGATATGATATCTGCCAAGTTGGACATTGCTATGATTGAATTGAATAGGGATAAACTGTTGTGTTTGTGAATACAAATGACATTAAATGTTTAAAAGATTGCGTTTGGGTACAATTTTGTTTTTTTCGATCTGTCAAAGGAATTTTAGAAATCCACGACCTCAAATAATCAGAAAATTATAATCAACTACAAATACAAGCAAAAATGACACAATCAAAGAGCGTGCAATTTGTGGTATTAGAAAATATTCATCAATATTCAAAATTAAGGGCGTTCTTTCAATCTTTCTTTATTCTCATTTGGGGAGAATACATATCTAAGCACCATAGTTTAATCTAAAGATATCATTGTAGACAAAGTAAGAGCCAGCTTCTGGGATCAAGTGGAAGACTTGAGAATAACGTTGTGGGTTTTGTTCTTCATCAATTAATAAATCACCAGTGACAAGGACCAAGACATCACCATTTGGAGAAGCTGGTTGAGCATCTAAAGTTGTGATTCTGTGACCAACTTTTTGGAAAGGCAAGGCAGTTAATTTTTCAACAATGGCTTTAGCACCTTGAACTTGAGAAGTTTCAAAAGTCAACATTGATTGATCTCTCTGGATATTTGTGTTAGTAATGATTTGAAGAGAAACATTATCCGTTAACTTGGTCACATACGTATAAGTTACCCAATTGGGATCTATCAGAGTCAAATTGGTTGTAGTAAAATTCAGTGAATTGTTCTAGAATGGAGTTAGAATGTGATTGTATGATTCAATTGGAATGGATTAAACGTACGGGCTAAGGTGTTGAAATCGACTAAGATTGATTGTTAGTAAGTTCCAAGGGGTGATGAATAATTGAAGCCATAGAGGATCTAGTACTCCATGGTCTCCGTCATAATTCACATACCAGACATTGTGCAAAGGTATCAAAGGGCTAGTTAAAGTTGATGTTGTTGTCAAATCTTTTATTTACACCAAAACATCAACTTGTTTAATTAAAAAATCAGAGCAAAACGTTGTCAGGGTAATGCATTAATCATGTGACTGATCACATGACTGATACTTACCCAATGATTACGTAACATCACTCACTAAAAAATAAAAATTCCAACCGTTGCAGCGAAATCGCCTTAAGCGAGACTTTAGCCAGGAACAGTACATGGATTGGATTGAAATGAATTGAATCAATTAACTGATACTTCAATCTCCTTATCAACCCTTTCTCTTCCTATATCTCTCTCTCCCTGCCTATGCCTGAATCCTCTTCAACCAGTCCAAGACTCAAGTCTGTCTAAAGTTGGGCGACGTTGATCTGCCAAAGCGATCTAATTCTGAAGATCTCTAGACTACAGCAGTACTTGAACTAGAAATATCCGTGCTTCAACATCCTCGAGATAATTAATTTCAACCTGTCTCAAACAGGAGATAGCTCATATTCAAACAAGGAGTAACTCAGTATCATAGTATCCACATAAACACCCTCTCCCAATTGAATCCCTCAAGTCACCTATAAACTTGTCCACCTTGTAACGGGTTTGTTTGATCAACTGAAATTTTTCACTTTCAAGTGCCTGAGCCCACTGAACAATACTTTAATTTGCCTAAAACATCTTTTGCAGATTACAATCAAAAGTGTAAAGTCATGCTAAAATTCTCAGATTGATAATTTTTTTGCACATTCCAATTGTCTTAAACTTTTAAGAACTTTTACATCAACTTGAGATCACAAGGGGTTCATATATAAGTTGGTACTTTGATCCCTTATCAAATGATCTTTGATTCAACTTATAGCTACAAGGTGCTTTACAATCAATCAAAGACGTTGTCCCTTGCACAGAGAATGATTCAAATACTACAAGGTGGATCTCCTAAGGATTCATTCTTTAAAAGATTTAAAAAGCATACACCAAAGCAAGTGCTGTTTTTGGGTACTGAAAATTCGGGAAAGAAGAGTAAGTTTTAATCATTTCATTAGCTCATTATTCATTAAATACTAACCTTATAGCAATCTTTGATCATATCACAACTCTTAACGTCCCATTGGATATCATTGCCCTTTCAAATTCCACTCCAATAACAACTTATAAAAATTTTCTATTTGATACAAAATATTTGATTATAGTAATAGATTCCACCAAAGTAACAAATTTAAAATATTTAAATCATATCAAATCATTAATTGAAAACTTGGTAACTAAAGAATGTGAAAAATTATTAATCTTGTTAAATAAACATGATTTATTACAAATTGAAACAACAAGAGTCCTGGAGAAAAGATTAAAACTTTATTCATTAACTTGTGAATGGTTAATAGTTCCATGTTGTGCAATTGGCCAAGGTTATGGGATTTCTGAAGGTGTGAATTGGTTATTAATATAACTTTTTTTGGAATTTATTTCCAATATTTTTTTAAAAGATTCTGGTAATGGTTCAATCTTGTTTGTCTCCAATACAAGACTAAATGGTGGGATTATTTGATTATCTTGAATTATGGTATTTGGTGTTATAATTACGCAATCATGGATTATACTGGAATTACCTAATTTACAATTAGGTCCAATTGATACTCTTGTTCCAATATTTGATGAATTTATGGCTGTTTCTTCACCAATGATGACGTATGAGCCTATTTTGCATGGTTTATGGATTTTTGTTTCTCTGGAGTTTATAAAGGTTAGTGATTTGGTTGTTTTTTTTTTGTATAGATTATACATACTTTTTATGACTTATGACTGGAGGTGAAATGTGTACATGTTTATCGATAAAGCAGAATTTACCAATCTGTAAACTAGACTTTCCCTCCTTCAACGTGACATCTCCATTCAATGTGCAATTGGGACTCACAGTGGTCTTCTCAGTTAGTTACAACACTCATTAATCAATTACACCATACTCACATTCCCAGAGATCAAAATGTGGTCTGAGCCGTGAATATGAGCCTCCTTGGAGATCCTGTTCCCAGAGGCAGTCTCTATCCACGAGCCTGAGTCCATTTCCAACAACCTGCCACTGCTTAAAACCACTTTTAAAACAATTTGAAATCAACTCTTCATGGCTGGTTTAAAATTCAATTTGGTGCCTGTCTGCTGGTGTTGTGATGTTTGAGATCGAAGATCTGAAATTTCGTGTTTGTTGTTCTTTTTTTTTTTGCTCACGTTGATGAAAGAAACGTTTTCTTCTCTTTAAACTCGTTTGAAGTGCTCTTTTAGAAGGATTGCTATCTATTTGTATTTAAAAGTGTTATAAAGAACTATACAATGAGTGACAAAGTTTTCAGATTGGATTCAGGTGAGTAGTTATCCAGATAAAGTGGTGGGTACTAAATGATAAGAGAATATTCATATGCCCAAGAATTACTCAAGTCAAATATACTAACATCCCATGTCCAAAAGGTTATCAAAACTACGATTGGGGGAAAATTGGTTCCACTTCAGCTGTTGCTCAATTTGCTCATCATTCCAACCCGGAAAATGTCGTTATTGATGAATCAAAACCATATGCTGAATTATGGATGGGTACTCATCCAAAAGTTCCATCCAAAAATTTAAAAGGTGAATCTTTAAGAGATTTAATTAGTGCTAATCCAAAAGAATTATTAGGTGAAAAAATCATCAACAAATTTAAAGCTACTAATGAATTACCATTCTTATTCAAAGTCCTAAGTATTGAAAAAGTTTTATCAATTCAAGCTCATCCTGATAAAGAATTGGGTGCTAAATTACATATTCAAGATCCAAAGAATTATCCAGATGATAATCATAAACCTGAAATGGCCATTGCTGTTACAGATTTTGAAGGGTTTTGTGGGTTCAAACCATTGGATCAAATTGCTGATGAATTGAATGCAATTCCAGAATTGGCTAATATTGTTGGTGAAGAAGTTTCCCAAAAATTCATTAATGGTATTAAATTAAACGTTCAAGCTGGTTCTTCAGATGATTTACAAAATAAAAAATTATTACAAGCTGTTTTCGGTAAAGTTATGAATGCAACAAATGAAGAAATTGCACAAAATGCAAATTCATTAGTGGAAAAAGCTAAAACTCAACCTGAAATTTTCAACAAATCAGATTTACCTGAATTAATCATTAGATTAAATAAACAATTCCCAGAAGATGTTGGTTTATTCTGTGGTTGTTTATTATTGAACCATTGTAAATTGGTTGCTGGTGAAGCTATGTTTTTACAAGCTAAAGATCCTCATGCTTATATCTCTGGTGATATTATTGAATGTATGGCTGCTTCAGATAATGTTGTTAGAGCTGGTTTCACTCCAAAATTCAAAGATGTTAAAAATTTAGTGGAAATGTTGACATATAATTATGATGATGTTGAAAAGCAAAAAATGTCACCATTATCATTTGAAAGAAGTTTAGGTGATGGTGAATCAAAATTATATGATCCTCCAATTCAAGAATTTTCAGTTTTACAAACTACATTCAAGAAAACTCAAGGTACAAGAACTTTTAAACCTTTTGAAGGTCCAAGTATATTGATTGTTACTAATGGTGAAGGTGAATTAATTAGTGAAGATGGTGTTTCATTAAAAGCTGAACCAGGTTATAATTTTTTCATTGCACCAAATACTGAAGTTACATTGGTTACTAAAGATCCAAACTTCACCACTTATAGAGCTTATGTTGAAGCTTAAGCAAACGAAGGCATTAATTAGTTAATTTTATTTATTGATACAAGATTTTCTTTCTTATAATCCATTTTATTAATTACTTGAAAACCTAATGTACACTTATTCAAACTCCCTTAATTAATACCATTTTTCTTTTTCCATTTCAAGATTCTTCTTCTTATATCACCACTACTTTGTTGATGTATATTTAATTTCTTATCCCACATCATTTTACCGTAATCATCACCATGTTTCTTATATAATGCTTCTAACCAAACTTCTTCTCTATCACTTTGTACTCTATCAGTTTTAGCAACTCTAGTATTGGCAAATTGTTCTAATTGTTTAATAACTTCAGTTTTTGGTTTTTCTTGTTCTGATGCATTCGGATCAACCTTCTTTCTACCATATATAACTTTTAAAACTTCACCATTTTCATCTCTAATAATTCTAGCTTCACCTTCAGGTATTTCATCTTCAGTTTCACCTATTGGTTCAACATTTTCCTCTTGGGTTTTATGTTTTCTCTGTCTCTTTGGATCTAATATAGGTTCAACACCTCCTGCTGGAGTTCCTAACTTAACTTTTAATCCCAACTTTTTATAATTTTGTGCTAAAGTTAAAGAATGATCCCAATTTGCTGCAATGATTGGATTTGAAGCGATGTTAACATCTCTTTGTCTATCTTTGGTACGACGTGTGGTTCTCTTTGCACCTGATTTACTCTTTTGTCTTTGTCTGACTGAACCCATGGCTATAACTGCTTATATATATGAACTTGATAGTTATCTAGCCTTAACGTTTTATCTCTACACTGATAATAAATTTTTAAAAGATGGTTATAATTTTTTTTTATGCGATGAGGTATTTGAGGGTAACCCCTGCTGAAATCGATTTTGGTATAACCTTTTGAAATTGGATAATTTACTAGTGGGAAAGTGATTTGAAGGAGAATTTAATAGAAATTAATATATTAAAGACTAAGTAGACTCCTTTTAGCTCCATCATTCTTTCCATGTTCCATCTTTTCCACAATTTTATGCCATTTTGGCGTAGAAATGGTCCAAACCAGATTTCGCTTCGTCGAGAAAAACTTGATCCTTTTCAAAGAGGGAAAATTCAAACAATAAAGAAACAAAAGCTGTTGAGAATTTGATAAGTCAATTGAGATTTAAAAAGTGATCATTGAATTGAATTGGAATCAACTGGACTTGAGAAAACCACTGGCAAGATCACGAGAAGAAGAAGAATATAGTAGAAAAAGATAGGAAAAGATTGAAATTTTCACAAATTGACCCACATTTACTACCCAGAAACAAATTATATCACAAAATGGCTACTACAACTACCACTGAAAACATCTTGGAACAAGAACAACACCAAGCAATCAACCAAGAATTACAACAAGAGTATGCTGAAAATTTTGGTGATGGTGAACATCCAGAAATTGCTAATCCAGACCAACAACAATCCAAAATAAGAACTTCGAAAACTCCAGAAGAAATCGAAGCTCAAAAGGAAATTGATTCACGTTCTGTTTATGTTGGTAATGTTGATTATAAAGCTACTCCTGAAGAATTGGATGAATTCTTTAGAACAATTGGTTCAATTAATAGAGTTACAATCTTGTATGATCGTTTTACAGGTTATCCAAAAGGTTATGCTTATGTTGAATTTGAATCAAAAGATTCTGTTGAACCTGCAATTGAATTATCTGGTACTGAATTTAAAAACAGACAAATCTCTGTTGTTGCTAAAAGAACAAATTTACCAGGTTTCAGAAGAGGTAGAGGTGGTTTCAGAGGTGGCCGTGGGGGAAGAGGCAGAGGTCGTGGTAGAGGTGGCTTCAGAGGTAGAGGCGGTTTCAGAGGTGGCCGTGGTGGATTCAGAAATGGTGATGATGCTACTGATCCAACAACTACTGCTCATGAAGCAAGTGCTGAATTATAAGTTTCATGCACAAAATCTATTTCAATTCTTTTTTCCAAACATTGATTACGCCTTTATGATTAAACTAAAATGAATTTATTTACTGCGTTGATGTTTTAACTTTCTTTTGATTAACAATTTTTTTTAATAATGTCTCCATGATGACTGTTTTTTTTTTCTATTACTATTTTGTTCTTTGATCCTGTGCTGATGATGATTTAAGGAGACCCGAAAAAAAAAGATGTCTTTATATTTGCTGCCTACCTGACTTATGAATTTCAATATTACATTAACGATGAAAAAGCATCTTGAATATGTCTTTTCTTCAATTCCTGAAATCAATAACCAATTTGTAGGTTGCCATTTACACGATACGTTTTGACAGATTGTTTTTTTCGCCAACAAAAATTTTTTTTTCCTTCAAAAAAATTGATTTCTTTAACTGTTTTTAAAAACATCAACACAATCTTACAAACCACGGTTTGGCATGACCTAAATTGACCCTGATGGCACTTGTGCTATTCATTTCAATTTGATGATATGGTCAGATATCCCTTCTTTTCGGGATTCGTTTTGAATTTCTACTTAGGGCAAATCGATTGGTTTGGAAGGGAAAATTTTTGGATCTTGAATTTTCAATTCTAATCTGATTTTTGGACCTTTAATTTAATTGGGATTGTGAAGAATAAAATAAATAAGTGCATCATAGTACGTCGAATTCATTTTTTTAATTAGGGTTGAATCTTTCTGATGCAATCTTGCCACAATTCGGAGTCTCCAAGAACACAAACATATAAACAAGCTATTGGGAATTATTTCTTCATAGCTTCATCTTGTATAAATGCAATTAAATTTCTTCTATCTTTACTTAAATTCTTGTACTGTAGTTCTTTTTTCAAACAAAATAATGGAATCTCTAAAGCATGAAATTTTTGATGACATTTTTTGGAAAATTCCTCCAATTGTCTCATACATTCATTATAAAATGCATTCAATGTATCATCATCAGTTTTAGAATCATTAATTAATCTATGATGAGTATATTCCCAAACTTTTTCCAATTCTTGTTGTTGTGTAATGTATTTTTGAATCTCCTCCAATTTCGAAGCATTTTTCAACGTAACATTCCTTATGAAATCCATAGCCTGAGTATAGTCCACAATTGAAGTAGGATCTGTCTTTTGTTCACTAATCTTTGTTATTTCATCAGCATAATCATTTTCAACTCTTGTAATGAATTCTTTCAATGCTTTATCTGCAATTCGTTTCTTGTTCAATAAAAAGTCATAATGGTGTTGTAATTGGATGTTTGAGTCCAAAATCTTGCACACTTTTGGATCTAGTTCATTTTTGTCCATCACAAACACACTTTACCACTATACTTCCAATCAAAGTATGGTTTAATAGATCAAATTCAACTTCGTTTAAGTATAAGCAAATTCGCGGGTAACAAATTTTGGGTTTCGCGAATTGTATTTTTGGATGTTGGTGAAATTCAATTTTGTTAACACGAAGAAATTAGAATTCAAAACAACATCATCAAATTAACCTTTCCCAATTTATTCACAACAACTCAGTCCCAATGGCTTCAGTGATCCATTTCTGTGATGTGAAGGGTAAATCCCTTCTTTCAAGAGACTACAAAGGTGACATCCCATCCAATGCCGTGGAGAAATTCCCCTTCTTATTAGTTGATGCTGAAGAAGATCCAGTATCTGCATTACCAGTTGTGACATATAATGGTATTAATTATCTTTATATTTCTCATAATAACTTATATCTTTTGGCGTTAACAAAATCAAATAATAATATTGCTCAAATCTTCCTTTTTTTACATAAAGTTGCCGGTGTGTTGACTGATTATTTTAAAGAATTAGAAGAAGAATCAATAAGGGATAATTTTGTTATAATATATGAATTATTAGATGAAATGATGGATTTTGGATTCCCACAAATTACAGAAACTAAAATGTTGAAAGAATATATAACACAAAAATCATTTGCATTAGAAAAGACAAAACAAACTTTTGGTCCACCAAGTGCCTTAACAAATGCAGTTTCTTGGAGATCTGAAGGTATACAATATAAGAAAAATGAAGCATTCTTGGATGTTGTGGAGAGTATTAATATGTTGATAAATCCTCAGGGTAAAGTGCTTAGATCTGAAATTTTGGGGAAAATTAAAATTAAATCACATTTATCAGGTATGCCTGATTTAAGATTAGGATTAAATGATAAATTAACAAATAATTCCAAAGGAGTTGAAATGGAAGATGTTAAATTTCATCAATGTGTTAGATTAAGTAAATTTGAAAATGAAAAAATCATTACGTTTATCCCTCCAGATGGTGAATTTGAATTGATGAGTTATAGATTATCAACTCCATTAAAACCATTAATTTGGGTTGATTGTAAAATTTCAAAACATTCAAATAGTCGTATTGAGATATATGCAAAAGTTAAAGCACAAATTAAAAAAAAATCCACAGCAAATAATGTGGAAATTTTAATTCCAATTCCTGAAGATGCAGATTCTCCAAAATTTAGATATTCAAATGGTTCAATGAAATGGGTTCCAGAAAAATCTATTATTGTTTGGAAATTAAAACAATTCCAAGGTGGTAAAGAATATTCAATGAGTGCTCAATTAGGTTTACCATCTGTTAGTATTGATGATCCAAGTTTTAAAGTTAAAAGACCAATTCAAGTTAAATTTCAAATACCTTATTTTACAACTAGTGGAATACAAGTTCGTTATTTAAGAATTAATGAACCAAAAATGCAATACCAAAGTTATCCATGGGTGCGTTATATTACACAAAGTGGTGATGATTATACAATTAGATTGAATGAATAAAAGAATACTTGAATGATTTTTAATTTACTCTGACATATTGTAATGGGTCAGTAAAATGTAGTTAAGAAAAATAACACGAAAGACAAAATTCAATATTATCATGAATCATTTGAACCGTGAACTGACTTTGAATTGTGGTTTTGAGACTGGCTCTGATAGTATCCATTGGAATTGCTTCGTGTAGAGAAACAAATTGATGAATTGGAAAAGAGTGTGGTCTTTTTAAGGTGATGTGATGGCTGAAGAAAGAACAAACAGAATACAAATAATCGATGATTTGATTGGGAATTTATTCATTCACAACCCCAGATTTGATACAGATGAAGGTCAAGATGAAAAAGTTTCACAATGGATACTTCACGATAACGTTTCCCTTACGTTATCATTCATTTTCCCACAAGTTTATTTAAAGGCAATTGAAATTTTGGATTCACAATGCATTCACGTTTACAAATACAAGAAAGATGACAATGAAAAAGATGAAGATGACAAGCTCAATGATGATATGAATGACTGCTTAGTTCTGATTGATTCTATAGATGACAATGGGAAAAAAGTCCCAAATGTTGTGGATCTAGGCCAATGGTTCTGTTCTTGTTCCACTTTCAAGACTGCATTTGATCAAGCAGTGATAGATGAGTTTATCAGTGAACACGATGAAAATAAGTCATTTGGATACAGAAAGGATCTGATTTTCCAATTCCTTGATGAGGATGACTATAAAATACCGATATGTGAGCATTTGCTGGCCTATCATATCTTACAACAACACCGTGAAAAGTTTGAAACTTCACCACCATATACAATACATTCACTAGACCTACATCAATGGCTAGATATCCACTCTACTCTAATAACCCCCAAATAAAATGATCTAGTCTATTAAAATTAAATTGTAGAATAATGATCTGAAATATCCCCGATTCGGTAACTCGCCGAATCAGGAAGCCCACACAATTTTTTCGATTTTTTCAGTTTTTTCGTTGTTGGAGAGAATTTTTGAAAAAGATAAAAAAAATCAAGATCATAGTAGTTAACGACCATTTGTCAACGTTTAAAGAACTCAAAGTTTAATCACCACAACCACAAACTGCATCACCATTCCATCATTGCCCAAAAAGTGCTCCATAGCTGCTACTAATCAACAACAATCTCTGAAAAACACAACAGCTGCTACTAATTACATCAGGAGCTTACCACATATCCCTTTCCCAGCATATAATTTGTCAAAACATCTCAACCATTCAGCATTTCACTTTTAATTGAACTCGAGATCTAATTGGAATTCAAGAAAAAGGACTCATACAGACAGAAAAAATAAAACCAATACAATTTTAGTGAATCAAGGCATTGAATAACTCCATTATATAAGTTCAATTGCCGTCTTCTTTTTTTCATCAACAACTCTATTAATTCAATACCCAACCAACACATGCTGCAATGAGTGAACCTAGAAGGTACAGCAACAACAATGGCAACAGCCAGAACTTCAACGGCAACGGGGCCATGAACTATGGCTACAACACACAGGCGTTCCCTCCTCCAGCACCTCCGGCTGGGTTCCCTCAAGGTGTGCCCTACATCCCATACCACCAGCCTATTGCACCTCTCCCTTCTGCCTACTACCAATATGCTCCAGTCTATCACGATCCTCAACAAGTGCAACAGTTCTACCAACAACAGCAGCAGCAGCAACAGTACTACCAGATACCTCCGTTCCAGCAGATGCCTCCTCAGTTCCAAGTCCATCCAGTCGCTGCTAGCCCTTCTACAGGATCAACACCAGTGATTTCTACACCTTCATCTACATCAACTTCAACAACTTCAACATACACCCCAAAGAAGATGAGATACCAGAACCAGCGGTTCATACCGCAAAAGGACCATGACCAGTATCTCCAGGAGAGCAAGATCAATAACAACAATAACAATAGTCATATTTACAATCAACCGCCACAACCATACAACAACAACAACAACAACAACAACAATCTTAATAGTCAAAACATCAACTCTCCATTGTCAGCTTCAAGCATAGGACAAACATCACCAGATCGTACAAACATCACCACAGCTTCATCGCCACCATCTTCAGCACAATCAACCACTCCAAAACTATCACAGGCATCATCTATCACTCCATCAAATACTTCAGATAGTATAGCGGATAATGAATCACATCCAATAGTGAATGGACATGCCGGTGGCGAATCAGATACTACAACTACTGCAACATCATCTGAAGGATTTATTGTTAATTCAAAAGTCGCTATTAACAAACCTCCATTCTTCTTTGGTACTTCGAAAGCTCAATTAACTAGTCAAAAGAAGAAGTTTAAAGCTAAAAGGGAGGAAAAGAAATTGAAAGAAGAAGAGGAGGAAAAAGCTGCTGAAAAGAAAGATGAAGAGATTAAAGATAAAGTTGAGGAACCTGTTTTGGAGAATAAAACACCATCACCTCAAGTTACTAAACCAGTTGTTGCCAAATGGTCATTTATTGCCGAACAAGCTGCAAAGAAAAACTCTCCAAAATCAACTACACCTACAACAACTTCAAATTCAAGCCCCGTTACAAAGAAGGAAACTGAATTAAGATATGTTCCATCTGTTTCAAATGTTCTGGAACCTTTAGGGGTTGTTTTATTAAGATCTATGTTTGATAAGAATTTCCAAAAAGCTTTTGTCAATAGTAATAAATTACCAAAAATTGTTCCAAGAGGGTTAGTTAATACTGGTAATATTTGCTTCATGAGTTCAATTTTACAATTGTTGTTATATTGTCAACCTTTTTTCCAATCTTTAAATATCATTTCATCTAAAACTATTCAATCATTAAATAAATCCTCATCAACAACACCATTAATTGATGCAGTTATTGAATTATTTAAAAATTTCAATATTAAATTAGATGATGATAAATTGGGTAATGGATTTGGTGATTCTTTTGTCCCTGAACAATTTTATAAAGAAATTTCTCAACATTCAAGATTTAGTCATTTACAATGGGGTCAACAAGAGGATGCTGAAGAATTTTTTGGATATTTATTGGATGGATTACATGAAGAATTCATTTCAAGTGTTAAAAATTTAAAAGATAATGATATTAAAATGTTGTTGGATTCAATAACGAGTGAAGAAGTTCGTACTTTAATTAAACAATCTTTGGAAAATTTTTCAAATGAAGAAGATTTTAAATCTAAAAATGAATCAAATAACAATAATAACAATTCAAGTTCTTTAACTAGTGATGATGGATGGCATGAAGTTGGTAATAATAAGAAAAAAGTTAGTGCTAAAAGAACAGTTGAAGTTAAACCATCTCCAATAAGACAATTATTTGGTGGTCAATTTAGATCTGTCTTGGATGTTCCAAAGCAAAGAGAAAGTCAAAGTATAACATTAGATCCATTCCAACAAGTTCAACTGGATATTTCAGATGATAATATAAATACTTTAGAAGATGCTTTTAAACATTTATCACAAGTTGAAGAATTACAATATAAATCAGATGATGGAAGTGATGTTATTGCTAAAAAGCAAACTTTTATTGATAAATTACCTGAAGTGTTGATTGTTCATTTGAAGAGATTTTCATTTGTTAATAAATCTAGTCAAAATGATGATTTGAAAAATGGTTATTCAAATCATTTACATTCAGGACGTATTGAAAAAATTGGGAAAAAAATTAAATATGATCATGATTTTACAATTCCAACAGATTGTATTTCCAGTGCAACAAGAAAATTTAATCCAAATTTGAATTATAAATTGATTGGAGTTGTTTATCATCATGGTATAAGTTCAGAAGGTGGACATTATACAGTTGATGTCTTGAGAAAAGAATTGGGAGAATGGATTAGAATTGATGATACTAAAATTACAAAATTAAAAGCTCAAGAAGTTTTAAGTGGTGATAATGATAATAATGTTAAAACTGCATACATCTTGATGTATCAAAAAGTTAATAATTGATGAGATAGAATTAGTCATGTATACAACTATGTATACATTGGTGATCATGATGAATGAAGAGTAAAAAATAAAAGTTTGCATGAGATTTATTGGTTTAATTAAAACATCTTGTAGTTCTACATCATATTCCATAATTTTTGTATATTTTTTTTCTCTTATTAACCCTTTATCTAAAGCCCAATAATAATATATAGTTGAAAGAATAGAATCTCTCCTTTTTTTTTCTCTTTAATCTTTTCTTTTAATAGTACACACAATAATAATTGATTTATTTTGAAAAAGCAGAATCAAACATTTAAAAAACCCTCCCAAAAAACAATAAAAGCAACAGCAACACAACAAAACTAAATACATAATAATATATTATAAAAAAGACATCATAACTTTCTAAATTCATTAAGGACGGGATAGATAGCTTCAAAAGCTTGATAAATTTCTTCCCTTTGTTTGGCACCTGTTAAAACAATCTTACCACTAACGAAAATCAACAAGACAATTTTCGGTTTAACCATTCTATAAATTAAACCTGGGAATAATTCAGGTTCATAACTTGAAAAGGGACCATGACTAAATGCTAAACCTTCTAATCTAATTGGAAATTTAACATCACATGAACCAACAATATTTTGAATTTTGAAATCAGTAAATTTAGCATTAAATCCCAATTTTTGAATAATTCTTGCATATTTTCTTGAAGCTAATTTGGAATCATCTTCAGATTTAGCACCAGTAACAACCATTTTACCAGATGCAAATATTAAAGCAGTAGTTTTTGGTTCTCTAATACGCATAATAACAGCAGCAAAACGCTTTGGATTATATTCAGCATTACGAGCATGTAATGCAATTGTTTTCAAATCTAAACGACAATCCAAATTCACAGTGGCAACAATATTTTGTAAAGTTGGAACAATTCCTGAAGTTGTTGAATCTTCAGCATCACCATTAACAGGTTCAGCAACTAATGAAGGATCTTGTTTGATTTCTGACAAATCTTGAGACGCTGTTGGATAGGCAAAAGAATTTGATGATGTGAAAGCTTTGGCATCAGCCGCTGTTTGTGGAGTTTTGAATGAATCCATGGCTTTTTTTTAATTGAATGCTATAAAAATGATTAATTGATTTGAGACGATCAATAGAGATGGTGAGAATGCGAATAAAAGAATAAAGAGTAACAAGCAAATGTCTCCTTAATGAATAATAACTATGGAAAACGAATAACAACAATCACAGTATTGAATAGGATTTAAAATGTCCTTATTTCACACAAAATAACAACAACAATTTTGGTGAAGAGCGGCGCGAACCAGATGAGTTTTCTGCTTGTGAAAACAGAAAAAAAAAGTGGGAAATTCGGTCGTTTAAATAGTTTTTCGCAGAGCAACTGGCACGTGAAGTGGTGGCAGTGTGCAAAATAACAGCAAAAACGAGGAAAATGGGTGGAATTGGATGGGTGATGGGGTTTTTAATTAAATGGATGATATTCTAGGAGTCAGAAGTAGTGTATGCGATGTTTTCGTGGTGAATTTGGTCAATTTTAAGGCTGTTTCTCAGTGGTTTTGTGCACCATTTCGCTCCAAAAAGATCTTCGATATGAAAAAGTGGCACGCGACTAATGACAGACGTCAAGATGGTGGAAGCAAAAGGCACAAAGTCACGAACAAAATTACTCTTGAGGACCATATTCGAGATGTGATTGAGTTTAAAGACATTTGAGCTCAATTGTAAAGCTCCTTGGGCTCGTTGATGCTAGTAAGCTCAAAATTTAAGGTGAAATCTGTGAAAGATATATAAAACCCGGGTAAATCGAATTTTTCGCGCGTTAGCTGTCGCGAAAATTGTGTTTTAAACGTATAGACTTTTCCTATCTGCAAAACTTGATTCTTCATTTTAAACAGAGTATCGGTGGATTTAAAGATGGATCGTGGGTACTACCAAGGACAAGGATATCCCAATTACAATAATAGTCAATGGCAGAATCAACAGCAGCAGCAACAGCAGAATAATGCGCAGTTCAACAATGCTCAATATCAACAACCTCAATACCCATTCAATTACAATCAGCAGAATAACGTGCAGTACCAAGGTCAGGAGAATGCATTCCCACACTATAACCAGCAACCAATCCCTCCATATCAGGTGAACTATCCTCAACAGCAACCACAGCAGCAGCATCAATTTCATCAGCCGGTGCCTCAAAACCAGTACTACAACCAATATCAAGAACCTCTGAATCCATACCCTCAACAAACCCCATATCAGTTTGATTCTTCTTCATCCCAGCCTTCAGTTCCAACTCAGCAGCCGTACCGGCTTCAACAACCTTTGAGTCAGCCCGTTCTTCCACCAAATTATCATCAATATCAACAACAATATAGTAATACATCATCACCTGCTCCACAATTTGCTCCAACTTTCCAACAATCATCACCATCAAGTGCTCCACAGCCTATCCCATATACTGAACCTGAGGTGATAGCAATTCCTTCACCCTCTCCTCCTTATGTCGCTCCTGTTCCTGCTCCTGTAGCACAACAGAGAGCGCCTAATATCAAACCCCAAGTACCACAGCATGTCAATACACCACCTAAACCACCTCAGAATCAAACAGCTTCAAAGGTTCAGGCTCCAGTCTATTCTCAGCCAAAACATCATCAACTTCCTCCACCAAAAGTTGATCAAACTCCACGTCAAGAAAAGAGGAAAGCTGAAGAACAACTCACGCCTTTAAAAGCAACAGTCAACTCTAGTCAACAACCAACTCCCTCTTTCAATGCGGCGCCTATGGAACCAAAATTACTGTCATCCAGAGGTTTTAGTTTTGACTACAGTAATGCCAAAGACAATAAATCATCACCAGCTCAAACCAAAAAGTCACTTAAGGATTCTTCACAGACCAAAGCTCCATCACAAGCAGAATTGGTTTCACTATTGAATAATGATAAAGTCAGGTCTCAGCAGTTATTAGACCTTTCTGACCAATTTTATTCACATGCTGTTTCACAAATGAAGAACATCAAAACAAAGAAAAATTTACAAGAGTTTTATACATTGATTCAACTTTCAATTTCATGTCTTGAGAAAATATTGGAGATGAAGAATAAAGTCAGTCTGGCGTTAAGAATCAAGTGTCATAATAAGCTTGGTTTCATTAAAAACAACAATTGTAATATTGATCAAGATTCAAGTACTTTAGAACACCATTATGACCAAGTTATAATGTTGTGTGGGAATAATTTCGAGTTCAAACGTGAGAAGTGCTTAGCACAAGCTGGTATTATTATCTCTTTGATTGATACTAAAAAATATAGGCAAGCTTTAAAATTTGTCAATGAGACAATTGAAGAATGGGGTTTAGAAAATGCTTCTCTTTTGGTTTATTTCAAATTACAGATACTTTTATTGAGTGAACCATCTCAAGCGTTGAATTTTCTTCAAAATTATATCTCTGATAATAAAACTACTAGTGGTATTACAAGTTTTTTCAAAATAATTGAAATTTGTTTGTCACTTTATAGAGGAATGAAACCAATGTCAACTCTTGAATCAATAGATAATACAGATTGGGCAGATTCAAAAGAAACTTCAGATATTCTGCTTCTTTTCACAAAGATATTGGTACAGATCAACCATAGAGATCTTGACTCCTCAGAAAAATTGGAATCATTATTCAAAACAGCTGCTGGTTCTATAAATGCTTTGGATCCGGAGAAAACCTTTACAGTCAATTTCCAAATACCTGGTGGTGATATTTTACCTATAGGTCTTGAGCCAATCACTTGTGAAAATTTGAATATATTGACTTGTTTGCTATATGGAATCACACTGCTAAATTCAACTTATGAGAAAAGAAAACCATTGAAATTATTTGATAGGGCACTAGGTATGATTGATTCTGCACTGTTTCAAATTAATGACCACCAAAAATCAACAACGTCTATCAGCAATCGAGTTTTAAAGCTCAACTATTTGAAGAACTTGACCATTTTTTATAAATTGATGGAAAGTTTTATTATGGAACCATATAGTTCCACGCTGGTTAAAGAATATGAAAAATCAACGGCTTCAATTCCTAAATATTTGCAAGAATCTGGTCAACTAAGAACTTTATTCGTATTAGGTTTGCAAGCTCAATTAAATAGTGACTTATCAAGAGCTAAGAATTATTACAATGAGCTGTTGAGAAAACATGAACAAGGTGAAAACTTAAAAAATGCTTCTCCTGATCACGCTGGGATTGGTAATGATCATTTTGCTCCAAAGACTATTTATTCAGAGCTCTACATCCTCTCCTGTTTGAATCTGTTATTGATTATTGAATCAAATTTACATTATTTTACAAGAACAGGAAAAACTAATAAAGTTGTTGAATCATCAAATGAGAGGAAAGAAATACTTGTGAAGTTGGAAAACATTACAAAAGCAAAGAATAATTCAATCAAAGAAAAATATTTGATTGATACTACAATCTCATTTCTTCATCTTGTTTATAACTATGATAATTTATCAATTCTTGATATCAATGTGAAAGTTTCAGAAATCTTGAATAATTTTGAAGCATTAAAGAGATTCCCATTATTATGTTCAATATTGTTATATATTAAATCAGATTCATTGAATAGTAATTCTGATCAGAAACAAAAATCATCACAAGTTTCATTCAATTTAGCCAAGTTGGGTTATTCGCCAATGATTAGATATTTATCAGGTATTTTGAATGGTAAGAATGCCACAATTGCAAGAAACTTACAACAAGCTGAAATCCAATCTCAAAAATTGAAAAAGATTAAAAAGGGATTTAGCCATCGTTATGACAAGATACATGATTGAGGTATATGATTGCTACGTTTCATAGAGTTAATAAATATAAAAACACAATCTATTTGGTTGTATATGTAACTTGATAAGGAAAACACAATTTGTAAAAAACAATTTTGAATAAAAAAGTATGCAAAATAAGAATTGAAAATAATAATATGACAGAACTAGTTTGAGGTTCTAGAAGATGTTGAATTTGTTTTCTTGAGACGAGCAGCAACAATAGCAGCTTCTGATCTTTGACTTTGTTCACTATTTTTAATATGACCTCTATCATCTAATTCCACTGTACCCGCACTTTCGAATAATGAAACTTGACCAACCAACAAACCTAAAGTTTCTAAAACTTGATTTGGATCACTCAAATGAGCAGTAGCAGCAGTTGGTAAAGAAGCTGGACCAACTTTAACAGGATAAAATCCAAAATTACCAAATTTTGCATGTTTTTGGAATTCTTCATCAGCTTCCCAATCTTTTTCAATTGCTTCCAATTTTTTGAACATATCTTCATCAGTGGCATCATCACCAACACACAAGACAAAATCAGGTAATTCTTCATGTTTATGGTTTAAATCATCAACATTACCATTCTTTTGAGGGGCACCATGTCTTGTTAAAGTTAATCTTTTAACAATTTCACCCTTATTAACAAAACTTGGACGAACTTCAACATTTGCCTTACCAGTCATAACTTCAACTTCATATTCTTTTGCAATTGTTTCCTCCAATTCCTTAACTAATTCTCTGGCTTGGAACTCACCCAATTCAGGATCAGCTCCTCTATAATGCCAAGTCAATGCAACTTTCTTCTTTTCAATATTTGATCCTGGTGTTCTATCAGTGAACTTGGTATAAATACCTTCAACTTTTTGCTGCCATGACATATCAACACTTGCAGCTAAATTAACCCAAGATGAATTAATATCTTTCATAAAGCAACCATGTTCAGCAGAAAGACCTAAATGAGGATTTTGACCCAACCATTTCTCTAAGAATTTTTGATCACGTCCACTAATAATCCAAATTTGATTTTTTGGATCTTCTGATAGTTTATTCAGAATACTAATTAATCTTGCTGAAGGAATAGCAGCTGCTGGATCTTTAACAATTGGAGTCAAAGTACCATCATAATCAAACAAGAATAAACGTCTGTTTGAATGTTTATAATGTTCCAATAATAAAGGACGGTTCAAAGCAGGTGTTAATTTTCTTTTATTATCACCTTCAATACCTTGTAATAAACTTTTCAAGAATTGATTTGTCCAATTTTGAATTGAAACAACATCTTTTGATAAATTTGTTTGTAAATGATTTTTTCTAACATCATCGAAATTTAAAGCTTCATGAATAGTTTTAGCCACTGCAACGGAATCCCAAGGATTAACAATTAAAGCATCTTTTAAAACACTTGCAGTACCACTAAATTCTGAAAGAATTAAAGGAGAGTGGTTAAATTTTTGAGCAACAACATATTCTAATGCAGTTGTATTCATACCATCTCTAACTGAAGTGATCAAACCTAAATCAGCAACTCTTAATAGTGCAAAATATTCAGATTTATCAATTCTCATTTGATAATGATGAACTGGAGTATGATTTAAAGAACCAAATTTACCATTAATTTGACCAATTAATTCAGAAACTTGATTTTCAATTTTTTGAGAGTGTAAGTAACTTGGTGAAGAAACTTGAATCAATATAACTTTATCTCTCCATTCAGGATACATTTCCAAAAAAGCTTCAAAAGCTTGTAATTTCTGAACAACACCTCTAACGGAATCTAAACGATCTCTACCAACAATTAATTTCTTATGACCATATAATTCTTTAATAGCTTGAACTTTTGTATCAATTTCTTTATTAAAAGCATCATATTCAATCTTGGCAACATCAATACCAATTGGTAAAGAATCCACAGAAACTGTATTACCATAAACACTAACTGTATTTGGTGTAGTCTCCGATCCCAACAGACGTTTACAAGAACTAATGAAATGTCTTGCAAATGAATAATTTTGGAAAGTAACTTTATTAGCACCTAATAAACCATCCAATAATTGTTGTCTTTTTGGTAATGCACGGAAATATTCACTTGAAGGGAATGGACAATGTAAAAAAAATCCAACAATTGCATTTGGTAAATGCATTCTAATCAATTGAGGTAATAATAAGAGGTAATAATCATGAATCCAAATGATATCACCCTCTTTATAAGTTTGAACAATCTTTGTAGCATAAGCTTCATTGAATTTGACATAATCATACCACCATTGAGATTCTTCTTTCCCATCACTTGCAGACCCCATAATATAATGGAAAGCAGGCCAAATGACATTTTCAGCATATTTTCTCCATCTTTGTTGATCTCTTCTTAATAACCAAACTGGATGGATGTTTTTAGTGTTGTTTTCTTTATTGATCAATTCTTCAATGTTTTGCTTATCCTCATTGTCAAGATAATATGGGTCATCTGAAGAATTATGATCTTTTCTTTCAATTTTCAATTCACCAGTCCATGCAATCAAATGATTATCCCATTCAGTTTCTTGATCAAGATAGTTGAATGATGATAATAAAGCTGAATTACCTGGAACATGTTTTAATTTCTATACTTTTGTTAGTAATTTGGTCCTTCAATTGAAAACCATTACATGGCAACTCTCTTGAAGACGAAATGAAAAAAAACATCATTTCAACAAGTGGAACCACCAATATGACACAGAAATACATACCCATTCATCTTCAGCATCTTCTCTATAGATTTGACTTGGGATGTTTGTAAAAGCATTCAATATTCTACCGCTCAACTTCTTGTCTTTGAAATCTTCAGGTTTAACGAAATTCTCAATCTTGGGATAGACAAACTTTGCCCTTTCGGTTTCGTTAGTCATAGCTAGTAATGCCTTTTTCTAATAATTATAACAAGCTCTTTCTGTTGTTGTTTGACGACGAGTTGGTAATATCGGTCTAAAATTTCAATAGTAGCAATGTGGAGGTGTCAGAGAACAAATTGTAGAAAGTGTCTCGTTGAAACAGATCAGGATGTATAAGTGATTGTAAAGGATGATTTGAGTTGTAATTGTCCTCAAATAAATCAGATTGGTACTAAAGCAAGCTTTTTATAAAGAAACGGAGGTCAACTGTTGTTGATGGTGATTATTATTTCTGTTTGTTGGCGTATCAACTGAGTGAGCTTCTAGAAAATAACACAGGTTGCTGGCGGAAAACCATGGAAATGGCCCAATGCGGTAATTGTCCATATCCGGCCAGGCACATACATTTCTCTACAGGAAAGAAAGTGGAAATTGTTGAATTTATGACGTTGTTGATGAGTTTATGGATCCTAAAAATATGGTGCACTTGCTGGAATATATTCATCTGAAGAGAGTTGGGTTTGATAGCTCTCATGGTGGTATTCATTAGTGAAGTCTTGCAACGGATGCCGTAGCTTCTTGACAGATCTCGTTTTTGATGGTGGTGATGGGAATGATCTTTTGGAAGTTTGTGATTGTGAATTATGGATCTGTGATAATTGTATGAAGCTAAGTGATTCTGGTTGTGTTGGGTATAGTTCTTCTAATTCATCTTCAATTTCTTCAATTTCAACAGTGGTATCTTCAACCATAGGAACTGAAAATTGGAGATTATCATTTTCTTTATCCCAGTTTTCATTATTCACTTCTTCAGATTGATTCTCAATGTTTGGTTCAGGTGTTGATTGTATATCACTGTTTTCAAATTGATTTTCATTGAGTTGAATAACTGAGCTATCATTCTCCTCATCATCATCTTGTTCATTTTGATTATCTTCGATAGACTTTTCAATCTCTGTAGTTCTAGTAGTTTGACTTGCCATTTGTGAAGACACTTCATTAGTTAGATCATCTGGCAGTATATCTTTTGCTGTACTGATACCTTTATGACGAGGTGAGGAATTCATCAGTAAAACAGGGTGTTCATTCATAGCTGTAGTTCTAATTTCAGTTTCCTCATTTTCAGAATCTTCAAAATCCTCTTCTTCTAATGAGAATGAATTTGAAGAGTTTGATATTAACAAGTTCAAATCTTTTGAAACTTCCACCAAGCCCTTTGATGATTCTTGGAAACTTATAACTTTTGGTGTGTGTATCTTTGAAACTAATGAATTGAATTTTAAATGAACAAAAATTGCAGTAGTTGAAGATGATGATGAAGATAACCAATCTCTATACAACATCATTCTAGCTTTGAAATATTGTGACCAAAATGGATGATCTCCCATGGGTGATACTAAGATTTGTTGATAAAATCTCTTCGGTTTTTGTGATGGGTTCTGTGAAGAAAATTGTGCAGATGATGAAGGTACTTGTGATGATTCATGTTTTTTCCTTTCAACAAATGACATGTTCAGAATAGTTGAGGAATTGAACAATACACAAGATGCATCATTAGTGGCACAATAAGTTGAGATTAGTTTCAATAATGTCTGGATTGATCTATTTTTCTTTGATTCTAATGCATTTTGTTTGGATTTTAAATGTTGTGGATTAATCATAATTTCATGTTCATCAAAACATCTCGTAATACAACTCATAAAATCATCAATGATTATCAGCGAATATTTAGTTTTTTTCAAAGGTAATGATTGTAAAAACAATAGTAAGGAACCTATTGTATTAAGCCTTATATGATGAAGATTTCCCAATAGTTCTTGTTCGCACATGTCACGTAATTTTTGTAATGGAATTGATTGTAATGTACTTATCCATAACACATGTTTACCCATTTGTAAACAGTTATAGGTCAGCTGAGCAGCTAAGCTTGATTTTCCCGACCCATTTATTGCAGATATTTCATACAATGAACCACTTTGGAATCCACCATCCAGGGCTTCATCAAAGTATTTGATAGATGTTGATATTGGTGGAGTTGAACTTGTTCCTATGAGTTGGGATAAAGACTGAGGCGGTAGTCTGTGTATGGTGGTTTGTGAGGGAGTGGGTATGGAAGACATTGTTTCATATAAGTGCCATAATAATGAGAAAAGACGTGAACTTGGAGATATTGTAGTTTGTTTGATTTATTGTTTACTAATTTTGTTTTGTTTTGATTTTGGTACGCGTGCAATTTTTTTTCGCGATCCATACAGATTGGAATATTTGATGGGTTACATTAAGCAGCAAAACTACAAAGCCAAAAACAACATATTAAATAATTAGATAAGCCAATATAATATATATAATACAAAAATCAAAGAACATTAAATCATGAAGAGTCATCACAAGAAATAATCAGTTGCAGGTTTTTTAGACGGTATTGAACCAGCATCTTGTAATACTGCTTCAAAGATTTTATAATCTCTATTCAATTGATCATCAATAGTTAATACAGCAGCAACATTACCACATCTATAACAATAATTTGGAGCACTCCAAACCGTGACTAACCCACCATTAAATAATTCCTTATAACCTTCCATAACTAATTGATGAGCCCTTGCAATTAATGAAATATTATTTTGATGTAAAAATTTATCAACTTCATTTCTACCGAAAAGATAACCAGCACCTCTTGGACTTATCCCCCAATTTTCCACATCATCAGGATCAGACCATAATAAATCACACATTGCACCTTCATGAGGGACTTCTTGCTTTCTATCAATTAATTTAATTTGATTTATCGAATCTATATCTGGAGATAACCCACCATGAACGCAAAAAACACCACCTTCACCACCAACAAGTGCACCAAGGGCAAGGTAATCAAATACTTCACAACAATATCTCCATACATTTGCAGAACCATATTTTCTGATACATTCATCATAAAACCCATAAACAGTTGTAATTTGTCTTGATTCATGATTTCCTCTAATTAAAGTGACACGATCTGGATAACGAACTTTTAAACATAATAATAATAAAAAACTTTCTAATGAATAAAACCCTCTATCCACGAAATCTCCCAAGAATAAATATCTTGCCTGTGGACATTCACCACTATTTTTGAAAAGTGTTAAAAGATCATGTAATTGACCATGAATATCACCACATATTGTCACTGGAGTGTCCACTATTTGAACATTTGCCTCTTTTATTAATAGTTCTTGAGCTTTCATGCATAGTTCATATACATCTTTTTCTGAAATTGGTTTGCATTGTTTTAATAAATCTATTGATTTATCGAGATCTAACATTTGAACAGATTGTTGTTGAATCTTTCATGGAGATCTAGGATAGGGGGAGATTGATGAGCTTTGGGATGATAAGTGTACTTGGTATGGTATGAAGGGTAATTAATGATTAAGGAAATGATAATAAGTAAAAGTTTGATTCTATAAAAGAGCCACTACAAGATGAGTTGCACGTAAATTTTCGTGTCAAAATTAATGAGGTTCGCGAATTGGTTTTCCGAAAGCAGGGTGAATTTCAAAATTAACGTCGTCTTACGCCAGTAACTGTTTGATTCTTGGTTGAACAACATTTCTGTCCTTGGTGAGAAAAAACTAATTTTTAGTGCTTAATTGTCATATCCAAGGAAGAGCTCGTTAAGTTATGGGTTTGAAATTTATATATTGGGTTTTATCCAGGCTTGACACCGAACGACTCCTAATTGTTTAGATATCTTCTTTCACTTATTTGAGGTAAGTTTAATGTTGATGTTTTTTTACAAGTCTCTAATTTGCAATAATTCAGCAGATCCGTTACGAATTAATCTAACATCAAAATGCTTAGTTCAGTATAATATATCACATCAGCGCTGGCTCCTGTTAGGAGAACTTCCATTATGTGAAATAATCATTTTGGCAGTTCGACAGGGGCCCATTAGCAAATCATCCACGTAAGATATGATTATGATCTCATCCTTGGCATTATATAACTCCAACAGTCTTCTTCAGTGAACAGTGATTAATTTTTTATCAAGTTGATCCAATCATTAGAATTTAGATTGTGGTTATATCCAGTTATTTCATTTGATAGTTTGAATCATTACAAAGTATGTATGATTGATCACATATTAAATGACAATACAAATATTTTCAATCATTATAATTGTAGTAGGGAATGAAATATCAACGATATTATCAATTCAAGTCCTTTCAACTTCAAATCAGGATGGTAATAAAGATTATAAGAGTTAGATTTCGTATGCTCTTTTATCGTCGAAAGTTAAACTGTTATACTACTTCTGGCATATTGATACAGCTATCATTGATGCATAGTATACCTCTTCTAATAGGTTCCTATAGCTTCCAGACTAATATCTATCTTCGTGACGTCTCTATCCAAATAAATTAACGTCGATAGATGAAATATATTTGCACGTAAAATTTCGTACCAAAAATGATGATGATGATTATGATATGGTCGCGACTTGGTATTTCCAAAAGCAGATGGTCCATATGAATGAAGTTTGAAGGATCAGATGTTGAAAAACAAGAGAGACTGGTGAAACAATTATCTCGTCTATTGTGAGAAATTACCCAATCTTTAGTGAGCTGTGGTCATAGCCTAGAAAAATCGTCCTTAAGTCACTGGTTAATTGGAATTTGGTCTTATCCAAGCTTGACATCCGAACACCCCAGCTAGGGTGAAATTTTTCCATTAAATTTGTTCTTGCTCAATGTTAACAATACAATGACAAAGAGTGGCCGTGGCTCCTGTTAGGAGAACTTCCATTATGTGAAATGATCATTTTGGCAGTTCGACAGGGGCCGATTAACAGATCGTCGACATAATTTCCTAGCAATTTGCCGGTGTCTCAATTCCATCAATCTTCTTCAGTGAACCGTGATTAGTCTTTTATCAAGTTGATCCAATCACTAGAATTTAGATTATGGTTAAGAACAGTAATTTCATTTGAATGTTTGAATCATTACAAAGTATGTATGATTGATCAAATATTGAATGACAATACACATATTTTCAATTCAATCTTTTGTAGTGAGAAATGAATCATCGAAATTGACTCAAGTCCTTTCAACTTTGTATCATAATGGTAAAAGGGAGTGAGATTTTCAATATCATTACACTCTTTTACGATCTGTTATACTAATGTTATAATTTATACTAATATATAGCATCTAATTAATTGTATCACTACGTCGACGTTTGTATATTCTATCTTCATATTCACACGATGCTTCACAGTTTCCAACGTCTTCGCGAATACACAACTGAAAAAAAAATGAAAAAAAACTACAAGTAGATTCAATTTATTTTGTTCATTAAATTCATAATCATTAAAGAAGAATATTCACCATGCCTCTTCATTTATCCTTGAAAAGATTATCAGGTAATCTTATAGCATTAGCCACCAGATAAGAATTTTCTTTATTTGCCAACCCAGCATAAGCATTATACCAAGCAATCAAAGCAGTTATAATCCCAAAGACACCACCAGCTTGATTCACTGCAACATTCTGAGTAAATTTTGCAATAGCCAATAATAAAAAAGTTATAGTTAGGAATGCAAACAATCCCATAAATGCTAACGTGGACTTCATCGTACACATTGTCAACCCCAATGTAAAAATACACCATCCAATCAAATAAAACCCCACGGCATTTTCCAATTCAATTGGATCATTATAAGCTTTTTTAATACCAAAGAAATCAATATAAATGGCTCCAAAACTTAACCAAAACCCACCATAACTACTCAAAGCTGTCCCACCAAACGTATTATTCAACGCAATTTCCCACATCCCTGCAAATAACTGAATCAATCCACCATAAAACATTGCTAATCCAACAACAACATTCGGGGTCTCCACGGATCTAGCTTTTGTATTGACAAGACTTAGCACAAAAGTTGTTAGTGCAAAAGCGCTTAGTCCCAAAGGTGCAGGGTTTGCAAAATTGTATGAAGAAGGTCTTGAATAACCAGGTGTCAAGGATCCACCAAATGCCTTGAGCATATCAGATTTAAGAAATTTCTTGCCGTCAATTATAATGAATTCATTATCAGTACCTGATGTGGTTATGGTGTAAATTAGGTCAGCACCGTGTGATTTGGAATTGTTTGAGTATGGAGTTCTTGAATTGACAGAGATTGGGTTGTTTTCATAATAACGATCATTATGGTCTAGATCATAATTTTCAGAATCATCAGATAAATGAGATATTTGGGCTTCTAGGTCCAAGTCTAAATGTTGATCTTTGACGGGCATTTTGTTTTGAGGTTGTAATAGTATTGTGGTTGTTGTTGTTGTTGATGAATGTTTATTGAAAAGTTTTTCCTTTTGGAGGGGGAGGGGCATGATTCAGTATAAATACTTTTCTTAAGACCAAACTGCAATGTGTTAATGTCCGACAAGAAAAGGTTTTGTAAAAGGGATCTTGCTAGATTTTATATGTATGTGTACGTGTTCTTGGTTTTGATTTGACAAGTGAATCATGATACCTGGAAAATTTTTTTGGCCCCCAATTCCGAATCATGGAAAATTAAAATGTGAAATGCCATGCAAAGTGAAAAATTAAAGAAAAAGAATCATATGGTTTGAATGTTAAAAAGACACACAAACTAAAGATGAATACTTTCATCTGGTGATGTTAGTTGTGGATGTGGTACTGGATGTTATACTGGATGTTGTTAGTACTATCAAGTTGTGTTGTGTTTGTTCCTGTTTTATGAGCCCTAGTGGATGGGATTGCAATTGGGTGTTGGAATGAGGGTATGCATGAGGTAGAAATAGAGTCATAGGCAGGAGGCTAGCCAGGTGTGTAACTATTGTGTTTAATCATGGCTTGTGTATAGATATTAATGATACAATAAGTACAAATGAAAGGATTGGAAAGGATTGGAGGTAGTATTTATATATCCATGGGCAGAGGTAGTATCCCCACTTGGTGATAGTAGTTTATTCCTTGATCGTGGTTTGTGGTGGTGGATGTTGATGAATTGTGGTGGTTGTGGATTTCTGCTGATGGAACAGGGCCACGGCTGAAATGGGGGCAGCCGTGCAACGGCTGTGCACTGGAGTCCGTTTGCGAGAGAAGGGTAGAGACTGGTATTGGAAGAAGATGGTAATGGTGGGAGATGGTTATAGTAATGTTATAGTATAGTGTAGTGTAGTGTCGTAGTGTATCAGTATATTAGTTTATAGTATTGTGGTTTATTAGTTCATTAGTGTTTCTATATTTTATCTTGCCAGGCCCAGCCCCTCTACACGGGATCACACAACAGACTCCTGGGCACTCTTCACTGGGCAGACACTGGGCTAGAGAGACTGGGAACAGACAAGAGACTCTTTATCAGACAGTAGTACTACTATCACTATCCTCTATACTTATTACTATCACCATCTTATTCCCTTCTTGTATAGATCTCTCTAGATCTCTCTACCTTCTCCAGATCCAACGGCTGAACATCCCACTAAAAATTTCATTTCCCGGTTAGAGAGTCTCAGCCTTGCCTACCTTGAAAATTGAAAAATGAAAAAGTGTTGATGGAAGGGAAAGTATGCTGGTTTGAAAGGGTTTGATATCAGGAAAGTGGAGACACTTAAGTGTTCAGAGAGTATAAGAGTACTGTTAGCTAGTCTATCAATGGCTAACTATTAAGTTGTTGTTCAGAAACTCTACGAAACTTCTAGATGTAAATTAAACAGTACTGTTGGTACGCCTTTCACATGGCCTACAATCATCCTGAAAAATCATTGCATTCAAAGATCAAACGAATCGTATACGTTCTTCAACATATAACAACTCATCTCTTTGAATATGCATCTTCTACTCTATAGATAATATACTAAACAATATCAATCAAAAGGAACTCATGATGAGCCTTAATACATTGAATTGATCTTTAGTAAATCATATCTATCCCTATATTAATCCATGTTAGTCTTCTTTTTCCTCATCTAATCAATTGAGTAGTATCATTCATGTTCTTTGAAACTAAAACGCTGAGTATGCGACTCCATTTCATGATAAATTACCTAGAATTGACCTCAACAATTGCTTAATTATAATACATACCAGCTGAATTAAAACAGACTCTTTTATAATAATATTATATTGATCCATCAGAAGTTTAAAAGGTGATTATTGCAGTGCGCCAATCTAATGAAAAACAATATTTCAACAAAAAGATATAATGCCGATTCATACCAATGGGTTCGTCGAATCATCCCGACTGGATCAATCCTCAACCTAATGACATCTACTCGTGTATGGATAGAATATCACCATGTGTAACCAATTAATACACGAGTTCGATTATGAGTTGGATGTCACAAATGCTTCCATGGATAACGGTTTAGTAGTTGTAAATTGTAAATTTCAATTGGCATCAAATTTTCAATTTTTTTTTTTGCCTTTCGCTGATTTGAATTCTGAGTGCTCAAAATCTCGCGACGTAAGCACTAGTACGTACTACGTAGTCAATCATGATGTGTATTATTTATAAGTGACTCTATATTCTATAAGATCAGATATTGAGCTGGCGGTGTATATGGCATTTCAACCTGGTTCAGCTATAAGGTCGTCGTGGAAAGTATAGGAAGCTGCCAGCTGCTCGAACATCACGTTCAGATATTGAAGAATTTTTGTTCTCGACAACGACATCATATCATAACTGACATATGATCAGATAACATGACTATATGTTTTCATTATATTAGCGCTAGTGTAGAACTTACAATAACTTAAATCTACAACTAGATAACTAAACTTATCCTTGCACTCTTCAATAGTAAAATTGTCTATTCAAAAGGAAAATAGATATGTATACGTGATTAAAACATATAACAATATCAATACCTTTTTGAAACACTATGTAGTTTTGAATCAGGAGTTCAAAATGACAAATATGATCATATCAAGTTTGCATAACAAGGATGAATTGAACAAGCTAACTTTGCAAAAAAAAAGATAGGAAAATACAACCACAATTTCATTTGAACAATAATGATCCTGATACATATCATGAGAATAGAATTTCCACAGAGACGCAAAGTTTAAATGCAAAATTTGTAAGCTGCTTCAAATAAATAAACAAACAGCGTTATACGGGATTGGAAGCTGTCTGATCTGTATCAAGAATCAAACGACCACTAAAATTTTCAAATGGTTCAGGAATCAGGACCTTGAATTCGCGAAATTTGTTGTACACATTGGAACTTTGAGGCCAAAAGAAGAAGCCAGAAATTGTATTCAACATTGACAATTGATTAGTTTAGCTGTACCTAATAGTATTACTTATGAATAAAGAGCTACAAATAGTGTGAATGTTATAAAGAAAATAACTATTCAAATCATCAATTAATACTGTATACGTTATTTCTCCATATAACAAGTATCAATCCCCTTTGAATCAAATTGGATTCTCATAGCTAATCATCTATAATAATACTTCTAATGTACCAATTGCAGTGTAACTACCATGTAATACCTAGATTTGATTTTATTCATAGATCCAGTGAGACTAGCACAACTAATCTTACTAAAAAGCGCCGAGATTGAAACAGTGCTTCTTGGAATGAATGTACTTGGTAATTATCATTATTTAAGTTGAAATTTACGTAAAATTGTTGATGACTTATGACTTTTTTTAATGATCCCAACGGTACGTCTAGCAACGACCAAATGGTGGTGCTATTCATGTGTAAAAGATGTGGGAGTTGCAGGGAGTTCGTGTGTTTTTTTTCAACAGTTCAACATCCGCGAATTTGTGTAAAGAAGTTAGAATCAACTTAATGAGTAATTGCAGTGAAATTAGTGGATACTTCAATTATAGAAAATAAGCTACAGTAAACCTATGATAAGTCTTAAATAAAAGATAAAAAAAATTGTGTATATTGCATCAATTCAGGTGGATAAATTTACACTAGTGATCATCAAGAAAAACCAACTAGATCAATCATTATACACACCTTGAATGAATGAACAACATCTTGAGATTTTTCATTAATCTATTGTTTATCCAAAAGATATTGTACATTAATCACATGAGGATCAATTTCAATCTTTAAAAGATATAACGAGTTGAATAATATTAGAATGAAGCTGGTGAAATACAAGGCTCATCCAAAAACTTTTTTAGGAACTAAGCTCTTGTAAACGGCGACCAGGCACTTCTTGATAAGCCTGTATGGGGACGAAAAGAACTTATAATCAAAAATTTATCAAAATATGTTCATTTTGAAAGAAATAGAGATTTCGTTCATGGCTACCCGATACATGAGACCATACAACCATTTTTTCTGCAGTGAAATTTTATTTTGGATAGCAAAAAATGCTAGTGAAAGCGATCATAATAAGCTCAGTACTTCAAACATGAAACCCAGATACATCGGACAGTAGTTGTATTGAAAGAAGTTAATTGAAGTGTTGGGGATTGCTTGGAGTTGTTAAAATTTTAAATCAGCAAGGGGCTTGGTGTTTGGATGTACATATGGTTATAGGCAAGCTCAATGTGAGCATTCAGTGAATTGGTATAAATTACATGATTCTTTATATGCTCTAGCTCCAGTGTGTGCTAGCTGTTAGGAATGTATCCATTGCAATCAACTGGGTTCCATTTTGTTAATTATCAGCTAAGAGAAAGGCTACCAAATCAATAATCTACAAAACATGGAAAAAATCAAAACAAGTTAAATTCAAATCATCAGTACTACTGTATATGTAATTTCTCCATATAACAAGTATACCATATTTAAACCAATTTAAAGTAGGGGTCACAACCACCTGACCAATAATATTGTTCGTTTTAAAAGTACCCCGGCTGGTGTGTAATTTTTTTTGCAATCTCCTAAAGCTCCCAGAGCTTGCAGAATCTTGACATTAAATAACCACCATAGATACATTTGGACGCCATATTGAGTTCAAAAGGCGTAACCTAGAAACAGAAGTCATTCAAGCTTGCGGTTTTTTTTGGAAGTTAACAAGAAGCAGTAAACCTCCACCGTAAGTAGTTGATCTTTACCAACCTATAACTGGGCAGCTAAACATTCATATAGCCGACAAGAAAAAGCAGGCCATATTAAACTAAAATTAATAATCGGGACGCTTTGGAATCAATGTAGGTGCAGTTAATTTGGAGCATTAGATGACCTATTGCTTTGAAAATATCAAAAGTTCTATCACTAGTCAAGTTTACTTCTCGACGCGTTTTTTTCAAATATTTTTGCAACAATATCGCGAATGGGTCGAGAACAGGTACTTAATTACAAAGATGAAGTTAGAACTTAGGGTATAGATTTCAATTACTATCTAAAAGATTATGGTCAATCCCAGGTATCTTGAGTCTACATGATTCAAGTACAAAATAGATTTGGATGTTTAATTTATCCAAGTCATGATTATCTTGGCAGATATATAGGCTTGAATAACAACAAATCTTCTGTTGATTTAATGTTTTCATTGTGAAAGATATTGTACACTGAAAAACTGCCGTTGTCAGCTTCAACCTTCAATCAATTAAACTTTAATCAATATAAAATGCAACAAAAGATCAATCATGAAGTTTAATGGACGAACAACAAATATGAAATTATACTGCTCATGACGACAAACAGATCAATTGAGAATTAACAGCTGTGACCACTCAGCGACATCAAGTCATAAGATGGTCTGAGGCTTGACCCCCTTGTATATTACTAGTGAAAACAGGTCTCGAATACATAAACAAATACGTGAAAGATGGTGATCTAATGGTTTATATTAATATGATTGAAGAATTGAAAGTTTGAAAGAAAAAAATTATTAACGCGACTGCCTTTGAGGTGTACGGGTGTAATCCAGGCAGTTTATCAGTCCTACAAAGCTAATCAAGTACATGTTGTATAAATGAAATGTATATTGATCCACTCTTCAAGAGGTACACTGTAATATTTCAAGTATAACCTGTGTTTGAGAATGATCAATTATATCAATTTTGTAGGTATATGAATATTGAAGATACATGAATGACATCCCCCAATCAATTATAAGAATGACACCATATTATAGAATATGGCCATCCTCATACAATTGATTTCAGGGCTGCTCAACTATACTTCAATGTAATTAACATGGGAGCTAATAGTCAACTGAGTATTAATGTTCAGCAGTGTGATTATATTTCACAAGCACATATGGTAACTGTAGCTGTCCACGAATTAGAGCATATACCGTTCCTAGTATGCTTTTTGGATCCTGAATAAAACGCTTCATCTTCTTGTTGATGCATCACTCGAGGGTATATGGAGCTGTCGCGTACCAAAATAATGACTGATGTTTTAACTTGTTCATCAGGGGCAAGTTAATTTTTGAAAAAAAATGTATATTGAGTCTTGACACATGGCTTTATGACAGCCCATATTGTTTGCCAGCTACACTTTGAACTTTGATACGCAAGAATCAAATAATTCTCATTTGTTCGACCATTCAAGTTGTTATTGAATACTAGCTACAATAAAACCAACATTTAGTTATAATCTCTCCCCATTTATTTACAAAATGTGATATTTATATACATTTGTTTAGTTTGTCTCTTTCTTTTAATCTATTTGAAACTTTAAATCATCATTGATGTTAAGATCTGAAGAAATAAAGATCTCAATTTTTATTAACAATTTGAACTAATGATCCATCTCTTGATTCATTCAATAAAATTTCATCAACAAATTTTTCAGTCTTTGCTTTACCATGTTGTAATAATAATGCACCAATTAAAGCTTCTAAAGTTCTAGCAAAGACCGAGTCTTCACCAGAAACTTCTGAATTTGTGATTAATGGATCTCTTTTCTTCCAAAAAATGGAATCACCAATATTTGAAAAACGTATAAATTGTGCCAATACATGTTTTGAAATCAAATCTCTTGCAGGTTTTGAACCCAATTGTCCCAATTCTAATCCATTAACTGCATATTGTGAGGATAAATCACCATTCCCATTGATTGAAAACAATGAAGTTTTATATTTTAAATAATGTGAACCAAATATAGCCAATTTTTCATTAAATGGTTTAAACCCATGAGCAAATGATTTATGAGTTAAAACTTGTAAAATTAAATTATTTGGTAATTTATATTCATCTCCCAAGAATTTTTTCAAATTTGATAGGTTCTCTTCTTCTTCACCATATTTTTTACCCTTTGGAGATAATAAATATTCAGATTCATCACGTAATAACCCACGTACTCTTGGACCTTTGTGTAAATATACTACTGAACGAGATGGATTTATTATACCTGATGATGATGATGATATTGATGATTTGAAAAGGGATGGGGTTGATGTGGTTATTAATTTCCGTATGCTATTCATGATTTGTTGATTCTTTCTTTTTGTAGGTAGATATTGAGGGATTAAGCAAAAGCACTTGAAGTGAACAACGCTATGGACAAAAAAGATATGGTGGTGGCTATATGCAATCTCTCTCTTGGTCAAACAATAGTCTTGATATTATGTACAAGCTGTAGACTGTTTTCAATTGTGGGTATTTTCCAATTCTTCCTTCAAAAGTGAAAAGTTTGAAATTTTTTTTTCGAATCGACATTTTTTCGAAAAAGCGTGAGATTAGTCATTTGTTATGTAATCATAAGTGTTAAAATTATATGAAAAGTGAGTTTATGTTACCTTACAAGAGATTCACTTCATGAAATAATCAATACTTATACCAATTGGCATATCTAGTTCTCAAATATCTGATAATGATCACCTCTTTACTAACTAAACTCACCATTTATTGTGCAATTTCGCTCAAATTCTAATCGTTCGAGTGTTGCGCAAACCGATCCAAAGAAAAATTTATTTTGATTTTAGAGCAGAGGTGAGTTGAGTATTAAAGAATTTATAGCATTAGAACATACTTTCTACTGAAATATAGTTAAAATGGATATCTTTAGAGTCTTATCCAGAGGTGCTTCATTGAAGAAATCAAAAGACATAGTCACAGACTATGCCCTTCCATCAGTAAGTGGAAAGCCCACCAGAATTACATCTCAAGTTCATGTACTAACTACATATAGGAAAAACAAAATGCTTCTCAAAAGAAGAAGGAACAAAATATGAATAAAGAAGTTGAAAAAGAGATAGACTTCTTTAGAACTAGAAAATTCCATGATTTAGCCAAATCTGAAGATGATGTTGCCAAAGAAGAAGAAATTTCTAAAAAACATCATGAAATTGATCAAGAACAAGTTGAACCACCACCTCCAAAAATTTCAAATGAAGAAGATGCTAAAATCTTGAGAAAATCATATAGAGCAAATGTTACTGGTGATGATATCCCACTGCCTATTGGTTCTTTTGAAGATTTGATTAGTCGTTTTGAATTTGATTCAAGATTATTAACGAATCTAATAGATTCAGGTTTTACAGAACCAACACCTATTCAAAGTGAAGCTATTCCAATAACATTATTTGATAGAGATGTTTTAGCATGTGCTCCAACAGGGTCTGGTAAAACTTTGGCATTTGTGATTCCAATGATTCAACAATTATTACAATCTAATAAAGAACAAAATAATGGACTTAGAGGTTTAATTATATCACCAACAAAAGAACTGGCTCAACAAATATTTGATGAATGTAATAAATTAGTCAAGAAAATGCCTTTAAAAATTGCAATTTTATCAAAATCACTAAGTTCAAAATTGAAAAATAATATTATTAAAAAAGATAAATTTGATATCATAATCTCCACACCTCTAAGATTAATAGATCTTGTTAAAAATGAAGCATTAGATTTAAGTAAAGTGGAGCATTTAATATTTGATGAAGCTGATAAACTATTTGACAAGAATTTCTTGGAACAAACAGATGATATTTTAACACAATGTAAAAACCCAAGTTTAAGAAAATCAATGTTTAGTGCAACAATCCCATCAAGTGTTGAAGAAACTGCAAATAGTATAATGAATAATACAGTAAGAGTGATTATTGGTCATAAAGAAGCTGCTAATCAACAAATTGAACAAAAATTAACATTTTGTGGTAATGAAGAAGGTAAATTAATTGCAATTAGACAATTAATTCAATCTGGTGAGTTAAAACCTCCAGTTATTATCTTCTTACAATCAATCACAAGAGCCAAGGCATTATATCATGAATTATTATATGATAAATTAAATGTCGATGTTATCCATGCTGAAAGAACTCAAATTCAAAGACAAAAAATCATTGAAGGTTTTAAAAAAGGTGATATTTGGGTATTAATCTGTACAGATGTTTTAGCAAGAGGTATTGATTTCAAAGGTGTTAATTTGGTTATTAATTATGATGTTCCAAACAGTGCTCAGGCTTATGTTCATAGAATTGGTAGAACAGGTAGAGGTGGTCGTGAAGGTAAAGCTATTACATTATATACAAAAGAAGATTCAATTGCAATTAAACCAATTATTAATGTTATGAAACAAAGTGGATCTAAATATGATGAATGGATGGATAATATGACTAAAATTTCTAAAAAGCAAAAACAATCCATTAAAAATGGTCAAATTAAAAGAAATGATATCAGTACTGTGCCTAAAGTTGTTAAAGAAAAAAGGAAAAGAAGACAAGAGATGATCCAAGCTTCAAAAAGAAGAAAACAAGGAAAACTTGAAGATAAAGATTCCGGATCTGAGTCTGAATAGAATACAAAATTAGCATTGCATTGACACTTACTACATTTGTTCTCTGTAGAAACTAAATCTCATTAAGCATAACTTTTTTTTGTTTGTGTGTGTGTTTTAAAATTCTAATACAAAAAAAAACATAAATCTCTTTCTTTTGTGCAAAAATTTACTATATGAACAGAATATGAATTACATTCTCTAAAACTTCCCCTATAAAACCCTTCAGATCCACTGAATGATTAACTTTTCTTTAAAGAATATTATTATTGTCATGATGATATTAACTAATGGTGACTTGGAGCTGGACCAAAACGTGGGTAACCAACTAATTGACGACGGCCAATGATTTCACCTAATGAGAATAAACCAACAATTTGAACACCTATAGCACCATAGTTTAATAAATCATTTTTATTTAAACCTTTGGCAAAAGTTAAAACTTCTTTTGGTTTTGTTGAAAGTTCTAAAGCTTGTTTATATAATTTTTGATAAACTGATTGGAAGTCAGCAATTGAAGGTGGAGATAATTTTTCTTTCAAGTAAACTTGTTTAGCTAATTCACCAGTAACTTTTGACCAATAAATAGATTTGTTAACAGTATTTGTAACTTTTTCAACTAAACCTTGAGCAGCATTTTGAGCTTTGGCAACTGATGAATTGAAACGAACACCACGGATAAAAGTCTTTTGGACTGAGAAAGCAGAGCGGGAGAACATTATTAAAAGAATTTAAATCAAACACAAAGTTCTATAATGGAGATCTAAAACCTTTCCAATCATCACCATTTTGGCCAAAGGTTTTTCTCCCTTGAATTGATGAAAAAAAATTAGCGAAGACTTCCGAGGGTATTGTAATTCTTTGTGTTGAGAAGTTCCGAGGGCAGTTGTTGGCCAATCAAAAAGCTGAAAATCAAATTGGGAAATAATTGGTCAGCTGACTGGTCATGTGATGGAGCAAAAATTAATCAATATATATTTAGTCTTCTTAAAGAGTTATAACTTAGCTAGAAGTAGTGTATAGGTATTTAATTGAGATCAATTCATTCTATCAATCCGATTGTCAATTATTAGCTTAGTCGTTCAGATATTATCACTCATGATCCTCACGGGTACAATTGATTGTGTCAAATTCCACGACAAATTCAACTCACAACCTGAAGCCCACCTGATGGAAAGAAATAACTAGTAAAATTACCACAACTTCAACCAATTCCAATCCATTTGAAACCATTCTAATCAACTTCATGTCCATTTTCCATCTTTTAAATCTCCCAATTGGGTCCTAAAACCGAGAGTTATGGTGAGCTCCGAGGCCACAATTGGTTGCGCCTATCAGAGAAAAAGGTTAACTGTAGTACTAAACGATAATTTGAGTGTTATAACCAGGTATTTCACCATTTCGCCTCGAGCAAGAGTATTTTATAATTAACTTATCCCTTGATTACAATGTCAGGTTGTTCTGAAAGGTATTCTTTCCGCTTGAGATACCCAATTCAATTCAAGAAGATGACATCCAACAAAGGCATCAGATTGAGTGAAGACTCATTCAATGAGAAAAGCCAATACTATGATGTTGAGGCTCAGCCAGTTAAGGCTGAATCTGAAGGCAAAAGATTCAAAAGATTAAGCTTCCTAAAGATCAGTGTTTTCATTGGAACATTGTACTATCTATGGTTTGCCAATATTTTATCATTTAACAATTATGGTTCAATTGCTCCATTCGATCAAAGAGATTTCAACATTACTGAATTATCAGATGCTTATTTAAACGTTTTACAACATTCAAATTTAGCTGGTAAATGGTTGAAAAAATATACTGCTGAACCTCATTTAGCTGGTACAAATTATGGTTTAGTTGAATTCACTGCAGAAAAATTTGAAGAGTATGGTTTCACAACAAAAATTGATACTCATAATTGTTATATCAATTATCCTGGTAAAAACAATACTTTGAAAGTCTTGAAGCCTCATGGTGATGAATATAAAGTTATTTATCAGCCAACTTTAGTGGAGGATGTCTTGAAAGAAGATCCAACTACTGATGGTGATGACTTAATTCCTGCATTCCATGGTTATTCAGCAAATGGAAACGTTACAGGTCCTTTAGTCTTTGCAAACTACGGTACTAAAGAAGATTTCAAATTGTTAGAGTCCAAAGGTGTTAATGTTAAAGGTAGTGTTGTCATTGTTCGTTATGGTAAAATCTTTAGAGGTTTGAAAGTTAAATTTGCTCAAGAAGCTGGTGCAGTCGGTGTTATTATTTATTCTGATCCTGCAGATGATTATGTTCCAGAAGATGAAGATTCTTATCCAAAAGGTCCAGGTAGAAACCCATCAAGTATCCAAAGAGGTTCTGTTCAATTCTTGTCAAGTTTACCAGGTGATCCAAGTAGATTTAGTGATAAGACCCCTGAAGCCTTAGCAGAATTGGATACTATTCCAAAAATCCCATCATTACCAATCTCTTATAAAGAGGCTGAACCAATCCTAGTTCAATTGAATGGTTATGGTTTAGATTTGGGATTCCATGGTGGATTATCAAAATTCAAGTATTCAACAGGTCCATCTCATAATCAAGTTAATATTTTCAATAATAACACTTATACTTTTACTGATTTATGGAATGTCTTTGGATTATATGAAGGTCATGATACAAATGAAGTTATCTTACTTGGTAATCATAGAGATGCTTGGATTAAAGGTGGTGCGGGTGATCCAAATAGTGGATCTGCTGCGTTATTAGAAATTGCAAGAGCTTTAGGTGAATTATTCAAATTGGGTTGGAAACCACAAAAATCTGTCTTGTTGGCATCATGGGATGGTGAAGAATATGGTTTAGTTGGTTCAACTGCCTTTGCTGAGAAATTTTCAGATGAAATTGGTAAAAAAGTTGTTGGTTATATTAATATGGATGTTGCTGTTAGTGGTTCTCATTTATCTTTGGCTGGTTCTCCATTATTAAATGAATTCTTGTTGGATATTGCTGATCAAGTTTCCTATTCAAGAACTAACCAAACCTTAAAGGAACATTTTGTCAATGAAAGTCAAATCCATATCTTGGGTTCGGGTTCTGATTACACTTCATTCTATGAACATTTAGGTGTTACCTCAATTGATTTAGGTTTTGGTAATGGTAAAGGTGATCCAGTATATCATTACCATTCGAATTATGATTCTTATCATTGGATGGAGAAATTTGCTGATCCAGGTTTTGTCTTGCATAATTCATTAGCCCAATATATTGGGTTATTGATCATCAATTTATCTGAACCAAAAGTTTTACAATCTTATCAAGCACATGATTACTCTGAATCTATTTATTCTTATTTTGATGAATTAGTTGAAAAAATCCCAAAGAATTGGTTGCATAAATCTGTTACATTAGAAGATGAAGAACAAAGTTATGGTTGCCATATGATGAAGAAACATCATAATGTTACTCTATCATCATTGGTTAATTCAACTTATCATGAATTGAAAGGTTTCATCAGAGTTAGTAAAAAACATGATCATTATACAAAGACTTTACAAAAAATTTGGGATGAAGATATTTCAAAATCTAAAAATCCATTCAGAAAATTCATTTTCAATAGAAAAGTTAAGAATGCCAATAATAAATTAAAGCATTTGGAAAAGGAATTTTTGTATGAAGATGGTTTAAATGGAAGAGATTGGTTTAAACATGTTGTTTTCGCTTCAGGTAGATACACTGGTTATGCTGGTCAAAAATTACCAGGTTTAACTGAAGCTTTAGAAGACCATGATTTTGAACAAACTGCTCGTTGGATTGGTATCATCAAGAAATCAATTAAAAAGGGATTGATAAGTTTAGTTGTTTGATACGTATTACCAAAATTTATGATGTGTATATGAATAATAATCTATATGTATGATCTAAATAATTGTATATCTATACAACTGTCTTCAAAAATGCAACTAAATTGTTACAGAATGGAGTTGTTTCAAATTTTTCTTGTGAATACTTTGAATAGTTGACAAATTGATGAATATGAGTACCGTTTGGTTCAATGTGAACATCTTTTGATTGGACACCGATTTTATCTTTGAAAGCTTCAATCATATCTAACAACACTTCACCATCACCATATTGGTAAAACACTTTGTTTGGCAAGGCGCCCTCCCATTTAGCAAGTTTCAGTGGAGATGCTAATGGATTTTCAGGTTCAGAAGTGTATAGTGACCCCCAATAACGGACAGCTTCGTATGAAATATAATCAAATTGTTCATTCTTGATGAAAGAGCCTTTCTTTTCAGCAGCTAAATCAACCCAAGGTGATAATAGTACGGCAGCATTTGGTTTAACTTTCAATTTTAAAAAATTTTCTAGTTTATTTTGAACTTGATATAAAACTAGAGAAGCTAGATTTGCACCTGCAGAATCACCCATAATGATGATGTTTTTATAACCATCTTGTTCAGTTAGTTTGTGATAGACATAAAACACTTCTTCAATTGGAGTTGGGAATCTAGATTCAGGGGCAACTTGATAATCAATCAATAGGATGGATAAATCTTCATTATGTAGGGCTCTGTAAGTTTTAATTGTTGATCTAATTTGAGATTTTTGAGCTTTTAAAGTAAACCCACCACCATGAATGAAAAACAAGATTGGTGAATCTTTTGTTAAATTCTTTGATTTGATAATCCATCTGGCTTTTGATGTATACTCTTCATTTGAAATCTCTGGAAATTCATTCTTTTTCAATAACGCTAGTATATCTTTTAACTCCTTCTCATTCAAGTTCTGTCTAACGTCCAAATAACTACCAGTTTTGGCGATCCAACGCAACTTGTTCAAGCCATAATTGAAAGTCTTGTTCCTGACCACAAAGTTGTATAGAAGTGTAAATGGGAGAGTAGTGTAGTATTGGATCCAATAGTTCAATGTAAACATCTTTAGGGTGTTTTAAAGAAAGGATTCAAGATCTGATCTGAAGGTAAAATTAATGGGTATTTATAATTTCGATCTCGGTTTCGAGATGATGTAATTGTGTCAAAAGAAAAGAGCAACGGAGACAAGTTTTTCCGGGGCCAGCTACAAGTCAGATATTATGTAATTCTCATAATTAATAACTAATCCCAGTCCATAGCTTTTAATAGATTGATGAAATTTTTGCAAAAAGGTGTTTGTTCAAACTCTTCTTGTGGTAGAATAGCATACTCAAAATACGGATGAACATGGACTCCATCAGGTTCGATGTATATATCTTTATCATCAATACCAACTTTTTGAGCAAAATCAACTATTGAATCAGCTAATATTTCATGAGCACCATAATTGTAGAAAACATGTTCAGGTAACGTACCTTCCCAATCAGTTAAGCTTGCAGGTGAAGTTAAAGGGTTGGTAGTAACATCATCTGTATAAGAGTCTGACAAGATTTTCAACCGTTCATATGAAAGATAATCATAAGGTTCATTAGTGATTACGCTTCCCTTTTTCTCAATTCTTAAATCGACCCATGGCGATAAGAACGCTGCTCCTTTTGGTTTTGTTTGAATTTTCAAGAGATTTGGCAATTGATTCTTTAATTGATACAACAAAATTAACTCGATGTTACCACCGGCAGAATCACCTAATAATAAAACATTCTTAAACCCATCTTGATCTGTTAATTTGTGATAAACATACAATAATTGCTCAATTTGAGTTGGAAATTTGGATTCTGGTGTAGTTTGGTAATCAAGACCAAGTATTGAAATCTTTGGATTTTTTAAAGCTCTAAATGTTTTAACAAGCCCCAATATATGACCTTCAAGAGTTCTCAGGTTGAAGCCACCGCCATGAATGAATAATATAATTGGTGAATCTTTATTTAAATCATCAGCTTTGAAAATCCATCTTGAATTTGAAGTGAACTCTTCATTCGAAATTTCTGAGAATTTTTGTTTTTCATCATTCAGTAATTCTTCTAAGCTTCGATCATTGATGAGCGTTCTAGCATCTTGCAGTGAAGCATTCGATCTTGCCCATTTGATTGTTTGAGTCTTGAAGTTGAAATTTTCATAATCAGTGATGAGCTTGAACAATAAATGCAACGGATATACAAGCAACAATTTGAGCTTAAACTTGATTGATAATCCCATAAAGTTTGGCATGATGAATACCGGTAGATAACTGTTGATTCTTTAGAAATAAAGCTGAAAACACACCTTTGGCTAAAGAAGCTTGCTTTTTATACTTTTTCAGAAAGGCAAGAAATTTTTGTGGAGAACTTGCGGCGCTTAAAACCGCGAAAAAAAAACCCTGCATTAATCACTTCTTCTTTTCAACTTGTTCTTCAATCAAACAAATACTATTTCTATCACACCATTCTTTTAACATATCATAGTTAATGATAATTCCTCCTTCTTCTAAAGTCCTATTCAGTTCTTTAGTTTCAATCGGTTCAAATGTATAAATCTTCTCCATAATTTTAGGATTTTCCAAAAAAACATCATTCAAAACTTGGAAAACATCAGATTTAACAATATTTTGTGAATCTGTTATATTTTGAGATTGAGATAACTTTAAGATTGAATCTTCTTTCAGAAATGCATCTATTTCCTTAATGGATTGAATCATTTTAATTCGACTCTTTGCGGGTTTCAAACCATATTGAATAATTTTCCTCTTCAGTTCCTCGGTTGAAGTCTCCTCCAATTGTAAATCTAATGCTTGAGAACTTTCACCATTTAGTTCCTTGGAAGGGCTAGCAGAACTTAAAACATCAGGACTTGATGGAACTTGTAATATACTTTTTCTTGATTTTTTGATAGTTTTGGTGATTTCAATCAAACTTATATCATTTTCATCATCGGAGGAATCTGGAATTTCAATCTCTTCATTTTTTCTTTTTGAAGGTATAACTCTAGCTTCATAATTTGTCCAAGGTGATGAAGATTTCGTTGTTACATGACCTTTATATTTGATAGTTGTTGTAGTTGTTGTTGTATCCATCTTTTCTGGAGAGTTAACACCAGATTGTCTTGCTGTGCAGTAAATGCTCTGAGATTCAGCTTCTGTTATTTGAGTTTTTAACGGTGAACTTTTACTTGGTGATATCAGATTGGGTATATTAAAAGATTCTTGTGTAACCAGCAAGTTTTTCTTACTCTTGATTGGTGTTGTCTTTTCAGAGATGACTTTCTTTGGAGATAACATTCGAAAGCTTGTCAACTGAGCACTTGGTGCCATATTTGTGAATTGATCATGTGTTTGTTTGGTTGGATGATGTTGAGATGATGTTAGTTGAGTTTCTTGTTGTGTCAATATTGGAGATGAAGATTGAATATGGCCACCAAAAGTACGTCTTGGAGATGATTGGGGAGTTTGGGCAGATTTTAAATCATAATAAACTTGAGATGAGGAAGCTTCAGCATTTTTGTAACCGCCAGTCTCAATAAGGTTTTCTGAAACGACATTATCAGATTCCAAAGTTTCGAGCTTGAGCTTTTGAGAGTTGAGATAGTCTTTTTGTGAAATCTCCAGTAATCCTGAATCCTGATCTGCAATATCATCTTCATTATCCTGTGATATCTGTCTAACATCAGAACTAAGACTGATGACATTTGAATTGGTCTTGTTGCTATTTGATTGAGCTTTTGAGCTTTCAAAAATAAGATCTTGTGTAGCCAATGGATTGAAACTGTAGACGTTTATATCTGACTCTTTTCTTGGACTATTGGATAGTAGTTGATCTTGTTCATCTTCATTCTTGCCTTCGTCTTTCTGATGAATATTATCTGTTGATATCTCTATCAGAGACCCCGTGGGCGAAGAGCAAAGCACCTCTTCTCCATATGTACCCCCTTTATAACTCATCTGGCGCTCAGAGACTGGTAGTTTGCCACTGCTAACGTATCTAATTCACTAAAAGATATGTATAAAGTTGAGATCTGTTTACACTAAAAAACCTTTTCGCGACCATCTCGTTTTTTTGGTGTGTCTTTGTCAGCGCTGAGTAATCAGTATAAGCTCAAAGTTATTTACGAAGCAGTTTGAGACTGGATTTCCGCTATTAGAATTGATTATTTGTGGTATTAAAAGTGATTAATGTTCTTTTCATCATATGAATTATTGACACTGGTCCATTGAACCAATAGTAGCTTTTTTGGTGGTTGTAAAGCCCCAAATTTGACCTTTCGTTGCTTTTTTGATTGGACAAAAAGAATGTGTCAACCTTTGACAGATGAATCCACTAGAGTTGAGAAATATGACTCAGTCACTCAAGTTGCCAATGAATTAGCAGACTTATAAGTTTCAAAAAACATCAAATCCAATCCCATTAACTCTTTATTTTTCAACTTTGTGCCATCAGCTTATACACGTCTAATATTTTTCACACCCAAACGGTCATGGTTATGGACAAGGCCGTTTTTTTGAAATTCCCACGATTTTCCAAAAGTATTTCAAATCAAGGTGGCCAACTTCTTTCGTTAAACTCTTTCATCACACTCAATTGATTCAATTCAGTACATAACTTTACAATGTCAGACCTCGTTGGTAAACCATTCCCAGAAGGATTCCATTTCAATTACGTTCCATTTGATGAAGAAGATCAAAAAGATCATTTATCATGTAAACGTCCAATTCAATTAAACTTGACCCAAGATTACTTGAAAGGTAAAAAAATCGTCATCACTTCAGCTCCAGGTGCTTTCACTCCAACTTGTACTTTGAGTCATATCCCAGGTTATATTGAAAAAGCTTCAGATTTCGTTTCAAAAGGTGTTGATAAAGTTATTGTTATCACTCAAGATTCTGCATTTGTTAACAGTGCTTGGGGTAAATTATTGGGTCAAAAAGTCCCAATTGAATTTGCTAGTGATTGGCAAGCAACTTTTTCCAAATCAATTGGTTGGACTGTTAATGCTGGTGAAATGGGTACTTTAACTGCTAGATACACCATTATCATTGATGATGGGAAAGTCATCTATGCTGAAAAGGAACCAGGTTCAGAAGTAACTGTCAGTGGTGCTGATGCTGCCTTAGCCAAGTTATAAGCTAGTGCAAGTTTATTTTAGCCTTTAATTAGTTAAACTGAGTATCTTTAGACTCTCAATTGTAGCATTTCTTCAATTAGTAAGGCCTTACAGTGTAGGTTTGCTAGGACTTCGGAGATGGAAATAAAAAAAAGGTGAACCATAAACAATAGACAACTTGTTCATCTTTATTACCAAATACCACTACACTAACAATGGGTGAATTCAGAGGTTTCAATCCCACTATTCCAGATGTGTTGCCACATGAGAAGATGTATAATCTTCAAATTGGTGATAAGTTATTCGTTTTAAGGTGAGTTAAACAAAGTGTTTCAAAAGTCGAAGGGCAAATGTATTAATCCTTTTGAATTAGTGGTGCTTCATTATCATCTGATGCTCCATCATATTTCACAAACTACTTCCTAGAGAGAACTGAAGATAAACCTTTATTCATTGATAGATCGCCTCAAAGTTTCCAATACATTTACAATCATTTACAAGGATATCATAGTGAAATTCCAAATGGTGATATTTTCACAAAAGTTTATAGTGATTCGATATATTATAACCTACCAAGGTTGAAAGAACTATTATCAAAAGATGAGTATTACTATGTTGAAGTCATGAATGAATGTATCAAAGTTCCTAAAGTTGTATTGAGATCAGAAGGAAATTTTCCAAATTTTTTCAACATTACATTTGAAGCATTATACAGAGATCTTAGTGAATTAATGATATCCAGAAAATTGATAAGACCTCCTCCACAGGCTGCTCCACAGTTGAATAGAGATGCTGGATTGTTAAAAGATTTGATTAAATTGTTACAGGGCGTTGAATTGGAAATGACAAATGATTATAAGAAAGTGTTGAGAAAAGAGGCAAGATATTATAGATTTAATGCATTGGTGGAGAAGCTCAGTTATGTAAAGATTATAAAGAATCCTATAATTTTAGAAGAATCAATTATTGTTAATTATAATGATGTTGCTTATAAAAACTTTACAATTGTGGATATTGACACAAATGATGGTGAACCAATCCTCAAAAGGCCTAGGTTAGATCATGTTTCAGACAATCAACATTATACAAGAACAATCAAATATGAAAGAAGGTATTTGGATAAAGGTGAGTCTAGAGGATTGATTGTTGAAATTGATACACCAGAGATTATTGCAGATTTGGATCAAGAAATATCATCAAATTCAGCTAATAACCTCATTAAGAAAATACACTTATCAACGAAAATCACTTCATTACTATCAAGATGTTTTAATCATTTCAATAACATAACTGGTTATGAATTTGGAAACCAATCAATCTTCAATATCTATCAAGGTCAAATAATCCTTGACAATATTAAATTAGAACATCAACAAGATTGTCAAGGTAACCTTCGTTTCAACGATGTGGATTTCTCATTCAATGATAAGAAAAGTTCATTATCCCTGGACTCATTCAATGATTACGAACAATTATTATTTAAGAAATCATATTGGAAACTAGACATTGGAATAAACGATGGTGAACAAAAATTTTATGTCAATTTCACGCCAGTCAAGGTTGAAGCAGTTGCTAATACAAAGGCATCCATGTATAGTTGCTTAATTTGAAGAGACGTGGGAGTATCATTTGATGTGATGATGATATATGTAGTTCATTTATAACATGATAATCATTACCACTTTTGTCGAATAGGACATACATAGAATTTCCTATCTTTCCAAATTCAATCTCATTTGATGTTCACATGAAGATCAAACTACACCCACACAACTTTTCCCTCAATTCCCATGTCAATGAAGTGTTCTCTATTCTCTATGCTCTTGAAGATAACAAACAACCTTCACATCAGCAGAGCATACTACTCCTATTCCAGTATAATCCACTGTAATCCCGTTTTAGCCAATCGTTTTACCTGGAATGGAATTTGCAATTCCTGGACAAGCATTTTCTGGCGACAAGCACCCGACGACGGATGGTAACCGAAGCCCAAAAAAAAATAGTGCGAAATTGGAAGTGAACAAGATATCAGAAAACACAAGCTAGAAGATGATACAAGCTATTACAGAAAGAATACAATAATTTTTAGCCAATTAATCCATTAAAACGTTTATTTTACATAAATAAAAAAGAAAGGTAAGGTATCCAGAAGAAGTAAAAAATTTATTGTCTTATCATTATTAAATTTCAAAAAACTTAGAATAATAAAGCAACACCGGCAGCGATAGCAGCAACGGCTGGGACAGCTTTAGCAGCACCAGCTTCGAATGATGAAACGTGTGGGGTGGTAGCGTTACCAACGGTTGAGGTAACTTTAGCGGTTTGAGTTGAAGTGTTTTCTGGAGCAGAGGTTGATGGAGCTGGAGCTTTGGTGGTTGATAATGGACAGTAAGTGGTGTATTCAGTAACAACGTTGTCAATGGTTGAGGTGATAACAGTGACACCGGTGGTGACTGGGACTTCTGAACATTTGTTTTCTTCACATGAAGTAACAGTGATAACAGTGGTTTGGTTTGAGTAAACTTCAGCAGTTGAAGTAACGTTAGCGTAAGCAGCTGAAGCGACTGAAACAGCAGCGGAGAAACCTAAAACTTTTGAGAATTGCATTGTTGTAATTGAGCGAATGGATAGAGTTGGAACAAAGATTTGATGAAGTTATGAAAGAGAAAAAGAGAAGGGGATTAATTGGAATCTTGTTCTTCTTTATAGTTTTTTTCGGAAGGGAAAATTTTTCTGAGAAATAGAAATTTTTCGATGTTGTTGTTTTTGTTTTGTTTATGTTTCAGGAAATGTCCCGGCATGCATCATTTCAGGACATGTACACCGAAACGGGAAAGGCCCTGCCCCAAACGGAGAGGTGTCCTACTCCTTGGGCGTGGAATGTCCGGACAACACGGGCAAGCTTTGTGGACATCTTGCTGCTTTCGGAAACAGGCGAGGACAAGTATGGCAGACGATTTGCCACTAAACTTATTTTGGGCGATCTTGTACAAAAATAGTCGTGTAGATGAAAGTGAGATAGAGAAGGGTGTTGATGGCTGGTGGGTGAGGAAGCAATTGTAGCACTAATTCCAAGAGTATACGCTACTTACGAGATGAATTGGGCTCTGCTACGTTGTATGGGTCTTGCTTTGTGGGAAAGAATCAGTCATTTTTGAGGCATGTCTTTTGTATTGTGTTTATGATTATGTCATATGACTGGTGGTTATTTATAGCACCGCTTAGTGTTTTAAAGTGTGTGGGAGCGATCTGATTGGACCATAAGCCCATTTTTAGAACTTCTTTCTCAAACTTTCGACTCAAAGTCAAGATTGACGAAGCAGAAATGTTTTTTTTTGTATGGAGAGTTCTGTATCATCAGATAACCTTTTGAGCTGATAACTTTTTTTAAGCTATTTTGAAGTGTGATGATGGTGAATCATGAATATCTTTACTACAAAAGTTGTTTCTTTTCTCGTAGAATTCATGAGCAATTTGCTATGTAAATTATTTGTGAAGTGCACTGTGTGCTATTTGGGTCATTTTGGGATTGCTATGAGATCTATTTCTATGAAGAGAAAGGTTTTGAACTCTTGAAGATACCCAATTTTGTGGGTTTCTATTTTTCAGGCAAATATGACAGAATCGATTTAAGCGAGCTTTTGACTTGATCTAGCTGTACAAAACAAGTGAAGTTCCCTTTTCAGTATGATTCATCTCTTCAAATGAAACGCTGGCTTGTCTCTTATTATTTTGTAGTTCTAGATCGAGTGTATTTTAACCTTTTGTAAACCTTGTTCCTACTTTCCTAGCCCTTTCCCTGTAGACAACCCTATCTCAAACAACCCTCTTTGCAACTTCGGTCTATGGCTGGCTCTTGGTAACGGTTGCCCCTGGCTAGCGTAGCGCTTCTCCGTGTTGACATCTACGCTCAGCACCCACTTTGGGCAAGAGCAACGTGTAATTCTGAGTCTGGCACGATCTCGAATCTGGTCCAGTGTAAACAAACAACAAACTACTGGTCAAAATTTCACCATAAACAGCATTCGAGGAGAAAACGAGTGGGTAAACTTGCTGGATTAAAGCGTAGCATGTTGCAAAGTGGCAGCCATCTTGTCTGTCAAATTGCACACCTCATATCAACAGCCATACGCCCTTAAATCTCACTACGATTTTGTTCGAAGGAGGGTCCTTACAAAAGCCCATCCACTAAATTCAACAATAAGATCAACTCTGTTATAGGTACAACCTATGTTTATACCCTTCATGAGCTATAACCTCATGATTTCTCTACCAACCCCATCATCTCACGCTTCTTCATGATTGTCCTGTCTTTGTCTTTTGTCTCTGCCCAAACACGCTCAAAAGTTTTCTGATCCCAAAACAAAACAAAACTTTATACGCGTTTGACTAATCGCCCTAATGCCTTAAAACGGTAAAATGTAAACAATAGGACAATTGAAAACATAAACAAAAACAAAAACATATAGACAAATCGTACACTTTGTCCATACCTATGGAAAGAATGATCGGGAGAATTGATGATATGATATGCCCGTACATGTGGTGGATTTGTGTAATGCCTTGTTTACATTTTCATGTACAGAAGATTAGGGTTTGATCGTTTCTCATCAACAAGTGAATGTTCGAATTTTGCTAATAGATTGATAAATAAACAAAATAGATTTATGAAAGTAATACCATATTGTAGATCTAAATTTTATAAATATTTTCCAGTTTTTTTCATTAAGTTTAAGCCAATATTCATTGAGATATTTGAGTTTTAATTTTTTTTTCCAAATCATTTTTGATCTATAAATTTATAAAGTTAGATAAAAAATTACGACATCGTCCTTCTGTACATAATTTATCAAAAAATTTTCCAACTTTTGACACATTCCCAATTTTGCGGTAAAAAATATAACTAGCCAATAGAAATCAAGGTCGTTATTCTCATGATAAGCTTTTAAAACGGTACTTTGCTTATGTTGTTGTCGTTTTAATGCTTCTTATAGGTTTTGAGATTGACCGAGAGTTTGTATAGAGGTATATGAAGACCAATACCATATTTAAATCGCTAATGATTTACATGATTATAACCAGATTGAATAAAGGAATAGCTTTTGTATACAACATTTTTTGTTTAAGTTTGTTGTTGTTGAGTAATCCCTGCTTGAAGCTGATTATTTACATTTTCGTTGAATTCTCGACTCTTCAACACATTTGCAACAACTACAAGACAACAACAAACACCAAACCATGTGTTCCAAAGTTCCAACTTACGGGAAGTTATTAATAGAGATGAAAACAATTTCTATGTAAATGGGCTACACTCAAGACTAGACTGATAGACATTGGTTGTTTATTTCTTCACTAAAAAATCCTACAAGCTACAAGGGCACAAGACCATAAGAGACCTCTAGTACTTTAGAGAAGTGGTCTTTTTGTAGTGTAACTCAAACGAAAAGAAATTTTCACTTAAGAAAGAAGCCCAGGCACTGAATGGGCTCACTGTCTTATTCATTGATATTCAAACAATTCAGCTCTCTTCTAGATTCATCAGTTTGGAGATTACCAGTTACCAACTCTATCATCACTAAATGACCAGAAGGATGAAAGCCACAACAGCGAAAAAGAAACCAAGATAGACCTGAAGATTCAACATTTAAGGCTGGATCAATTATGAGCTGGTTCTTCAATCACTCAATCAGAGATACTCTTTTGCGTAGAGTATCCAATTGTAGTTCTTAAGCATGTAATCTCCACAAAGGAGTCTAAATCCTTGAAAATAATGCCTTTTTTGGTAATTCAAAGCCCATAGTAATCCAGTTACTCATCCAAATTCATTTAATCCACTCTAAAGCATCCTATTCCCACTCAACACCTCCCAATTCTGCTCATGTCTATGGTTTTCGTTATGGCAGATCTGAATTTTTAGGCCCACTGCTGAGGTAATCAAAATAGCAAAAAACCAAAAAAAAATTAAAAAAAAAGAAAAACAAGCTTCAACGTCAACATCAACAACGACAACAACGCACTTTCACAAAAGAAACTAATTACAACACATTTGAACCATTGGGGGAATTCATTTCAATCTCATAAACCTCAATTGAACCTCAATTAACAACTAATACCTTCCCCAGTTAAACATAGCTGCTTTAACGTTTATTACCGCCACATTATTGTGTCTATATTTTGGCCATCCATCCCTCAATTGAATATACCCTGGATTTTATTACACAACAAACTCTAGACAATATGTCACAAGAAGAATTCATTCGTACCCAAATATTTGGTACAGTTTTTGAAATAACAAACCGTTATACTGATTTAAACCCAGTGGGAATGGGTGCTTTCGGTTTAGTTTGCTCTGCAAAGGATAAATTAACTAATCAAAATGTTGCTATAAAAAAAATTATGAAACCTTTTAGTACTCCAGTTTTAGCTAAAAGAACTTATAGAGAATTAAAATTATTAAAACATTTAAGACATGAAAATTTAATCACACTTGAGGATATTTTCCTAAGTCCATTAGAAGATATTTATTTTGTTAATGAATTACAAGGTACTGATTTACATCGTTTATTAACTTCAAGACCTTTAGAAAAACAATTTATTCAATATTTCTTATATCAAATCATTAGAGGTTTGAAATATGTTCATAGTGCAGGTGTTATACATCGTGATTTAAAACCTTCAAATATCTTGATTAATGAAAATTGTGATTTGAAAATTTGTGATTTTGGTTTAGCAAGAATTCAAGATCCTCAAATGACTGGTTACGTTTCCACTCGTTATTATAGAGCCCCTGAAATTATGTTAACATGGCAAAAATATGATACAGAAGTGGATATTTGGTCTGCTGGTTGTATATTTGCTGAAATGATTGAAGGTAAACCTTTATTCCCAGGGAAAGATCATGTTCATCAATTTTCAATAATTACAGAATTATTAGGTACCCCACCGGATGATGTTATTGATACTATTGCAAGTGAAAATACTTTAAGATTTGTTAAAAGTTTACCAAAAAGAGATCCAATCCCATTAACTGAACGTTTTAAAAATGTTGAACCTGATGCTGTGGATTTATTGGAAAAAATGTTGGTTTTCGATCCAAAGAAAAGAATTACCGCTGCTGATGTATTGGGTCATCCTTATTTAGCTCCTTATCATGATCCAACTGATGAACCTGTTGCTGAGGAAAAATTCGATTGGAGTTTTAATGATGCTGATTTACCTATTGATACTTGGAGAGTTATGATGTATTCAGAAATTTTAGATTTCCATCAAGTTGATAATAATGGTGGTGTACATTAGATTAAAGAATAAATAAAGCTGATTATAAAGGGATGGTGATCAATGTGTACTATTAACTACTAATAACCATAAAAATAACTTTTTTTCTCAATTATTTAAAAACTAAAACTAACTAGATTTATTATGAAGCCTCATGTGCATTGACTAATGAGTAAAACAATCCTTCCTTATTTTTCAACAAATTTTCAGGACTATCAAATTCCTTAACTTCACCTTTATCTAAAACTATTATTCTATCACTATCCATAATTGTATTTAATCTATGAGCAACTGTCAAAATGGTTCTATTTTTAAACTCTTTTCTAATAGTTTCTTGTAAAACTTTATCAGTTTCAACATCAACAGCAGCTGTAGCTTCATCCAAAATTAAAATAGATGATGGAATTAATAAAGCACGAGCTAAACACATCAATTGTCTTTGACCAACTGATAAATTAGAACCACCTTCATTGATACGAACATCCAATCCCAAATCTTTATCTTCGTCTTCATTCATCTTGATAACATGTTGTTTCAAATGTGATAACTCCAATGCATTCCAAATTTCTTCATCAGTGTAAATATTGGTTGGATCAATGTTTCCTCTAATGGTACCTTCAAACACTTGAGAATCTTGTGGAATAATTGATAATTTATGTCTCAAGTCTTGTAAACCAATTTTTTGAATTGGAATACCATCAATTATAATTTCACCTTCAGCAGCTTCAATTAACCTAAAGATTGAAGTAACAATGGTGGATTTACCAGCACCTGTACGACCAACAATACCAATTTTTTCCTTTGGATTGATTTTCAAATTGATCTTCTTTAAGATTAATCCTAAATCTTTTCTATATCTTGCTGAATAATCTTTGAAGATGATTTCACCCTTTGATGGCCAATGAGCTGGTGGTTTTGGTTCCAAGAATTCAGGTGCTTCAGGTTCTAATTCACTATATTCCTTAACTCTTTCCACACTAACAATGTTAGTTTCAACTTCAACAGTCATTCTAACAATCCAATTCAAGGATTGAGTAATTTGTAGGGAATAACTGACACTTAAACCAACCATACCAGCTGTGATTGCACCAAATTTCAATGTTAAGATACATAACCCAGCGGCACCGATGATAATGATTGAACCCAAAAATTCTAATCTAACGGCCAACCAACGATTTGCATTAATACTTGGGAAATAAGCACTCATATTGTTATCAATTCTGGATTGATTGATGAATAAAAATCTAGCTTCTTGAGCAAAACCTCTAATAGTAGCAACACCACCTAATGTTTCTTGGAAATGAGCATAAATTGGAGATCTTGTGACTGAATCTAATCTTCTCAATTCTCTTGAAGTTCTCAAATAATATTGTTGATAGTAAGAATATAAAAATAAGACAGGAATAATGATGAAGATAAATTGCCAAGTTGAGTAACAGATAACAAAAATTGTGAATGAAACTTTAATACTATTGGCAAAAAATTGTGAAAATGTTCTAGCTAAAACTTCATCAATCTTGTAAATATCATTTGAAAATCTATTCATGATACGACCAATTGGTGTAGTTTCAAAAAATTGCATTGGTGCTCTCAAAACACTGTTTGTCATTGCTGAGTGTAATACCTTAGAACCTTCAATAGAGCAGAAAACCCATAAAATAACAGTTTGGAATAATGTAGCTAATGCAGAACTAACACCGAATGCGAAATAGATACCTAGATATTTACCAACATTTGGATTATAACCCAATCTTGAATTAACTTCGGACCAATGTTTCAACCAAATATTACCGAAAACTGACAACAACATTGAAATGACAATGAAAACAATAAACAAAACAACATATCTTGGGTTACAAGCTTTAGCATACTCTAAATAAATATCCCATTTCACTTTACCTTGTTCACGATGCTCCCTTCTTGTGTCTTTAGCATCATCATCAAATCTCATTGGTCTTAATGATTGGAAACTTGCTCTTCTTAAACTGTTTGCATCACTAGTGATTTCAACATCACTTGCTTCTTCAGATGAAATTAAATCATCAACATTGACATTTTCCTCCTTAAATTCTGGTGCAGTTTCCTTCATGTTACCAAATTCTTTGATTAATGCGTATAAGGCAGTGCTTGAATTTTTAGTAACTTCATCATAAGTTCCCTGTTCAGTGATTTTACCATTAGACAACAAAGTAATACTGTCAGCAATTGTTAAAACAGAAATTTTGTTAGTGGCTAAAATCTTGGTCTTTGTGTTCAATAGACCGTTTGGACCCAAGACATGATCAACTAAATGTTTACCAACGTGTTCATCAACAGCAGCCAAAACATCATCTAACAAATAGACATCAGCTCTAGCATAAACAGCTCTAGCTAATGATAATCTTGCCTTTTGACCACCGGACAAGGAAATACCTTTCTCACCGACCAATGTACTATCACCATCAGTTAAAATTGCAAAGTCAACAGTAAGGGCACAAGCTTTAACACATTTTTCATAAAAGACTGGATCATATTTATGACCAAACAAAATATTATCTTTAACTGTACCATTCATAATCCAAGGAACTTGGGCAACATATGCAACATTACCATGAATATCAACAGAACCTTCAACTCTGTACAAATCACCCAAGATACTTTGAATTAATGCTGATTTACCAGAACCAACCTTACCAACGATACAAGCAATTTCACCTTTCTTAGCAGTGAAATTAACATTTGATAATGCAACTTTATATTCAGGTTTACGTTGCCAAACAAAAGTACCATCATTAACCTTGACAGTAACTTCTCCCACCTTGTTAGCTTTTGGTAAGTGATTAACTGCATCCGGTTGTAGTTCTTCTGAAGTCAAAAAGTTGTACAATCTTCCAATAGCGACTGAAGCTTCAACAAAGGCTGTAATGGCCATTGGAACAACAGCTAATGGGAATGATAGCAAGTTAAATAGAGTTAAAGCTGGGAAAACAATATCGGTTGATAATGGTTTATCTTGGGTCAAAACAAAAACAGCAAATGTGGAACAGGAAACCAAAAATGGTGCAATATTAAATTGGAAATTTGCAAAAGCTGTGACAACACCCATTTTTTTCAAGTTTTTCAATTCTTTGTTATTTCTAACATCGTTAAGTTTTTCTTTGTATGGAATTTCCCATCCGTAAAGCTTCAAGGATTTGATATTGTTCAAAATTTCACTAATGACCCTACTTCTTTCATCTTTATTCTTCATTTGAATTTTCTGTAACTTTTTCAAATATCTCATAATGATAGAATTCAAAGGAATCATTATAATCATAATGAAAACACCAACCCACATACTGTTTCCTAATAATTGATATAAGGAAACAAGACATAAAATAATTTGAAATGGACCTGACCAAAGAATTGAACCAAATTGAGTCAAATCTTGTAATCTTTGAGTATCAACCGACATTAAATTAACAATATCACCAGTGGCCTTATTACCTCTCTCTTCGTTGGACAAAAGTAATGATTTTTTATAGATAGTGGCAGTCAAAGAGGATTTCAAATTCATACCGACGTTGAAACATTTCAAAAAATATTGATGTAAAAAGGCAGTTTGTATAACAGAAATGGAAAACATACCAACAACAATCATGAAACCCTTAACCAAAGGTTGCTCTGCACCATCATTATATTCAGTAACGAATTGAATCAAAAATTTCAACATCTGTGGTTGACTGAATTGCAAAACATCTTGAACCGCTTTGAAAAATCCACCTAATAACATTGATGGACCAAAAGCTTGCAATAGAGCCAAGGCCAAGGAAGGACTAGTTTTATTCAATTGTTTGTCCCATTTTTTTTCAAAATATGATTGAATGTAGGAGCTTTCGAAACTGTGTGGTAATCTTGGTAAATCTTCTTCAGTTAAATATTGTTCGTGGCCTTTTTTCATTAATGGAGTCATCCATGAGAATGTCAAAATAGAAAAAATATTTGCAACATCAAACGGACTAACATCATCAGCCAAAGCATTATAACCCAATGTTGGTTTTGATGGTAACCAAGTAAGCAGGAGAATGAGAACTGAATTGATAGCTGTGAACAATGATACGATGAAGTAATGATCAAAATCTTTTCTGATTGTCAAATGAGAAACCTTCAACAAACTAAAGATAGTGGAAAATAACCAATACATCAACAAGTTACTACTGGTGATTTGATTGTAAATATAGTCCAAGTAGTGAAGATGTAGACCAACAATTAGAGCAACAGCTTGGAGCACTGGTTGGATGAAAGCGACATCTTTGTAATCATGAGCACCAACAAAGATAGCAGTAGCAATCGACAGACCGATCTGGAACAAAACAAGAATCATTCTAGAGTGAAAAACCCATCCTTTTCTAAATTTTGGGACTGATGACTTTGTAGACTGGATTTTATAAATTTCAGCAGCACCAAACAATATTAAAATCAAGTTAGCAAATGTGAAGAAGACACCATTGATAAAGCATAAGGTGAAGTCAGCATATTTTGAAATAGGACCCCAACCTTCCCTCGAGTTACAATAGTAGTTGAATGCCTGTATTGTTTTATTGAGTGGCGTTTTGGACGTTGACTCTTCGACAATTCTTGATATACCTTCGTGTTCTTGATTATAAATATCTGTGGCACCGGTTAGGTGTTCCAGCTTATCCTGGTTGAAGAACTGGAAACTCATAAGCAGCGACTGTTTCTAGCAAAGAGCACAAATCTCTAACCTCAACGTTCAAAGGTATCAACACAATTGGCTTTGGAAAACTTTTATACCGAAGCGCTGTGGTTATCTATCAGTAAAATTCGTTTTATTCCACAGAACTCGTACACTGCAAAAGGAGCTGCTGCTTTGTAATCCAAAAGAATTTTCAGAGGCAGCGCTTTTATCGGCGGAATCGCCGTGAAAGGTAAGATCCGAGACAGTCATGTGATTATCACGTTTTGAAGAGCTCGGATTTCTTTGTGAACGTAAAGTGTAGATTTTGGTTTCGATATGTACGAGATTTGGTGGTTTCTTCATTTAACGTAAGAGTTGGTAGTTCAAAAGGATGTTGACCCATGCTATATACAATCAATTGCTCACCAAGAATGTCAGAATAGAGATCGTATATGAAAGCAGTCCTGTATTTGCTGATGAAGAAGTATCTGCTATAGTGAGGTTTAGACACCTGGGGGAGCCAAGTAAACAAACAATACATCATAATGCTAGTGAGTCAAATACCAATGGCCATCAAGAGCAACAGCAAAATTCTGCTCAGTCACACGAATCAGAACCAGAAGGTGGGTGGTTTGGAAAAAGGATCTCAATGCAATTGTCAAATGCAACCAGAGCTTTGTTCTTAGAAGAGGCTGAAAAGACTGAAAAGAAACCTGCCTTGAGAAATAGACCAGTTGATTTCTTGAGTGGATATGTTCAACTATCTGGATTCTTCACATATGATGAGCAAGTTGTTGATGGTGAAAAGCTAAAAGATTTTAGAATGAAGGCTGCTGTTGCTGGTAGAATTGGTGGGTTAGAAGGACTTGAACTCTCCAAGAATTTGAACGAAGGTGTCTTTGGAAGACTAACTAGTGGTATTGGTAATCTATTGAACACTAGTATTGATGAATTAGCTGCCGAGGATCAAGACAAAAAGAAAGAATTAGAAAAACTCGTGCCGTTTTTTTCAACATCTCAATCTCTATTATTTAGTGAGTTACATTTGGAATCTGGCGAGGTTAAAACTTTTTATTTCAAGTGCAAACTACCAAAAACTTTACCACCATCATACAAAGGAAGCTCTATAGGCATTAATTACCATTTGATTGTTGGTGCATCTTTAAATAAAAGCATTCCAAAACCATTAAATTTGCATTTCCCTTTGAAAATTTACCCAAATTTTGATGAAGAAGGATACCAACCAATTTCAAATCTAGACAAATTCATATTACTACCCCCTGATAAAATTTTGAATGAAGCCGTTCAAGTCTACGGTGGCAGAAGAACAAGTTTCAAAACGATTAAGAAGGTTATTTTAACTGAACCAAAACTTACACAAAACACCAAAAAGGAAAAATTCATTAGTAGAATTGAGCATTTGATAGACAATGAAAAAGATCAAGATCTAAATATCAACGATTTTAAAGGAATAAATTCCAAGGAGACTTTAACAGCATTCACAGAGAGTATCAATAATAGAGGAGAAATCGATGAAAACATCCCAGTAAGGGTTCAAAAAGATGGATATACATTTGAAAAGCAAGTGACAAAGATTCAGACTCAATACATAATAAGCCGAAATGGCCAAAGTATAACAACATTGACATTTTCCAAACCCTTTTATAAAATTGGTGAAGAAATCAAGCTTTCATTGGACTTACATGATAAAGATTTACAAACAACAGGTGTTTTAATTTCATTAGAAAGTTTGGAGTTGATTAGAGATTCATTTTCAGCAGATTTAGATATGACAAAGACATTACCAAGATCACTTGCCTTTTACAAAGAATCATATCCAACTTATAATGTGAAAAACTTGCCGGTTAATATCCCAATCCCATTACATGCAACTCCACAATTTAAAACTAACATCTTTGAGTCAAGATGGTGTTTATCTCTTAAATTTGTTTTGAGTCAAGATGAAAAGTATGAAGAGGTTCACTCCGATGAAACAGGAAGTATGCTTAATGCAAAGGAAAATATCAGCGGGACTGATTTCATTTGTCGTTTACCTATTCCTGTGTTGCCATCGGATCAAGATTTTGGAGGAATTACAACTTAGATGTACAAAATTATTTATTTAAAGGTCATTAGTTATTATTGAAATTGTTAGCGTTATTGTAGTATTAATCAAATTGGTCTTTGGAATCTTTTTTCCGACTATACCAACTCCATATTTTCCCTGGAGAATGTAATTTTTTTGATGATTCATTTTGATTATCTGATGAAGAAGACGTTTCAGTTTTCTCTATATTATCTGGACTAGCAGAAGGATCAGCTTCTTTATGATCTTTATTCAATAAACCTTTTCTATATTCTTCAAATTTTTTTGAATTTTCTAGTTTAAACTGTTGGAATTTTTCACTCAATGATTTGCTTTCATCAACAAAGATGTGTTTTGGCTCAAAAACATCAAATATATTGTCATCTGTGAACTCATTAAACAGCTGATAATTTTTTGTTTTCTTCCAATTTTCAATAAAATGATTATTAAAATGCTTTAGTTGATTACGATCAACTTCCTTGATCAACAATTCAGGCGGTGGTGAACCATCATATTTTTTGAGGAAATTATCATACTTGACACTTGATAACAATCCCAATAGATAATCTTCAAACTGCCATCTGATATAATCATCAGAACCCAAGAATCCTGAATATGAATCTGACCAAGATGAAGTGACATAATTCAAAATTTGTGACATCCATTTTTTATCATACGAAGATAATGTTAAAAGTTGAACCAGATCATGATTTATAATTTCCACTGTCAAAGTATCAATGTTTATCAAAACATCAGCTAGTTTTGATTTTTGATTCAAAATTAATGCATTAGATGTCCCCATCACATAATAATCAATTTTTTTCAAATCTTCAAATTGTTGTAATGGAGCATATGGAGCGAAAACACCACCTTCACCAAAGATTTGTAATGGGAATCCAGCAAAATCCAGTACTGAATTTCTATCACTCGTTTGGAAACTTGTAGTCATTTTCAAATTTTTGGCATAATTGAACAATTCAGGTGATGATGAATCAAGCAAGTTGTTAATCAAGTTCGGTATCAAACTTATAAAGGCAAATTCTGTTTGGCATAGTTTTGTTGGATTTGAACCATAGAACGCAACTTTCTTTTCCAACATCATGGCTTTAACAATCACTAATACTTCTTTTTTGAAGTCTTTAACTAAACTTCTTAAGGATATCCCGGAATTGAAATCATTCTCATCAATGAAAGAAGTGTCTTCATCATAAATTGTTTGTAAATTTTGATACAGTAGATCCACAATCAATCTATCATTGAAGTTCTTTTGTTCAAAAAATGCATTAGTTACAATGCTCAACTTCTCTTTGATCTGTCCAAATATAGGTTGTCTCAATATCACCACTATTGCTTTCTGAACAGATGATCTTGTTATTTCCTCATCTTTTTCAAGTAATTCATCTGATCGTATCTGACGAACACATGATATGGCAAACAAAGTTGTTGAATTTGTATCTATTTTATCAAAATTACCTTTCTCATTATAATATAGTGTGAAATATGAGAATGTCTCTTCAAATGAATGTGCACCATCAGGTAAAGCTTGAAAAGGTAAATATGGCCATACAAGTGATTTATCTTCAGCGTTATCATCAGCAAATTTTGAATATTCAATTTCTGGGCCTCTTAAATGATGAAAGTTCACAATGCAAACACCAAATATCAAATCTTTTGCACGCCCTTGTATGTGTGATAGCTTTTTGGAAGGCGACCTCTGTAAATGCTTTTGAACCTTCTCATGAGCTTGCGCGGATAACTGAGCAGCAGGCAGCAAGTTTTTGGCAATCTTTTTGGGACTCGTTGATGATTTCGAGCGTGTATGCTTTGGAGTACTAGCCATTGTGGGAGCAGTTGGTTCTTCAATTGTATCTGGTTCTTTGGGTGTGTCTTCTTTCTTTGTTGTTGTTGATGCTTCTGATACATCAACCCATGGGTTTTCCTCAGCCAGAGACAACGACGAATCTGGCATTTTAGGTGACAAAGTGGGAGACTTTCAAATCTTTGAGAATTTTGGATCGCTGATTAGCTGAATTGAATGATTTTGACTAATTCTGATGCTGATTCGGATGATCGACCTGGAGAATGTTGGAATCTGGATTTTTGAACCAACGATTGAAAAGCTAGGCGCGAAAAGGTTTTATACAATTTCACTACAGAGAATTTTAAGAATGAGAATAATAGTGTTATGATAATATATTGGTTGTGAAGTATGTTCCAGAGTGCTCAGCTGATGTCTACAATCTTTGGATCTTTTTTTTCAAATCAATTCGTTTCAATTCATTCCAATGTGATACTTTTTTCAACTATTTAAAGGGCCTAGAAAGAGCAAGCTTATAATTCATTCAAAACCTTTTCAGCACTAGAAACAGTAACTTCACTGATTGCCTTCTCTTTGGCAACATAAGTGATGACACTATCCTTCACGACAATGGCATATCTAGCTGCAACTTCACCTAATGGGTCAAATTCAGTAGTAGATAGACCGACACCCTTGGAGAATTTCAAATTGGTATCACTTGCAAAGATGATTTGATCTTGTTTGTCAGAAACACCAAATTTTTGAGCCCAAGCATAGTTTGCAAATAAGTTATCTTTACTCAAGACGATGATTTTAGCACCTTTGCTAGAGAAATCTCTCAAACCAGTAACGTATCCTGGTAAATGTTGTTCTGAACATGGTGGTGAGAAAGCAGCTGGAGTACCAACAATAACATAAGTACCTTTACTCAATTCTGAGAATTCTAATTTAGCTGGTGATTCTTGTTCACCTTTCTTTGCAGAACCATCAAATTTGATGTAGTCTAAAGAGTATTGAGTTGGTAATGAGGCAGATTTGGATAATGTCATGGTTAATTGAGATTTATTTGATGAAGAGGGAAAAGTTCAAAAGATCGATTGAAGGAGACAATGCACCCATATTTATAGTTTTTTCCCTCTTTGTTACAATCGAGCAATAGTATGGAAGAATTGGGAAATGTAGCAATTGCTTAAAATAATGTGGATCCGTTTTTTCGTTCTGACACATTTTACTGAACCGATCAAAATCTACAGATGGGCTTCGGAAAAAATCAACTTTTACTATAAAACAATTCTATATAACAAAATGTATCGAATGCAAATGATAACAATACCAATAATTCATAAGTCACATGGAGAAGGATTCCTCGTAGAAATCAATTCTAACTTTTGCATCTTTGATTAACTCACAAACAGCTGCTCTCATATCATTGGTGAAATCTTGAGGACCACTACCCACAAAACAAGTTGAAACTGACAAGTCTGTCTTGTTCACCAATTCAGAGATCTTTGGTCTTGCATTCAAGACATTCAAATGCACTAATGAATCTTTGGATTCTTTTTCAATGGAAGATCCATCCAATAAAGTAGCATATTCTGGAGTAGTTTCCCTAGATCTAGTATTTGTCACAATAACATGTAGTTCAACACCATTTTCAATTAAGAATTCCATATCTTGCTCAAATAGATTATAATATTCCAAATTTTCAACAACCCAAATGAATTTAATCGATTTTTGATTCCCATTGAATTGATTTTTTTCAATGATATCAACAGCTTGGGAATAGCATGGTGAAAATCCAACACCTCCACTTATGAAAACATATTGATGGTGGTTTCTTAATGGGATTTGATGTCCATATGGGCCTTCAGTCAAAACATCAACAACAACTGATCTTTGTGCTTTCTGTACAAGATAATTTTGAATTTTCCCAGTGATACCTTTATGAGTCTTGAACACAAGAGCATGACAATCTCTTTCACCTTCTCTCATTGATTTCATTACTGAAAAAGGGTGTGATTGCCAAAATCTTAGCTTGAAGTTCAAAAAATAAACACAATAGAAACAACCAGGGAAATAATAATCATTTGATCTATGAGGTTTTGGAATAACAACACGAACTAGTTCATCATTCAACTTTGTAATTTTAGCAGGTTTAACACCACCTGTCCATAATATTGACAAAGATCTAACGATTCTATCATAAACCCAAATAACAATACATGTATAGATCCAGCCCATCCATCCTAAAGTATTACAATGATACCACATTGAAATGATGAAAATGATTCCAAATAATTTATGAATCAATAAAAACATTTCATAGGCAACTTCTCTGAAAATATTTGAAGCTTGGAATAAGGTTAAGAATGAAACAACAGTACCAACGATCCCCCATCTCCAATAAGCATCAACAGCCCAAACGTTATAGTCACCTTCAATAATAACATAATTTGTCCAAACTGCGCTATGGATAAGCCCTTGAATAACCATACCTCTAGCACACCATTTATGATAAGTTAAAAAAGTGGAGAATGAAGAACCTGTTAACTTAATGAATGGATTATTTCTTATACCAAAGAAGAAAGTTGGTGGGATTAATGCAAATGAACAAAGACCAGTTCTATAACCTATCAAGTCTAATAATTGATAAATATGTGAGTTTTGATACTCATTTGGTAATTCAATTGTATAACCTGTTGTTGATGCTAAAACCATGTAGATGGTGAAGAATGTAATGATGATAGATTGTGAAGTTGTGGGTATTTGAACTGGCCATATCTTAAATAAGACATATCTGGATCTGGATAATAGATTTGGCATGGTTAATCTATATCTTAGTTTATTTATGAAATTGTTTGTGAATTTTGTTTTGTTATGATTTGTATAACTGATGATGAAGGTTTTGGAAAAATGCAAAATTGTACCAATCATCAAGACAAAGGTCCAAAAAAAGATATACCCCCATTGATAGGCTTGAGACCTTATGACTTGTGCATATATGTGATTGAAAGATCTATGATAATATTCAAAAGATGATGCATTGACATTGATTGGATGATGTAAAGTGTGTTTATAATCATAATCAGTTGCATCCTCTAAATAGTTTGAAGCATTTTTCTGAATAGCTTTCAAAACATCAACAGGATAATCCATCATACTCTTCTGAAGACAACGAGTTCTTAAATGTTTATAAGCATGATCTATAACACTTGAATCATTACTTTGACTCTCAAAACAACTAGTCACAGAACCAATCCAGTCTCTATTGGGACAACGACACTTATAAGCTCTCATGTTTTGCTTTGTGGAGTTACACCCCCAGTCAAACTCCTTCATGTAGTAGATACATTTTGTAGCCAGTATACTATCGATGATGACCAATCCATGAACCACACCTGAAAGCACCAACAGTGAGCCCAGCACCAAGTTGAATAGCTTCATCTTTGATTTCGTTCGGGTACTATATATTATTGGGTACTGGAATGTGTAGCACAGGTTAAAACAGAGTATTTAAACTCATTTCAAGGGTTCCAGGTTCCAAGATCCGATTTATTCATATCTTTCCCAATCTTTCAACTTGAACCCTTTTAATTTGCTCAGCTGCATATTTGGTTTTCTTCAAAAAAAAAAACGAGCATTTATTCTTTCCTTTTGATAAAACAGAACTTCAATAGTTGAGACAAGTTCCAAGGCAGTTTAATGGAATAATGGCTAGCATGGATCTTGGTGTAGGCTGATTTGGTGATTGGAAAGTGGAAATGTATCGAATCAGCAAAGAGTTGAGGTTTGAGAAGGTTTTGATGTGAAATCGGGGATTATGATTGGTTGAATTTAAAATTCGATTGTTTCGTAAAGCACAAAGTATTATACTATAACTTTATGCGTTGGAAACTAAGCTTTTTGATTTATCATTATTTCTAATAATTAGGATCAATCCAAAGTCTCAAAGGGTGTATTGTCTGCTTTCTCATCAGATATTTCATGGAGTTACATTGATGACTACCGAACCCTTTCCAGCTCGCTTTTTTTTTACCCAGAGAGATAGAATACAATGGAGATGCTATAATGAGATCATTCTTGACATACTCCACCATCGATATCACTCAAAACTACCGGCCACAACCAGCAAAATGCTGTTTAACTTGTAGAAATCGGCCCTCCAAGTCGTTGTAGTTTTCGCGAATCCGCGAATTCACGATGATCTGCCAAAAAATTTGAATCTCATCGGGAAAATTTAATCGATGTGAATTATTGTTATGTTTTGAATCGAAAGACATTGAAAACACGATAATTTGTTGCAGTAAAGCCCAGAATATTTGATCCAAATAACCCGAAGGACTTCACAGAGTATAGTGATCGAAAAATAAATATGAAAGTGGTTGCATTGGTCTCTGGAGGGAAAGATTCATGTTTCAATATCCTTCACTGTTTAGCACAAGGCCATGAATTAATAGCGTTGGCGAACTTAAAGCCTGCTGATCCATCAGTACAAGAACTTGATAGTTTTATGTTTCAAACAGTTGGTCATGATGCTCTTGAGTTTTATTCAGAATGTGTTGGTGTGCCCATGTTTAGAGGTGATATTAACGGGAAATCTGTCAACCAACAATTAGATTACAAGATAACCCAAGAGGATGAAATTGAAGATCTATATCTATTATTGGAGAAAGTCAAAATTGCACATCCTGATGTTGAAGCTGTTTCTGTTGGTGCCATTCTATCTTCTTATCAAAGAACAAGAGTGGAGAACGTTTGTCAAAGATTAGGCTTAACTTCATTAGCTTTCTTATGGCAAAGGGATCAACTAGAATTAATGACAGAAATGGTTGAATCTTCAATGGATGCAAGAATTATTAAAGTTGCAGCTGTTGGTTTAAATGAAAGTCATTTGGGTCAAAGTTTAAAACAGATTTTCCCAACATTATTGAGATTAAACCAAAAATTTCAAGTTCATATCTGTGGTGAAGGTGGTGAATTTGAAACACTAGTACTTGATGCTCCTTTCTTTGTGAAGAAATTGGAATTTAATGAATTTGAAAAAGTTGTATCAAATGATGGAGTTGCTTATCTGAAACCCATTGTTAAAGTTGTTGAGAAGACTAAAGAAGATGGAGAATATCACAGAGTACAAGAACGTAATGTGGATTGGAAGAAATTCCTACCGAGTGCTACTGGGCTACTCAGAGAACAATTTCAGGATATATATGAATCATTGCCTCAATCTTTTGAAGCTGCTGAATCTACAAAAGGTGCCTCCTCTTATAATCAAGAACCAGAACAAACCACCAAGAAAATGGGGAACAAGTTATTCATATCAAACATCTCAAGTTTGGAAACTTCTGTTGAAGAACAAGTTGCTGATGTGCTTTCTATTTTAAACTCTATATTACAAAAAAATGATGTCGATTCAAGCCATATTCAACATTTAACATTATTAATATCTTCAATGTCAAATTTTGCCAAAATCAATTCCATATATGTCAAGAACTTCACAGCTCCGTTACCACCATCAAGAGTATGTGTTCAAACGCAATTACCTGAAGGAGTTCATTTACAAGTATCAGTCGTTGTCATGTTGGATTCTCAAAAGAAAACAGGTTTACATGTTCAAGGAAGAAGTTATTGGGCACCTGCAAATATTGGGCCTTATTCACAAACCATTATTGATGAGAATCTAACTGCAACTTTAAGTGGTCAAATTCCATTAATTCCAAGCTCAATGGAGTTATCAAAAGAATCTCCATTATTTAATGCAGTCTTATCATTACAACATTTTGATAATGTCAAACAAGTCATTGGATGTGTTAATCAATTATCAGTTGTTTCATTCGTTAAATCTCCAGAATTAGTTAAAGGTGCTTCAAATATTTGGGAAAGTTATTCATCAGGAGAAGACATGAATCCCCAAAATTCATTATTGATTGTTCAGGTTGAAGAATTACCAAAGAGTGCTAATGTTGAATGGGGAGGATTGTCTTATAAAAAATTGACCAATTTATATGAAGATGAAGAAGATGAAATTGTTTCCAAATTGAGTGATTCTTTGAAACAGGAGTTAAATTTACAAGGTTCATTATATCATGGTAATGGTGATTTTGTATCAACTCTTGCTTTAGACAACATTGATGATTTCCAATTCGACTCAAATTTGCATTATACTATTTACACAAGACCTGAGAATATCAAGTCATACGGTGAGTATTCTTTAGAGTTTGTTCCAGTGCAGGATATTTGGAATTTTGCTGGTGAATTGAGAAAGTTTGGTATAGTTATTAAAGGTGATTGATTTCAATTAGGGCTTTTCACGTGACTATGGTTGTTGTGCACGTGATGTTTTTCTTTTTTATTTTCATTTCCACGTCACACGCTCTGCGAGTGGCCGTTATCAATTCTGTTCAAGGTGAGTTCATCCCAACACCATACTGATTTTTGCTGGTGCTGCACTTACCGTTATGAGCTGGTCCATTACGTAAACACGGTACACACCACATTCTGGCACTACTCTGGTTTTTTTCTTTGAAATTATCATCAATCAATCTAAAAACTTGGTGCTTAATATTGGAACCAACAAACCTTTAACATACAAACCAACAAAATGTCTGCCGTTCAAGCCCCAAAATGGTATCAAGCTGAAGATGCTCCAGTTCCAAAGAACACCAGAAAAACTGCTCGTCCACAAAAATTAAGAGCTTCATTAGTTCCAGGTACTGTCTTGATCTTATTAGCTGGTCGTTTCAGAGGTAAAAGAGTTGTTTACTTGAAAAACTTGAAAGATAACACCTTATTAGTCTCAGGTCCATTCAAAGTTAACGGTGTCCCATTACGTCGTGTTAACGCCAGATACGTCATTGCCACTTCTACCAAAGTTGACGTTTCTTCAGTTGATGTTTCAAAATTCGATGTTGAATACTTTGCTAGAGAAAAATCATCAAAAGGTAAATCTGAATCAAAATTCTTTGGTGAAGAACAGCCAAAAAAAGAAATCAAAGAAGAAAGAGTTTCTGATCAAAAATCTGTTGATAAACAATTATTAGCTGAAATCAAGAAAACTCCATTATTAAAAGAATACTTGTCTGCTACCTTTTCATTGAAAAACGGTGACAAACCACATGCTATGAAATTCTAAGTGCAGAGTTAATTTAATTTTATAGTTGTGTGTTTGTTTTTTCCAAGTTGTTTTAGTGTGTTTTCAAAAGAGAGAATAGAGAGGGAGAGTTGAGTTGAAAGAGTTTCATAAAAGAAAGAGAAAAGATGGTGTCATATTGGCACAAATAAGAGGTTTGCATACTTCTTAACAAAAAAATTGTTAATGAATTTTAATAGGCAAAAAGGTAATGGTTACATTTTATGTATAAATAGGTTTTTATTTCTTATAGTACTACAAAAAATACAAAAAAATAAGAAAATAGTGTAAAAAAATGGTTAGAGTGTAGTGTCCGCAACAGAAACATTTAATAGAATTCGTGGTATTTTAACGTGTAAATTTGGAGGATGAGTACAAAACAAAGGATTACGTTTAATGATAACGTGAAGAGAAGAGTACCAAAGATGGATTACACGATACAAGAAGAAGCTCAGAAGGTTATACAACTCAGAGATAGCATATTCAATGACAAAGAAAGCTATAATGATGCTGAATTCATACGGTTAAAAATTGAAAAGAAGTTAAGAGATGAAGCTGAAAGAACTAAGGACTATGGGAAATACCTCAAGAGCGGAAGAGTTGACCTTATAGACGAGAAGAGAAGAAACCAGCTAGTCACACCAATATCTGAGCTACAGGCTGCCTATTATGAAAACTACAAGTCAAGAAAAGACCGTGAAGCTGAAAGTCATGATCAAGCAAGATCTAGTCAAAGAACTTCAACATTAGAGTCTTTTTATGATGAAGATGGTGATCAAGTACTCAAACCAACTAAAGATAATACACAGCAGTTTACTTCTCAAGGTATCATGGCGAATCAAACTATATCCCCAATGGCACCTTCACCATTGTTACAAAACCCACCACCACAATTTCAACAACAAAAATTCATCAAAGGTATGATAAATGTACCATATTTCAATCCAATACCTCAACAGAACTCTTCATCTCCTCCACTTCCATGGTCTTACGAACATCAATTACAAATCTTGCAAAACCAAGCAAGAGCACAAAATCCACAACAGATGAACACTGCACCACCAACACCATTTCCTTTCATGCCAATGTTTCCTCAAAATAATCAAGTGTTTCCGGGCTATCAACAGTTCCCGCAATTTAATCAGCAGCAACAACAACCTATCAATTATGGAGATAGTGCTGGTAATTTAGAGACTGCAACAAATCAACAGCAACAGCAATTACCACAAGGACGCAGCAGAACACTACAACCATATTAAGTAGATTATCATACAATTAGAGTTCTTGTTTCATTAATACATGGTTTCAAAGTTCATCTATAGTTTTTTGACCTTATTTTTTCAAGAATTTCTTGAATTTGGAACGTTTCTTTTCCTTTTCAGGTTCTTCAGCTTTTGTTAGTTGAGCACTTGGTTTACCTTTCGTTGGCTGTTGACGAACTTGAGAGTTAGCACTAGCATGGACATCATTCGGTCTCTTTTCAGAATAGTTATCCAGTAAATACCTTGGAGCTTCTGTTGGTTTGCCGGCTTTCCAATCTGCATAAAGTTTTAAATTTGGTCTTTCTAATGATAATTTCTTAACTTCAGCAATGAATTGCGATGGTGTTATTAGCTCATCACTTCCAATGATAATATCTTTTTCAAATTTATTTGAAAGTTCATATGCAGTTCTAGCTTCTGAATAAGTTGCACCACCTGCAATGAAATAAAAGATTCTTTGTCTTGGAGGTTGGAATTGAGTGTTTGTTTTTGCCCAAGATGCTTTGTGTTTAGGATTTTTCAATGAAGCAGTTGATGTTGAATTTGTTCTTGAAATATCATTTTCTAGATCCATTGGTTTATCTTTAATATATGGAAATCTTTCATCATCTAAAGTATTTGATAAGACTTTTGTAATAATTGAATTTATACTTGGTTTGAATCTTGATGTATTGTATGAATTTTCCGAAACTGACTCATGTAAGAATTCTCTTCTGAAAACTGACTTTGATTTTAAATTTGGTTTGATCAATTTGAACCCAACAGTTTCAAAATTCTTGATCAGCTCAAGATTATAATCAATTTCATGCAATTGTAACACTCCCATAAAGTTAAATAATTTGATATAATCTTGTTCAATTAAACCACCTCTATAAAGACCATAAAGAATGATAGCTCTCAATTTATCAGCAAAAGGGTAAACATCTTGGGATAAATAGTCAATCAATAAATCAGCCAAATTCTTAACACGCTCACCATCAATATCAACACCAAAATTTGCAACATTCTGTTCAAACTCAGCAATTTCTGCCAATTTTTTCTCTCCGTTTGTCAACATCAAAGTTTCTAGTAGAGTTTTGTGTAATGTGATTCTTCTTCTTTCTTCATCAAAACCTTTCAAGTGTGCAACAGCATGTAAAATATCAGATGTTGTCTTTATTTTTGATCTATCAACCAGCATTGAATTCTTGGATAAAAATTCTTCAGTCTTTGAAGTCAACAGTTCTTGAGCATCCAAAATATGCAAATGTCTTAATTGAACCCACTCAGGATCACTATCGTCTAATTTTGATTGTTTTTCCTCTTTCATACCAGCTTCATTTTCAGCCTCATAAGTGTAAACGTCATTTTTGATCTGATTATTAACAATATCATAAGTCATTGCTTGATAAGTGAATTCATGTAATAATGGGGCGAAAAGATCCAATGTTCTATCTGTTATGATGAAAATAGATCGTTGTCTTGTTGTCGCTGGTGGAAAATCTGGATGAGTTCTTGTATATTCATCCAATTGTTCTTGTAAATCCGTTGCAATCATCTTGGGCAACACTGATGCATTGAAATATCCATCGTTATCATTCGGAGAATAATATCTGATGATTGGGTATTCACCGGTGATTACACATAAATCCACTAGAGCTCTTGCTGTATGAATAATGGTCTTGGTCACTAGATCATGACATGAAGAATTATAGAAAACTTGTAATGAATTTGGATTTTTGGTAACAAAAAGGTTGGATTCTTTTGAATGAATATTAAGATAGAACTCTTGGAATGTTCGTAGATTTTTTTGGAAATGAATGTTTGCTTTCAGCTTATTTGATAATTCAGTTGTCAATCCAGGTAGGAAGAAAATATGAGCAGCTTTATATCTTGTTGGGATATTTGTGAAATCTGTCAACAAACAGTTAATAGTATATTTGGTTGGTTCCAATAAATAGACAGCTTCAATTGAAAATTGATTATTTCTTTTCTGATCTAATCTTTCGATCGCTAGAATCATACTTTGTTAGTATTCACGAAATGTGGACCCTTATAATATCATTCTCAACTCACCAGTAACTATATTTAGAATCTCACTCTTGTTCAGGACAGAGAAAACCAATTCCTCAGTTGTTTCATCGAGGACTAATATTTTATAGCCATTTTCTGTTCGAACATCTCTAATCAGATTAAGTATTCCTAATGAGATTCCTATTGTTAGTAAAGTGCAACTTTGTTTTGCTGAACACCTATCGCAATGGTCTCTCTAAATGAGAACCCATCAAATGTGCTCTTTTTCCGACCAAACTCACGATTTCTTTGCAATTCAATCAAAGAAGTCATTTCAAATGAAAGGATTCTCGCTAAAACAACACTCAAATTTGAACTTTAGAAATGACAATGTGCAATTGATTGTATCTCGTTTAAACTCAAAACAAGCATTTGGAATTTTGACAAATTCGCGAAAATCGGACAGCATGATTACATAAGATTATATATCTGCCAGTTTTGCGCGTGTCACTTAATGGTCTTATGAAAAGTGATCAATCAGATTTACGTTTACTTATAACAATAGGCTAATTGGTTCACCGCTGGTGGAGCTGCTCTTAAAGCTCATAAGCAATGATCAGTAGGTCTGCCCACATAAGGAGACAGCTACCTCGTTGTTCAAGACGCAGGACAACAACCTTTTTGTCACATTCAATTTTGCAGACGACCCAATACCGTTTTCTGAAAACACTTCAAACAAAGATAAATGTTGATGGGATACGGATAAAGATCGCTTCTAGGGGAGACATGTTTCAATCTCAAAAGTTTCTGCCCAAGCTCCCAATTATTGAAAACGATGAAATACTGAAAATAGTCTTTACTGCAGGTAGTTCTGAAAACTTTTCAAAATATGAACTTCTTGGAGATTTTATATTTTCAACAGTTGTGCTGGAAGTTCTTCTGTCGATTGAGCCGAAATTATCAAAAGCTAATGTGGCTATTTTGAAAAGTCATTTAGTTTCCAATAAATTAATGAGAGAATGGTCAATCTTATATGATTTGGGAAGTTATGTTTTCCCAGATATCAAGGGTCAAGGTCAAACCGAACGAACCATAAAGTGGTATGCTGATCTATTTGAAGCTTATGTTGCTGGTGTATACTTGGATAAAAAGGAATCAGGTATGCTACGTCTCAAAGCTTAGGTTGCTGGGTTGATAAATGATAGAATATCACTATTTTTAACTTTGAAACCCCCAAAAAACAATGTTACTGATGTTCCGAAGCCTTTTGATTCTAAATTGGAACTGAGATTACAAGAAATTCAAAATACTTGTTAAACTCTACCCTTTCCCCATTTCTGATAGTTCCTGAGTATAAACTGCTGTCAACTTGGAAAGATGAAAAAGGCAAAGTTTTTCATAAAGTCGTGTTATGTCTTTTTGGGGGGAAATAAGTGAGGGTGTATCCGGCTTGGGACTCAGGGACGCTGAAAGAAAGTCTGCTATAGGAGCTTTGAGTACAGAAAATAAAAAATTGATAAAATGTGTCAAGAATAACATAGAAACTGAACGAGTCAAAAATAGCGTTGCTCTGCTGACGGGGTGCTGGTGGCCCAAAGAAAATGCCAACAAAGGAGACAAAACAAGAGAAAAAGAGGGAAAATAATGAAAAACGGGTCTCTTCTGAGAGAAATAAAATAATTAAACGTATTGAGAAGCAAAAAAAGAAGGCCTTAAGTTATAGACCTCCAAGTTCAGGTTTAATTGAGTTTGCAAAACAGGACCTAAAAAATGTTTTTTTGCCTTATAGTCCAGTTTTGTTTACCAAAATTAGGTTTGTCACAATTAAGGCCCAGGATGTCATATTGGATGATCATGAGACATTCAAAGCAATACCTTATATAGATGATGTTGAATTTTGTGAAGGGATATCTAAAACTCAAATAGATGCAGAAAGAGTAGCAGCTTTCAATGCACTCACCATACATAGAGAAAAGTTGGTGTCCTATGTTACTTCCAAGCTTGATAAAGCCATCAATGCAAAGAAGGAGGCATCTGTAGCTATTATTTAATTGGGCTCTAGTTCAGCATTAATGAATTATAAATGTTTTTAAATAGTCAACACGATGTAGTCTGCCAATTGATTTCGTGTCAATTTTGATATATCAACGTACAACATGTCATAAACATGCATTTAACATTTCAACAAATTAAGCCAATTTAGTTGAACTTTCGGTCTAAACTTGATCTATTTACAGGAAACTGTATTCCCCAATTCTGGCTGGGTCAATTACTTTTATGATTGAATGGCCAATCGGCCATAATGATAACCATGATTTGTAAGGGGTTAGTGATCCCAAAACAAGACATGCCGTTGATTAAGAAAGCTTTAAATCATTCTACCGGTTCAAAATTGCTACGATTTATTCATTCAAGTAGCCCAGCTTTATCAAGGAGCTCAAACAAGCGAAAGGGAAAGATCTGTCATGATATCAACAAGATTCAAGCTGCACTATCAAAGGCCCATTCCCCAAATGAAAAGAGAAATAAGAAACTTCCCAAACTTCCCAAACTTCCATTGATTGGAAATCCAAGGATATTAAAAACAGTTTTTACACACAAGCTAGCCACTTCAGATCCTGAATATGATGTTCCCGAATGTTATGAAAGGCTTGAATTGATTGGAGATTCGATACTATCGTGTTTGGTGACTGAAATCATGCTTGAAAGATTTCCAAGTATGACAGAGGGAGTTATTGTTAGACCATATAAGAATATCTTGCTCTGTAATAGAACTTTGGCTGAATTTTCAATGTTGTATGGACTTCCAATCCATATTTTACCTAAGCAGTTGAAAGTTGGTAATAAAATGAAAATTTATGCTGATGTATTCGAGGCATACATCGGTGGGTTGCACCTGGGATCTACAAAAAAACAACCTTCTTCTAACAGAATTAAGGAATGGCTGAAATGTTTTTTGAACCCAAAAATTGATGAGATTCAAAGTCAAGGAAAGATTGAGTATTTAGCTTCTGGTAGCGAGTTTAGCACTAATGACAAGTCTAAAGCACCAACATCAAACGTTCTACCACCATGGCATCTTTATAATGAATATTCCAGATTTGCTAAAGACAAATTATACTCTAAGCTAAGTCCTTATTTCATACCAAGTTATGAAATTATTGAGGTGAATAAACAATTTGGTGATCACAGCCTGATATTCAAAGCTGCTTGTATTATCAATGGTGAAGTCCTAAGCGTTGAAAGTTCAACCAGTTTAAAACAAGCCAAAAACAATGCAGCACAAAGTGCCATGTCATACAACAAGAAGAAATTGGAGTATTATGAAGAGTTAAACAAGAAGTGTTTATCAGGAAAACGCCCTATTGTTGATGTTGTTCCCATTAAAACTAGTATTTCCGATCAATTGCGTAATTTAGGATATTTACCAATCATTCATCCTGTTGAAAAGGATTGGGTGAAATTATTATAGAAGATGCACAGCAACAAACCAAATAAACATATAAAAAGTAATTCACAATATCACAATATATAGCTTATTTAACCACTTCTATTATTATGTGTCACTTCTTATTGTTTTGTTTGTATTAAAATGGCCCTTGTTACATAATCATACTTGAGCAAAAGAATATTTGTAGTCAAAAGTCTAGACGTTTCATCATGGGAACTTGGATAAGAGTTAATTAAACTTCTCTCATTCATGATGAAATTCACTATAAATAAGAAGTTACTCGCTCGAAGAAGCCTCGTCTGGGCTTCCTTCTGTCGTTCATGAGTGGGTTCTTCGATAATGCCAGCTCCTACTGATTTGAAGAACAAAGGTAAAAAACATACACATGATGTTGTCAAGATTAGGAAAAGCTTGATATCAGTGTCCAAAGAAAAATCACTTCCAGAAATCCCAATCATTACAAATGATAGAATTCTAAAAACGGTGTTTACTCATAAGACTGCTGCTACTGATCCAGCACTCTACGATGTTGGAGATTGTTATGAAAGACTGGAATTCATTGGTGATGCTTTCTTGAACTTTGTTATAGCTCTCATTTTGTTCCAAAAGTTTGAAAAGGCTCCAGAAGGTGGTATGAGCTGGTATAGGGACCGCTTAAGAAGTAATTTGGTATTCAGTGGATGGGCTGCTGATTATGGGTTAGCAAAACATTTACTACCAGAGAATATGGCTAAAACCATTGGGGAAGATTCAAGTAAAAGAGCTGCTGATATTTTTGAAGCTTATGTTGGTGGGTTGTTGATATCGCAAACTAGTTCAGCTTCAAACAATGGGTCATTCTTCAACTTTGCAGGATGTAAGCCAATTGAAGATTGGATTAAATCTTTGGTTGATAGCAAAATTCTTTTGCTACAAAATGGTGAAGAAATCCACGTCAGACCAAACCAGAAAACTCACAGATCTTCTTCCTCATCATCTTCTTCATCTTCCAATTTGCAAAATTTGGAATGCTGGGGGCCTGTTTATGATGAAAAGTACAAATATGCCACAGAACAATTATATTCAATGCTTAATCCAAACTTTGCTCCAGGTTATGAAATAGTTGAAGAGAATCAAGAATCTGGCGATCATAAGAAGGTTTATAAAGCTGTTTGTATTGTCGATAAACAAATACTTGGTATCGGAAGATCTACAACGAAAAAGGGAGCTAGAGCCAAAGCTGCTGAGTCTGCTTTAAAGTATAAGAGAGAAACTGTTAATGAGTATCATAATAAAATGCTTGAAATGAAGAATCATTGTCTCTCTGATGTTCAGGACCTTAACGATAAGCTTTTCAATGCTGGATATGTATACCCTAAACGAGGTGGAAAGACAAATGTTGCTGAGGAAGTTACTGCAGGGGCAGTTCCTAAAGCCTAAAGCAACCAAGGGTATAGTTTTGTTCACTGTTTTATGGAGTTTAAATATGGTAATACAAGCCAAGCGCTAATTATAAATCAATATTAGATGCTTAATAATATCTGCAAGTGCATTCACATACCGTGATAATTTTATAATTATAAATACAAGCGAGTGAGTGTAGCCTTCGGCTTGTGTAGACGGCGAGAATTGGAGGAAAAGCATCGAGCTACAATTTAAATTCAAAGGACTCACTGCTCATGTGAAGACAAAACAATTGATGTATTAAGATTTCCAGCAATATTTGCATCATTTACGTGATAGCCCTGAAACATTGAGATATGTTGTATGAACCCATTAAAGTACGGCCCAGTACCATAGTCATCACTTCATTATCAGCATTCTCAATTCACCAGCACACCCTACACCCTATACCACCAGCAGAAGCCTCATCTATTAGAGCATTCTCAATCCACCAGTACACCCTACATCCTACCCATCAGAATCTTATTCTATCCTTGAAAGCTTGAAGTTATCTAATAAAGCATTCTCAATTCACCAGTACTTCCTATAATACCCAACACCATAGTCGACATTTCTTCAATATTCCTCAATCCACCAGTACACCCTGTAGTGTCATTATGGTACCCAGGTAGTCAGTAGAGCCAGGATAGTACCAAAACACCCTGTAACACCATTAATGTGCCCAACACCGTAGTCAACATTTCTTCAGTATTCTCAATTCACCTGTACACCAGACACCCTACACAACACCAGCAGAAGCTTCATCTACTAAAGCAGTCTTGAAAAGTTTGAGCTTACCATCAAATAATAGCATTAATGTGGAATATCCTTTAGAAACTTTCGTCATTTATCGACATTTCCCAAACCTCTGCGTATGAAACTCTGAAGCAGCACCATAGACATCATATCTTTAGCATTTCCAATTCCAAATACAACGTCTGTGAAATTCTGCTACCCTAAGGGTATGAGTTTGGAAAGTAACTTGACACTTCTTAAAGCCATGATTGAGTAGTAATATTGAGAGTAATTGGTAAACCATTTTGGAATTAACATTGAGTCTGATTACATTTCACATCATCAAATTGCAGGTTTGCTTAAAAAAGCATTCAATCTTTGGGACACATCATGTCTCCAAAATATAAGTCACTGTGAAGTATTAAGAGCGTCTCATTCTGTCATGAACTTGATTCTATTTGTTTTTCATAGACGTTGATGTAGAGAAAAGGTCAATGTTTACATTTGTTTTTCTCACGCCATCTTGAATCGGAGGTCGGAAGCACTAAAACACCAACTTTGAGCAGCAATAACTCGAGTTACAAATAATCAGTAGCACTCATACTACAGCACGTTCATATTGACGTCGAACCGATTCGTTCCATGTAGGTCTCATGATGTTCACTGTATTTTTTTGCCCCTGCTTTTAAAATTTCTATAATAATATTTAGATTGGGCAACCTACCAAAAACGACAATTCACACTAAATCACTGCAGTACAAGCACATAAATACATAAATGAATAACTAGACATAGATAGAAAACAGCAAACACTCGGGCTAGAACAGCTGAACACACGGTCCAGAACATGAGATGACACTCGAGCGGCCAGAACAGTTGATACTCGTGCTAGATTAATTTTGACGTACCAGTGGCAGTAGAAAAAAGGTCGTAGGCGCTAGTGTATAACAAAACCACTAATAATAAAAAAAACAGTCGTAGTACAGTTGGGGCAGAAAAAGTAGTACAATATTTATAATATAGCAAACACAGAATTTCTAATATTACATCAATGTTTAAATAAGTTGACAAGACATTGTTGAAATTATGTTAATCCTCATCACAACTCATCATGATCTCCATAACACAGCTGCCAAGGTTGAACAAATGCCTTAGTTTCAAATGGGGAATCATAAAATTGTAAAAGGCCCTCTGAAATATCTACATTTTTGTTATTGTCTTTCAAGACCCAATGATGTCTGTGTCCACTGTTATAATACCAATATCCTGGCATGCCATTGACAGCGTCATAGACCATTTGAATATCCTTAGGTGCTGTCAGTGTTTCCGAATAGCCATCATATTTGCAATATTGTGTCAATAAACCACCCTTCTCGAAAGAAACCGAGTTGTATTCATTTTGACCAACAGTATCTCTTTTTTCCAAAGTGTCATCATCATCTTTATTCAAATGGTCAAGTACACATATGTCATATGTACCATACAAATTCAAATCAGCTGCCTAGATCTTGTACCCAGCAAAAGCGGTCACGACTCACCTTACATATACAACGCCTGCTTGAAAAAAAAAATTACTTTTCATTCAAAACATACCTCAACAGAACACCAAACTGCTATGTTTTTTGTTTATACCTAATATAATTTCGTTGGAACATTAAGCAAATATAGTAAAGATGAATTTATTTTATCATACCATTTCATTGATCATTGCATTTCTAAGTATTGCTGTTGTTCAATGTGATGATGCCAAAGATGAAGCTGCTTTAAGGCAAGAATTGAGTAAAAACCAGGTGAACATTACAGCAAGAGATAGTCTCATTCCATTCATAAACCACCATAGATTGGGTATTACCGATAAAGTGGCTCTGAGCATGATAGCATCTTCAGACTTTGGTATTACGCTTGGTGGTATCATCCCATATTGCACAAACGAGAATTTTGGCCCAGTTACGTTTGGATCGACAACTGGTTGTGTTTTGACTTTACTTTCAGGGTTGACAATGTTTAATGGAGCCTTGCTAATGTTGTTTAGTGGATTAATTCCTGATAAGTTTAACGGTTCAAACTTGGTGCTTGATCCCCCTATTTTTGATAATAAGTGGTCAAAAATTACTAGAAACGCTTACCAAAGAGGTTTAGAGATTGAATCTCTTTACTATAAAGGCTTAATTTATGATAACGAAGAAGTTGTGTTAGATGATTTTCATGTGGTATACACGGTTGATGGGTTCCAAATAAACAAATTCAATAATAGTGACTCTACATATAAAAAAGTATCGTTTCAAGAGCATGCTTCGTTTTTGACTTCATTGATATCTAATTTGCAATTTCAAAAGACATCGGTCCTTCATGCTTTAGGCTGGTTTGATTAGGACAAATTTAGATAGCATGGATCCCTCTTGTCATAACCAGAGAGTAAAGTTATTCATCAAACCAACTGCTTTTTTTAAACAGAGTAAAGTTCTTATATTTCTAATCTTTTCTATATATTGCTCCCAATAAAATCAATCTTTAAATTCACAACTTCTCAATAACTCAAACAACCAGTAGACTTCTAGTAATTGATTTCTTAAAATAATAGGTTTTAAAAAGTCTCCAGTAAGCGTCAAGATCAATCAACATAAGATTTCAAAATACACCAGAGGGACATAATTTGTCAGCTTTGTAACGCACCTTAGGGCCCCCGTGAATAGGTTCTATCTTAATATCATTAATTAAATTGTAATTTGTGTCTGCCGAATTAATTTTAGTGTGGTGATTATGTAATGAATTTCATTTCATTTGGAGTTTGACAGGTGTATAAACAAGTTACACAACCACAAACTCGATACACTTCAAAGGCTTCTTACAGAAAAAACCTTTGAGGACGCTCGTTTAGAAGACATCAAACTGTGTCATAGTGCATTGAACTTCCATTCCATTCTTGAACTCACTGTCTGCAACTGCAAAAGAAGGTCTTACACAAATACAAATTCGAAAAAAAAATTGGTTCCACAAAGACTAGCTGGTTATTGAATCTGGGGTATAAATAATCTGATCTCTCCCATTTAAAGTTGTTCCTGCTAATCATCTGTTTCAGAACTACATCAGCAATCCAGTTGCTTTAGGTAAATCAGAGTAATCTTTGGTTTACATTTGCTTATACTCATATCAAAACGTTATTCTTCATTAGCCCATTGATCATTGCAATACTATTATTAGTTGCAGTCATACCAAATATCACTGTATCCAATTCTTAGAGTATGTACAACCGTCCACCAATGCCATTGCCAGACCAGGCACAGCAACAACCAATTCAAAATCCACCTCCAGTACCTCCAAAGAAATCAAAAATTAACAGTCTAGTTTCCAAATTCAAAAACATGAATACCCACAACAAATCATCATCTGCACCTTCTTCTGCTCCAACTCATTCTTCTCCTGTCAATTCAAAGGATGATATTTTCTCAGCCTCAATTTCAAATGATGAACCACTTTCAATTTTTTCCAGATCAAAGCACCCAGTCAATCCACCAGCGAATAATGACTCTAAACCAATCGGTACAAACAAGTTTTATTCAAATATGCTTTTAGAAAACCAAAACAATGCTGTCTGGACCCAACCTTATTCACTTTGGTTTTCAAAAGATGAAAATTATCATGGTTTAGCCGTTCATCATGTTCCTGCTTCAAGTAGAGTTTCCGGTCCAGATGCTGGTGCTGATCCAGTTCAATTTTTCTTTGGTCCTAATGGTATCAAATCTTTTGTCTTTGGCTCCACAGATTTCAATGATACCCCATCTTTGTCACTTGAAAACATCAAACATATGTCAGCTGACGCCAAATTTCAAAGTAAATCCCAAGGTTGTATGACAGTTCCTCTAGTCCAAGGTCAAGGGTTTATTACAAGTATCTATTTCAATTTAATTCCAAAGCTTTCAAGTGCTGTTGGATTTGCTTCTGTTAGTGGAGACAAATCACCAAGATCAGGTATCAATAAATATAAAATTGGTTTGAATGATGGTACTACTTGGGTTTTATACGTCACCATTCCAAATGGTCAATCTTTAGATTTGGCTCAAAAAGATGGAAATAACATTGTTGGTAGCAATTCTGTTAACGGTGCTGTTTTCCAACTTGTTAAAGGTGACTCTGGTGTCTATAATGATGCTGCGGGCTCTTATCCAACGCGTGCACATTTAACCAATGGTTCTGTTTCTGATAAAACAGGTAGCTTTTCAATTTCATATGATATTACTGGATCCTCAAACTCTGGTAAGACCTTGTTATTTGCATTGCCACATCAAGTTGACACTTTTACTTCTGATATGGACTCAGCAAAGACTGATTTGAAATTGGACACTATTACAAAAGGTACAGCAACTGCTTACTTGACAGATACTTTTAAGTTTAGTCTTAATGTTCCTTCAAATATTAGTCTTGATCCATACTCCAGTATTGATGGTGTTTCTTTGTCATATTCAGGTAATGTCTTACAAAAAATCAGAGATGCTGCGTCTAGTGAAGTTAACGGTGACGTTGAGGCAGAATCAAATGTGGACTCAATGTATTTTGCTGGTAAAGTTCTTGCAAAATATGCTTGGATTCTATATGTCACTAAATATGTTTTGAAAGATGATGGTCTTACAAATACACTATTACCAAAAGTCAAAAGTGCAATTGAAAGGTTCTCCAAAAATCAACAACAGCTTCCTTTATCTTATGACGAAACTTGGAAAGGTATCATATCAACTGGAGATAGTTCTGCTGATTTTGGTAATTCTTACTACAATGATCATCATTTCCATTACGGCTACCATGTTCTTTCCTCTGCAATCGTTGGAAAAATTGATAAAGAACAAGGTGGTAATTGGGTAGATTCAGTTAAGGGTTGGGTCAATGATTTGGCTAGAGACTTTGCCTCAACAAGTGATGATGACCAATATTTCCCTGCATTTAGATCTTTTGATTGGTATAATGGGCATTCTTGGGCCAAAGGTGTCTTTGCTTCAGGTGATGGTAAAGATCAAGAATCAAGCTCAGAAGATTACAATGCATATTACTCCTTGAAAATTTGGGCTGATGTTATCAATGACAATTCGTTGAAGCAGAGAAGTGAAATCATGTTGGGTATTTTGAACCATTCAATTAACCATTATTTCTTATTGGCTGATGATAACAATACTCAACCAAAAAATTTCATCAAAAATAAAGTCACTGGTATCCTATTTGAAAACAAAGTTGATCACACTACTTATTTTGGTAACAATTTGGAATATATTCAAATGATTCATGCTATCCCAGTCACCTCTTTCAGTTCATTCATTAGAAAACCAAAATTCTGTAAAGAAGAATGGGACCAAAAATTAAAAGGTATCGTTAATAATGTCAATGATGGTTGGAAAGGTATTATTTATTTGAATGTTGCATTATTTGATCCAAACTCTTCATGGAATTTCTTCAGTGGTGATGGATTTAAGAATGATTACTTAGATGGTGGGCAATCAAAAACTTGGTCACTAACCTATTCTGGTGCTTTTGCATCAGCTTGAGATTGTAATAGGAATCGGTATGAAATTTAAAAAGAAGTGAAATGATAATGATAGAAATAAAAATAAAAGAAAAGATTTATAAAATTTGTAGATAATTGACACGTATAATCATGGCAGAATAGTGTATCGAAAAAAAAATTAAAAGCGTACACTACATGATCAACTCATAAACACTCAACTTCAAGGTTCACACAACGATCATGACTATCATACCGAAGGAATCGCTTGTTGCATTAGAGCATGAGTTTGGGATAATAAAGTTAATTCATCACAGAAACAAAAACCAACACAGAGTTGCCACTTGGTGGAAACATTTGAACAACCTTAAAAGATATCTCACAAAGGTAATCTCATTAATTCATACATACAACCGTAACAAAGATGATAAAGTAAGGCAGAAACTACAAAAAGTATCAAGACATTTGTATTTCAATATATGCAAATCAGCTTTCAGAGCTTTCAATGGTGTTATTGCATTAGGTCAATTCATCACGTTAGGGTTGACTCTTGTGGGTGCTCTGGGAAAACTTTACCATCATGTTGGAACTATGGAGGGTTTACATAAGACGAATACACTGCCTGGTAAGGTAAATGATATAGTTGATTACAATGAAGGTGATATTGGTGAAGAAATCGGAGAAGAAGTTGGTGAAGTGGTTGTGATCAAGACAGAAGAAAGAAAGAGAAAAAGTGTGGAACCGGTGGATACAAGTATTAAAAAGAAGAAAAAAGCTGTCAAGAGTATATCTGATAATGAGAGTGTTTTGAAAAAGAAGAAGAAAAAGAAGAAGAGTGCCATTGATGATATTTTTGGTTGAGTTATAAATTCACTACTCAAGATGACGCTATTGACGATATTTTTGGTCGAGTTATAAATTCACTACTGGTGTCGGTTTAATTTACAGAATGCATGTTTTATTAATCTATTGATCTAAGTAATATTTTGCCCAATTTGGTAAAATGAAGCTTGCTTTGTGAATCTCACTATTATAGTATTTGAATAATTCCTCTTCTTTTTCTTTTGAAACTGTACGCGCTGGGATGTTTAATTTCGCATTTGGATTTTTTGAGCTAATCATTAATCCTAATTGACCTGAAGTGTATGTTGGAACAGTTGTATATGCGTATTTAACAACTGGGAAAATCTCACTTATTGTGGCTTTCAAGTTTTTCAAAAGTTCAATCTTCAACCAAACATTTTCTGAAGCTTGAGTGATAACAATACCGTTTTCATTCAATGCACTATGCAATAATTTGAAATATTGTTGTTGAAAAAATGCAGCAGCTGGTCCATCTGGGTCAGATGAATCTGTTATAATTATATCAAACTTATCATCTGAAAGACTCAAATCTTGTAAATACTTGAACCCATCACATAGCTTTACATTGATCTTCGGGTGAGAGAAAGCAACAGACATTCCCTTAAGATATTTTTTACTCAACTCAATAACGGTTTCATCAATTTCCACCAGCACAATTTTTTCAATATCTTCGTGTTTCAAAACTTCTCTAAGAACACCACCATCACCTCCGCCGATAACCAGGACCGATTTAGGGTTTGGATGAGCGAATATTGGTAAGTGTGTAATCATTTCTTGATATGCAAACTCATCTCTTTCTGACACTTGAATAATACCGTCTAATACAAGGACATTACCATAATCGGTACTCTCAAAGACTAAGATCTATAAAATGTTAATACTATAACCAGTCTTGAAAACGCTAAACTTACATCTTGAAATTCTGATTTTGCAGAGTGCAAGATCTTCTTCACTTTTAATTCTAAAGCTTGACCTGGGAATGATTCATCTGAAACTTCTTTGAACCAACCATTTTGAATAAGAGGATGAGTTAAATCTGACATTTTCTATGTGTGACTTTGGCTATGGGAGAAGGAATGAAATGAAAAGCCTCGAGGATAAGAACTATAATACAACAATAATGAACCTCTTAAGCTCTGATGGTCATCAACACGATCTATTTTGCGCTCAAACGGTTGGATAATGCCTAATATGTAAAGATCGAAACTAGTGAAGTGATTTTTTTTTAGCTCCGGAAACTTTTTTTCTGGTGCTTGATGAGTTCAGATTTTTTGACACAATCGACAAAATTGCAAGACAAGATTCAAACCAGCTATTGGAAAAACCTCTTTTAGGGATATTTAGATTCCCAGGTAACTAAATGTTATTTTCTCAGCTCTCTTACTAGATATCATACCCTCAAAGATCCTTAAAGAAGCTCCAAATCTTTTGGCTCGTGACTGATAATTACATAAGATCTTATGTCATCCATACCAAAAAAATTCAAAAAAAAATTTGAACGATGAGCTTCAAGACTTTGGAAACTTGGAAAATAGAGGTAAACACACGAAGATGAAGCACCCGTTCCAAATAGTGTTGACTAATAAGTCTGGAGCCCTTTTGTTCACAGCCACACAAAGCCATATCCAAGTTTTCAGCACTGAAAATGGTGAAAGAGTCGGTGAATGGACTGATGATATCGATACTACAGAATCCATCAAGGAAAAAATAAAGAAAGAACAACAAAGACAAAAAGAGCAAAAAGAGCTTGAACAAAAGGAATCAGGAAGTGATAGTGCAGCAGAACCATTAAAGAAGAAAAGAAAAAGCAACAATTCCGAACCAAAAGTCCCAACTCCAGGTCCAGGTGCACCAAAAGTTTACAATTATATTAGAACTTTGATCTTATCAAATAACGAAAAATACTTAATTGGTACAACCGATTCAGACAAATCAGGGGTGATATTCGAATTGGATTTAAATAATGAGAAGAATATTTTGAAGCTACTGAAGAGACAACCTTTCCCAAAAAGACCTTCAGCCATTTCAACTTCTAAAGATGATTCAAGTTTGGTTCTTGGTGATAAATTCGGTGATGTTTACTCTACGACAATTGATACACAAGAAGCTAGAGAAATAAACTCAGAGGCTGAACCTATCTTGGGGCATGTTTCAATGCTTACAGATGTCACCATGGGATCTCATGATGATAAAGAATACATCTTTACAGCTGATCGTGATGAGCATATCAGAATCTCAAACTTCCCAAAGTCATATGTTATTAAACATTGGTTATTTGGACATCAGCAATTTGTCTCGGCTTTGACAATTCCATCTTGGAACCCTGATCTATTGATTAGTGGTGGTGGTGATGATTATATCTTTTTATGGGACTGGTTTAAAGATTCAAATCAATTGTTGGATAAACTCAATATCAGAGAAATTGTTGAACCATACTTAAATGAATCACATTTTGCTCCATCTAAATTTCAAAATGAATCCGCTGATTTAAAAGAAACTTGTGTCTCAAAAATTCTTGCATTACCTGATAATTTCTTTGCGGTCTTGATTGAATCAACCAAGGTTATTGTTTTTCTAAAATATAATGAAGAATCTAAAAAATTAGCTTTGGACAAAATTCTTCAGTTAGACAATGTTATTATCTCAATAACAGCTTCAGATGATAAACTATTCGCTGCAGTGGAATCAGAAGAGGATCTATTAAGAGTTGTTGATTTAAATACTAAAGAATTGTTACCAAATTCTGAAAGTATCACTAAAATCTCAACGAATTCAAAAGTTGATATTTCTTCAAAAGATGAACTGTATCCATTGTACACAGTCTATCAATTACGTAAAAGAAGTGAGCATTAAAATAAATAATATTCCCTAATTATACATTGTACATTGATAATAAAAATATGTAAATTTTCTTTCTCGGATGAAAACATTTGAAGTAATTTTTTTTTTTGTAAAATCCGTATACCTGTTTTAAACCTCCGGAATGACAAAACAGGTCATAACTTCACAACCAGAACCCCTAAGACAAAACTAAATAGCATATGTGATACCTCTAGTACTGTAGGTACCATAAAATGGCAAAAAAAATGCAAAAAGAAAATTGCTTCCACTCAGAGTCGAACTGAGGATCGCTACATTACTAGTGTAGCGCCTTACCAACTTGGCCATAGAAGCTCTTATAAAATTTTTAATTTTTGTGATTTACTGGTCAATCCAAAATTGGTTTGGGCACGTAATCCAGGCAATATAATTCACAGCTTTTATTGTCGTATAATTCCATTATAATACGATGTATGATTGGTTGTGAAATCATTTGATTACAAGGTTTAGTTATTGTCTACAATTTTCCAATTATGTTATTGCGGATTTCCATTTCAGCTGTCAATGTCAATTTCACCTTTGGTCTATGATATTGGAAATTTCTACACAATTCTATACATGAACAGAATTCCTTATTCCCAGGTTCATCAAGCATTCATGCTCAGCTCCTTTAAGCTAGACGTGGTTCAGTCACCTTAGAATCAACTTATAATTAACAAACCATTAGCCGGACTTCAATATATCAAGAAAAGTATAATTAGGATTATTAATATCTTGGTGATTTCCACAAATTTTACAAATTATATTGGTACGTTCCAAATATTGTATTAACAAATTTATGGCCAGCTGCTGTTTTAGTTCATTGGCGGCCAGCTAGCCTATATTATACTTAATTTAATTTATTGATCTGCAGATTTAATATTATATATAATAAATATTATATTAATCTCTTTAATTAATTTTAATATTATAAATTTATTATAAGATCATATTGAAGCTGCCTGAATTCCAACAATATCGACATAAGCTAGAGAGAACTTAAGCCTAGACGTACAATTCAAGCGGTTCGTACCGTAATTGCATTCCTCACCATTAAAGTTCATCAAATAATATACATAATCATTAACTAAAAAAAAATTAACTAGATCAAGGATCAATGAATTATATAATTATATTTGAAATGCAATAGAAACAAGACGTCGCAGCAGCCACAGCTTAATTTTTGATATTTACAAGCTGTGCATATATGATTCATGAATTATATTTAGCCGGCGGAATATCAATATTAATTAAAATAACAATATTTAATATCGACAATATAAGTACTTCAATAATATAATCGATCATATAAAGTACACTAATATCGTCTAAATGATCACTCAATCATTTAGAAACTAAAATGTAACTATCTAAACAAAGTAGTGTATTAACGTCGATATTGATCATGATCGATATCTTAAAATCTGAGATCTAATCCAGATCCCATCAAATAAATTGCCCTCAGCTACGTACTGTAACGTCGTCGTCACTTAAAAAATAAACATCTGATCAACAAAACTAACATGCTCACCTAATAACCTTTCAAAATCAATATATCAACCTACAACAATTAATAAACATAACAAAAATCATTCAATTTCAATTTTGACGTTTAAATATGTCCCATCTGTCATCATCACGCGTGTCACAAATTGACGCAATTTTTCAAGGCGGCGGCGTCATCATAAAAAAATTACCTTAAAATGTTTTCATTGTCAGCAATTATCAAAAACCATCAAAACGTTTCCTACCCACAAATGAATTAAAAGATTTGATGGTTTTATTTAAGAGACATAACAACACTGAACAAGTGTCTTCAAACATTTCATTACAAGAGTTTGAAACCAAGACACCATATAATGATGACGAAGCTATATTAAATGATCAAGAATCTGGATCTGTTGATGATGAAAAATTTGATTCTCAAACAGGTTCTAAAAGAGCTTTGAAAAATCGTCATCTATCATTGATTGCCCTTGCTGGTATCATTGGGCCTGGTATTTTAGTTGGAGCTGTAAGTTTGAACTCATATTCTTGCCTAAGAGAATATACTAACTCTTTAAGGGTATTGCACTTATAAAAGGTGGTCCATTAGCTTTATTAATAGCTGTCTTGATCATTGGTGTCATAGCATATTCCATAATGACTTCGATTGGTGAGATGGTTAGTGTTTATCCCTCAGGGAATGGGTTCACAACATTGGCTAGAAGATTCCATAGTGATTCATTAGGTGCAGTATCAGGTTATTATTATGTTATTGTTTGGTTTTGTGTTTTAAGTAATGAATATAATACTCTGAGCTCTATAATGACCTATTGGGATGATGAAGGGAAAGTTCCAATTTATGGATATATCTTATTATTTTGGTTTGGATTTGAAATTTTCCAGTTATTAGGAGTTGAAGCATTTGGAGAATCTGAATATTGGTTAGCATTATTTAAAATCTTGGGGTTAGTTGCGTATTATATCTTTTCCATTATTTATATAAGTGGGGGGATTAAAAACCGTCCAGCATTTGGGTTCCATTATTGGAATGATCCAGGTGCCTTAACAAATGGATTCAGAGGTATTGCCACAGTTTTCGTTTATTTTTCAACTTTTTTCTCAGGTACTGAAGCCGTTGCAATCACTGCAAATGAAGCTAAAAATCCAAAAGTTGCCATTCCAAGAGCTGTTAGACAAACAACTTATCGTATATTATTTGTTTATGTTGCCATTGCAATTTTTTATGGAGTCACTGTCTCATCAGATGATTCATTATTAAAATCAGATGAACGTGCATTAAAATCACCAATTGGTATAGCCATAGTTAGGGCAGGTTGGGAGAATGGTACACATTTGGTTAATGCTTTCATATTAGTGACATGTTTAAGTGCAGTTAATAGTTCCATATATATTGGGAGTCGTACAATAACAAATTTGGCTACTGAAGGGTTAGCACCTAAATTTTTAGGATGGAAAGATAAAAGAGGTGTACCAATATTTTCTATAACTTTGATGAATGCATTGGGGTTATTATCATTAATGAATGTCTCTACAGGTGCAGCAAATGCATATAATTATATCGTTAATATTAGTGGAGTTGCAGTCTTCATAGTTTGGGGGATAATTTCATATACACATATTAGAGTGCGTCAAGCTTGGAAGATCCAAGGTTATGATATCAGTGAATTACCATATAGATCAAATTTATATCCATGGATTGCATATTTTGGATTAGGTGCTAATGTTTTCTTAGCTTTGGTACAAGGTTGGACTTCATTATCACCATTTGTTGCAGCTGATTTTGTTGATTCTTATATATTATTACCTTTCAGTTTTGTTGTTTATGGTGTTGTTGCATTGATTAAGAAAAATTGGAAACCTGTTGATTTGGGGGAGATTGATTTAGATGAAGGACGTAGAAGAGATATTGATATAGAAGATGAAGAAGAAGAGTTGAATGAACCATGGTTTAAAAAAATCTACAAGAATCTATAAGGAATTTTGTTTATTTATAATACAAAAAAATCATTAAATTTTTCTAAATTCATTAAATTGGCCCAATCACCATTATTATTTTTCAATTTTAATTCATATATCAATTGTTTTGATTCCCAATTATTTAACCAAACTTTATCAAATTGTCCCAATTCAACATTCTTTGAACTGTGACCATCTAATGCATGCTTAACAAACCAAATCAAACCTAAATCAACATCAGGGTTAATATTTTTTAGGGCATTAAAATGATAATTTAATAAATGTGAAGGATAATTCATAACCAACTTATAATATAACAAAACCAAACAATTATAAAACTTTAGATCATTATGGCATTTCGAATCAATGATTAAATCATTTGACTTGTGTAAGATATCTTCAAAATCTGCACAAACTTTAGGGAAATTTCGACTTGTAATTTTCAAAAAATTGAAAATTCTCTTATGATTAATCAATTTAACCAATTCTTCAAATATGAAGATCAAACAATTTGAAACACCGAATGAAGATTCTTTTAATAAATCAGGAACATCATCAAGATTAAATAATGTCATTGATTGTTGGTGATGATCATCATCCAAGGATTCTTCACTAGATTCATCATCATCTTCACTTGATTCATCCTCTGCATGACTAAAATTCACGACAAAACTTGGAGGAGGAGGACCTTCATCATCATCATCGATATATTTGGGCACTTTAATGATTTGATCCCTTGGTGTTTCTTTTGATTGGATTAAGATCATACCATATCCGTTTTTCAAATCTTTTTGTTTGGGTTTTGTTTTGATATTTTTCAATAGGTTATAACTTTGGTTTAAATCTTCATAAATTTTGGAATACTTGGGATCCATTTCAAATTGTGAAGGGTTTAACAAGATGTTTGATAGTTTTAAATATTTATAAATTGAAGAGATTGGTGATTGTAATATTGGTGATTGTTTGAAGAACAGTGGGTTATATATCCCTAAAGTTGTGGCAATCATGATTTGTAAAATTAGTGATAATGTAGTTAAATCAGAATTTGTTGTGATTGGTAAATGTGATGTCATTTTAAACAATTGGGTGATTTCAGTTAATGATGATAAATTATTCAGATCCAACTTGTGTAATAATGAAACAGTTGTAACATTTAATAATAATTGTAAATCTTGATCATTATTATGAAGAATGAATTGGCCCAATGAAGTTTGAATGGTGGATTGAATATAGTTTATGAAATCAGGTTTTTTGTTGTGAAAAATTTGAGGTATTAAAGTCATGAAATGGTTTATTGAAAGTTTGAAATAACTTGTAATCATTATTGAGTTATCAATGTTTTTAATCAAAGGTTGTAAGACTCTATTTGGATCTATATTGATTGAAGTTGATGCAATTGAGGGCAGTGGGAATAATAATGGAGTTGATTCATCTAGACCCTTGGCTATAATTGATATTTTGGCAAACTTTATTAAAGATTGATGTATTAGATGATGCTGTTGTTGACGTGTAGGTATTCTTGTTGGTGTTTTAGACCTTATTGGAGACGTAGTGGGTATGAAACTTGTTGATCTGCTTTGAGGTATTGATTGTATTAATATTGGACTTGATGATTGACTAATAGATTTATATCTAAAGACAGTGAAGGGACCAATCTTAGCATTGTTTTCTAAACTTTCCAAATTCTCCAAATCATCATCTATATCTTCATAATAATTGTATATATTCCATTTACATAGAGCAATGTTTGATCTTTGGAACGTCACGGGCGGTTCATCTAATTCATTTTCATCATCATTAAATATCATTTCACCATTTTTAACCACTAGGGGAGTACTCCAATTCAATTTAACATCATAACCTTCACATTCCAGCTTAGATTTAGCACAACGTAAGCAATGAGGTCTTGTAGCATCACATTTGATCTTCCTGCGTCGACAAGTCCAACAACCTATAAAGGTTCTTTGATATACTTTTGATCTCTTCTTTGGGGGCATGATGGAGTCAGAGAAGTATATGGAATGAGGGTTGATCTATGGAATGTAGGTCAGTGATATATGAGTTTCTTCTTCATTAGTGGATGTGATAGTGGTAAATTATCTGTCAAAGATTTAATACTCTCTTCAATATTGTTAACCATTTGAAGTTTAGGCTCATCGCCATAGTGAAGAGTGTGGTGTCCGGGTGTGGGAGTGTGCAAGCGAGCAGAGTCGGATATGGTTACCAGGGTTAGGATAAGCGATCGCTTCATTTAAAGACAGGAAACAGAGAAGAGAATGAGTATAGAGAATGAATAAAAGATATAGTAAAAGATATAGTAAAAGCATAGAGTAAAGAATAAAGAATAAGATATAATAGAATACAGAATATAATACACAATACAGATATCCACACACAACCATTCAACACTAATCCACTCAATCTCTTCTCATCCCAATGTGTCAAATCGATAAGCTTTAATCGATGAGACATAAAGAATCCTCGAGGAGATGAGCTCAGTCACACCACAACAGAGATCAGGTAACACATGATACTATCATCATACTATTATTACTCTATTATTCTATCATCTCCATAACTATTAACTAACACCCTCGCTTACCCTTAATTCATTCGCCCTACCATCGCTCTCCCGCTCTTCTTCGGCACTGTTTGCCCTTAACCGTTATCACTTCAAAACTTTCAAAATCTATATAAACAATAAAACTTTCCATCAATAACCTTCTCTTCTAATGTTACCAAACCATCCACAATGATGCTCAAAAGAGGGTTCAAACCCTTGGTCAACGTATCCAAGAGATACATCAACACTTCCCAATCTTACAAAACTGCATCTTCAACTCCAGCTTCTTTAAGCTCATTATCCCAAACTTCACAATCTGAAAACACAATCATACCGAATAAACAAACTTTAACTCCACAATCAACCTATTTGGATTCCCTTTCAAACAAAATGTTGTTTTCTTATGCATCAATTGGTCTTTGTACTCTAAACAAACCAATCTTAAATATGGTTATCAAGCTTTTCCCATTAATTCCAACAAAAGTACTAGATTTCTTTATTGGTAAAATTTACGTTGGTGGGTCCACTCCTGCTCAAGTTATCAAGACTGGTGAAGCTTTATCCTCAAGAGGTATCAATAACATGATGTTGAGTTTAACTATCGAGGATTCAGAAGGTACCAAAAACATTGACATCAACTATATCGTTAAAGAAACCATTGCATCTATTGAAAACATTTTAAAACCTCAAATCCTAAGAGTCATTGCCCAACAAGATAACATTAATGAAGTCCCACCAGGTTATATCGTTATTAAACCTTCTGCTCTAGTGGCAAACCCTGCTCAAGTTTTGTTAAACTATCAAAATGAAGATCCAAATTGGGTTAAACAATTTGATCAATTAGTCTCCAATTGTGAAAAAGTTACAGAGGAAGTTGTTAGATTAAATCAAGAATTATCCAAACAATTCCCTTCAAGAGCTTCCCCTTTCTTCGTCACTGTTATTGATGCTGAAAAATATGATTTACAACATGGTGTTTATGAATTACAAAGAAGATTATTCTCCAAATTCAATAAACCAAATGGGTTCGTTAACGTTGTTGGTACAATTCAAATGTATTTAAAACATTCATTCCAACAAATCAAATTGGAGGAAAAATTGGCTAAAGCAGGTAATTACAGAGTTGGTTTAAAATTAGTTAGAGGTGCTTATATCCATTCAGAATCTGATCGTTCAGTTATCCATGATACTAAAGCAGATACAGACACTTCATACGATTTAGGTATTCAATACGTTTTACAAGATTTGGAAAAATTTAAAGAATCAGCAACATTAGGTCATTTAGTCGTGGCTAGTCATAATGCAAAATCTTCCAAATTGGCTTGTGATATTTTATCAAACTCTAAGGATGATACTGTTAAATCAAATGTTGTCCTTGGTCAATTGTTGGGAATGTGTGATGATGTTACTTTTGATTTGATTCAAAATCATAAAGTTAAAAACATTATTAAATATGTTCCATGGGGCCCACCAGTGGAGACTAAAGATTATTTATTAAGAAGATTACAAGAAAATGGTGATGCCGTTAGATCTGATAATGGATGGCCTTTGGTTAAGAACGTTTTAAGCATTTACAAGAAAAGAATCTTTGGTTAAACTACATATAATATAGCATAGAAATTTAATGATTATGATTTGATTTTATTAATTTAAAATGTAATGCTCTGTAATGTAATCATTTCATCTGTGATTTCTAAGTCTTGAGGGATCCCCAAATCTTGAAGAGTTTCATCTTGATTTAACTCTTGGAAAATATCATCAATCGATTCAATCTCATCATCATCCTGTTTAAATTGTTCATAAAGTTCCAAATGTCCCCATTTTGTAATCATCTCTTTACAATACTCTCTTGATTTGACCAAATCTTTTAAATCAACCATATGATTCTCCTTATGGAAAACTTTCAAAGCAAATCTATTATCCAACAACTCATCATCTTCTTCTTCGTCGTCGTCCTCCTCCTCTTCAACCACTGGCTTCTCAACACCATATATCTGCTTTATCAACTCATTCTTTCTATAGTCACTAAACTTATAAGCAGTCCTATTGAAAGTCAACAATCCTTTATTAATCACACTTTCATCAGAATCTTCAATCAACAACCCCAGTCGTTTATGAAACTTGTGGAAATAATACTTCAATAGAAAAGCCCTTTTCGGGGCAAGCTCCATGAATGATTTATAAACATCTGGTGCATTCACATCAATGGATATCTTGTCCTGATGGATGTTTAAATTAAGACTTGTTGGTGAGGGTTTGTATATTTGAATTTCAATGATTTTGGAAATTAAATCATGAATGAAGTTTTTAATTAATGTTTGAATATAATTTGATGAATATCCTAATCTGGGGGTGATGTCTTGGTTGAATTTCCTTATATCTGAGATTAAATGATCTTGTTGAATGAATTCACACATTGAGTTGAGCACCTTCATATCAATTATTGATTCTTCATCATTCAAAACCTCTTGTTCAAAAATTGATTGTAATTCTTTGGAATTTTTCTTTTCAGATTCATATAGATTTAACGAATTTGATAATGCCTCTTCAATACTTATCACAACTTCATCAATCTCCATAGCTTGTGGGATTTCTTCATACTTAATCAACTTCATAAAAAATTTCGAATCTTGTTTATAATGATCCAATCCTTGTTTCAACAAATCATAATAATTCATAACTTCTAAAATAGACTTCCTTGGTAATTTCTCACAAATTTTATCTATCCCCAATATGCCAAACCTTGCTAAAAATTCAAAAAAAACTTCTTTTTCAAAACTTGTCCAATACGTCCCCAATATTGTGGAAGATTCAATCTGACTAACTTTATTATTTGATTCAAATGGGGTAACAAATGAATGGAAGCCTTTGCTCAAGGTGCCATTATCACCATCAATGAAACTTTTCAACTCCTTGTTGAAAAAAACCCTATAAAGTTCATTATTTTGTAATCTTTTCGGTATTCTAGTAGTCTTTTGTTTCTTTCTTGGAGGTCCTGATTCGAGTGGTTGTGATTCTAGTGCTTCAACAAATTCAGAATCAGAATCAGATTGAGATGATGAATGGTCTGAATCTGTCATATCATTTAGGCGGATGTTTGTATGTACGTTTTGTATATAAATGATGTAGATGATGTTGATTTAAAGGTTTTTTGCAAAAAAATATTCGGTATGGCCACGTAAAATGGTGATTTACTTTACAATTAGTTAAAATCAAAACTATACTTGTACATTATTTATTACACTCCAATTATTCATTATTTTCATTCCTCATAAAGGTTTATTAGTGGGATTCTCATTTAACATACTTGTTTAAGAACTTTTGATGGAAATCAGACCTTAATAAGTCATTAACATAATCATCATCAGTTTTATGTTTTTCTTGATTATTCTTATAATTGAATACTTTATCCTGTCTCCAATTTTTCCTTACTCCTGTTGAATTATTATTACTTAATAAAGGATTTGAATTTATAGCAGATTCCTCTTTTTCTTTTAATTGTTTTTGTAATTCAGCTTGTGCTCTTTCTTTTCTGATTTTTTCCAACTCTTTTAATAATTCAGCGTCATCATCACTTTCATCATCTTCATCACTCTCACTTTCACTCCCTTCATCCTCTTGATCCTCCTCTTCATCACTACTATCATCTAAATCTTTAGTCTCTTTAGCAACTCTTTCCATTCGATCTTCATAGCTCTCCACTTCACCATCCTCTATTGCTAACTGTCTATCTTTATAATCATAATCATCACCTTTAGAATCCTTGAAATGAGTTTTTTCTCTTTGTAATAGTTCTAATTTTAATTCATTAAATTTTTCCTTTGCATCAACTGGATCAATTGTTGTTGTCTTCCTATACTTCAACTGTTTATGAGCAGCAACCTGTCTGGAGTGGATTATGGACGTCTGTTGCAGGTCTCTACCCTTTCTGCTCTCCAAGGTGGGTCTATGTGAAGTTGTCATTGTTGATGATGCTGCTTAATTGTGTTGAAATTGTAGAGATTTGAACTTTTTGAAATTGAATGTTTAAAAAAAATAGAAATGGGGACCGTGATGAGATGGCAGATGATGGGATTGGTTGGAAATTGAGAATTGTGTGATATAATGGTATTGTTATAGTATGAGAATGTTAATATTGGGCATTCTCTTTGTTCATTTATAATTGTATTATCCCTGTGGATTTACACCATGCACAAGACCCAATTAACCCAACTCGTTTAATCATTTATCATGAAACAGTACTTAATACCATCACCAATAATCACATTCCCAATTCAACCACAACCAACCGAGGAAAACACATCAAAACACATAATAGACAAATCACAATTAATCACTTAACAAATCAATAGTTAATCACTCAATAAACCACCATTATCACACTTAAATTCCCACTTTATACCCTTCAAAAACCGGGTAAACAGCGTATAATCGATTGTGGGCCTTTTACCGAAAAGAAAATATAAAAATAGAAAAATTCAACTGATTGGAAAACCGTCAAATCAAAATTTGAAAAAACCCGTCAATTAGTTACAGATTCAAAGTAACAATTGGTGTTGTGTTTATTGGAAGTGGTTGTTCAATTTGAGGTTGTCTTTACAGAGTGTGTGGCTATTTGTTTCAAAGGTTAGGAGGGATCTAGAGAAAAGTGTCCAATTGGTGACATTAGGTTAATTATTTATATACAATACAGAAAAATTATGTCAATACATCAAGATCAAGTGGATCTGGACAAATCACATCCAACAATGATCTCTGTTAAGGATTTCGCATATGAGGAAGATGAGGATTTACATTATGGGGTGATAAATTATTCCCAATATTTAACTGATGAAGATATAAACTATGATGAAAATAATGAACATAATGAACATGATGAAAATGATATAAGGAATTCTATAATAAACATACCCATGAATTATTATTTTGAAGATGGTCCACCATGGAAAGAGGATCCAGATTTGAAAACTCCAATGATTAAAGATGATTCTAAAAATCAGTTTGAATTTTCAATTGCATCAAGTGATGAAATTCATGGTAAGGCCATTGCATTATTTGATTTCATACCTGAGAATGATAATGAGGTTGGGTTAAAAGAAGGTCAAATAATATGGATAAGTTATAGACATGGTCAAGGTTGGTTAGTTGCAGAAGATTCTAAAACTGGGGAAACTGGATTAGTACCTGAAGAATATGTTCAATTGGTTAATAATGATATAGAGGATTATATTGAAGATGAACCAAGAAGGTTCTTGCCAGATATTATAAATGATCATGATCATGGAGTGAATCATGATGAAGAGGAGGATAGTGATTGGGTAGATGAAGATGATGAAGAATTACCAAATGTTGAAAAATTGGACATTAAATGAGTTTATGGTTTGAGGGTTTGTGTGTTTCCATTTTAATATGTTGTTGTGTTTTTATTTGTTTGAAGTGTTTTATCTCTTTTTTTTTATAAGGATGGCATTTGTGTTTCCTGATATTATCAATTGACAATTTTGAAAATGTATTATTACTACTAGTTAAGAAAAACAAAGTTTTATCATTTACATTTATTGCAGTAGAGAATCACTTCATTGTATTATTTTTGTTAATCTATTCATCATCACTTTCAATCTCATCTTCCCAATTATCTTCATTAATATTTGAAACAGCTTCATCATCATCATCTTCACCTCCAATTTCATTAATTAAAAATTTGGAATGGTTTAAAATATCATCATCAACATCAAATTGACTTGAAATTTTTAAAACTTGTAATAAATTCTCTCTACTTTGTTTCAAATTTTCTTTAAACCCATCCAATTTTGGATCAATAACAAATGAATCAAAAATTTCAGCATCATAATTTGGAAATTTTAAATCATACTGAGCTTTTTTAACATATAAATAATTTGTAAAACCTTCTAAATAATAACTCTCCACATTATCTTCATCTATATCTCTAACATTTGATGCAATAACACCACCCAGTTCATACTGACCCATTTCTATAGCAAATCTTGATAATGTTATTAAAGGTTGTATCAATTCAACATATTCAATACTAATCTCTTGAGAATTATCAGTTGTATTAACATTAGAATTATTTTCAAGTGCTGTTTTCTTCTGTTCAAATAAATCCCAACTTTTCTGTAAAGCTTGTAATGCATCATCATCTCTTTGTTGAGAAATTCTAATTGATGTTAATAATGACCAACTTTCAGGATTTGATTCATCTATAGTTAATGATTGATTAATTAATTCATCACATTTTGTTTCAGCTTCAGGTTCCATACATAGATCAGTCATCCATATTTCAATCTCTGCAAATAAACCTTGATTTAATTTTTTAATTGTGAATTTCCTAACATCATCATTGACATCATTATTTTCTAATTTTGTTGTTAATTGTGAAATACCATGATCAATCAATTCAATACCTTTTGAACCACCAATTATTTGACCTAAATAGAAGAATTTCTCAGAACCATATTGTCCATTAATATCTAAATTACAAGATTTTTCTAAAAATTCAAAAGCTTTATCAACTTTACCCAATTCTAAATAAACTTCACCAAAAATTTGTAAAAATTCAACATTTTCAATATATTTTGATTTAAATTTTTTCAATAAACTTAGTGCATCTTTTGTTTGAGAAAGACTTAATAACTTTCTTGTCTCTGTAATCAAATCATTTAGTTCCATAGTTGACAATTATTCTAATTAATTGATGAGATGAGCTATAAACGTTTCCCATCTCTTCAAAATTTTTTTTTCTCTATCAAAATTTTCATTATGTAATCCCAGGATTTTTTTTTCACAATTGAAAGAAATGATGAATTGAATATAACGAAGAACAGTGTCATTATTAAGGGCTAATTCACAGGCAATGGACTATAAGGAAGAGCAGCAGCAGGAGATAGAGATCCTCCAATCGATCTATCCAGATGAATTGGAGGTGGTGTCGGAGAATGAGTACACCATAACGCTTTTGTTGGACACGGTATCTGAACGCAAGCATAGAGTTATACTACATGTTAAATATCCAGAGACTTATCCTGAAGTTGTACCTGACTTGGAATTGGAGAATGATGAGATTGAAGAAGTGGAGGATTATGAAGAGGATGATGAGGAAGAGGATGAAGATAATGATGAACCAAAATTGGTTTTGATTTCTGAACAAGTTGAATTGGATCAAGATGATTTAGATGAGATTAAAAGTAATTTGATGCAAGAAGCTGAAGACCAGATAGGAATACCTTCAGTGTTTGCCCTAGCGTCCTCTTTAAAGGATCAAGCAGAACAAGTGTTTGAAAATAAGGTGAATGCTAAGCAAAAACAATATGATGATGCTCTATTGGCTAAAGAAAGAGAAGAACAAAAGAAGTTCTCAGGTACTAAAGTCACAGTGGAGTCTTTTAATAGCTGGAGGTTGAAGTTCAGAGCAGAGATGGGCATTAATGACCGTATTGAGAAAAGAAAAAAGATGCTACATCGTGGTAAATTGTCTGGGAAGGAGATCTTTGAGAAAGGTTTGGCTGGTGATGATGAGACTCTTGAAGAGTTGGGCGGTGATGTTGCCACTAAACTCGCTGTGTAGTTGAATAAAGGTTTTTTTTTGGAAAGAAATTGTTTTGAAAGTAAATTCATCACAGCGGTTAACAATAACAAAATGTTTTGGCTGGTGGTGATGGTGATGGCGATTGTATCCATTGGCTCTAGCTTAATGGAGATGAGAAAACAAGCGCCGTATCGAGTGTTGAGAGAAGAGTGCTTAAAGCATGTTGGTGAGTGTGATTGGTTTGTTATTATGAGGATGTGTTTTTAATATTTGAGTAGAATACCTTAGAATAAGAACATCGCATCCAGTTAACGAGTGCTGTGACAAATCAATGAAGAACGAAGTTAAGTACTACGTTGAAGAAGTGCAACAGCTACTATTGCAAAGGAAATTGATCTTGCAACAGGTTCCTAAAGACAAGATAAAGCTTCTTAGAAAGAGATTATATTCGAAACTTACTACTACAAATTGAAAAACTATCATTTCTTCATAAATATCATAACTAAATATCAATGCACATTCTTCGCAGTTTGAAACAAATCAGCAAACGTATCTCCATTCTTTGGCTTTGTAGAAGTATCTATCTTCTTAGTTGATTGTTTACTAGTATCTGGAGAGTTCAAAGTAGTTAAAAACGAATCAAAAGCAGACGACGTGGGTGGATTTGTTGGTGTGTTTGGCTCATCATCAAATGATAACAACAAGGACTCATGATCTTTTGATTTAGGCTTAAATTCATCGATTTGAGGTGTCTTTGGGGTGGGTTGGAAATCACCAAATTCATCATCTTCATCATCATCTTGTTCAAAATCACCCCAATCATCCTCTTCTTCTTTATCATCCACTTCATCTTTGAACCCCTTATTAACTTTCTCACCAACATCAACGTCATGATAAGTATCATCATAAGGTTGATACCCATCATTATCATCAAAATCATCATACAATTGCTCACCACTAAAATCACCAGAATATTGACCCGGTAGTTTCTTTCTAGTATAAATAATATGACCCAATTGGTTTCGTATCTCATCTTTAGCATTTGAATTCTGCACTTTTGATGAATCCATATCTTTACTCTTGTAATTACCTCTCATCATCAAATCATCATCACCATTTCTATTCTTGAATACAATAGCATTATTCCCCACGGATTCCAAATTCGATGTCTTTAAAGCCTTAGCACATTCTTTATCTCTATAATTTTTATCTTCCAATAGTTTCAAGATCTCTTGTACTTGCTTTGTAATGACTTTACCATGTTCTTTCCTTTCCAATTCCAATGTGGTTACAATTTCACTTATAGAACCTTCATATTCATAAGCATCCAACACTTTTTTCAATAAACCTTTATAGCCTTGAATAATCTGAATAGCATCATCACCACCAGAGTGCAATATTAAAAACTCCAACAATTTCAAACTTTTACTTATAATTCTCCATTCATTACCACTATTAACATAATGAACAGCTTTATTATAAAAAGATTGCTTCTTTTTAATAAACTTATTAGTTGCCCCTAAATATTCAGAGATTCTATTGAAAATGATATCGAAAACACCTTCAATATCAGATTCAAATACTAATTGATTCGAAATCTCTTCTAACTGCTTTGTGGATGGACCCCAAGAATCAGTGTTTGTGCTTTTCCTAATCATTAATTCAATAGGTGATGAATTTGATTGGAATATTGAATTTTGTGCACTCCTTGCAACTTTCCGAACGTCATAGATTGAGAAATTATTCATCTTGTTATTTAATGAATTCATATTGAATCAGTTTAGTTTCATTAAATTAGTTTAGTTTTATGTTGAAAGAATTTATTACAACTTCGGTTATTGTGGAGACAATACGCTTTATTATATCCGGTCCATTGAAAAAATAAAATTAATAAGCTACGCCTTGTTAGCATATAGATTGAAACAACTTATGGATCAATCTCCAAGAAATAAACATTGTATTTTTTAATTCAATTTATAAAAAAGCAAGTAAATCATTACATTTATAATTCACCAGATTTTGAAACTAAAAGTTGAGTTCTAGTAGCACCAGAGTTTGAACCTAAAGTTTCAATCTTTTTAACAACATCAAAACCATCAACAACTTCACCGAAAACAACATGTTTACCATCTAACCATGGACATGGAACAGTGGTGATGAAGAATTGAGATCCATTGGTGTTTGGACCAGCATTGGCCATTGATAATAAACCTGGTTTAGTATGCTTCTTTGAGAAGTTTTCATCAGCAAATTTTTCACCATAGATTGATTTACCACCAGTACCGTTACCACGAGTGAAATCACCACCTTGTAACATGAATTGTGGAATAACTCTGTGGAATGGAGAATTTTCATAACCAAAACCTTTTTCACCAGTAGCTAAAGCTCTGAAATTTTCAGCAGTTTTTGGAACAACATCGTTGTATAATTGGAAGGTAATTCTACCTAATGGTTGACCTTTTCGATATTGTTAGTAAATTGTTTAAATTTGATCAATTGAGCTTCAATTCATGGGTGGCGAAAAGTGACAAGGCTGAGGACTAATTGACACCTTTATGGGAGAATCAACACAGAATTTGATTGTATGGAACCATCAATTGAACTTCAATTTCTAGGGGGACTTACCATCAGAGGTGACATCGAAGAAAACTTTTGACATTTTGAATTGAATTGAATTGATTTAAAATAATCTGGTACTTCTTTTAAAAAAGGGAGTTGTAAAGAAAGAAATCGAAGCAAAGTTCGATGATGTTCAGAAAAAAAAAAACCGACAACATGGGCTCTTGGGAGTTCCGGGGCCTAGAAATTTCCCGATTTGTGTAAATTGGGACACGTGATATACGAGGGTAATATAAGGGTATGTTTCATTTCTAACCTTTTATTTAATTAACGCTTCATTGATGAATGAAGCATATACTCCTTTATCAAGAACAAACTAAGGAGGCCCAGGATGGATGTCAATAGACAAAATTCAAATGTCAACTTCAAACTGATCTTGTATGCTTCTTTTAAAGCATCTTTAATAAAATCTGGTGCTCCATTGTTAATATATTCAGTATTATGAGCAGCTTGATAAATGATCTCTTGTAATTCTTTTAATGAATAACCTTTATCCAAAAATTCCAAAACTTTATCCTTCAATTCAATCTCTAATTTCTTGGAAAAAATTGCTGAACCTGTAGAAACACCTAATGTGGAACCACATGATCTGAATAAATAACTAATTGATGTGGTGGCAGCTTGATGTTCATGTGGAACTGCTGCAATTAATGCCAGTAAAGTTGCAGTTATGATAACTGAAGTACCCAAGCCTGGTGTAATAAACAACATATATTGTTCAAATAGATTATAATTTGGATTTAGCTGAACAATTCTTAAAAACCCCCAAACTGATAAAACACCAGATAATAACAATAATTTTTGATATTTACCAGTCTTTCTCATATAAAAACCAGCACCTAACGAGCCTATAACAATACAGAAAAAATTTGGTGAAAATCTTTTACCAATCTCTGTTGAATTCAAATTGAAAATTGAAGTATAGTAAACTGGAACATAATAATATGAAGTGAATGTACTAACACTCATAAAGAAATTTGATAATGAAACACCTGTAACCGTAGGTATTTTAAGAAATTCCAAAGGTAATACCGGATTTGAAGTTTTAAATTCAACCCAAATGAATGAAATCAATGCTAATACACATCCAATACTTAACAAGATGAATCCTAAACTTTGATAGCTTAACTCTTTACCACCAAATGAAGCACCTGATAAAAATAGCATTAAAAATGTAATCAAACTGATACTACCATACCAATCAATTAATTTCAATTTTTTAGTAATATCACCACCTGAAACACCTAATCCAGATGAACCTTTTGGTAACTTTAGGAAACAATAAATAGACAAGGTACTTAATAAAGTCAATGGGACTTGACTTAGGAAAGCACCACGCCAACCTCCTAATTTTGGATTATCTGCAAATAATCCACCAACAACACCACCAACTGCAGTACCTAACCCAAAGGCAACATTTGTTAAACCTTGATAAACACCACGAGATTTTAAAGGAATTATATCAGATGTAGTTATTGAAGTTAATGAAGTTAATCCACCACCTCCAACACCACTAATAAATCTCCCCAATATTAAAATTTCAACATTTGAAGCAATGGAACAGATTAAACACCCCAATGTAAAAGTTAAATTACAAAATAATAACAAGGCACGTCTTCCAAAGATATCACTTAATTTCCCATATAATGGTTGGAAAGTTGCAGATGAAAGTAAATAAGCTGTTGCAATCCATGAAATTTTGGGAAGGGCATTGAATTCACTTGCAATATGACTAATTAGTGTAACAATAACAGTACCATCTAATGAAGCCAGAAAGACACCGATAAACATCGAGCCCAAGATGATGCTTTTCTTTGTTTTGGATATTTCACCATCTTCATCATCACCACCTGAATTTTCCTCATCTGTACTGTCTGAAGATTGTTCAATACTATGATATGTTGGGTCTCTTAACAATTCTTCTTGTTCTAATTCTGAGGCAACAAACCCTGGTAGGTCACTTGAAGGGTCTAGTATTATATCTTTCCGAACACCTTTCAATAAATGTTGTCTTTCATTTGAATTATGATTTGGCATTTTTTTGAGTAACTTATCTCTTGATTAATGAGTTGAATTGACGTGATAAACCAGGTTATAAAGAGCTCAAATGATCAGATTTAATCTAGAGTTGATGATTGAATACAATAGATTAATACCCGAGTTTCCATTCACCTAATTTAAAGTAGCATGGATTGACTCATAGATAAACTGTGGAATATGTACACAGTTTTCAAATAACTGATCGGTAGATAAAAACAAAAAAAAAATCGCGATTAACAAAAGCCGGAGTAAATGACAGATTAGATACTGGACTTAAGGCTCTTTTAGGAAGTCAACTACAAAGACATAATCAATCATGATATCGTTTCCAAATGCCTATATATAAGATATGTTGTATGAAATAAACCACCGTGAAGATCCCCTAAACAAAAATGCAAAATGCAACCGGCTATGATGTAAAAAAAACAAGTGTATCAAAAATCAAATAAAAAACCAATATAAAACAACATTTAATGCTTTTCCTCCCAAATGCAAACTAATCAAAATGCCAAAATTGTTACGTCCTAATCATTCATTGATCTCTTTTGAATGCCTTCTTGATAATATCATAGTATTCAATCAAAATAGATTTTTTAACATGTTCAGCTTCATTTAAAATCTTGTCAGTTTCTTTAACAATTTCAATTTTTAAATCATCATAAGTTTTAACAACTTTATCAGATATTTCATCAACAAGTTCATCTCTTCTTTCCCATTGTTCATTGAAGATCTTTAAAACTGAATCAAATCCGATTTTCCCCTTTTTAGCATTTTCACCAAATCTTTCAACACTCCAATCTTCAATCTTGTTACATATTCTTTGGAATGTAGCATATGCTGTGATTTGAGCCTCTTGATTGAAACAAGTCTTGAAAGGATCAGTTTGATCTGGTTTATAAGTAACAGTTTCATAAACTTTTAATAAATTGTTCAAAGTTAAATTTATACTTCTTAAAGTTAAAGTCTTTGTATTCATATCAACAGTGGAAACTTCACGAACATAACTGACTTCTTTACCACCAACCATACACAATAACCAGCTTGGAATGGATTGTTTACATGTTATTAATCTTTCAGTTGTTAAAATTTTACAAGTTGGATCCAATTCTCTTCTTAAAACATCAACTGCAACAACATGAGTAGACATTTCATTTGGATATTTGCGCCAGTTGGCTGCTGTGACTTGTTCCCAAGGATAGTAAAATTCACACGAATTGGAAAAGATCTTCATTATATAAGTTCTATGATATTGATACTTGATCTTTTGATAGAAATCAACTAACAATTGTGAATTGTGGAATTCTTTGTTATCTTGGATTCGGGACTTGATTTATATGAAAAACTTTTTTCTTTCTTTTTTACATCCGAATTGTTTCGAAAAAGTCTGAATTTATTGCGAATGTGCCACCAAAAACATGGAATTGAAAGGCGAGAAAGCGCTGGTTTTTTGATAATGGGTACTATTCTACATATGAAGACCCATAATATCGAAAACTAAACCATTAATTAATTATTATACTGTCTATTCTTTATTGTTGTTAGTGTCTTTTGACCGTTTCGGCAATAGAAACCTGCTGCATAAACCATTTTGGTTAAGGGCCACTCTGTGGATAACAGATTCCGAATTTTTGACATATTTTAAACTTTTGCAAGACAATAAAAACATGCAAATGTCTATCTTGTCCCCTTTTCAAATTGAGTTGCTGCTGGGTATCTAACAAATCTTCTATCACCAGGCTCAAAACTGGCCCGTGTACTAATGAAACTGTACCCTCTAGGCTTGCATAATGACGTTATTATATTCTGCACTATATTACCCAATGAATATGGATTCCTGTTGTTTTTTGTTTTCAATGATCTTAAATATTCTCTTGTAGTTTGTTGAGTAGAAACCAAGAACATATGATATAATAACAACAATAAAGGATAGAGAAGGATCAAATTTCCATAGATTGCATTGAAAAAACTCATTGGAACATGATCTAATGTTTGTTTAAAACTTAATGAATGGGTTTTTTGGTATATGAAAATATGGTAATATGCTAAAACTGATAAATAAACTGAACAAATGCACCCAAATAACAAAAATGCAAAAAAATATCTATAATTTCTTTCACCAACACAATTATTTATCCATATGCAATGGTGATCATGGATACTTATACATTGATCACATCTAGAGCAATGAAATGTCCTAGGCATTCTCCAATCTCGACACGTCAGGCAATATTTCACTTCAATACTTTTTTCCTTGTATGACGGGAGTGTTATTGTATTGAAATACTCATCAGGTAAATTATATGGCTCATCTGTTATATGTATGTTTCTGGGTATGATCTATTCAATTAGTTAGTAGTTTTCTCAACAGTCTCAATTTAAATTCACTTACACCTGGATCTGATGTAGCTGCTTTTATGAATGATGAAATGCAAATAAGCCATGTGTATAGGAACGTTATAACAACAGCAGGGGAAATATTATGCCAACACCAAGAGGCACTATTGAATATATATTAGTAAACTCTTTTTTTGCAATACAAAACTTGACAAAAACTCACTCAAAAATGCAAAACAATATACCAGGTAATACCACTAAAAATCCAGTTGCAAAAGAAATAGGCCTTGATTTCACATATCTAAACCGTCCACCGGCCAGAAACACCAAGTTTCCATAATTCCAACCTTGATAGTTCCTAGCAACTGGTAAACTTTCATCTTTTGGAGTTATGGGATCCGTTATCAACCAATTCAGTAATCTTTTGAGTTTGTTGTTTTGTATCAGATCCTTCTCCTTATATCTTCTGCCCTTTGTTCCCTGTATGTGCCTTCGCTTGCGAGCATCACCACCAGCAAAAACCATCCTCAACACAACAACAAAGAACCAAAACAAGCTCCCTTTACTCTAAAAAGATAATATGTAAGAGCCTTTTTGCTTTCAAAATTTTGTGTCTTTCGGATTTTTTTCCTAGAACAACAATATACAAAACAGATTCGCGAACATTTTTTGCCTTTTGGCTTCAAGAAATTTGCCCCATAGAAAACAGAAAGGCCATCATCAACATATTTCAAGTGTAACGACAATGATGATGTTTTTCAATAGAGAAATCATTTTAAGGAAAGCCATACCTCAAACTCAATTGTTTCAAAAAAGGACTATAGCAAGATTTCCTGTCACCAGTCCATTGGGGATAAGACTCCATAGCGTTTCGAAAGCTGTGCTCCGAGGAATCTTATTGTTTTATGGAAGTGCATTTGTGATTGGTGGTGCAAGTTATGCTGGATTATCATACTATGTTTCCAAATATCAACCTATCTCAACTGAATGGCCATTCTTAGCTACTGTTAATGCTAGAGTCGGTGTTTACTATCAAGACATTAAAGAGGATTATAGAGATCCAAATCGTGAGATTGAAAGATTCAATGAAGCTTTAAGAATCTTGGGCGAGGAAAGTGGTGAAGCTATCGATAAGAATGATGAATCTGAAAGTCATGGAAAATTTAAGTTATTACCATTAAACAAATTAGAAAATAAGAGCAAAGATTGGCAAAAGACATATGTCGATATTGTCATCAGACTGGCGATGGCTAAGGCTGAAATTGGTGATTTAGAAAATGCAAACAAGTTGGTATTATACTCAACTCGTGTTCCAATTGATATTGGCTCTTTGGACCTTAGATCAAAAAGCTTACGTTTAGTATCCAAAATTTTGACATTGAAAGGTGAAGACCCGGAAAAAGCTGAGAACTATCTTCTTGATGCTGTTAGATTCAATGAGATTCATCACGACGATATTCATTTTAAAGCTAATGGATCAGTTTTATTAGATGCTTCTTCAAAGTTGAATAGAGAAACGTTTCAAAGTTTATTAGATCTTGGTGTTTTATACTCTAGACAGGAAAAATATTCTAAATCTCTAGAAACATTCTTGAATTTACTCCAGATCACTGAAAGTGAAAATTTCAAAGAAATTGAAGAACATGCAGACGCGCCATTATTGAAAAGTTATATTGGAGAAATCCTTTATAGAAAGGGAATGATTGAGAATTCTTTGAAATGGTCACAAGATGCATACACTGAAGCTTCTTTCCATGCAAAAGCCAATATAACAGCAGCTGTTGTATCCCAACATTCTTTACAGAATTGCATAAGCTTATACAAAAAATTGGGAAATGAAGAAAAGGCTCAAGAGTTGGAAAAGGTACTTTCTGAGATTGTTATTCCGGCAAGAAACGAAACAAGCTGGAAATCTGCAAAAGATTTGTTCTTCAGTTTCTGATATACCTCTATTCAAATGCCAATGCCTATATATAGTTACATTTTATTTATTTCAATTATTTATTCAATTACAGGTTGCTGTAGTAACAGATTTTACATTATGATTATGTAACACCAGTACAAAAAAAGATTAACGTCTTTGTTGACAGAAACGCTTCATTTTAGTTGCACAAGACTGGTGAAGAACTCAGCGTGATAACTAAATGAAACCCGTGCTTTACATTCCTTTTAAGGCCATCTACTATCCAACAAAATGACTTTCTTCGAATGATTTTGAATTGTGATGTTTGATTTTTCAATAACTAGTTTCAAGGAATCAAGTATTAACCACAAAAACAATATCTAAAGTTTGCGTTGACACAGGTTGATAATGTACAACAAGGCCGCTTTGACCATTATTACACCATTCAGCTGTAACATAGTAACCCAATTTGCTATAAATTCAATAGTTGCTACATAATTTCATTGATAAAACATGTTCAAAGTCCTTGATCAGCTCAAAACTAGAGATGGAAAAATCCCCTATGAATTTTTAGATGTTTCGTACCAAAATTCAACATTTCATGATTACACTTTGGAATCTTTTAAAGAAAAATACGTGAGCATTTATGGAGAAGATGGTATTGTCAAGAATTTGCAACGATATGAAACAATGCCTAATTCAAGGATAATTCACGAAAACCAAATTTGCTACAAGGTGGTGGAAAGTTTCTCGTCACCTAAAACCAAGTTAGGCAAACCCAAAGTGAATACCTACATTTTATGCCCACTATGTGACCCTTTCAAGAATTCTCATTTGAAACCTTCATTCACCTCTAAAATACGAGATGGACAACGGGTTGCAGTTGATCAGAATCAACCACAATTCTATGATACCTTACACTCCCAATATGAGCATCATTTATCTCAAGTCCATGGAGTAATGAGGTTTGGTGCTGCTGCAAACCCTTTCGTTGGTTTGAGCTTGACACAGGGGAAAGTTAATGCTGAAACACCTGTTTATGAGTTGAATTGTATTTGCCCGTACAGCTTACCATCTGCATACCCATGTCTTGCTGAACATAGATTGAAAGTTCTTGATAGAAATGATAATCCATTCAAGGCTTATTTCAGGCATGTCCATCTTCAGCATTACAACCTTTCATCCAAAAACCCTGATTTTGTCTATAAGCCAGAAATCTCTGATGTAAACGGAAACGTTTACTTAAACATTTTCATCCCATTGTCAGTGCAAAAATTTCAGTCATCTCTAAGACATTTGAAAGATTGCTGTGCGTTTACAGATAGAGCCCCTATTCTTTGTAAGGATCAGGATCTATTGAGTTTAGTCGCTAGTTATGTTTCAACAACTCCAAAAAAGGAATCGACACTGAATGATCCATATTCCCAAACACCTTCACTCAAAAGAAAAAGATCTCTATCACCAACTATAACAATAGAGGATCTTCGAAACTTTGATTCGATGAAGAGAATCAAGCCCAGTAAAAATCCATGTGTCAACAGAAATGATGGAAAAATTTTTACAGACACAAAGGTTGAAGAAACAGGAAGTACACACTCTGTACAGTTATTGGGAGATAAATATCTAGCCAAGGAATTAATGAAAGGTCATAGACAAAGGTTCTTTGGCTATAAGCATCCATCAGCAGAACAAAACCAAAAAGAAGTTCAAAGAGCTATGGAGAGTTTGAGAGAATATGCAGGAATTGATTTTTTCCCTTTTAGTTCGTTTCGTGTTAAACGTCCATCGAAATGTTTTGATTGAGTACAATGTCACATTTTTTACTTGAATAGATTTTGTGTAGACGACCTTCAACTAATCTAGATCTCATGAAAGGATCGAAATATAAAGATAGAAGGGCCAACTACGTGACTAATGATTTAGTTACACAATTTAATATCAGTAACTGATCAACATGATCTTGATTTTTTTATTAGGCGAAGAAGAGATGATATCAACGAGTTATATAGTTTCTTCTCATTTAAGCTACATCAATTGAAAATCAACAAACACTTGTATAACTGATGTTAGCTTTCACTAATTAAAAGAATTGAAAGTTTAAAACATTAGGCTCGAGCCTAGACATGAACCCATAGTAAATGCACAGCATATTCAACCATCATCAGCTTAGACATACAAGCAAGTTGGGATTTCCCAAACATCAATCACTTTTATCATAAGCTCAAACTAATAAACCAAAAAGACACTTTTTTCTGATAACCAAAAAAGACACACACAAACACACAGATAATGTTTCAAGCAAGAAGTGAAACCATTGAACAAATTGATAATTGAAACAGTATGATGCCACATTACTGTAACCCAAAACAGACACAAACTGACCACAGAGCAATAAATTGCTTGTGTCAACACATAAATAATGAAATAGATCAACTCTGACCATGAATTAAATAAATAAAAGAAGTAAACACTTTCTAAAATGAATGAACTCTTGCATAAATGAACCTTTAAATGAACGAACTCTATCTAAATGACCTTCTTCATGACATCTATAACAACAAAAAAAAAACAATAAGAATAAATAACAAAAACCCTTTGATTGAAAACCCAATATAAATCAAACATCACACCTCATTAATACTTATTAGAACCCAAAAACCAACCACTCGAGCCTTGAACATCCTCTTCATCTTCATCATTCATATTATTATACAAGTTCAACCTTAAACGATCTTTTTTACCATACAGATCAATTTTGAACTTATTTGAACCTTCATTATTCGAACCAGTTGAAGTGTCCTTTTTGAAATTCAACCAATCACCTCCTGTTTCACCAGTCTTATGATCTGGTTCATTCTGTGATGTGAGATTAATCTCTTGTAAAGTTTTCTCTATTAATGATTTATCAAACAATGAAGAGCTATTTTGAGGTAACGGAGTTGATGAAGTAGTCGTTGGTTGATTTTGCAATGTTGTTGATGATGATGATGTGTTTTGTGATGGTGGTTTAACCATTTTTGAAAATGATCCTGGTACGATATTGGTCATTTCTTCATGTAGGCTATTTGTGGAACTATTATTTGAGGAGAATGATTCGCCTAGATCTGGAACCAATTCGTTAGAGTCTTGTTTAGCCCCACCGAATGTGCCATCATCTTCATGGATGTTTTGGAAAGAAGATGAATTTGACTGAGATGGTTTTTTTGACAAATTTTGAACAGGTGAAATGATTTCATCTTCTTGATCAATAAACATTTTTTTTCTATCATCGTTATTAGATTTCAGTGATTCATCCGAGAAGAAAGGATTTTTCAAAACTGGACCAAATAAGCTTGAAGATCTGAATCTTCTTTGGTTGTCAGTGGCAGTAGAAGCTGATGTAGTGACACTTCTTGGACGTCTTTTGCGTGCTGTGAAACTTATACCTTCATCATCTGATTGATCTTCATTATCTTCATCATCTGAATCATGATGTTTAGGCCTTGGTGTTAACAATGACTGCGATCTAATTCTATTGAAATTTTCAGTCTTGGAAGCGGGTATTAAACTCTTGAAATTCAATTGATTTGTACCAACATTTTGTTTGAAGGTTGTTTGGAAATCTTGGAAAGGATCATGTTTGGAATATAAGTCAATTTGTTGGAAATTATCTAATTTTGTATCAATGTCAGTCTTTAATAATTGCCAATAATAATGTTTTGAGTCTTCCATTAATGGTTTTGCAATTGATAAGGAAGCTAATGGGATTTCCACATACAATGATCTTCCTAGTAGTTTCGAGACTAAGCTCCTTACACAAGCACCATGTGTCATTATTATCACCAAATCTTTTGAATCTGATTCATTTGATAAATTATTAGTTTCATGTTTGACTATTGATATTAATCCATTATTTAATCTTGAATACTGTTGAATAAAACTTTCATTGAAACATCCAGGATTTCCATGCTTATAACTATTGTGTAGATCCAATTGAATCTCTAAGTTTGTATGTCTATGAAATGGTAATTTTGAATTCAAATATTGCATAGCAGTGCTTAGTAATGAGGCACCATTATCACTTGGAGGATAATAATTTATATCTAGATCTGTACTTAACCATTCTGATAGCACCTGGTCTATTGAAATGATACATCTTATTGTTTTGGAATCATCATGATGATTTTTGGTGAAATAGTCAAGTATGAATTTGATAGTTTCAATACATCTTAAATATGGGGATGTATGAAATTTCAAAATAATTAATGACTCCTCAATGTTATGATCAATATAATTCAAGATTTGTTGACCCATACTCATAGCTTGAACACAACCATTGTTTGATTTATTACCAGTAGATTGAAATGTAGCTAGAGGTGGGTTATAAGTTTCTGTAATCATGTAGCCATTAGCAGCCGTATCATTGTTATTAGCGACAAAATCTATTGATGAAGTTGTTGTAGCGACTTTATCATTCCGTTGGGCGTGTCTCAGTATAAAGAGAGAGTCTATCTCTTTGATTTTGACTCTCGACATCTTATGAATACCAACGCCAAATCTTTGACCAAAAACAGTGGAGACCACGATCTATTGATTGAAATCTATTGCACAGAACTAAGGAAAGCAGGAACCAGTTTTAAAAGAGCAGTTTGAGAAAAGATGGCTTTTCTTTGTCAGGTAGTAGCAGTAGCACTAGGCGTTATATTGAATAGCAGGGAATGACAGCGCCTTGAGGGTGCTTAGATTTGAATATGAATCTTTGAAGCACTTTTTGGAATGATGTTGATCATGTTTTATTTTGACACTACTTCTAAATTTTTTTTTCTTTTTTCCATACGAGTTTTTCCAGGCGGCGGTGAACGAGCCAGGCAGGGGGCGTTACGCTGAGCTTGGGGGGAGCCGCTGGGCAGGGTCCCTTTGGGCTCTAGACGGAGAATCTTTCACCACACGGTGGAATGACTAGGCTGACACATGGCAAATGTCTTGGGGAGAGCACGTGACTGTGTAGGGAACAATCAGGGAGAAAGTATGGGAGCTGGCATTGAAGGCAACTCAAACCTTTGAACAGGCTAACATGATAACAGTGGCAAGCTTTAATGCTTTATATTGACGGATTAATAAGTGGTAGTAATATGTATGGTGGTAATCTCTTGTGTATTACACTTTTTAGTGTTTTTTTAGGCGTACAATTGAACTAAATACGACCAGGGCACAAACCATTCAAACTCCAGGTTTCATCTGATAAGAGATTGTTATTGTCAACAATATCAAGATCGAGGAACTCACACTTTTGAAAGGTAGATTCAACTCATCAAGATGCCTCCAGCTATTCAACATGATCACAAAGGGTTAACACGCCAAGAGTTCGAGGAATTGAAAACAAAAGCTCTGGAAGCAAGAGATTTATCGTATTCGCCATATTCAAAGTTCAGGTTAGTACGCTTTAAAATGACCGAATGGTGCTCAACCACTAACCAATTAACAGGGTCGGATGTTGTATTCTAACAAATTCTGGGAAATACTTCCAAGGTGCCAATGTTGAAAATGCATCTTATGGTAAGTATACCCATTTCAACTAAAACGGAGATTGTTCAAAGTACTAATATACAAAGGCGCCTCAATTTGTGCAGAAAGAACAACAATTTGCTCAGCAATTATACAGAAAGAAAAAAGCTTCAAGGCAATTGGGATCTCAAGTGACTTAGAAGAAGTTATTACTCCTTGCGGGATATGTAGGCAGTTTATCAGGGAGTTTGGGAAGACAATCCCAATTTACATGTTCAAAAGTAACGGTGACTTCATCAAGATGTCTTTGGAAGAAATTTTGCCATTGAGCTTTGGACCAGAGCAATTGTCATGAATATAAGCCAGACGTATCAGCATTACTCATTATCATTAAATATTCATACACATTCTATTTAACTGTTCTGTAGCTGATCGCGACCAAGTAGTATCTGTCAGAAAATGGATAATGGCAAGCATTTAGAGTACAATAATCGACGAAATTTTAAAACACAAGAATTTACAATATTAAAGCCACCTTACGCCTTCTAACAATACTCAGAATCATAAACTCATAGACTATTGTCTTCCATCAACTTCAGTAAACCGCTTAATAAGCACTGACACCAACTCGGACTTTTGAGAAGAAAAAAAAATTTCACGTTTAAACAAAGAACCATCTTCATCTCAACTCATCACTACCTTAACCATCTCACAATGACAGCTACAGAAACCATATATTGTGCCGCATCTGATTGTGGTAAAGAAACAACTTCCGTGTTGAAATGTCCAGTGTGTTTAAAACAAGGGATCACAAGTGTGTTCTGTAACCAATCATGTTTTAAAAGAAATTGGCCAATTCACAAAGCTATCCATCAAAAACCTGGTGTTGATTCTTATGACCCATTCCCTGAGTTCAACTACACTGGTAAAGTGAGAGCTCGTTATCCATTAACTCCAAAAAGAGAAATCCCTGAACATATCCCAAGACCTGATTATGCTGGCAATGGTCAACCTATAAGTGAACATATTAGTGATCGTTCTGGTAAAATCCCAATCTATACTGAAGAGGAACTCAAAGGTATTAAACTAGCTGCTAAATATGGTAGAGAAGTTTTAGATATTGCAGCTGCAGCTGTGAAACCAGGTATCACTACTGATGAAATAGATGAAATTGTTCATAAAGCTACTATTGAAAGAAATTCATATCCATCTCCATTAAATTATTATAACTTCACAAAATCTTTATGTACTTCTGTCAATGAGATTATTTGTCATGGTATCCCAGATAAAAGACCATTAGAAGAAGGTGATATCGTCAACTTGGATATTTCATTATATCATGGTGGTTACCATGCTGATTTAAATGAAACTTATTATGTTGGTACTCCATCAAAAGAAGCTATTAACGTTGTGGAAACCGCTAGAGAATGTTTAGACCTTGCTATTGCACACTGTAAGCCAGGTGTCGCATTCAGATCAGTTGGTGATATCATTGAAAAACATGCAAAACAACATGGTTGTTCAGTTGTTCGTACTTTTGTTGGTCACGGTATTGGTAAATTATTCCATGGTCCTCCTCAAGTTGCTCATTATGCTAGAAATAAATCCCCAGGTATAATGAAACCAGGTATGGTTTTCACTATTGAACCTATGATTAATGCTGGTGGATTTAGAGATATCTCATGGCCTGATGATTGGACTGCAGCTACTGCTGATGGTTCATTAAGTGCACAATTTGAACATGAATTATTGATTACTGAAACTGGTGTTGAAGTGCTAAGTGCCAGAAAGGAAACTTCCCCAGGTGGTGCAGTCAAGAGAATATGATGAGCTGTTAAATTATCTCTAAATAATCATTAGATAACTAAATAATTGTACAAATGTGTCAGAGAAATCGGTATATCGTAGTGGCCTTGGACCAATCACAGGGTAAAAGTCGCGTCTAAATCTTGTAAATTTGTCGAAAGAAAAAAAAACGCGAACCATAGAAAAAAAAAATCCAAATGGCGACTAGTGTTTTAGACGTATCAACTAGATCAATCAAGTTTTCAACTCCAATTTGTTGTTAATTGATCCATTCATTTCATACTGAGAGGGATAACTTCACAATGTCATCCTCTTTACAATTGTTAAATCCAAAGGCGGAATCCCTTAGAAGGGCTGCTGCGCTTCGTGTTAACATTGCAGCTGCTCAAGGTTTACAACAAGTTTTAGAAACAAATTTAGGTCCAAAAGGTACTTTGAAAATGTTGGTTGACGGTTCAGGTAATATCAAATTAACAAAAGATGGTAAAGTCTTGCTTAGTGAAATGCAAATTCAAAATCCAACAGCTGTTATGATTGCCAGAGCTGCTTCAGCTCAAGATGAAATCACCGGTGATGGTACTACAACTGTTGTATTATTAGTTGGTGAATTATTAAAACAAGCTGATAGATTCGTATCGGAAGGTGTTCATCCAAGAATCATCACTGATGGATTTGAAATTGCAAGAAAGAACACATTGAAATTTTTAGATGAGTATAAAATTCAAAAAGATTTAGATCGTGAATTATTATTACAAGTTGCAAGATCTTCATTATCTACAAAAGTTAACAATGAAATCACTGAAGTGTTGACTCCAATTGTCACTGATGCTGTCTTGAGTGTTAAAAGTGAAGAATCTTTAGATTTACATATGGTTGAAATAATGCAAATGCAACATGAAAGTGCAAAGAATTCAGAGTTGATCAAAGGTTTAGTATTGGATCATGGTGGTAGACATCCAGATATGCCAAAAGTTGTTAAAAATGCACATGTTTTAATTCTAAATGTGAGTTTAGAATATGAAAAAACTGAAGTCAATTCAGGTTTTTTCTATAGTTCAGCAGAACAAAGAGATAAATTAATTCAATCTGAAAGAAAATTTGTTGATGAAAAATTGAAAAAAATTATTGATTTGAAAAATGAAGTTGTTGGTTTAGATTCTGATAAAGGTTTTGTTATTATAAATCAAAAAGGTATTGATCCAATGTCATTAGATGTTTTAGCAAAGCATAATATCTTAGCATTAAGAAGAGCTAAAAGACGTAATATGGAAAGATTACAATTAGTTACTGGAGGTGAAGCACAAAATTCAGTTGATGATCTAACACCAGAAATTTTGGGTTATAGTGGGATGGTTTATGAACAAACAATTGGTGAAGAAAAATTCACATTTGTTACTGAAAATAAGGATCCAAAATCTGTCACCATTTTAATCAAAGGTGCAACTAACCATGCATTAAATCAAACCAAAGATGCTGTAAGAGATGGTCTTAGAGCTGTTGCTAATGTTATTAAAGATAAAGGTGTTATTCCAGGAGCTGGTGCTTTCTTCATTGCTGCTTCAGATTATTTGAAGAAAAATCTATCGAACCTAGCTGAAGGTCGTAATAAAACAGGTATTGAAGCATTTGCTGATGCATTATTGATTGTTCCAAAGACATTAGTTAAAAATTCTGGTCATGATGCACTTGATGTTGTTTCTTCATGTCAAGATGAATTAGCTGAAGATAGAATTATTGGTGTTGACTTAAATGCTGGTGATTCTTGTGACCCAACTATTGAAGGTATTTGGGATTCATTCAGAGTTTTAAGAAATGCTATAACTTCAAGTGTTGGTATTTCCAGTAATTTGTTACTTTGTGATGAATTATTGAAAGCTGGTCGTTCATCATTAAAAGAACAACCTCAAGGTCCTCCAGGTCAATAGATTTATAAACAAAAAGATAATTTTGTATGAAAAAGGTATCTTACAACACAGGTTGATTTGAAAGGCCAGATGGGTACAAATTCTTGTAGTTCACAAGTGCGCGTATATCCAGTGAATGCATCAAACCTCGGTAGAAAGAGTAGTAATAGACTCGAGAGTATTTTCCTTTGGCTCTATAAGTAATTTGAGGCACCTTTCATTTAATTTCGCCTTTAGTATCTCAATTTTGGACAAGTTTGACGTAGGGTATAAAGATACAGAGTCATGACGATCCGCAACAGCATAAGACAGCTTTACTGTAACATATAGAGACAACTCGAACCAACAGATCACTGAAATTAGAATGCTTCTTTATACTCATTCGTAATCCTTAGCTCGGCACATTGACATGAAGAAATGCCTGATCATGACTGAAGGAAATTAGACTCTTCAACCACAGTTCCTTTTATACCCATCATGTTGACGTACCCAGACGGAATATACTTGGCTTCCGAAGTAAACGTAGACCTCTGGTGTATTAGATTGCTACTGCCTATAGACCGTGGAACACAAGATTTGGTAATTTTATCAAACAGGGTCCTGGATCCGACCCGTTTCCGTCGGTTTTAGATCGAGATGCACTAAACTTGACTCTTGACTCTTGAGCTTCTAGAAACTAGAATCGAATCCAGATTGCTGACTCAAATTCTTGTCCATGTACTCGATTCGCATCTCCTCATCCAACCCTAGACAACAACATTCATATTACAGACATGTATTGCCTTTGGCTCCGATCTTGATCAATCAGCATCTTGATCTGATAGGCTGTTTTAGATTTGATTGGTTGAATGGATTGCTTCATGAATCATTTACTCGTTGACTCGTGTAGTATTGAACCGAAGTTTCACCGAGTTATCAACCATTTCTAGCATGAGTCAACTTTACATTTATCCAGGGTATATCAGGATTCTTGGTTCGACGTGATTGATGGTTCGTGAACAAGATCATTGGGTACCTGAGCAAGTTTAGTGCGTGAACTGTGCCGTCCTTGAGTATTTCCACACGAGCAGTTGACCATCCAAAGCTGTGTAATTTTGCTTTACCAGAATTTCATGATCCGGATAAGTGTTAAGCCGTACAGATCGATTCGTGAACCATCGACAATCAAAACTTCCAGAACCTTGTCAAATTTTTAGTTTTTACGAGAACCCAGACAACTGCAGGACAGCATGGACACAGGCAAGAGATGATGAGTAGGCTCCAGAGTACATGTTGATGATTTCAACCATTTTCCGTCTACAGTCCACATATCTAGAGGCTAGATATCAGGAGTGTCAGATAGTATGGAGGGGTTCAACAATACCAGCCAAATGAGGTTTTAACAGAAGGAAGAAGAGCAATATCATCGTATATTCCATACCATATTCTAGTACCGATGTTAAGCTCAAAGTGCGTTATACGTTTCAGCTGTAGAAGGTTCAGAGCTGTATACTTACCGGTTGAATGATTACTATTGCCTTTACCTGTACAGTGCACAACTTATTATATTTCTTACAAAGAAGCTATCAATATTTGTTTCCTTGTGCTAGAGTACTTCGTAGAGTACACTGGTTGAAACAAATATTTCAAAGTCCTTCAGATATTGCAGATCTTACTCAACACTAGATTAAAGGTACATCACTTGTGCAGTTAATTATTCTTTACGTCAAACTCATAATCAATTGTAAAGCATCTCTCGTATTTGTTTAAGACAACTGTACAAATATACAGGTCAATAGGTAGAGCAGTACTGTCTATAATCAAATCATTGATTGCCTTAGTAGCACAATGTACTAGAAAGCTGCATCATAGTGCTAGCTCTAGATAATTATATATTATTATCAATATCATATAGCGTACAGCTAATTATAACACAGCGCCGCCTATCGACAGCCCAGCTAGCTCATATTGATTTATACTCGACATGAATAGAACGATGTCATTGAACCTCATTAATGATGACAGCTTAATTATCATAGCTTGAACCACAAATTATTAACTAGGTGTACTCATGATAATGATCAATTAATATCTTATAACAGTTCACTTCTATGCTAGTGGATCGTGAGCATATTATAGCTTACTCTCAACATTAATATTGATTGATGATCAGACTAGCAGATTGTTATTATCCTAATGTGCTGGGTGAATATATGGGTAATGAATATCATTGACAATAAATAATACTTTTGATTGTCAAATATTCATTGTTGATTCAGTACAGCTGTACTATACTAGATAAAAACTAATTGTACAATATTGTACTAGTATAACTTTACACCGAAAGACCGTTTAAACATTTTGCCACGGATGTAGATTGTATCTCAAACAACAAGTGAACAATCGAAAATGTAAACAGGTTTTAACATTAACTACAGATTATGAATAAGCAGCTGCTTTCAATACCAGTATCGACTGGGATGTACTACACAAAACTATGCAGAAGCTGAGCTATCAACTCCACACGTAGCTAGCTTTTGAGTGTCAACTTTTCGATTATAACTGCAGCTACACATCTTTGAAGTAAACTAATTATACCAGCTAGTCAGCACCAAGCTATACTAATGTGTACCAGTCACTGGTTAATAGTGAACAGTTGAACGCATACTTGTTATCAATTTTTCGTAATTTGTCTGTACAGCTTGAGTTTTATGGAGTCAAATGGTAGTTCACCGAGCCTGTTGGACATACATGTCCCAACCTGTCAAATTTCATTTTACCGGCGATGAGTCGTAAACTTTGGAGCACACGCATAAATGACGATCGGCGACATGGTTTTTACTTTCAAACAGAAACTGGTTTTGCTCATACACACAAATTTGAGGTGTAAAACCATGTTGGTGTCGCTGATATTTCCAAAAATTGAACACGAGCTGTTGATTCGATAGCCTTTTTGGCTAATTATAGACGTCGTGGTTTGGAAAGTTGGAATCTTACGGCCGATATATCTAGTGTGGAGGAGTTTAGTCAATGTCAACTCAACAAAGGACAAGCTACTTGCCCTAACCTGAACGAACTGTTGCTTGGACGTTATTGATTAATAAAAGCAGGTTTCCTGACGGAATTGTTGAAAGGGTCTTGAGCTTCTCTGTTTTCTCCTCTTTGTTAATTATTCTTGAGCATGGAAACTTGAAAGGCCTGTTGTTCGCGACTTTCGCTATAATAAAGTTCATTTAACCGTCGGAACTCTACCTGATCAGTTTGAAAAAATTTCCACCCAACATCAACCTACACATCAACAGTACTTATGGTATTTTGCCGTTCAAAAATGTTCTCACTTCTTAGAATAAGGGACTAACGATCTGTTAGTTTCACGGATTATGTCTGCCCTTCATGTACTTGTGGTCTGATTGATGGTCAATTATTGTTCTTGGAAAGGCTTGCTTATTCAGCCGTTGAGACCTAATATAGTCGTTGAGAGGAATAAATCTTAATTTGTACCACAGTATCAGCTTATTATAACTCGGGCGCTCGTACCAAGTGTCTACCAGCTTGAAGTCAATTGATCACTATCAAATCGTAGCTTAATTCGTTGATGTAGTTTACACACACGCCAGAATTTCATTAAGACAAGGACTTTTCCAGAAAGTCAATATGCCATATTAGAGAATTACAAGGAATGATCTGTATACGCTCTTCTGTCTATAATCTAAACCCACCTCTCAATTTTCAGACTCGCAAGAGTCAAAACGTAACTGTAGCACTGAATTAATGTATATCGGAAATCTGCTCCTCCAGGAAAATATATCTTTCGGGGCCGCTGAAGATCCCCAGATCGTACAGAAGCTACAAGGTTAGGTGGGACTTGGATTCTTCAGCTTTGATCGAATTCAATATCTTGGTTTAACAGATGTTTTTTTAGTTTTTTTGCTTGATCAGGTACTAGTGTAAGCCTGGAAACAGACATCAATATCAATAATGATATAAGGTGAAGTACAGTGTGCCTGTTGAAAAAATATGAAGTCCCACTGCTAAACAATCATCCAATTACCAACCCAACATGATGGACCTGGAAACTGAAATGATCAATCAGCGAAGATATATGTCCAGCGTGTCAAACTATTATAATAGTCAACTCTACTTCTGTTGGTCCAAGCTCAGTATGTTATAAACCTTTTACGCTTCAGGTGTCTAGATAACCGAGAATCGTTCTTAAGACAGACAGCTGAAGGCAACTTCTGATGGATTATTAATATCAACTAGCTGGACTCTCAAATATCACTAGTGTACTGAGCTTCTACAGAAGTTAATTCAGCCATAAGCTAATGAAGACTTCGTAATCGCAACTTCTGTTGAGCTATAAGCTGTACATTGTTCTTTCTTAATTAGGAACCACTCTTCCATGTCATATTAATTATAATTCCTTGTTTGCTATATTTCATTCAGCCGCTAATTAATCGCGACAACTAACTGTAGCGTACTAGTTCAATTCGACTACTAGTATATTGAACTTCTAGTACGTCAACGACTTCAATTTTGATCACTTCATGAATTAATTGGAAGAAGGATTAATGATCATTTGGGGCTGGACTGAGATTGTGAAGCTACTTGAAGCCGGGATTTGAAGCCATCTCATAGATTGGTGTATATCTGTTTAACGTTAATAGAATCATCAAGTTATAGAATCGCCTACACAAATACTTGGGTGGTCAGAGAAGGATCGAGTCAACCTGCACGTCACGAAAGTACGATGCAGAGAAACAATATTAAGTCTAGTAACAACTTGGTTTCAACTGAGCTCGCTGCAGGAGTTGAGACATAAAGCGATGTTTCATTATTCAAGAGTACTTCTTTAAATATTCAGAACCAATGCTACATAGCTTTCAGGCAGAGACGTTGTGGATGTCTTGAAAGAACCCGGACTGATCGGTGATCAAATAATTGTTTCTGCTGCTAGAGAACAAGATATTCGAATCCAACATCTAGATTCCACAACAGCCTAAGCAATGCTACTCTAGGGAACACATGGATACTCATACTTCCAACATCTTTCTAGAATTTAATCAAGTTTGGTATCTTTCATAAGTCCTGACTCCTCGGCCCTGGCGCCCTGGGCAATATAATCACTATATGTATGCTCTAACTTCTGATAGATTCGACCACCGATGTTCCAGCCTGAGCAGTATACGCCTAGACATCTGAGGAACCAACAATACCGATTCTCAAATGGGTAAATGAATCACTCACAGAAAATCTATTAATTGAATCAAGTTACAACTTTATATGCAGCGTCCAGTTTATAACAGTTTCAAAGGCTTCCGCCTCAGACTACAAGAGAGAGGGTTCCCGGTGAGCCATTCGGTCAAGGTCTATAGTTCCTTGATATGAACAGTTCCAAATACTTGGTACTTGGTACCACCTAGTTTCCCATTCACAACAGACTACAGTCCTGATAAATTTCCATACACATCATCCACTACACAATCAGAGTGCTACAATAAAAAAATGGGACAGAGCTGGTCGATTTAACCCCTGAACCTGACTACACTACGTATATTGCATCACTCTGACTCTATATACATCCCAGGGAAGAGCATTTCTATCATCATAGTACACTTAGGCTCTTCTCAACAGCATTTGTCCCAAGAGCCGACATAATCCTTCTGAAAAGGGCAAACAACTTCTTCGCTTTTTCGAAGTTTCCAAGCCGCATCTCAACTCGGTTCAATGCATCAAGCTGCAGACACCACTGAGAGCTTGAAATTGACATGACAATACAAACTCCCATAATTTTGTACGGTGAAAAAGAGACATGCAATATTGACTTAAGTTTATGCATCGGAAATCAGCTTTTGGCTAGAGCTCATAAACTCTATTTCGCGTGCATGTAGGATTGAGTTCATGAGCTGTATGTGAGCTTCGGTTAATTTCCAACCCTACACATCCAAAGGATTAAGTACTTTTTTCCATCATGGGCATATTTTGATGGGTAAAGGTATTTTTTTGCTGGAAAATTTATATATAAAAGTGAAAAGAAGCTATCTCCAACTCTGTTTTCAAAGAAAGGTCCTTCTATTTCGAAAGAACATTATTGACCACAAGGATCAAAATAAAAAAACACTAGTGTGCTAGCTGATCATCTCAAACCATAATCTTTAGGCAAATATTAATTATAATTGGTTTGACATATATCTTTTATTGATCCATATAAATCATATGAGATACTTTTAACCAGCTCTTGAACCCAATCAATTATTATACATCACACAACAAAATGGTCATGGGTCCAACTCCATCAGTATTACAATGGAGTGGTTATCGTCCAGCACCTCAAACCAAACCATTAAATGAATCTTCAGATCTATTTCCAACAATTTCCACAAGTGAGGCTATAGTAAATCCACAACAACAAAATGGAAGTATTACAAACATTGCTCAATCACCTGTCAACCAAATCCAACATCAACATTCACAACAACATCACGATTTTAATTCACCAACAAGCACAAACTCCAGCTTTTCCCAAGCCAAAAATCAATCATTTGATGATTATAGATATTCACATACTTCAACCAACTGGTTATATGGACCTGGTGCTAACGTACACCCTGGTCACCAACATCCAGAATTCCAATTGGACCCACAACATAATACAACTTCATTTGATGACGTAGGTACCAATTTCAATGGTGAAGAAGCATCAAAACCAAGAACAGAATCATCTCTAACTTCAATGTCATCTCCAGAATATTCATCATTGTTAGAAGATGACAATGGATCACCAAAAAGCATGAGAGGCCGTTCAAGTTCGACACAATCAGCCAAAGGGAAAGTCCATAAAGATGCAACTGGCAAAACTAAAAGATCAAGAATGGGTTGTTTGACTTGTCGTCATCGTAAGAAGAGATGTTGTGAAAGAAGACCAAAGTGTCAAGAATGTGAAAGATTGGGATTGAAATGTACTTGGCCTGTACCAGGTTTGGAACATAGAAACAGACCAAAGAATGCCAAAATGAATGAAGATATGCATTATGATGCCTTTTATGGTCCTATTAAAATTCTGAGAGGTATTGTGGAGTATAGAATCAATGCAACTTCATGATCTAACACCATCTGTCCTTGAAATGTCTGTTTGTTTTTTTGTATTGGTTTGTTTGGTTTAAGTTTGGTGTTATTTATTTATATTTTAATGGGCTTTGATTACTTCAAAAAGCAAGAAGATAACTATAGTGCTTACATTTTAATTCATTCCCTTTAGCTAATGATGGTTGTCTTTATTATATCCTGGTTATTGGTGACTTTTTTTACTCATTCCTGCTCTAAATACAGTTCTAATAATTGAATTTATGTCTATTCATGATTTTAAAGCTTGTAGAAGGACATAAGCCTAAAGACAAGACGAATTTCACCTTTTGGCAACTCTATTAACTATTATAGCTGAAGTTGAGGTTATAATTTTGCACGACGACGTCTTCACTATTTTATTAACGATAGGGTGACGTCTCCAGCCGCGATTTTTTTTTCTATTGTTTGGTGAAAAAGATCATGAAATCAAAAAAAACCGTATAAACTACAGCCGGATCTGAAAACTTAAGGCACCCATACGAGAGCCTACTTCAAACACAGTCCCGTTTCAAAAAAACCCTTTGCTCGAGCTTAGCTTGTCTCTTGAATAGCGCCCTGCTGGAGATCAAGAGCAGTTGATACGGTCTTTTATATCCATTTATTAGTCGCCTGTTGAGGAAAACAAAAAAGAAAAATTTATTAAAGATTTGGTTTAGATATTTCATTCATTTCTGGTGAGCTTTGAATAGGGACAATGCATTTTTCCAAAAGAAATCTGCTGTTTGTCGTGCTGCCTATTCTTTCAATCCTCTTCTTGTTGATCTCACCTGTCTGGCTATCAAGTTTATCAAATGCAAAATATCGTACAGTTAGAACAATCACTGAAGATACCATAGCTGCTAAAAGAGATGCTAAGATCCAGCGCCATCATGACCAAACGGATGATTTGATAAGGAGTCAAGCATATCGTTCTATTAATGAGTTTCAACTATCAAATTTATTATTGGCGTCTGATATCGAAGGTGGACTACATGCATTGGATAGAGAAACAGGTGAAATTCGTTGGTCATTAGATGTTGAACAACCACTAGTACAAATTTCCTCAAATAACTCAAATCACACCAGCAATGATCATAAAGATTCCCTTGTTTGGATGGTGGAACCTTATGGAGATGGTAATTTGTATTTTTTCAATAAAGAGATAGGTTTGAATAAATTACCAGTTTCAATAAGTCATCTAGTGTTACAAAGTCCATTCGCGTTGGCCAATGATGATAAAATATATACTGGCTCTAGAAAATCTTCATTATACTCAATTAATGTTCAAACAGGTGAGGTTCTTTCATCATATGGGTCTGGTTGTGACGTTTTTGAAAACGTTTGTAAAGACGATCCAGAAGTTGTCTTAGTTGGAAAAACTACTTATGAGTTAACCATTCATTCAAAGGATAATACTTATTGGAATGTCACCTATTCAGCTTGGGGACAGAATAACATTGATGTGGATTTGGCATATCAAAATACAATTCCATTAGACGGTACTTACATTGCTCCGTTCCATGATAACACATTATTAGCAATTGACGTCAATTCTAAGATTGCCAAATGGGTTAGCCAGTTACCAAATACTGTTGTCAATGTGTTTGATATATTACAAGATGAAAAATTGTCAGATGCCCAATTGACTGATAACTTTATTATTGTCCCACATCCGTTGAAACCACCTCATGGGTTCCAAGAAGATGAAAACTTGGGTGTATATCTTGACCAGACTAAAAATGGCTCTTGGTATGCAATGTCAAGTGACTATTATCCATCGTTAGTCAAATCTGCCCCAACATCAAGGTATTCTCTAAGTGAAAGATGGAGAACTTCCCATATTCTCAACACTCATGATCTATTTATAACTGCTGTTGTTGGTGTTCATTTACCAAATGAAAATCCTCAAACTATACCTGATTCATCAAGGGCACTGATTGGCTATCCTACAAATTTTCCTCAACAATACCCTCAGAAACCTATTCATACTCCAAGATCTGATGACATAGACACTTATAATCCACCCTCAAGATCAGAATGGATTGGCTTACCATCTTCTTCACATCCAGTTTTGAATATAGATCCATCTCCAAGTGATCAGTATGAATTTTTCAATACTGTTTTTGGAAAGTTTATCTACAGATGCTTGGAAAACTTGGTTATGGTTTTGATTACATTGGGTATAGTATTTGTTTTCATCAAACTAAATTGGATACCATCAATCAATGTGATGCTGAAAAAAAATGGACTAGAATTGAAAGAGTTAAATAAAGAGGAAGTAAAGATAGCTACGCAGGAATCACTACCAACTCCATCAGTGGTTCAAGCCAACCATGATGCAGAATCCAAAGATGAAGTTAACAAAGAAAGTACCGAGGCTAAGGTTAAGAAAGAGGTTAAAATTTTGGAGCCACCTGAATCTGAAAAGATCAGTAATGATAAGAATAATGAAAATAATGGCTTGAAGAAGCGCAAAAGGGGAAGCAGAGGTGGAAAGAAGAATAAGAAAAACTTGGACAATACTGGTTCTGAAGCAAATGAAGTTATACCCAAACACTCCACCACAAACCCTGCAAATGGTGTTGTGTCACCAAAAATCAACGGATTAACCTTATCAGACAATGTTCTTGGTTATGGATCTTATGGTACTGTTGTCTTCAAGGGTAGTTTCCAAAATAGAGATGTTGCAGTTAAAAGAATGTTGATTGACTTTTATGATGTCGCAAGTCATGAAATAAATTTGTTAACTGAAAGTGATGATCACCCAAACGTGATAAGGTATTTTTACAGTGAGACAAGTGATAAGTTTTTATATATTGCATTAGAGTTATGCTCTGCAAGTTTGGAAGATGTTATTGAAAAATCGCAAGATCATTCGGATTTAATCAAAATAATGAATCCAGTCAGTGTATTGCAACAAATTGCCAAAGGTTTACATCATTTACATTCATTGAAAATCGTTCATAGAGATATCAAACCTCAGAATATACTTGTTGCTCCACCAAAAAAGATAAAGGCCAGATCACTTAAAGATCAATTCACACCTGTCAGAATTTTGATTTCAGATTTTGGTCTTTGTAAAAGATTAGAAGCTGACGAAAGTTCATTTAGAGCAACAACACAACATGCTGCTGGTACATCAGGTTGGAGAGCCCCAGAACTACTTGTTGATGAATCAAACTCTACATATAATTCATGCTCAGTCTCAAGTGAACATTCCTTCAATACTTCCACAAATTCAATTGTTGAACCATTGGTTTTTGATTCCTTATCAAGAAGAAAATTAACAAGAGCAATTGACATTTTTTCATTGGGTTGTGTTTTCTTTTACATATTAACTAATGGTGGACATCCATTTGGTGATAGATATTTGAGAGAAGGTAATGTTATAAAGGATGAATACTCATTAGATGCATTAGATATATTGCCAGATAATGTTAGTGAAGCTAAAGATTTGATATCCAAGATGATAACCAGAAATCCCAAACTAAGACCAAACACTTCTCAAGTGTTAAATCATCCATATTTTTGGGATAATGCTAGGAAACTGGAATTTTTGTTGAAAGTGAGTGATAGGTTTGAAGTTGAGAAGAGAGATCCACCAAGTGATTTATTGATGAAGTTGGAATTAGTTGCTCCGAATGTCATTGGTGATGATTGGTGTGCTAAATTTGATAAAAGTTTCTTGGACAACTTGGGAAAATACAGAAAGTATCACCCAGAAAGATTGATGGATTTATTAAGAGCATTAAGAAACAAGTATCATCATTTTAATGATCTACCAGCTGACCTTGTTACAAGAATGAGTCCATTACCTAATGGATTCTATCAATTTTTTAACAAGAAATTCCCTAATTTGCTTATGGAGATTTATCATGTTGTGGAAGAAAACTTGAGTGATGATCATGTTCTAGAGACATTTTTTAAAGGGGTAGATTGATTGAATTAGAAAAAGAAGAAATCAATGAAGAATAATAAGAGATTGGTGTTGAAAAAAGTTGTTTTATGGGAATTTTGAGTATTGTGAGTATTGGGAAATGTTTATGATGTTGTTTAGTTTTGATTGGTTTTGTTTATCTCAAGTTATTATATATTTATTATTTTAAGTGCATTTTTAATCATGAAATACCTTGGTGTAGTGAGACTTGTGAATTTGACTATGAGAACAAGATCAATTGATGTTGACAGTGTGAGTGTATCAACTGATCTGTGTAATTAAACAGCGCCATCGAACTATATGCGCTTCTTCATGAGTTTATGAGTTTTTTCAGTTTTGTTGATGGAGTTTCCCTCAAAATTGTCAGCAACATTGATATCAATCACCCAGCCCACTGGTTGAACTGATATTTGAAGCTTTTAAACCCAGAATAAAGTCTTATCACGTATCGTTATGATATGGCATTTGTATGGTTCAACTGGTTTGGAAAATGAATCACCGTTCCAAAAGTACCATGAAAAGTCACTCGTGCTAATGTAGAACTGCCAGGAAATTTAACATCAGAGCATCACGAACATTGTGAAGTCTGTGAAATGGACAAAATGTAGTTTGATGGTACCTTATTCTGAACACCCACAGACCATTCTAGTACATAATAATAGTACTCTGAGTTCTCACCATGCACCAGTCCTGAAAGCTTAGATTGATGGTTTTGCAGAATTGAATACACTCAGCATCAACAATAGCCTTCGCTAAAGCCCAACATATTAAATTCTTGCCAGATGCACCAGAATCTATTCTCAACAACTTTGGATATGAAACAGACAACTTCAAGGGAAATTATTTGTTCTTTGTAATTACTCCTGCCTTGGTTAAATATTCGGTAAAACACTGGAGTCTAAGCGATCCAAATCATCTAGACTCAGCGTGCCATATGGTACGATAATTGACTGCAACAGTTGATTGAAACTAGGGAAATATTACACCTGACTCCTGAGCCTCTAAATACCCGATGTTTATATCTGCGTGTCCATAAAGTGTACCTTCACCTATGTCCAGACTGTACTATCAAGTTTATGACCGTGTCTAAATGCACTATTCTCAGAGGTTATGCCTAACATCTTAAAGCTATTTTAACCCCAAAGTTGGAGGTCTTTGGTCTCTAGACTCTGGGTCTGGTACACTTGTGGAAGGATCTCTCTTTCTGAAAAATGCAATGAGAAGTACCAGAATAACACTCCTTACATCTGTGAATAAGAATGGTCTGATATGAAACCTTTGACAACATTTTGGACAAATACATGTATGATATACATCAGAGAAATGTATATGAAAAAAGACACTGCACCTGCTGTTGAAGAAAAATGATTTGACAGCTTTGTGTAGCGCTAATCTCAACTATAGCCAGTTTATTCTTTGAAGTTTGCAGTCACTATCATGTTTCAACGTCTTTCCGATGAAATCAAGGCCTCCTAAATTTTAACAATAGCAATAGAGTACCATGGATCTCAAAATGATCATGATGAATAAAAAGTCACCATCCCCATAATGGCACGAACTTCATGATATACAACTCTTGAAATGTTGAGTTTTTGATCATGTCACGGAAAGCACTGAGCAGCAACATACCAAAATGTAACATCGTAAATAAAGACGAATACTTTTCATGGGCTTTATTCAGCCTTCCGGTTGGCACTGATCAAGTACCTTAAAATATTTGAGCTGTAGCAGCCCAAATTGAGACAACGTCAACCTCCATACGTAGTTTGTCTTCACTGAAGAGGTTAGAAAAGACATGATTATATCATAGTCAACAACTTTCAGCCAAGTGAAACATAGCATACCCACTATATGGTTATTGATGTAATAGTGTTTTTAGACGGTTGCAAATTATATGTAGAAGAACAAAATAAACCAGCTTCCTGTCCAATCATTCTTGAGCTCGATTCCACTCAGTGCATGTCGGCTAAGTTGACCTCTTTCACAGAAAGTCCTTGCAAAAAAGACCCCAGTTGATGAGTCCGTGTAACAGCGAAGTTGTACCTAAAGAACATGAGGAATACCTCTCAGCAGGCTCCAAAGCTCTGAAGTTTGAATGTCCTGTTGTTCTCATAGTTATTTTCAAGTCATCACCCATCCGAAGCTTCAAAAGCACACACAGCAGAGCTAGACCAGCAAAAAATATAGATTCATAGGCAACCGCATACACCTCAATCTAATGATGGCTAGCAGATATTTTTCACCAAGCTGACACATTACGCTGATTCGAGCGTTGCCTTGAAGTGTTCTGGAACGTCGTTCTATGCGTTTTCATTTTTTGAAAATTTCGAGATTTAATTTGAGATGCCTATTACGGAAATACCTCTGTTTTGGAAGTCTTGAGTCAGATGACTTAAAACGTGACTATTCAGGGTCACCTTTGAATTCGCGAACATCGTTAATTTGCAAAGAATCAGCTTGACGTGTTGATTATTGACAACTCTATCAAGCTTTGATTGAGTTTGGATACAATCGAAAGTTATCATCGAAAAATGACTTCGATTCAAGGGACTACCCTAAGAGAGAGGCAAATAGGTAAGCACATAGACTTCGCACCCATTTTTTAATTGTTCTAACAAAATAAACAGCTTCACTCGAGAAGATGCTTCATTTGAATATAAACTCAGAGAACTCAGATCTCACTTCGAGTTTAAATGGAGAAGAAATCATATGGAAAGTTCTAGTCCTAGACCAAAAAAGTACATCAATTGTTTCTTCAGTTTTGAGGGTCAATGATCTATTGAGATGCGGAATAACAATGCACACTTTGATACATGCTTCAAGATCACCATTACCAGATGTTCCAGTGATATATTTTGTTGAGCCTACGAAGGATAACATCAGCAGAATTGCTCAGGATATCAAGGAAGATAAATACTCTAGTTTTTATATCAATTTCACATCCAGTTTGAGCAGAGACCTGTTGGAAGAATTGGCAAGATCTGTTGCACCAACAGGCAAATCATCAAAGATTCTACAAGTTTATGATCAGTATTTGAATTATGTGGTAACAGAACCAAGTCTCTTTTCTCTCGAGATTCCACATGTTTACTCCAAATTCAGTGATGCAAAGACAACAGAAGAGCAAATTAACGAAATGGCCGAAGTTGTTGCTGATGGATTATTTGACTCTATCATCACCATGGGCAACATTCCTATAATACGCGCTCAAACAGCAGGTCCAGCTCAGTTAGTTGCAGAGAAGCTCGATCAAAAGCTACGTGATTATGTTATAAGCACCAAATTCTCAACTAATCAAGATTTCTCACAAAGGTTTGTCTTAGTGTTGTTAGACCGTAATTTAGATCTTGCTGCTATGTTTGCACATTCTTGGATCTATCAATGCTTAGTTGCTGATGTCTTTAAATTAGAAAGAAATACAATCAGCCTAGAGGTTGAAGAAAACGGTAAGTTGACAAAGAAACAATATGATCTTGATCCGAAGGATTTTTTCTGGTCAAGCAATTCTCAGTTACCATTTCCTGATGCTGTTGATAATGCTGATACTGAATTGAAAAACTATAAAGAAAAAGCTGCCGAACTTACAAAAGGTGGTGGTGCTCAATCTTACAATGATTTAGACGGGAAAAAAGATGATACATTACAACAAACTGTCAATCAACTACCAGAATTGACTGCACGTAAAACTATTATTGATATGCATATGAATGTTTTATTAGCATTGTTGAACCAGTTAAAAGCAAAAGGTTTAGACTCATTTTTTGAAATTGAACAAAGCTTAAGTGATCCAAAATCAAGAGCTAGATTCCTAGAAGTTTTAAACGATGATGGTAACGTTAACAATTTAGAGGATAAATTGAGAACTTTCCTTGTCATGTTTCTGACAACAGATCTACCAGCTGATTTCGTAAAACAGGTTGAAGAAAGTTTCAGCAAGCATGAAGAATTCAACATTGAGTCATTGAAGTATATTCGCAAGTTTAAAGAAAGTATGAGAATGAGAGACTCATCTATTGTTTTGAACAGTTACACCAAGGACACTTCCAAATCTACATCTCAAGCAAATTCATCCGCTTTATTTTCAAGTTTATCATCAAAATTGTACAATTTGACAGATGGTAAAATTACAGAAGGTGTTGGATCCTTGATCTCAGGTATCAAAAGACTCTTGCCAGAGAAAAAGGCAATGCCAATAACAAACATAGTAGAGACTATTATGGATCCACAAAGTGCAACTGAAGAGAGATTAAAAGTTACAGATGATTATTTATATTTTGATCCAAAAATCATTAGAGGCTCACATTCAAAACAACCAAAGAGACAACCTTATTTAGAGTCTGTGGTATTTGTTGTTGGAGGTGGTAATTATTTGGAGTATCAAAATTTACAAGAATGGGCAAGTTTAGCAACCACACAAGGAAACAACAAATCAGTTGTTTATGGTAGCACCCAAATCTATTCACCTTCTGCATTCTTGAAAGAGATTACTCTATTAGGTTGAGGAAGTTTCAAAAACGTCAATAATAACAGAATCAGATTTTTACGATAAAAGTAGTTCATCTGGGTAGTATACATTAAATCATTCTATATTACATAAATCACTTTTCCTAAATGTAACCTTGAGAAGTTTCCAAAACTTTTGTACTTCTTTTAGCATCCAAAAATAATGATTGAGCTTCATCGATATCACTAACTTGAATTTCATTATGCCCAAAAGTCTTGGAAAGGATACCTGCTGGTGATAATAATTGTAAAGCATAACGTAATGAAGTTTTTGTTCCTTCAGCTGCTAGTTTATCCAAAGCTTCTGCACTCACAGGCAAGTTTTCGATCTTGGCTCTTTTCTCTATGATGACCTTGATCTCTTCAGTTGAATATGGCAATGTACGGATTATCAATAATCTGTCAATTAAATCTGGTGGAATACCATGTGGTGCTTTGATATCTTCAGTGCCTCTGACGGTGGTTAAACCTCTATTTGAGGCTAAGACAACGATTGGAGCAATTGAAGCTTCTAAAGCTCTGTTCAAATATGTAAAAATTTCAATATCGAGCATATTAACTTCATCAATAAATAAAACACCTGGAACTAGTTCAGCAACACCTTGATCAATATATTTTTGAACAACTTTGTTAACTTCTTGACGTAGTTTTTCAGTGATTTCAGTTTTTCTTGGTTTCAACAATTGACCCATCATAGACAAGACATCTTGACCACCTTGAGGTCTGGCATTAGCAACATCTAAATCATGTAATGTGATATCTTGGACAATTTCTTTCTTTTTATGAACATCACCTTTTGGCAATGGAACGTATTCTTCAGCTTCCAAATCAAACTCAGTGGCATATGCATCTGATCTACCAACTCTCTTCACAGAACCAGTATTTGATTCAATATATATAACATCACCAATAGTAACTTTTTCTTTTTGAATACTTTCATAGATACTTGGGTCTAATCTTAAAGTTTTAGTACCTTTTGCAGATTTCAATCCAACAATAACGTGTGAAATAGTTTTACCATAACCACCTAATGGATTCTCACTTTCTTCTGGAGTCAATTCAGTAACTTCACCTTCATAAACTTCCTTTGTTTCTTTAATTCTCAAACCAATTGCTCTTCTAAAATTCTCCATTAATGCTTCTGTTTTTTTAACTTCAACGGAATATAATTCTGAACCAACGATTGGTGTAAATGGAACCTTTGGTCCTAATTCTTGAGAAATAGCTAGGGCGATAGCAGTTTTACCAGTAGCAGGACCACCTGCAAGTAAGATAGCTTTACCACTCATCTTTTTAGCTTTGATTAAATCAACGATGACACCAGCAGCTTCTCTGGCTTCTGCTTGGCCTACAAAACCATTATCAATTGGTTTAGCAATTCCGCGTTCATCTAGCCCCAAACCTTTGATATGTGTGTGAGCAGCAGTTCTTGACTCTCTTGAGTCGTTATCTTTCACTTCACTGATTTGAACCATCTTAAATTTGATTGATAATACTCGAGATCGATGTTGATGAAACCTTTCAATTGCATAAACACATCGTGGAAATTCTTTTTCAGATTTCACGAAAATAAGTCGAGTTAAAAAACGAGTCACATGACTAGAGAAGCCGAATTCCGACTTTTCAATTAAAACTGGATTTGGGAAACTGCCGCATTCGGATAATTGAAAACAAAAAGGAAAACCAGAATTTTAGGAACTTTCTGAAACGTTGGAAAGGCTTTGGACGAAAACCTTGACAACTATCAAAACAACAACACTTTTTAAATATTCTAAATATCACACAGAGGAAAATAATAACATAGCTGCACTCATTTGCTGTGGTATAGACATTATTAAGGGTCAGAGAATAACTATACCAAAATTCAAAGAAAGTGCGATATTTGTACCAAAGATCAGTCCAGGAAATAGCAAAAATCGTTAGAGAAAATGGAAATGATAACGCCGCCATCATCTCAAACTTATGTCAAGGTGGAAGAGAAACATGTTGATTATGGTGACGATATCCAGCTGTTGAGACGAGAGGTGATTTTACCTTTGACTCCTCCAAGTGAGCGGGTGCTACAACAAGAGGATGAGAAGAAGGGGATCAAAACTAAAGCAAAGAGAAAACCAAAGCTAAAATACAGACCTCCAAACGGAACAGTTTTGAATATCAGTACGTTTGATGATAGTGTTTCTATAATAGAGCAAGATGACAATATTGATTATGAAGATGTCAGCTTCCTTCATTATGCTATAAAGCATTCCAAAAAAGTTACAGTGGTTACAGGGGCTGGTATTTCAGTTGCTTCAGGTATACCCGATTTCAGATCTTCAAATGGGTTATTCCAAGGACTAAAATCTGCTACTTCATCAGGTTCCACTGGTAAAGCATTATTTGATAGTAATGTTTACAGAGACGAAGAATCCACAGCAAAGTTCCATGCAATGATAAGACAACTTCATACTTTAACTGAGGAATCAGAAGCAACGGATTTCCATCATATGTTGAACAACATTTCAGAGGAAGGAAGGTTGTTGAGACTTTATACCCAAAATATTGACTGTCTTGAGACAAGTCTTCCTAATTTACAAACAACTGTTCCTATCAAATCAAAACCTCCATATCCACCAACTATCCAATTACATGGCACAATAAAGTATATGTATTGCTCAAAATGTCGTTGGAATTCTGAAATACAACCGGAAATATTCAACAGTAACCAGGCTCCAGCATGCCCTGAGTGCACGGAATTGGATGAGATAAGAACCATAGCCGGGAAAAGATCACAAGGGATCGGGTGTTTGAGACCTAGAATTGTTTTATATAACGAATTCCACCCAGATGGTGAACATATTGGTCAAGTATCTACTTTAGACTTGAAGTCAAAACCAGATTGTTTGATTATTGCTGGTACATCTTTGAAGATTCCAGGTGTGAGAAAACTTGTTAGAGAGTTGGCTAGAGCTGTCCATGCTGCAAAAGGATGCGTAATATGGATGAACACTGATGAACCATCAATAAGTATTGTGGATTTCGTTGAATATATCGATATGATTGTTGTTGGTGATTGTCAAGATATTCCAAAGGTTGTTGATAGTTATGAGGAATCGCTGAAGAAGAAATCAAGAACAAAGGTGAAGAAGGAGGAATCCGATAAATCAAGTAGACCAGTGAAAAGTCCAAAGAAGCAATCCCGTGTCACCAAACCTAACCCACAGACAAAGAAGTCAAAATCAAAGAAAGATACCAAAATCCAATCAAGATTGGAAGAACTTGTTACGAAGATTAATGAAGCTAAATAATTAACCAATAAAACATTGTATTATTATATGCACTTTTAAAAACTGTAGTATTCACTAGTACTCATCTTCTTCCTCAAATTCAACTTGTTCATTAGGGTCTTTTGGTTCTTGACCTTCGGCCCATTGTGTAACATCATCTATATAACTCAAAATTGTTTGAATACTATCAGGATTTTTAGCTTCTAGTGGTAAAAATTGAACCATACCAAAGTCATCCACAAGATGAGCAATACTTTCATTAAGTCTTGCAAATCTTGGATTTGTTTCATTATTAACATCATCAATCAATAGTAGAGGATCAGGGTTTAAAAATTTTTTCAATTGTTTTTTAGAATATTCATCTTTAATCAAATCTAATTTAGACAAGACATTGATATGTGGCAATTCTAATAAGATCATAGCACTCATGGCACTTAAAGCGCCACTAAAGAATTTTGAACGATCTATTATAAATGGAGCTTCTAAAAGATATGTAGCACATAGATTGAAATTTAATTGTTGTTGCAAATGTTTCACGATTGTTGGTAGAACTGGAATATGGGTATATAATTCGATTTGTCCCGGACAATCAAATATTAAATATTCATCATTATAATCGCCAATCTCTTCATCTAACCAATCCAAATTGTTTAATAGATATTCAAAACAATAGACCAACCCACCATTCGGCCCCAAGTTTAATTCTTCCATAACATCTTGTAATGAGATCAAATCTCTAATATCTATGGTAAATTCGAATTCACTAGGTTCTGCAGCTGGATCTAAGTTGACAAGATGAGCTCTACGGCCCACACTTTGCATGTGTGATATTATTGAATTGCAAAAGGTACTCTGTTTATATATTAGTAATTTGTAAAGTGAAAATCCTAATGGAGGATCATACGCACTTTTCCAACACCGGCTGGGCCTAGGACTAATGTTCCAACTCTTGACATTTTATAGCTTTTCAATTATTAGATATGAAGTCACTGTATATGATTCTTTTGGTTTCAGGTCTTCAACTTATCAAGTTTGTTTTGATGTTATGAATTTTTTTTTCCACTTGGAAATTCGGTGGTTGGCGCAACACCTCATCGGTTCAATAAACTACGTCAATTTTAACTATGTTTAAAATGCTCTAAATGTTTGATTTTATTTGTTTGTTCTACACCAACAATTTGAATTTTCATTCTCCACTTGAATCCAGGCTTTTACTCCGTTATTTTCCAAAATTGTTTGTACTCTTTTCTTTATAATTGTGGAATTTTCACCTTCAATATATTGAACATGGATGTACCCTATCAGTTTGAATTTGACATCTGATTCAGGTTCAGAATGATCATCATGACCATGTTCATGAGTGTGATCATGATGACTATGATTGTGCTCTAGTTCAATAGAGTGGGAATGACCATGTTCAATTGCTGATGTGGTTGCAACATCAACAGAGGGCCAAAATCTAGGAGTTGTATAACTTGCAACACCTGGTGTTGTTGATATTTGTGAAAGTATATCTCTCATCATTTCATCCTTTTTATCATCCAGGCTCAATAGCAAGTTGGAAGCTGAAGATCTTATTAATGGGATAGCACTAACAAAGATCATCACAGCTATGAACAAAGAAGCGATTGGATCAAATATATTTGAATGGAACCATGAAGTTAATAATGTAGACACAACAACACCTGCAGACCCCAAAGTATCAGCCAATATATGTAAAAATATACCCTTCATGTTTTCATTATCATGAACATCACCATCACCATGGCTATGACTATGCCCATGACTATGTCCACCATGTTCATGACCATGATTGAATGCAAAAATACCCACGATATTAACAACCAGACCTAAGAATGAAACAATCAGTAATTCACCAGTTTTTTCCAAGCTCACAGGATTTATAATTCTTTCTATCCCCTCTATGAAAATCCCAGCAACTATACCTATAAGTAATACACCATTTGCAAACCCTGCAAGGGTCTCAATCCTAGCTAATCCAAAAGGGTAAATTTCACTTGGAGGCCTTTTAGCAAGAACACCAGCAACTAATCCCAAAGCTAGTGAAGTACAGTCTAGTGCCATATGTAATGAGTCTGACAATAAACCTAATGATCTTGATCTGAACGAATATAGGAACTGAACAAACATGAACGATGCATTTAAAAGTAAGAATGAAAAGATGGCACGGGTATCCTTATGTGATAGTAACTGAGTTAGAATTGTTTGTTGTTCATTGACTGTTGATTTTGTTGAGTGTGATGATGACTTAAACAATGAATGGTCAACTGGGATCAACCCAGTAATCAGAATCAACAGTACCTCACCAGCAAATAATAATTTGTTTGAAATATAATCTTGATTATATGATAAAAAGCATAATAAAATGGAAATGATACCTGTTACTGTAGGTGCACCTTGTTTGAAATGAATCACTGCCAAATCTAATTTAGTTACATTCAAAATGATTCCACAACCTAAAGTTACCAAAATCATGCTTAATTGGACCGCTGTATAATTCCAGATTATTCCCAATCCACTAAGCAGCAGCAAGACACCGGGTATTGTCACATCGTTTTTATGTTGTAATTGGTTGAAGTCCCTCAATGAATCTTTAATTTGGAAAAGAATGAAGTATGCAAATATGATGAAATAAAACTGTGATGTACCTAGAGTTGAAGGTAATAACTCTAGCTTGCCCTTTAAATATAAACAATATAGATCAAATGCTAGTGATAACAACACATATGGGAAGCTCACATTGATTATCATTACTAAACTCAACACCACTGTTCTTACTGACCCCAAAAAGTTATTTGCAACAACCAACCCTAATAGACCTAGAAACACTTTATTGCTTTTCAAATTCTGTTCAATAGATTTTTCAGTGATGGGTGTTGTTGCAGTGGCACCATTACCCATGTATGTATAAATGATGGTGAGAATTGAAGCTAAAAACACTGGAATATAAAGTATTGACAACAAGAATTCATTTATACTCGACACATTATGATCCGTTATTGTATTCAATTGACCTTCTTGAAATATCAGACTTGATGCTAAAAGTGATGTTGGGTATGCTAGAAGTAGTGGAATATGTGCAATGTCAATGTATTTATCCAGAGTACTGTTCTGTTCACACTCTACTGGTTGTTCGTCACGGTGGTGACTATGATCATGACTATGGTGGTTATCCTTCTCTTCATGGCTATGACTATGGGATTGATCCTGAGAGTGCGAATGTGCGTGCTGGTGCTCTTGTGCCATTCTCTAGTACTCTGGTATTCATAAATATAGAACAACCACTTTCCAATATTATCTAAACCCTGTCTTTTCGTTGATGTTGTTCCTGTTGATGCCTTCTTCGTTTTCGTGTCAAAAATTCAACTTTTTGTCAAAAAAACGCGACACGATGCGAAATGGCAGACACTCATTTTCTCTTTGACGTCCATCACCAAGGCTTAACAAAGTTTTGTCAAGAAACAGCATTTTATAGTGTGCACCAAGGATTCTGTGGTTATTACTCGTATAATGGCGACCCTGTGATTATCTCTGGCTGTATTTTGTTTGGTCTGAGAAAACGTATTTTACATTGTGTTTGGGTGTCTGGTTGTTGTAATTGAATAGTCGCTTATGGATAATCTCAATGAGCTAAATACTGCAAACAAGCGGCAACCAAATTAAAAACAATTATGAGTGCAAACGGTTGCGTTAACGGTTAAGGCTGAAAGAGATCTTTTGCAACTCAGAAAACCATCTGATGCAGCAGCCAAAAGATCAGTCAATTTTGATGCTTTTATCTTCTTTTATATTTTCACGAGATGGACTTTTGAACACTTCAGTCTGATCGTATAAAGATTCAATAAGTCCGTTGAAACACATTATAAAATTAATTCTTGCCTACCATAGAACAAGATGAGTTATATGAGAAAGTTCTTAAAAGCTATCGAAGTGCCCGTTGGCGAACGTGAGACGTTATCAGTCTTGAGAAACCCTGATTTACAACCAATAAAACCAGAATTCAGAGTTTGGGGGTTTTGGTCTAATTTTGCCTATTGGGGGATCATATCTTTTAGTATGGGTACTTGGTTGTCTGCAAGTGCATCACTATCTTTAGGTCTTAGTGTCCGTGAAATCATTGGTGGTTATATCCTTGGTGATATCTTGACATTATGCTTCACTTTATCAAATTCATTCCCAGGTACTGATTGGCATATTGGTTACACTGTATGTCAGAGAATAGCATTTGGTATTTATGGCTCAGGACTCGGTATCTTGATTAGAGTGTTATTAAGTATTGTTGGTGCTGGTTCAAATGCTTGGTTAGGTGGGTTAGCATGCTCTTTATTACTATCAGCTTGGTCAAAAGATTATTTGCACATGAAGAATACTTTCAGTGAGGGTATTGCCATGACTAGAAGAGATTTTGTTGGTTTCATCATTTTCCAGGTTATAACTTGTATTTGTTATTGGGTCAAACCTCACAAGATGAATGTTCCTTTAATTACTTCATGTTTTGCTTGTTTTTTTGCAATGTTGGGTATGGTTATTTTCCTTGTCAACAAAGCTGACGGATATGGTGAACTATTCCAATTAGAGACAGAGTTATCGGGTTCTAAAAGAGCTTGGACTTGGGTGTATATCATCACTATTTGGTTTAGTTCAGTCTCACCAGGTTCAACAAATCAATCCGATTATTCAAGATTCGCATCTTCAAAGACAAAGTTATGGATTGGTACAATTCTTGCACTACTTTTACCAACAACTATCATTCCATTATTTGGTATCATCGGAGCATCATGTACTAAAGCTGCTTATGGCGAGCAAATGTGGGTTCCAACTGATATTGTCTTGTATTGGTTAAACGAACATTATGATGCCAAAACTAGATGTGCAGCAACTTTTATCGCATTTGCATTCATCTTCTCACAATTATGCTTGAACGTTGTCACTAATGGGTTTGCTGGTGGTATGGATCTTGCTGGTATTTTGCCAAAATATATTAATATCAAAAGAGGTGCATTACTTACAACAGCTTTATCATTTGCAGTGCAACCTTGGAACTTCTACAACACTTCATCTTCATTTTTGACAGTTATGAGTTCATTTGGTGTGATCACTACACCAATCATTTCTATTATTGTTTGTGATTATTTCATCATTAGAAAAATGAGATATAGAATTTCTCATGCTTATGAACTTAAAGGTGATTATTACTACACTTATGGTGTTAATTGGAGAGCTTATATCGCTTTTGTTTGCGGTGTTGGTCCAGGTTTACCAGGTATGGCTTGGCAAATCAATAATCATTATTTCACAAATGCTCAAGGTATTATTAATTTCTATTATGGTGATTCATTTTTCGCATTCCTAATTTCATTCACCTTATATTGGTTCTTGTGTTGGATCAAACCTGTTCAAATTTCTCAAGCTGTTGATGATAAAGATTATTATAATGCTTTAACTGAAAAGGAACAAATTAAATATGGTATTGAACCAAACGAAGATGTTGTTTCCGAACATTCAAGTGAAGAATTCCCAGAAACTAAGCTCGAGAAAGTTGTCCAAAAATTGAAGATTTGATCCCTTTCTACAATGAATTTGTTTTTCTCGTATATATTATTAATGCATAAATTCATAAACTAAATACTCAAGGTAAAACTTTCAACTCCTTTCTGATCCAATCAACATCTTTCTCCATCCAATCTTCCCAACGAACAGTAATAAATGGTGTAGCTTGCAACCCATTCAAAAAGCTATCAACCATATGAGTCTTGGATTTTCTCTTTGGACTCAATTTGAAATAAGCGAAACATGCTAATCCTGTCATTGGTAAACCTGTATTACCAAATTCAAATGCCTTGACTGGTAATTCACCAGCTAGATCGATCTTGGATTTGGTCAGTATGTGTACAATATCATGAATTTGTCTATATCTTAAAAAGACATAGGCCAATTCTTCATCTTGGATCAATTTAACTGGTGCTCTTTCATCACCATCTTGTGTGAATTTGAAATATTGATATCCTAAAGTATTTTCAGGTAAAGTCTCCAACCATTTTGGATCTAGGGTTGAGGAATTCATCAATGGTCTTTCCTTCAAGATCTTTCTCCCAGATTCAGTGGAAAGCATCGCATCTCTTAGATCTCTCAGAATGAACTCAAACGAGGAAACTTCGCCAAAGTTGTTGATATTGCGACCAACTTCTGGATGTAAAAAGGCACTAACACCAGATATCAAAAACAATGCACTTCTTTCAAATGGATTCAGTTTGATACGACCGTCTGGAAATTTTCTATCTTCAACTGGTTGGTTTTTCTGACTTTGAATGAATTCATCAAGTTTTGAAGGAAGCTTATGATGAATATCCTCCATCTCATCAGCCATTTGGATGTTTTTCAAATAGCTTGAATTGCTGAGCGCAGCCAATGTTGAGATGATGAATGTTCTCTTTTGGGATACATTGGGTAGCTTTCTTGATTGAGCTCTAAGCATCATCATGGTCGTCGTTGTTGTCGTTGTTTTTGATATAGCTTATATGTCGTAAAGAATTCTTATTTTTTTTTTGGATTTGAAAGTCAGACCAGTAACTCACAACTGCAAACAACAACACAAAAGGTCAACAATGACAACTGAAATATATCCAAGGCTCGAGGATTCTAAGATACTGGAACTCGAACAGGAATCAAAACTCAGAGAGCAAAAATGGCTCATTGAACACTTTATCAAACCAGAGCTCCCCAAAATCATTGAGACATTAGGTGTCTGTTTGGAGATAATTACATCAAAAGATGAGATAAAACTGCCTATAAGTTCGGCAAGAACTGAGCAAGTTAAAGGCATTGTCACAAGATGCTCTTCTGAATTGACTGATCTGGATATCAAGTTACACTTGAAGAGTTTGTCAAAGAAAATTCACTTGAAGTTGAACGAGAGTATTGAGTTGACTCAATTGACAGAGATGGTTGGTTTGATAAATCAAATAATGAGTGAAGTACAAATATTGAAAGACTGTCCAGCTGATGAAATTAAACAATTTGTGAAACAGTTGAACAGGATATTGCAAAATTTGATAAAATGTAACGTGGTGTTGAATAAGCCTGATGAACACATTTTATTTCCCAAGCACAAAATCCAATTAGATCAAGTATTCGAACCAAATGGCCAAAAATTACAACACTATCAAGATCGATTAACAATTGATTTCTTCATTCTCAATTCAGAAATTTCCATTGAGTTTAAATCATTGGAAAAAGTTACAGAATCACCATGGAATCAAATTGACCCCTCGGGTAAAAGTCATGTTGATAAACTACGTGAAGATTTGAAACACCACAAGATTAAACTTAATGATATATTAGACCAGGATAAAAAGAAAATCGGACATGTTTTGGGATTGAACAGATTTTCTACAAATGATTATTTAACACGAAGCATAACATTCAATCATAATGTTGTCATTGAAGTTGAAAAACTATTGATTCATTGCCAAGATCCAAATTTGATTAGCATAGGGGCTAAATTAACTGGGTTGGAGCATCTTGTGAGTAAAATGTATGGAAACCTGGATATGTCAATGATGTGATCACAGAATTCAACGATTCACCATACTCAATCTTGCTTTTCTATTCTGTAGATTTATACTTGATAGTTTGTATTTCAATCGATCTTTCTTCAACTTTAATTGTCTTAATTGCTCCAGTTCTTCCTCTGTGCCTTCAACCTCTATTTCTTCATCTGCCAAAGTTTTTGAAGAATCATTTCTAAAATTATTTATTCTAACTTCATTCAATTGTATCTTTGAGACTAAATTTGAGTTCTTTCTTTCCAATTTAGATAGCTTGACACGAATTATTTCAACGAGCTTGTAAATCTTTGGTTCTATCTCATGTACCAAGTTCTTTTTGGCAATATTTAGATCATGTTCCGGTACTAGTGTAAATATTTTGTTTTGATCAAGTATCAATGGTAATCTCCCAAAATCATTAGTCAAAGTGTCTAAAGAATCCAGACTATTGCCCAGTAGTGATACAGATGATGAGAGTGAAGATATGCATCCATTTAGGGTTCCTGGGTTTGGGTATGACATCTTTGATTGAATCTTTGACGATAAATGATTGATTGATTGTTTTCTTTGTTTATGTTTTGGTTTTTAAATTTTCGCGACGTAAAATGTGTGCGTATCAATAAAGGTTTTACAGGTGAAGATTCAGTTGAAGCAGATGACCGAGTTGCCGTTAACGAAAACCGCTACAAAAATTATTAAATATATCTTTTAAATTGTACATTTATAATACACCGTAATCATTACTTAAAACTAACTAAACCAAACTTTAAACAAGGTACTTCATTCTGTTTCGTCATCACATTCATAACCAGGACTCGAGGGCACCTGAACCACTTTTTGACTTTTCTCTTTTAGAATCTGTATAAAAAAAGACTGATCTTCTTCCTCGTCCTCTGACGTATTGATGATCTCTTCACCTTCTGATCTTTGTCGTAGTCTCATTCTCACTGAATTTTGTGACTCTCTATTGATGCTCACTTTACCCTTGTATTTGACCTCTACTGAATGTGGAGTTGGGTAAACATCAGGAGTCTCTGAATTTTGAGAGGACAGCACAATTGGAAAGTCATTAGTACCTCTATCTTTACCTATTATTTCTATAATTGAGCCCTCATCGGAAGAACATACAACTTCATCACCAAAGCTTGTATCCAGATCTATAGCCTCGTAAGCTTCATTTTCGATACCATCAATACTCTTATCATGAAGGGCTGTAGTGGTGGTTGTTTCATCACCTCTTTTGTTAGTTTCTTCAGCTGCACTCTGTTGTGAGGTTTTGTAGGCTTGACTAAATGTAATTGGAGGAAGTGCTTCAGACTCTAACCTTGTACCTTTGAGCCGATCTTGGTACCCATATAACAGGCTCCAATCATCCATATTGAAGTCAGGACATTCACCAGCAACGCCCCATAAACCTGTGGGCTGTCGTGAATTTTGATTTTCCTTCTCGCTAGTACTTGTATTTTCATGACGAGCATTGAACACAAACTTCAAATTTTCCCACTCTTTGGAGGTGAAAACGGTATCATAAGCAGCAGTGTCAAAATCTTTTTCAAATGAAGGTGTTCTTGAGCTGAGGTCGCCTCTTTGAATATTATCGCCTAGCCGTATTTGTCTAAATTTATGTGGTTTCCCTGACAATTTCCTTATCATTTGGTCTGTAACTGAAAGCTTATTTGTAGCCTTCTTCCTTTTGGGTTTAGTTTTAGGTTTTTCTTTAGGTTCGTTCTTCGACTTGGGTATGCTTGGAGTGGCTTCTTCTTTATTTGCAAATTGGTGTAAAAATTGTAGTAGATTTTTCTCTTTAGCTTCATCTTCTATCTCATCCAACTTTCCCTGTATCTGTGTTGATATAAAGATGTCATCATCACTTGGGGGAATAGTCTCTTGACTCATATTTCCCCTATGTTCATCTCATGCGTCTTCTTTTTGTTGTTGTTGTTTATTGCTTGTTGTTTAAGCTTGATTCTGATGTGTTTACTTTTTTTGATGGCACTTCGAAAAATTTGAGCTCAAGTGATACTGTGAAGATTTATTTTCGGGTTTTTCGAGAACAACCAATCTTGTATTGCAGGTGGCTGTAAAAAGGATTAAAAGTCTTTCTCAACCTTCCAAAGCATACTATACTTTGATCCTATTACCTAACTTTGCTGCAAATTTGTGTGTTTCTTATTCTCATCCCATACAAAAGTCATAACCTGTCATTGTAACAGTGTCAGTAAATCGCGACGATTTTTTTCGTGTTTTTGAGAACGCGTCTGATCAAAAGTTGGAAAGAATGTATAACAAACTGTTGCCAAAAGAATCATAGAAAGGGAACCATATCTTGACATTAAAAATGGCTGATACTTCTCAGCCATCAATTAGCCAGCTCCTGATGCAATCGAGCACTGAAAGACAACCAGAAGACGTTGTTGAACTTCTGAGCTCACAGCCCAAAGAAGAAGTCAATATAGAACCAGTTGTCCCTGATGCCAGAGCTGAAAGTCCAACCAAATTACCTGACTATATCCAAGCAACTCCAGCCATAACTCCATCAAAGGTACCAATTCAGATTATCAACCCAGTGACTGCTTCTTCCGGAGACGCTAAATCCCCAGCTCCAACTACACCTGCAAAGACACCAAAGCAAAAGCAAAAAGAAGAGGAAAAGTTACAAAGAATGAAGCAACGAGAGCTTGAAAAGCAAGAGAGAGAAAAGGCAAAAGAAGAAGAAAGACTTTTGAAGGAGAAATTGAGAAAGGAGAAAGAAGAGGAAAGAAAGAGAATCAATGATGAAAAGGAAAGAATAAAGAAAGAAAAAAGAGAGAAACTTCTTGAAGAGAAAAAAGAAAGAGATAGAAAGAAGGAAGAGGAAAGATTAAAGAAAGAGGAAGAAAAACAAAAGAAGCTAGATGAGAAACGTAAAGCTGAAGAACAAAAAAAGAAGGAAGAGGAAGCAAAGCAAAAGAAGGCAACCAAGCTACAAATATCCAATTTCTTCAAAGCTAAGACCACTTTGAAAAGTACAATAGCGCCAGCTGCAGTTGATACTTCAGATGCCGATTACAAGATAGCATTCAAAAACTTTTATCTTAGGGACAATTTGAGCTTAAAAGTGAGTCCAACGTTGTGCGATGTGGAAGATTTTGATGAACAATTGAAAACTTCGAAGGGTCAAGGTTTAAAAGAATGGTTCAAACAACGAGAAAATAGCAACGTTCAAGAATCTATAACAGCAAAATATATATTCACTCATCAGCTTGATTCTGCTCCGTTGAACTTCAAGTTCATTAGATTTTATGAAAACATCAAGACATATATTGGCACTTACACTAAAGATCCTACAACAGGTATATCTATTGATCCATTCATACTGACAGATGCATTTATTGATTGGGATGAAGAAGAAAATGAAAACGAAGAAGGTGAAGGTGAAGATATTGATGATGAAGATGACGAGGAGGAGGAAGATGAAGATATGGGTGATCTATCAGATTTCTTAGATGAAGATGGTGAGGAAAATAAAAACAAGAAGAAGACATTAGGGCCTTTGATTCCACAAATACATTGGAAAGACATAACAGAATATAGCATAGAAGTCCTCAAACCAGATTTGATTACAATCAACCCTTTTGAAGATTACTGGAAGACAACAGATACCAAAGACTCTGGTCTGCCGGGAGACCAAGATCAGTCTCCTAAACCAAAGAAGAGCAAATCACTCATTACCAGTAGGGATGATTTAGAGAAATTTGCTAAACAAGTCCATGATAGTGATTTCACAGTTCCTACCATGGTTGAGTTATTGAAGAAGCAGCTCCCAACTTATACAAAATTGACGATTGAGAATACTTTAAAGAATTATGCAAAAAAAGTGGGACCAAAAGCTACAGAAAAAAAGTGGGAGGTTGACACTGAGCTATTGAAGAAGGCTATGGAATTATGATTGTATATGAACTTGAATTTAAAGTGAACTAATTTATTAACAATACTTTTGTAAGCCTCTTTCATTTCCGAAATGGGAAGTCTAGGGTTATTACCGTATCGGGCAAACTAATTAGACGCGTCTCGAAATTTTTTGAAAACATTGGAAACGTCAAAAAAAAAAGTACCCAAACAAATTGAAAAGAACAATTGTTATTCATTTATTGTTTACATATCTACAATCTTATAGAGATCAAATCAACCACAAATGAGTTCCCCTAATCACGAGAGCTCAACCCAGCCAAGAGACAGTCACAATGACGATAGTTTAACTCAAGCAGATTCATTAAACCAACAAGATCCAGGTGCAGCTGTTCCATCTTCTCCATTATTTGTTCAGCAGTCCTCAGATATTGGTACAAACGCTAACGTTGGCTCTGGATCTCAAAGACAGCAGGATGTTTCATCTCCTATTTTCTTTCGTTCCTCTTCTCAACCTGCTTCAGATGTCCATGGTGCTGGTAACCAAGGTGTGAGTTCACCACTTCATTATTCATCCTCAGCTCAAAATTCAGATAGACCAGATAGAAGAAGTGGAAGATCAGACTTGGGATCAGATATCCATTCAGATATAGCTTCCAGAAGACGTGCTGAACAAGCTCGTCATAGAAGAGGTGATATCCATTCTTCAGATATTTCATCACCAATGAGAAGAAGGATGTTTGAAAATCAAATACCTTCTTCGCAACCAGGAAACGTTTCCTCAAATTTGGGTAATGAAGACATTGATGAACCAGTAAGAATCATTTGGGGTACAAATGTTAGTATTCACGAATGTTCAAATGCTTTTAGAAATTTTTTGATGTCATTTAAACCAAAATATAGAAAACTACTAGATGGTGAACCAATTGATTACGATGAAGATGAAGAACTTTATTATGTTAATGAACTAAATTCAATGAGAAACTCTTTATCAACAAACTTGAATTTGGATGCCAAAAACTTATTAGCTTATCAAGCCACCAAAAAACTATATTATCAATTACAAAATTATCCACAAGAAGTCATCCCAATTATGGATCAAACTGTTAAAGACTGTATGGTTTCATTAATTGTTGAAAATGATTTAGATCATGACATCAGTGATATCGAAGGAAGAATTTATAAGATCAGACCTTTCAATGTTGAAACTCAAAGGGGTATGAGGGAACTAAATCCTGGCGATATTGATAGATTAGTCAGTGTGAAAGGTTTAGTCTTGAGAGCTACACCAATTATCCCAGAAATGAAGGTTGCATTTTTCAAGTGTAATGTTTGTGATCATACAACAGTTGTTGAAATTGATAGGGGTGTTATTCAAGAGCCAACAGTTTGTCCAAGACCAGCATGTGCTCAACCAAACTCAATGGTTTTAGTTCATGTCAGATCATCATTTGCTGATAAACAAGTTATCAAATTACAGGAAACGCCAGATAATGTTCCAGATGGTCAAACTCCACATTCTGTTTCTTTGTGTGTCTATGATGAATTAGTTGATAGTGTGAAGGCTGGTGATCGTATTGAAGCTACAGGTATTTTCAGATCTATCCCAGTCAGAGTTAATTCAAGACAAAGAGCTATGAAAAGTTTATTCAAAACCTATTTGGACTTGGTCCACATTAAGAAGATTGACAAAAAGAGAATGAACATTGATACATCCACTAATGTTGATGGTCCTCAACCTCAAAATCAAGATGTTGATGAAGTTCGTAGGATTACAGAAGATGAAGTTCAAAAAATTAAAGAAACAGCTGCAAGAAATGACCTTTATGAATTATTAGCAAGATCGTTAGCTCCAAGTATTTATGAATTGGATGATGTTAAGAAAGGTATTTTGCTACAGTTGTTTGGTGGTACTAATAAGATATTTACGAAAGGTGGTAAATATAGAGGTGATATTAATATTTTGTTATGTGGTGATCCATCAACTTCAAAATCACAAATTTTACAATACGTTCACAAAATTGCCCCAAGAGGTGTTTACACATCAGGTAAAGGTTCTTCTGCGGTTGGTTTAACAGCATATGTCACAAGAGATATAGATACGAGACAGTTGGTGTTGGAGAGTGGTGCTTTAGTTCTTTCAGATGGTGGTATTTGTTGTATTGATGAATTTGATAAGATGTCTGATGTCACAAGATCCGTTTTACATGAAGCTATGGAACAACAAACCATTTCAATCGCTAAAGCAGGTATCATTACTACATTAAATGCAAGAACTTCTATTTTAGCTTCTGCAAACCCTATAAATTCCAGATATGATCCAAATTTACCTGTCACTTCAAATATTGATTTGCCTCCTCCATTATTGTCAAGATTTGATCTTGTTTATTTGTTATTAGATAAAGTTGATGAAAGAACAGACAGACATTTAGCTAAGCATTTGACAAGTATGTATCTTGAAGATACACCGGATAATGTTTCCACCACAGAAATCTTACCAGTTGAATTTTTGACCTTATACATCAGTTATGCTAAAGAGAATTTTTCACCTGTGCTTACCCAAGAAGCTAAGGATGAGTTGGTCAAGTCTTATGTTGATATGAGAAAGATGGGAGATGACTCAAGAAGTTCAGAACGTCGTATTACAGCAACAACTAGACAGTTGGAAAGTATGATTAGATTGGCTGAAGCACATGCTAAAATGAGATTATCTAAAGAAGTCGAGTTGAAAGATGTTCAAGAAGCTGTTAGACTAATCAAATCTGCTATTAAAGATTATGCGACCGACCCAATCACTGGTAAGATTGATATGGATTTGATTCAAACTGGTCAATCATCTGCACAAAGAAGATTAAAAGAAGATTTATCAAAGACCGTGTTTGATATTTTGGAACAATACCCAGGTGAAGTTATAACGTTCCCTGAGCTACAGAAGGTGTTGAATGAACAGTCCCAAGACCCAGTCGAAAACACAGAGTTGAGTGATGTTTTGAACAGACTTGTTAATCAAGACAAGGTTATTGTTAATGGTGAAGGCTCAAGAAGAACAGTTCGTCTTGCGAGAAGATGAACATAGGTAATGGTTAAAGTTTGTTTTGTATAATTATTGGGTATCTTGTATTTATGTGATTAATATTAGTTGTTAAACGTCTTTATTCTGTATTATTCCATACAAAAATCTTGACTTTTCCTTTATTTAATCATCACAGCCTATATACTTTTTGGAAATTCGCGAAATTCGTCCCAGAGTAGTGCCCCGTCCGTTTCGCGACAAAACAAAAACATCGTCAAATGAGTTCAACAGCGTTGATTTAAACACCAAATAAGAAAAAAACAAACCGTTTGAAAACGCTTGAAATCAACGTCTTGGTCACAAGAGAATACAACACAGAATTGATTAAAAAGACTAGTTTCATCTATAGTCACACCACTAGGAATCTCAAGGACAAAGCATAGATCTTGGTGTATTTATCAAATTCCTCAGTTTTCGGATACATACAAAACAAAGTCAGATGAACAACAACATTGAGAAGTAATTAGGATAGTGATTGAAATTTTTTGAAGCCTGTTTGTCAATATAGCTAAAGAATATGGAGGTGCTGAACAGCAATAGCAATGATGACCTACAACAGATGAATCAGAATGAACAACAACATCGAGATGGGGCGCAAATGGCTCCAAGGACAATGTATTTAAACATAGAACTTGAGAGAAGTTTGAATAACGGATTTGAAAGAAAAACAACTAGATCTCGTTCAAACTCAAAAGTATACCGTCAATCTCTTCCTCCACCAGTGAATAACAATACCAAATCATCATCTTCTTCACACAACGGAACAAGTATACAACAGAAGGATTCTCAAGACACCCAACCCACAAAACCGCATTCAAGAGATCAATATACTCATATTATTAGATTATCATCACTTAATGAAACATTTGATAGAAAGACATTAGCAATCCCAGCATATCCAGAAGTGCTCAAGTTGGGACGTCCAAATAGTTCCCAAAAAGCTCCCAACATAGATAATGGTTATTTTGATTCAAAAGTGATATCAAGAGAGCAAGCAGAACTATACGTTAAATGTGATCAAGTTTTCATAAGGGATAAGAATTCATCAAATGGTACATTTGTAAATACAAAGAAAATTTTACAAGAAGAACCGGTGAAAGAGAATGATGTTATAGATTTGGGGATAGATATTGATGGTAATCAATCCAAACATCAACATCATAGGAAAATCAGTTGTAAAGTGGATAGTATATTTGTTGTACCATTAAATAATGGAGTGAGTCTACCACAAGTACTGAATGATTTAAATAATCAAGATAAAGTGATGAAACAAAAGGAAGTTACACCTTTTGATGCTGCCTTTTTCGGTGACGTAAATTCTGATTTGGATGATTTAGCATTGGGAATGGATCATGACTTCCTGTCTGGGATATTTGTGAATAATAACATTGGAACAAGTTCAAATTTAACCAAATCTGTTAAAATATTGATGAATCAATTACATCAAGAAAAGGTTAACAACTTGAAACTTCAATCAGTGGAGACATTTTTGGAGAACTATAGAGTTGAACTTAGCCGAAATGAACAAACCGCAAAAATTAGAAAATTAAATAAAGAATTGAGTGATTATAAAAAATTGGCTGAAGTGTCAAAGTCACAAATCTCAGAGTTTGAAGAAAAGATTGGCGAAATCACCTCCAAGTTGGAATCAAATGAGAAGACTGTATTAGAAAAAGATGAACAAATCAAAGAACTTGAAGCTTCTGCAACCAAACATAACGAAACAATAACAAATGAGCTGAATTCTAAGATTGAATCACAAGACGCATTGATAAAAGAGAAACAAGCACGTATAGAAAGTCTCACAAAGGAACAACAAAGCATAAAGTCAAATTATGAATCAAACCTCAAGTCATTAGAGGATAAGCTATCCACAAATAGTGAAGATTATCAAAAATTGAAGAAAAAGTACAAGAGCATATTGGATTATAAAAAGCAAAATGATATGAAGAATGATTTTTATAATCTCATACTGATTTCAACGGGGATATTAATCATTGGTCTCTTGGTTCTAAAAGTTTTCTAGTTTAAAATTAGTCATTTTATTATTTATTGAACTCTATCTGGATCATCTGTATGTAGTGCTAAACTGTCTAATTCTATAGTTTCAACTTTTTCAACTCCCAAATTTGTTGCTAATTCTCTAACAAATTCTCGTGCAGCTTGTGAAATAGTAATATCCGTTCCTAGTTCCTTCATAGTTGTTTGAGTCTTTCCAGGTAATCCACAAAACACAAATCCAGCATCTTCAATCTTTGGAATTTCATTTCTAACATTCAAAGAAACACCATGGAATGTCACTGCTCTTCTAACTTGTAATCCAATACTTGAGATTTTGGTGTTTTCATCAATCCAAACCCCAGTATTCTCAGTTTTCTTTGCATGAATATTATGTTTGCTCAACATCTTGATAACAGTATCTTCAATCAACGACACAAAGCACTTGACAGTCAAATTTTTGAAGTCTCTAAGATCTATTATAGGATACACCACCAATTGGCCTGGGTTATGGAATGTGATTTCACCACCTCTATCAGTTTGAACAAAATCATATCCTGTGTTTTTCAATTTTGCAATATCTTCACCACTTAGTCTTTTCTTTTCACGTTGGCCAGCTGTGAAAATTGGTTTAAATTCAAATGATAGGACAGTTGGTGGTGGTTTGTTCTCCAAGATAGCTTGTACAATCTTTTTTTCATAATCATTACTCTCAAGACCTTTACTAGCTAATTCTCTATTACTTCTATCAATCTTGGATGCCATTTTTTTGAAATCTAAAAAGGCAGAAACGAATTCCGTTTGAATTTTATGAGCTTCATGATAGTCATATGGAACAGTGAATCGAAGATGACGAAGCGTCTTAGCTGACTCTTTCAATGGGGCAAATTTTGTACATGATTCGGACGTTAATGGTGATGGTGGTGATGGTGGTGGTGGCACTTGGTTGGTGCTGTCAGGGGTAGATGTGGAGATTTCTCTTCTAAATGACCTTAATATAAGCGGTTTCTGTAATATTTGCCTCTTTAACATCATCATATTTAACAGTACGTTTAGAAAAGTCTTTTGAATGTTGGATCAATATTATTGATTGAGGCTCAAGTCATATGAAAAAAAATGTCGCGAATGCGTTCTGTGACTCTATCAAGTCCTACTTGGCCGAAGCATACCCAGTATAGTAACATTTATATCAAAATAATCTATTTATTTTGGCTTTCTTTGTATTTGGTAACTGCTTCTTTCAAAGCATCTAATCCCCACTTATAATCATCCAATTCCAGATAGATCTGAGCACTCCATCTTGTCCAAATGGCATCTTTGTAGATAAACACTGGAACAAATGTTCTTTTTTGCTTTGTCAGGTAATCATTGAGGAAAAGGGCAATTTCAATCAATTTGTCTTTGGCATATCCATTGGCAGCACTATACTCTGGAAGCTGGATATTGAACATCGTGGTGACAATATCATCTTCCTTACCAGACATCAAAGTTGTACCTTCCCAGTTGGATAAGATATATGAAGAAGCATCTTTGGCGAGTTTCAGGTTATACGCCATGATATACTCTTCACCACCACAAACTTCTTGACGAAACTTAATGGCATCAGGAATTGTTAACATGGAAGTATAATCAAGAGTACTTGTGTATGAAAATTGATCAATCAACGTAGTATCACGAACTTTTTGTCCAAATTGACTAGACACCAAATTTGCAGTATTGACAACCTCATCACCATCTTCAATATAAACAGCACTGATTGGCAAGGAATGAACACTTTTGTGGTGTTTTGGATCAACATAAAGAAAACCACAAGAGTTTGGGACGTATAGCCATTTGTGTAAATTACTTGTGAAGAAATCAGGCTTATCAACCGAGAAATCTAATGGTAAAAGACCAACATAATGAGCAGCATCAACAAATGACAAAATCCCATATTCTTTACACAGTTTTACCATATCCTTCCAAGGGAAAAGAGCACTTGGTGTGGATGAAATACCATCAAAGAAAGCCATTTTCGGAACGTGATCACAAGACTGCACAACTTTCTTGAACTTATCAATGATTTCCTTGTTTGAAATTGGATATTCATAGTCAATCTTTATGACTTCAACACCTATTGATTTTTTCAAGAACTTTAAAGTGTTGTAACAAGAACCATAGATTGTTGCAAAACAAATAATGATATCTCCCTTCTTGAATGGATAAGATCTCAAAACAGAGTTCACAGCAGTTGTAGCATTTGGCACCAAAACCAAGTCGTGATCATCAGCATTCACTAATTCAGCAACGAGCTTACGACACTGGGCATTGGCGTCATAGATGTCATATCTGAAGAATTCATCTGGGAACTCTAGAATCTTCTGTGAATATTCAAACTTCTTCTTCAAGATATCAGGAGTTGTGGCTCCATAAGCACCATGGTTCAAGTTGTGAACATCTTTGTGGAACCCATTGAAATATTTCTTTCTGAATTGAGAGCCAAATGGAACTAAAGGTGGCATTGTGTTCTTTTGAATTTGATGGTAATGAGTCAGGGTCTTATCGAATTCTTATCTCAGTCAATTGTAGTACGATAGTTCACCAATGTTCAGAAAGATTGATGATTAGACTTTCAATTGAGGCTTTGACTGCTTTTCAGAAGAATGATGATGCTAATAAAGGCCAAATCTTCTAGAAAGAGATGGAACTAATTGGGTACTTATATATGTGGGATGAATCATGGTAATCGTCTTTGATCAATGGTTTGAGCAGAAGCGTGAAAAAAAAATTATAACGGCTTTAACCAAAAAATTTATTCACCTTGTTCATATAAAACAACCGGCCTATCTCTTCATTTTGGATCAGAAGAGATACTATCGTGAGTCACTGATGACTGTCAACACGCTCTCCAATGAGCAACGGGTCGAGAATCTGCTGCAGTGGCTACTCAATGAACACACAAAATCAGTCATATCTGACAAGATCAATGTCCAAGAATCCAAAGAAAGTGGTAGAGGTCTTTACGCTAAGGAAGATATCAATGCTCACACTCCGATAATCAAGATTGATCATTCTTATTTGCTCAATTTCACCACTATAGTCGCACATATCTCATCATGGAACCCAAGCTCTTCATTACCAGATACGTATAAGCATATCAAACTACCTCCAAAGGGGAAGGAAGACGAAGTTACAGATTTATACAAGAAACTCACGCTCAATGATCTTACAAGGCTGTCCTCATTTCAGATCATGGCCATGTTTTTGGTCCTGGAGAAATCCAGAGGTTCTGACTCATGGTGGGAACCTTTCATAAACATGTTACCACTAATGGATGATTTCCTCAGATCCCCATTTATATGGAAAGTTCAAGGCAAAGACGATCTTTTCAAACAATTACCACGGTCCACCAGAAACCATGCAACCAGGATGGCTACCAAATTCAGCAATGACTATGAAACGGTACTCAAGCTTTTGAAAGACCAGAATGCGCCAGAATCCATGCTACCCTATGATGATTTCTTATTATACTGGATGTGTATCAATTCACGTTGCTTATATATGGAGATGCCACAGAAGAAAACCACAGATGATAATTTCACAATGGCTCCATATGTTGATTTCATCAATCATTCTTCAACTGACCAATGTGTTTTGAAAATCGATAGGTCTGGTTTCAATGTGATAACAAGTAATTTATACAAACAGGGTGAAGAATTGTTTCTATCATACGGTCCTCATTCTAATGAATTTTTGTTATGTGAATATGGGTTTTATCTACCTCGCAATGAATGGAATGATCTTGACATTAGTGATGAGATTATTGACACTTTAAACCCTGACCAAATTGATTATTTGAAAGAACATCACTATTTTGGAGACTACACATTAAACCACGAAAATGTCAGTTTTAGAACAGATGTTGCGCTAGCAGTCTATCAAGAGAAGCAAAACTTACACTCAAATAAAAGATTGAATGCCCTATTGAATGGTGTCTCTGATGGCTCCTATTACAAAAGAAGATCAAACCAATTGTTGATACGGATACTACAAAAACTGAAATCAAAGTATGAAAATTTTCTACCTTTAGAGTTTAATGATGATGATGATATGAAAGTCGTTGGTGTTTTACATAGAGAAAGAGTGGATCTCATAGATCTGTATCTTGAGAAGCTTACACAATAAACACATCAAATATGTACATGAATTCTCTATATTATTGTATTTTTCCTTATCTTTGGTTTCCATCTCTTGAAACCACTATTACTCTTATACATTGCCATTGAGTGTCTAGCTTCCACTTGTTCTGCATATAGAGTATTAACTGGGGATTCAATACCTCCCTTTTTTGCTAATTCAACAAAATATTCACTTGTATTTTGGTGAAGCTTTTCTCTGTTATTTCTTAGATGAAATCTTAAGTTGGACATATCATTAAAATTTACCCTTAAAATGTTAAAAACGACTGTCACAAGTCTATTTACATCTAAAGCAGTCTCTAGATATGGGTTTTCCAATGTGTGTGGAAGCGCTTTTTTGATTATTGTCACTGATTCCTTCACTATTTGGGTTACCAAATTTGTTATGTTTTCCATCTGTAATAGCTCACCATATGAGCAGTCATAAATAACAGATAAAGGCTCAGTGGCAGCCCGGATAACCAATGATTCCAATTGTAATATTTCGAAATCTCGGAATGAAACAAAAACTGGATGAATTCCTGTGGTATCAACAAGCATTTTTATAAAATCAGGTTGTTTATCAAGATGAGCATCCAAACTCAGATTCATCTCTTCTTTATCTGGCGATCTTATATCTTTGGGCACTTTACATATTGTTAAGTTTCCTGTTGCTAATGTTCCAACTTCAAAAGGGTACTTTCCAAATAACCGATGACTACTTATACATTGATAAATGGTTGGTCGTTTTGCTGGATCTTTGAAAATATGATTCTGTATACGTTCAACAACTGACCGACTGCTGTCCAATAATAAGATATTTGTTCTTGGTCCGATTGATCTTTGGAAAGCACTTAATAGTTCATCTGCTCTATGAAAATCACTTCCACCAAGTACCACATTTGATAGCTTGAATGCTGCACCATTTGAATATCTTGGAGCTCCAGCCGTTGCCATGACTTGTGTTTTGTAAACTGCAGGGTATCTGATACTGAAATTTCTGACAGTGATGGATGACTTGTGGAAATCAACAAATGACTTTGATTCCTCTTCTGACTTTAGTATCAGTACCACATCTGGCACCGTAGGTTGACTGGGGTGAGTTGCCAGTTTGTATGTCAGGAACTTGGTAATATTTGAGTTCCCCAGCACAAATACTCTGGGTACCACTGGCAACATGTTTAGTTGGTTTGCAAAATGGTCTTTATTCTGATAGATTGTTGTAGTTTTGAAATAATTTTCAATTTCCTCATCTCATAGATTCGCGAAGAAAGTTCAAGTTACCCTCATAATTTTGAATAGTTAGTTCTGATCAAACCACGAGGATGATGTAGTAGATAGATGATTTGGGCTTGTCAAAGTCTGTCTTTTATTGATATTTGGAACATTCAATTCTCAAGTTGTGGTGATAAACTCGATTTTATGATCAAGTGTCAAATCTGTGGAAGATAAAGCTAATTCGCGAAGCTTCTTTGTTCCAAACAACCCAAAATCATCAACGTCAAAACGATAAACATCATTAAAAGAGCCCCATATCATCATTATTTCATTATGCTTATCGTTGGCTTAACAGGCGGTATTGCTGCTGGTAAATCCACGGTCTCAGAGAAACTTTCTAAGGAATATGGTTTGACCGTTATAGATGCTGATTTAATCGCCAGACAAGTCCAACAACCAGGACAATCTGCTTATAAAAAGATAGCGAAATACTTTGGACCTCAAGTTGAAGATCTCTTTTTAGAAGATGGCCAATTGAATAGACCTTCATTGGGTAGACATGTCTTTGGGAACCCAGAAGAATTGAAAAAATTGAACTCATTTGTTCACCCAGCAGTGAGATACGAAATTTTCAAACAGATCATCATATCTTACCTTAAACTACAGAAATTAGTTATACTAGATGTTCCATTACTTTTTGAGGCTAAACTTGACCAGATCTGTGGTGCTACAATTGCGGTTGTTTGCGATGAAAAATTACAATTAGAAAGATTACTAAAGAGAAATTCATATTTGACTGAAGAAGATGCTAAACAAAGAATTAATTCACAAATGTCAAACCATTCAAGAATACGGAAGGCTGACTATATTATTGATAATAGTCATACTTTAGAAGCATTAGATGAAAATATACGTGGTGTGGTTCAACGTGTCACACCTTCATGGATCATTTATTTATTGGAATTATTCCCAGTTTTTGCAGCTTTTTCAGCTTTTGGTACATTTATCATTAGAAGAATTCATGAATGGGATAACGATTCGAAGCAAGAATGAACTTCAAATTAAACTACAACCAAATAATAATATAACATTCATAACATTAATTAATAATTAAATAAAACAAGGTCGAACCCATTGATGCAAAAGAAAATCAAATAACAACATATAAAACAACTTAAGCAATAATAAAGCAAATGGTCTAAGCATGTAGTTCTTCTCATCATCTTCTTGGCTGATATGATTCAAATCTTTCATGTCTAGGCGCCATTTCATTTAAATGAATAAAATGACATTTTTGACCAATATGACAGTTTGGAAAATATTTGCAAACAATAGTATGCTTATTTGTGACACTATCTGGCAAGTCTCTAACGTACTGGCGCACATCTCTTCTTCTCAAATCAGCGAACTGATCAGGAGCAACATAAGACGATTTAGCTCTTCTCTCAACTGGTCTACCTCCAACGACATGATGTGGGTCCCCGTTATATGGTCTCTTATGGGAATAAGATTCCAGAGGCCCCTTTGGTAAATGATCACTTCGTTGTCTTTGACCTGGAAAGAGTTCATCAGATCTTTCACCATCTTGACCAACTTTAGATGGAAACAATTCATTTCCAAACGAATCAAACGTACTTTTATAGTTACTGACAGGATGGGAGTTTTCATTGATGTCAAAAATATTAGACACCCCAGAGGTCCTTTGTAAATGCTGTGAAGTGCTCAATTTGTTAGGGGAACCATTATTATCAAAATGTGATGATGATCTCTTTTGTGGGCTATAAGAATCACCCCAAGTTTGTTGAAGAGGTGGACTTCTTCTCGAAGCTCCTTTGATTGTCAGGAAACGTGCGCTATTTGTTGTTTGTTGTGGTGATCTTGGTGGGAGCTCTTTGTGTTTTGGAGAAGTAGGTAGAGGTCTAAAATGATGAATTCTTCCACTATCCTTTTGATGAAAGCTTGAATCACCAGACACTTGATTAAAGTTTGGAGGGGGCGTATTTGATCTTAAGATTTGTTCCTTAATAAGATTTGTAAATTCTTTAGCATCTAATGGGGAATCATTTTTATTGGTTTCTTGTTGTATAGCGCCAGATGCATCGAAATGTTCAACCACATCATCAATTTTTGGATCAGCCTCTTCATCGCTTTCTTTGGAGCTTGATTCATCTGAACTTAAAACAACCACTTCGATGCTATTATTATCACCATCATCAGAGAGCCCGGTTGCTAACTTGTTGTTCAAGTCGGTTTGGTTGTCACTGACCGCCTCGTTAGCATTTGAACTGTGGCTGTTATCGATTGGTTCACCTTGGGATTGACTGACGGTTTCGTTAGCTTGAGACACTTGAACCATTTCATCATTACCAACAGAGTGACTTTCACCAGTAGCATCTTGCTGATAAGCAACTTGATCTTCGTCAGCTTTCGAGAATTCCGTCTCTTGAATTTTGTTCTCGTTTTGAATATTGGTCTCGCTATAATCATCTTCATCTCCATCATTATGACTATTCAGAACGTCATCATCATCCAGTAAAGCCAGAACATCTTCATCAACATTCTTATTAGTACCACTATGTTTAGTTTTTTCAACAACAGGAGAAGGGTTCTCTTTAATGACTTCTTCTTCAACAACATGTGGTTCTTCTTTACTTTCCTCTATATCAGGTAAAACATAATCATCATCTTCTTCTTCTTCGGCAAAACCAGCATTATAGACGTTGAAATCACCAGCGGGTCCTGTACTAACAGCCTCGTTCTTGGATGAGTCAATCGCTTCTTGAGCATCAACGATCAGACCATTTGGTTCGAATGGGCTACTTGTTTCAACTGAAGTTACTGGTGGCTTTTCCTTAGGAACATTCAAGTCAGTAAACAGTTGAAGTGGTACAAATCCACCTCTCAAAACTGTACAATCATCTGGAAGTCCTTGAATTGATTTGAAGTCAATAGGTTTGGGGGTATACCATTCCATATGGTCATGAACAATGACTTTCTTGTGTGATGGTTTTTTAGCAGCAGCTTCAGGATCTTCAAGAGATTTATGTTTTTTAAGGGTTTGAGCTTCAGAGCTTTCCATTTCTCTAGCTCTCTTGTGCTCTTGATCAATTGGACCAATATGAACTTCAGATTCAAACTCTCTTGTCTCAATTTGGCTTGAAAAGCGAACAGATTTCTTTAGTTTAGATGCACCAGTGCTGCTCTTTGTTTTCAAAATACTTCTTAAAGAGCCTGGTGAGCTTGATTTATCTTGTTCGGTAGAAATTGGTGATTCCTGTGAAACTTCTTTATTTAATGAAGAAGCTTCCGAGCCAGAAGCTTTCCTTTTGCTGGATTGAATGTAGTTGTTAAAAGACCATTTCTTTTTAGCTTCATTTGAGTTTTGAGATGCTTTGACCGATGCATAATCTTGTTGCAGTCTTGATTGTGTTGATGTAGGTTGTGTCGTTGAAGGCTTTATTGGGTCAGTTTTTGAAGATATAGGAGCCTCTGAACTTTGGGATGAATCCCTGACTTGTTGTTGTGGTCTCCGACTAAAGTTATTGACCAGATTATTTTTGGCTGGCTGTTGTGGTGTAGAACTAGAGGTGATTGTAGATGTCACTTCTTTGGATGATGCTGGTGGAGGACTGATCTTCTGTACTTCTTCCCCTAGCTTCATGATCTTCTCAGCCACTTCCCTCCATTTTGGTTCCTTCTTCTTAACAAAGTTCATTATACGACTCAAATCTAAATTCTCCATTTGTGTAGTTGATAATTTAAGTCTCTCTAATAAACCGAAATCAGCCTTTATACTTTCCTGATCTTGATTCTTCAAATCTCTTCTTAACCAATTTGTTATTCTCAGTAAAGCTCTAGTGTTTTTTGAAATAATTTTCAAAGCTTCATGATCCTCTTTAAATGAAGTCAAAATTTCATTGACAATAATTGATCTGTAATCAAATTGAGACCCTGTCAGCTCTCTCATGTAGCCTTGCAACAAATTCATCAAGATTTCAGCAACTTTTTTGTAATCTTCAACTTCACTTAATGGAGGAATATTCTTTTTGAAAAAATCAACAGCAGCAGCTTTGCTCAAACTCTTGGAGTTTATTTCGTTCAGTATCGAATTGAAGTTCATCTCAGTGTCGGGGCCTATAGCTACCCTTTTCAACGGTTGGTTTCGCTCTTGAAGTCTTGCTGCCTCAGCCTTAGCAACATCCTCGCCTCTCAATTGTGCAACTTTTTGTAGATAAAGTTCAATATCGGTAGGTTTTCCGTTAGATGACGTTTGTTGAGGTTGAGAGACAAAAGAATTCTTAGCACCTGTGTCAACGACCCTTATGGAATTAACTTGGTAGACTGGGGTTTGTTGTTGTTGTTGTTGATTACCAGCAAGAGAAGTCTTTCCAGAAGAATTCACAGACCCATTCGATGGTCGTTTAGCGGCACCAAGGTTAGGACGCGACTCATCTTGAGGTAACAAATAGCTTTTCTGTGAAGCCTTTTCCCTTAATTTTTGTAAAATGTTCAAATCACTTCTTGAGGTGTTCAGTAAAAGAAAACGATAATGGTCACTTTTGTAGTTTAGTTGCTTCTGTATACCATCTAATTCACGATAAACTCCAGGTGATGATTTTCCATTTTCTTCCAATTGGTTTCTAGCTTCAAGAAAATTGGTTCTTGTACTCAAATAAAGGTCCAATAACTCTTCATAACTTAATGAATTTGGTGTTGTAGTTGAGTAATCTAATGGAGGTACGTTCTCTGAAAAACTTGGCTGGAATTGTGAGGTGTTTACCACTGAATTACCTAAAACACTAAAGTTAGTCTTTGCTGATTTCGGTTGAGATGTAAATTTGTTTCTTGACATACCGTTGTTGAGTTGTGGAGATGAATTGGAATGGCCATTTGTGAAAGCATCGCTCACTGACAAGTTAGACGCCAACTGGTTTGCAACGCCATTCATCAATTGGGAGTTTTGGATGTAGTTGATGGTATTGTTGGTATTGGCGCTGTGACCATTGCCCACTGGTAAAGAATTGAAGAGAGGTGCGATGGTTGTTGATGGAATTGTTTGGTGGCTTGTTGTTGTTGTTGATGTTGTAGGAGCCTGCATTTTCGATTTTTCTCTTCAAGAAATAATTTTTGATCTGTGGAAAACAAAACAAATTGATGGGTCAGATTTTGTGCACGCCGTTCCTCAACTCTGAACAGTGGTGGTTATCTTTCAAGTCTCAGTTTCTTATTGATTCTCAACCTAAAAAACGGTTCAATCTCTTTCAAATTTAGTTGGTTATCGCCCAAATTTTACTTAAGCTCAAAACCAGTCCTCCGATGGTTTAAAAAATCAAATAAAATAAAAACAAAAAAAAATTGTTTAGCGAGTTCTTCAAAGGAATTATCCTACGAGATAAACTATATACTGTTTGTATGGTGGGTTGAAGACGAGTCAAACGTTCTTCAATTGTCTATAGGAAAACGTTGATTAAAACTGCTCAAACTAACTGATCGTATCGATTCTGTAAAGTCTCAGAGAATCAAAACTTAGTTCACAATTCTATAGTCAACTGTTGTAACAGATAAAATATGGTAAAAAAGGGTATCAAAAATAACAAGTAAAATTATGTTGTTTCTTGTCTGTTGATTGGAAACAAAAGAGTTTTGAAAAAGGGAGAACTTTTGAAGGCTTTTTATATTCCAAGAAAAATTTAAAATTGGAAAAACACGTGTTTCTTCAGTAGGGTGACATTTCGCGAATTTATCCCTTGATTATGTAATCTCGTTTGATTTTTTTTTTCGCGAATTTCTTTTGAAAATTTTCATACTGAAAAAAAATTTCAGTATAGGTGCATCGCTCTTTATCTTACACTTGATCTATACAGACTAGATCATCGAAGTAAGACACCTACAAGATGAAGTCCTTAACTTTGCAAGTCAGACTTGCAACAAGGTGTTTGGCCTCAGCGTCAAGGGTCTACTCGAGATCATTATCCTCTAGTCGTGGTTTGTTCCAAAATACTACTCCAGATAAGGCTGAAGAAGATGAAAGCAATGCTATCATCAAATTCCATGAAAAGGGTATTATTAGTGAACCTGTTTACGATGCTTTAACGAAATTGAACTTTGAAAATTTCACTCCTGTTCAAAGTAAAACCATTGGTCCATTAACTGTTGGTGAAAAGGGTATTATTGCAAGAGCTAAAACTGGTACTGGTAAAACATTAGCATTTGGTTTGCCATTAATTGAAAAGGCTTTGAAAAGAGATCCAAGAAGTAAAGATGTTGTTGGTTTAATTATTTCTCCAACTAGAGATTTAGCTTATCAAATTAGAGATGAACTAAACAAGGTTGTCAGATCATTTGATAGAAAAACTCCACACATTAATATCCATTGTCTTGTTGGTGCAGAACCAAAATTTGGACAAATTAAAGCCTTCACTAGACATCAATCTTTCCCACACATCGTTGTTGCCACTCCAGGTAGATTGTATGATATGATGGAAAATCCTATGATTCAAAGAGCATTAGCTGGTATTGAATTCAAAGTTTTAGACGAAGCTGATAGACTATTGGATGATGGTTTTAAAGATAGCTTGTTGGAAATTGAAACTGCTATCAAGGATGCTAAAGCTCAAAATAATGGTAAACAAGAAAAGACTCTTTTGTTTTCTGCTACTATTGATAGAAATGTTATGACTTTCGCAGAAGACCTAATGGGTAACGATTTGAACTATATTGACTGTGTTGACAAAGATGCTCCAGAAACTCATGAAAAAGTTGAACAATCTTTAATCTCCACTAATAACTTATTTGAAAGTTTTACCTCTGCATGCTTGTTTATTGAAAATGAAGCTAAAGCCAACAAAAACTCAAAAGTTGTTGTCTTTTTGCCAACTGTCAAATGTGTCTCTTACTTCAAGGAAACTTTGGCTCAGTATTTGAATACCAATAATGTTCGTACTCCAGTTTTTGAATTACATGGTAAATTAAGTCAATCACAAAGAGATCGTTCAGTTCGTCAATTCCGTGAACGTTCTAAAGGTGTGTTGGTTACCTCTGATGTTGGTGCAAGAGGTATGGATTTCCCAGGTGTTACAAATGTTGTACAAATTGGTGTTCCAACTGATACTACCAACTATGTTCACAGAATCGGTAGAACTGCTAGAGGTGGTAAATCAGGTCAAGCTTTATTGATTTTAACTAAGGCTGAAGGTCCATTTGTTAAGGTCTTGTTAGACAGACACATTAACATTGCTAAGCAATATGCTTACGAAAAAATTGAAGAATCCGAGGCTGCCATTACTGAAGCTTCTGTTGGTGCTATTCATAAATTCTCCCCAGATGATGCTATTGGATCATTATGTGGTTTCTACAACGGTGTTACTAGAAATTACCGTTTGAATCTCAAAAGTGTTCTAGCCGATATTACTGGTGCATATTCCAATTTGGTTGGTGAACCACACAAGCTTCCAAGAGTTGGTCCTACTTTATGGAGAACAGTTTTAGGATTAAGAAATGATGAAGCACAACGTTATTTTGACATTGAAAGTAGACGTGACTTTGGTGGCTCATTTGGTGAGGATAGAACTCCAAATTTCAGAAATGATCGTGGCGTTAATCGTGGTTATGGTCAAACCAGAGGACAAAAAGAACGTTTTTCAAAAAGAGAAACTTATAGTGGCTCCCAAAGAGGTAGAGGAGGTTACGAACGTAGTCACAATAACAGATCAAGAGGAGGTTCTAGTGGTTACAGCAGAGGCGGTTCCAACGGTTACGGTGATTTTTAAGGAGAAGTGAGTTTGTTTTGAAAGTTTGGAAATAGAAGGGTGTTGGCTTAGTATTATTGTCGTTTTAATGAAGTAATCATGAAGGTATCAGTATCATGTATCCATAGAGTTTAGGAACAATGTCTTGTATATAATTAGAGTGAAGGAGAGAAAGCAAGTTTCATGATAGTAATTTTACTGAAACTTTAAATATCTGTTTATATTTGGAAATTTACGGATTCAACGTTATGGGATTAAAATCTTTGCATTGGCGTAGTTGTTGATATCGCGAAAATCAAGTTTAATTGTTTATCAAGAAAAAAACAAACAAACGAAGTGAAGTAAAGAGTTTAATCATCAACAATATTAATCCCTGAAGAAAATGCTACTATGAGCTCTAAAAGCGTCACTTATTGTTTATCAAGAGACCTCGATATCCCCTTCAGAGTCAAATTGAGTTCTTTGGAAGGCTCAAAACCTTTACTAAAAGAATCTGCGAAGCTCCTAAACCCATCAAGTTTGATGAAACTATCAGATGTCGTCACAAACTCAGAACTCTTTGCTACTGTGGTTGTTACTCTGGATGGATTACCATTGACTATACCCATCACCACATCATACACATCATTCAGAAACTCAAGAAAGTGGAATGAATGGTTGGAATTGCCGATAAAAGTGAACCAACTTCCTTTCAATTCAAGACTTCATATCGCATTATGGGAGTTTGATGATTCCAAGAAATCAATTTTTGGTGAAACAGAAGTCAATATATTCAATATAGAAGATGATTGCACATTGAAAAGAGGGAGACAAAAGCTCAATCTATTGTTATGTGATGGCTCAAACCAAGTCAAACCGTCATCGCAGCCTTCCAAAATGGATACAATTGAAAAAATGATCAAGAAACATGAAAATGGTGATATAATATCTGTTGACTGGCTAGATAATTTGACATTTCGTAAAATTGAACAAGTTAACAAGACACAATCTTCAGAATCTGGGTTTTTGTTGTTTATTGATTTTGTGCAATTTGATATTCCAGTTGTATTTTCAGATTTCAAATATCCTTCGCCTCAAATTCCAGTGTACACACCACCAGATCAACAGCAAATCAATCCACCAAAAATTAGTACTGGGAAGTCATCAACATTGAAAGTGTATGATCCAGAACAATATGTTTCTGATCCCATTGAACAAAAATATAGAAAATTGGAGCGTAGCCATAAAGATGGTCCTTTGGATAGAGAATTGAAACCAACAGCAAAGATAAGAGATGAATTACACAGAATTTTAAATTATTCTTCGGTACAGCAGCTCTCACAATATGAAAAGAATCTTGTTTGGAAGTTTCGTTATTTTTTGATCAATAATAAAAAAGGTTTAAACAAGTTGCTAAAAAGTATCAACTTCAGTGATGAAACTGAAAGGAAAGAAGCCTTGAAACTAATTTATAAATGGGTTGAAATTGACATTGAAGATGCATTGGAATTGTTGGGACCGAACTTCAAGAACATCAGTGTGAGAACTTATGCTGTTGAAAGATTGAAAAAAGCACATGATAATGAATTAGAGTTGTATTTGTTACAATTAGTACAGGCATTGAAATATGAATCATTAGCAAACAATGGATCTGAGAATAGTGAGTTTTCTATTGTGGAACTAAATGGGTCATCATCAACTTCATCTGTTCTCAATACATTGTCCCCTTTATCGCAATTTTTGGTTGAAAGAGCGTTAGTAAATGATAGGTTGGGTAGCTTCTTATATTGGTATTTGAATGTTGAATCTAAGGATAAACCAAACTCAATCTATAAAAAAATATTGGATTATTACTTGAGGCATTTGACAAATAGAGGATTATCAAAAGAGATTGAGTTTGTTGACTTGATAGTGAAACTTTGTATCAAGATTAAAAGTTCAAGAGATTCAACCCCAAAGAAAATCGAGGCATTGCGCACAATATTAGATACAAAATTTAAATCCTTCGCTCCAGTTAAACTTCCATTAGATCCATCAATTGAAGTTTGTGGGGTTATCACTAATGAAAGTTCTGTCTTCAAAAGTTCATTATCACCTTTGAAGATCACATTCAAGACAACAGATGGAGGTAAATATCCATTAATGTTCAAAGTTGGTGATGATCTAAGGCAAGATCAACTTGTCATTCAGATCATTTTATTAATGAACAAATTGTTAACAAATGAAAATGTTGACCTAAAATTGACACCTTATAAGATTTTAGCTACTGGTCCTACTGAAGGTGCTATTCAATTCATACCAAACAGTACACTTGCAAGTGTTTTGGCTGAATATCATGGTATATTGCCTTACTTGAGACATCATCATGCTGATCCAAATGCCGAGCTTGGGGTAAGTGATTGGGTGATGGACAATTTTGTGAAATCTTGTGCAGGTTATTGTGTCATCACCTACATTCTAGGTGTTGGTGATAGACATCTAGATAATTTGTTAATATGTCCTGATGGGCATTTCTTTCATGCTGATTTTGGTTATATATTGGGTCAGGATCCTAAGCCATTTCCACCATTAATGAAACTACCTCCACAAATCATTGAGGCATTTGGCGGTGCAAGTTCTTCTAAATATAATATGTTTAGAAACTATTGCTTTGTTTCTTATTCTATCTTGCGGAAGAATTCAAATTTGATACTCAATTTGTTTGAAATGATGAGAGATTCAAGTATTCCTGATATAAGTATTGAACCAGATAGAGCAGTTTATAAAGTGAAAGAAAAATTCTGTCTCGATATGAGTGAGGAAGAAGCTATCATACATTTCCAAAACTTGATCAATGATAGTGTTAATGCTCTACTTCCAATGGTTATAGATAGATTACATAGTTTAGCACAGTACTGGAGGGCATAAATGATAATTTGTTCAAGTTACAGGCTATATGTAAATTAGGTCACGTGCACTAACTTTTGCGACTCCGGGTAAAATAAATGTGGTCCGCGCCACATGGCATTCGCGGAAAAAACGCTTTCGCGGGTCTCGCGTGCACTCAGTAGTGAGCACTGTACCAATGATAAAGTGAATGAATCTAGATTTCCCACTTATTCAAACAAGAGATCAAAAAGCTCATATTATCCAGTTTCCGTTTCTCGCAATGGATATTTTAAAGTCTTCTGATAACATAGATTTGAGGAAACCTAGTGCAAGAGTGGCCAAGACGCAGCTACTAATTGCGTTCATACTGGGACTTTTCGCATTTCTAACATTTTGCATCTTGAGAAATACATGGTCAAAGCTTTATATTTCAAGGTTAACTAGAAGGAAAGGGCTACCCACTATACCCACAAAGTCATTGTTTGGCTGGATACCGGTTATTTATAATATCAATGAGCAGGATGTGTTGAATCATGCTGGTTTAGATGCATTCGTATTTTTGGGATTCTTCAAGATGGCAATTAAATTACTTTCATTGTGTGCGTTCATATCAATAGCCATTATTTCACCAGTACGGTATCATTACACTGGGAGATATGATCAAGGTGATGGTGATAATGATGGGAATAATGATGGTGATGGCGTTGAAAAGAAGATAGGAAATGAACCTGACATCCCGGGGGGTTATAAGCCATATCTTTGGATGTATGTTGGATTCACATATGTCTTCACCCTGTTAACTTTTTACATGTTGATTAAACAAACTAAACACGTTGTTCAAACAAGGCAACAATATTTGGGAAATCAAAACTCAATCACTGATAGAACTATTCGTTTATCAGGTATACCCCCTGAATTGAGAGATGAGGAAAGTTTGAAGAAGCATATCGAAGAGTTGAACATTGGTAAGGTGTCCTCAATCACAATCTGCAGAGAATGGGGTCAACTAAACAGACTATTCAAGCATAGGAAACAAATATTGCTTAAACTTGAAGATTACTGGGCAGAGTATTTGGGACCATTATCTTTCAGCAATAAGAAACAAAATATACCCGTTAGAACAAGAGTCAGGGAATCGTTCCAATTGGAGAGAAGTACGGTGCAAAGACCTTACCATGATGCTCCTTCAGATGATGAAACTGAAAATGAAGAACAAGCTGGAGATACAACAGTTGAGTCAATAATCGATGAAGGTTCTGCAGATAGCATTCGTGACTACTCCACTAGAAATGCCGCTGTCACGCTTGGGGCTCAACCATATGAACATAAAAGACCAAAATTGAAAACTGGGTTCTTAGGACTTTTTGGTAAAGAAGTTGACGCTATTGATCATTTGACAAATCAATTGGATGTTTTGGACGAGGAAATTTTAAGAGCTCGTCAAAGACACTTTCCAGCAACACCAACGGCTTTCATCACTATGGATACTGTTGCAAGTGCTCAAATGGCAGCGCAAGCTGTTTTAGACCCTCATGTACATTACCTCATCACAAGATTGGCACCAGCTCCTCATGATATCATTTGGGATAACATTGTTTTGTCACGCAAGGAGAGAATTGTGAAAAATTACACAATTACAATTATTATTGGTATTATTTCAGTTTCATTGATTGTTCCTGTTGGTTATTTGGCAACCTTATTGAATCCGAAAACAATAAAGAAATTTTGGCCAGGATTGGGTGAGTTGCTACAGAATAATGAGTGGGCAAAGAACATTGTTTCCGGTTTGTTACCAACATATATCTATACCATAATGAATTTTGTTATTCCGTTCATCTATGTTTGGTTATCTTCGAAACAAGGGTATATTTCGCATGGTGATGAGGAACTTTCTGCTGTCTCAAAGAATTTCTTTTATATATTTGTCAATATGTTTTTGGTTTTCACAACTGCTGGTACTGCTTCAAACTATTGGGGGTTTTTAAGTGACACAACAAAAATTGCATATCAGTTGGCACAATCACTAAATGAGCTATCTTTGTTTTATGTTGATTTGATTATTTTGCAAGGATTGGGTATGTTTCCCTTCAAATTGTTGTTGTTTGGAAGTATTCTTCGTTTTCCATTTTTCAAGGCTGGTTGTAAAACACCAAGAGATTATAGAGAACTTTACAAACCTCCAATCTTCAATTTTGCACTACATTTACCTCAACCGCTGATGATTTTGATTATAACAATCATTTATAGTGTGTTCTCAACAAAGATTTTGGTTTCGGGACTGATATATTTCATCATTGGTTTCTATGTTTACAAATACCAACTGATTTACTCTGTTGTTCATCCACCTCATTCAACTGGTAAGGTATGGCCAATTGTCTTCAGAAGAATAGTTGTTGGTTTGTTGTTGTTTCAATTGACAATGGCTGGTACTTTAGCTGCATTCCAAGATGGTTATTTATTGGCAACTGTGCTAACACCATTGCCGTTAGCTACAATAAGTTTTTTATGGAACTTCCAAAAAAACTATTTGCCATTATCGTTTTTCATTGCTTTGAGAGCTATTGAAAGGGAACCAGAATCTGTTGATCTGGAGGCAACAGTTGGTGACGGTATATATACGCCTGCTCAAGAACCGATTGCACCAGTCAAGTCTCAAACCTTGGATGAAACTAGAGAGCAAAATCAAACATATGAGTATCCATTTTTGGTTCAACCATTAGATGGACCATGGATTTCAATTGAGGGTGATCATGCTGTCGTTGCAAATGCAGATGGTACTAAAAGAAGACGTGTGAATTTATTAGAATGGGAATGATTAAGGAGTTTTTACGGGTGTGTTTTTCTACTATTGGTGCTATATATAGGCGTTAATTAACATGTTTATTGAATTTGGATTTGCATTCTTGACGTAGCAGTCATATGAAAGGCTTCAAGGACCTCTCCAGAATTTGCCTGAGTCCCATAATCCGTTGAACAAAATTCGCATACTCATGATTGGCAATGCTATATGCCAAGCTTTCATTTCCTTTGGTGAGAATGACAATTAATAGCATTCTAGTGACTATGAATTTGATAAGTGTATTCAGTAAAAACACACTGATTGCACTGGGGATCGAGCAATCAGTCACTATTCTCAGTGCTTCTATTAAGCTCAAGTCTGCAACAGAACTTATAATATTGGTGATAGTTATATTATTGTATGGCCAAATGAGCATAAGGATTGGGAACAAATTTGTAGCTCCTGAAATTAGAATTGTAAGGGATAATGCCATTTTATAATATCTTTTGTTATGTGAATCCTTTGACACATACCCATTTGGATTCCAGCCAACAACATTGAACATGAAAAATGGAATAAAAGTGTGAGTTATCACATCATCTGAAATGCATTTGAGTGAAAAGTATAGATATTGAGTCACGGCATTCTTTTTCAGTATTGAATTCATGATCAAGAAGGGATTGATTGATTCTTCAAAGTTATAATTCTTTTCCTCATACGCCCATGTTAAATAAATTTTGAATAAAATCATCAAAAGCCGTATTCTGTTGACCTTTTTGTTCTTCAAAAACCAACCTTTCAATGACCTCTGGCTACTTTGTTTCAAGTCATTTGGAGCATTTCCCATCAAATTGTAAACCAAGTGTCTATACGCTTGTGGTTTTAGGAGTAATGTGTCAATGAACAAAATCACATTGTCAAACTCAACGTACTTGTCTGCAACTTTGGAGCAACTAGGGCAGTCCGTCAACTTGATGTAATCATTGGCATATTTCACATAAAGCGAATCGACTGGTGCATTGCATTCGACACAGATCATAGCTCTCTGTCTTCCGTAAATTTGAAATATTTGTGAATCTTTCTGTTGATTGCAATTTAGTATAGGTCGCGACCTCGCGATGATTTGTGGTGTTGGGATGTGTCTTGCTCAATTTTTTGTAGATGATGTACAGAATAGATCGTAAACATTTGGAAAACTCAATGCCATTCTTTCAATTAAAGCTACCCATTAATAATGAGCTCAAAACCACCTTGTAAATTTTATGCCCAAGGTATGTGATACAAATTATCTTTTCAGGGTTTTAACTAACAAATAGTCACACAGGAACTTGTAGGAAAGGCTCAAGTTGTCCATTTCCTCATGTGAATCCAAACAATAACAGAAATAACTATAACGGCAGTGGAAGATCTACTTTTGGCCAGGTTGATATAAACAAAAGACTGAGAGATTTCTGGGATCAGAGCACTCTAGATAGAAAATCAACTGAAATATCGGAAGAATTACGTGACTTTGAAACTTTTGAATCGTTATCATCTTCAGCATTTGGTCTAGCTGATCCAGCAGTTGAAAACCTTATATCAGGAAGAGATTATTCTTTTGAAGAATCCAGGTTAGATTTTTACCAGGCCCAGCAAGCTAATGCGGCTCAAGACTATGAAAAAATGATAAATATAAGGACGCAGGATATGAAGAACTGTGTTGACTTTTTGAAGAAAGATACTAGAAAACCAGCAAGATATACACAAGTTACAACTAGGGAAAAGTTTGAACATCCAGCAACATATGCTGCAAAACCATTTATAAATTTCCCATTGGATCTAACAGGAAACTCCCTCTCGAATAACACACAATCTCCGTTTGGCTCCAGCCCCTTTGGTGGTTCATCAAACACTACATCAAACCCGTTTGGTGCACAAACATCTAATCCTTTTGGAACGTCTAGTACCGGCACTGGTGCTTTTGGAAGTCAAACCTCAAAGCCTTCAATTTTTGGAAGCACAAGCTTATCACAAAACCCTTCATCTTCACCATTTGGTCAAAGCTCTCTTGGAAATTCATCATCCACTGGTGGTGGTGCTTTTGGAAGTCAATCATTAGGTGGAGCATCAGCATTTGGCCAAAGTGGCTTTGGCTCATCAGCAGCAAGCACATCTCCATTTGGGACTGCAAACCCTTTAGGTTCCACCTCAAGTGCAACACCGGGAACCTCAGCCTTTGGCTCAGCTGGTTTCGGTTCTACTTCGTCAGCTACAAACAATAACGCAGGCTCAGCTTTTGGTGGTTCTGGTTTTGGCTCAACCACAGGTCCTTCTTTTGGTGGGGCTTCTCTTGGAAGCAGTAATACGAAATCTGCTTTTGGCTCATCGGGTTTTGGACAACCATCTACTACATCAACATCACCTTTTGGCCAGCAAAAACCAGCTGCAACTTCTGCTTTTGGTACAAGTGGATTTGGTACCTCAAATTCAACAAGCTCTCCATTTGGAAGTGCTGGTATATCAACAAATAAGGATCAGCAAAACCCTTTTGGAGCAAATTCCACAACTGGTGACAAGGCCTCTACATCTTCTGCCTTTGGTCAAGGTTCTACTTCACAATCGCCATTTGGTCAAGTGGAACAGAAAACTGCAAGTCCATTTGGTCAAAGTTCAACGGTATCACCATTTGGTCAATCAGCGTTTGGTCAATCAACTACCCAACCTTCATCTTCATCAGCTTTTGGTCAGTCAGGCGCTATTGGGCAATCACCGTTTGGACAATCTCAAAATACTGCTGGATTAGGCTCTGTTTCTTTTGGGAATGCTTTTGGAAATTCTTTGCAACAACCTTCAGGGCAATCTTTCAGACCAACATTTAAACAATCTGCGAAAGAAGAAGCAAGATCCAAGGAGGATGAGTTGGGAGATGAAGTTAAAGCACAATTTACCGCAAGCGCATTTACAATTGGATTGGTTCCGGAAGTGCCACCACCTTTAGCATATTGTTAATAGACGATTTAATTTCTACGCCAAATTTATGAAATTTCATATCATGCATTCGTAAATTTATCGTATTAAACAACCTCTTGACCAAGATTTCTTCTATTGTGTTGATAGGCATCTAAGATGACATTTTGATGTTGAACAGAAAGTGCAAAAGATTCCCTGTATAACTCAATCATCTCATGTGCAACAGTTTCTTTCGGTTTTCTACCTTCACATATTTGTTTTAACTCATCTTCTAAACTTTTCCTTAAAAAGGGTTTTGTTAACGAATTTTTGAGATTCAATTCTTCAAATCCATCCACTAGTCCCATTCCCAAAGTCGTTGGCACCAAGAAGGATTTTCTTTGTTTAGTGACTTTTGTGATGTATTGCCTATTTGCAATTTTATCAATATGTTCAGCAATAGTAGCATCTGTACCAATACCATTGGCATCCATTAATGCAATCAATTCAGCTTCCGTCATCAAATTAGGAGCTGAAGTTTTCCCACTTTTCAATTCGGCTGAGTTTAGCTTCACGGTTTCATTCATTTCAAACTTCGGTAATTCATTAGTGGATTTCCATGTTTGATATTTATAAACATCAAGATAGTTGGTTTCGAGAACATGTAAACCAGAAGCATTAAAAGTTTCTGACCCCCATATCATTTCAACATTTGTTGAAGAACCTTTTGCATCTTTTGAGCAAGACGCTAAAAAGTGTCGCACAACAAACTCATAAACTTTCTTTTCATTAGCCTTTAAAGTACATCCTGGTCCCAAATTAACATGATTAACAGGATGAATTGGTGGATGGGCTTCATCATTGTGTCTACCGGCACGCGGAGTTTGAAACTTGTCATCGTTCAAAAGCCCTTGAGCATACGTACCCCATTCAGTATCATCTTTCTGTTTTTCAATCAGTGCTTTTAAATCCATAGCTCTTGGATAAATATCAGTTTCAGTTCTTGGGTAGGATAAAAACCCGGCTTGATATAGCTTTTCCGCACATTCTAAAGACTCTTTGGCACTCATTTTGAAATACAATGAGCATGATTTTTGTAGTTCAACTGTTGTCAAAGGTAATGGTCTCCATTTTGAGGTTGGAGAGGACTTCACATTTGTTATCGTTCCTCGATCCGATTTCATGCAATTCTCGTAAAGAACAACAGCAGCAACCCTATCAAAAAGACGGCTTTTCTTCCAGCTAAACCTCACTGTTTTGTTATCTTTTTTAACACTCACATCCAAGAACCAAAATTCCTCGGGCACAAAATTTTGTACTCTTTTGTATCTATCAACAACAAAACCTAAAGTTGGAAATTGGCAAGATCCATAAGAAACAAGATCCACCATTTTAGCATCTCTATATCTCTTGAAAACATCACAAAGAAATCTTGTAAATGCAGCGCCTGTTCTCAAATCCAATTCTTGTCTGGTACCAACAGCGCTGATAGCGTTAACATCCAATTGTTTTGGTTCCCTTGCAGCCTTCAATATATGATTTCGTTCTAGATGTGAAAATTGAGCCCTCATAGTATTTTGAACCGTGAGGTTTGGATTACCCTTTCTTGCTGCATCCAATATTTCTTTTCCAATATATTCACCTTCCCTGTCACAATCTGTCCATATCATCAACCTGTCACAACCTCTACTCAAATTTTCTATATTTTTGGCAATTTGAGTTTGCTCTTTTGACATTGAGAATTTCACTGGAGCTTCAAACAATTTACCGGCATTACATTTACCCCAGGCATAGTTATCAGGGAAGTCAAGACCTGTCAAATGGCCAGCAACACTCGTCATCACCACATTGCAATTGCCAAATTGTGGGAAATTGAATGAAAACTCATAGTTTTTAACATACTTGTAAGTTGAGTTACTCGTCCTCACACGGCCACCACCCAAAATATTTGCAACAGCTTTTCCAATTGAGTTCTTCTCGGCCACACAAAGAATCTTCATTCTTCAAAGCAGCCTATGATCTGTAGCAGAATTCAGTTTCGTGTTTACCTTTTTTTGCCTTTCATTTTCGCGTATAGACTAAAAAAAAATACAAGCTGCCAATCTAACACGGGTCCCTTTGATGGTCGACAGAAAAAAAAACCGCTTGGTGACAAGCTCCAATAAAAGCTTTTTAAGAAATTCAAACCCAAGGACTTTTCTGCTAAACAAGCTGAATAATGATCATTAGCTGAGACGTTATCTAATTCTCACTACATCTGCTTTCTGATTGTCCAATTTTCTAATTACATTTAAGTCTTACTCTATCCACTGAAAGGGTATTTCAATTTCCAATTTCAAGTACCTTTATTGTTCCTAGAGCCAATCAATCAAAGAAACAACCATCCAACCCATAATATACCACTTAATTCTGTGCTTCAGATAGTATGACAACCACCAACAACACTTCTCCATTGGCAGTTATTGATGACTCCAAGAAGCAATTAACCGAAGCACTTACCAACGTCACTCCTGACGACTTCCTAATATCGGGTATTTTGAACTTTATTAGATCAAAGTTTTTATCATTCATCATCAAGGATATCAATGATTCCATAAGGAAAGCATCACCACAGCTGAATGAATCTGACTTACAATTGGCCCAAGGGGATTCCAAAAAAGCTGAAGAAACTGCTGAATGTTTGATTGATAGAATTTGGAGTGATTTTTATCACCCAGTAATGAGATATTATCAATCTCAATTCCAGGAGTTGAAGAACCAGGAATTGAAACTCAAAAGAAAAAGAACTGTTGAGTTGAGAAAGCTAAATGATAGATTTAAAAAGATCTCCAAAGTTACTAGTGATTTCTTTCTTGATTTGTTGAAGCAAATTTTAACACAACACAAGCTTGACTTCATTGTCCCAAAGAATTTTTACAACTTTTTAGATCTGGAGATTTCCCCAAATGCCGTGCAAATCAACAAATCCGATAATGCTATTGTGGTTAAACTTGTCTATGTTGCTCATCGTTCATTATTATTCCTTGGTTCAATTTCGCGTTATAGAAGTTCATTCTCACAAATGTTGGCAAAGACTGAACATGAAGATTTCAACCGTGCTCTACAGTATACTCATTATTCTGAACTTTTGTTACCAGCGTTTGGGGAAGCCCGTAATCATATTGGTATGATTTATAGTGCACAGGGAGATAATTTATCAGCTTCTTATGAATTCTTGAGATCTTGCTCAACAAGAATCCCTTCCAAATTGGGTGCAGCTAATTATAGAGTCTGCATGAATAGTACAACTGCTGTCATTGATGATCTTAACAGGCTCAGATTGGAAGATAATATAACAAACAAGAACCGTTACAAACATTTGTCAACATACTTTTCTGTCCTGTATGGGTTCCATTTCAATCCAAGTCGATGGAAAAGGTCGGAAAGTACCTTCATAAATGGTACTCCAGTTAAAGAGGTCAAAAATGACCTATATAAAATCATCTCAGATTTAGCATCAAAAGGTCAAGATGATGTTTTCGTACTTCAAAAAATGTTGATTTTGCTCATAGGGGGTATTAGCTTTTCTGAAGCATCAAGAACAACTTCACTGACCCCAGAATTAACAACTTTGTTCATGTTCGCTTTCGAATTTATTGATATCATTGAGAAATTTTTCATTGAGCAATGGAGTGTTGACAAGTCAAAAAGTTTGAAATTACTGCCTTTAATACGTTTAATTCTATCATGGTTGAGAAATAACAAGTTGGCTTTACAATATTCTCATAGAGATTCAAATTTCCTGAAAACCACTGCAATTTTGTTGAATCTTTTGTTTAAACATTCACAAGGTGGTGATTTTGATCATCGTCCAAAGAGAGATCAATATTTTTTTGAAGATGTGGGTTTAAAAGAGTTCATTCCAATTGGTCGATTATTTTGGGATTTTGATGATGGTCATATTTTTGAAGATTCAAATTCCACTTTAAAATTGATAGGTGAATTCAAACCACACGATGAAAAGGAAGAAACAAGCTTAAGAGGATTAGCTGTTGGTTATTTGGGGAAGAAAATTATAAGTGCCAATCGTGTTGGTATTAAATTCGATGACGAAAAGAAATTGTTTGATGTTTCAGATGTCAAGGACATTCAAAAGAAAAAGATTCCAGGTGCTGTTCCGAAACAAGTTTCTCCTGCTAAGAATGAGGAAAAACCTATAACTGCTAGTGCTAAGAGAAATAGAAGACGAAGAAATGGGAAAAAGAATCAACAAGCAAGGAAACCAGTCACTCCTTCATATTCATCTCTGTCAGCCTCATCGTCATCTGATTCTGATTCTGATTCTGACTCTAATTCATCAGGTGGCCTTGTTGAGATTTCTCAAAACAGTTTCGAAAGAAGAAACAAATCATCTGTTTTGGATAAAGGTATTGAAAACCTTTCAGTTTCTAAAGCACAAACACCACAGCCAAAGCCACCTAGTGCTGCTCATGAAGCCGTTTTGAGTATTGAAGAGTTGGAAAACAAGTTGACAAATGCCAAAAAGGATCAAAATTACGCAAGTATGGTTGATTCATTAGTTGACGATACATTTTCGTCAAATCCAGTGTCTACTCATACTCCAAGTAATAACAATGGGAACACAAGTTGGCAATCAACTCCACAATACAATATCCAACAAGCATCTACACCATTCAATAGTAATGATGCATTTTCTCCAAATTTTAACAATAACTCTAATGGAGCTTTCAATCAATCACCGTTTATGAATCAAACGCCATTTTCTGCTTATCCAAACTATTATTCTGCTTATCAACAACCACAACCTCAACCACAACAGCCTCAGCAACCACAAAGTAACATGTACCATCAATATCAAAGTCTTTACAGTCAATATCAATCACCAATTCCTCAACAGCAACCACAACAACAAGGTCAGTCACCTTTCAACATGTATAATTATGGTGGTTATGCTCAATATGCATACCCAAACATTCAGGTTCCTCAAACCCCTAGTCAATCAAATTCACAACAACAACAACAACAGCAGCAACAAAATCAACAACAACATCAGTGAGATTTATAAAATAGCACTCAATCTACAGGTTATTAAATCGTGACATCGTTTGTTGATCTCTTTACATGCTAGCTATGTGATATGTATGCATTTTCTTTTGAGTTGGATAGTGTAGGTTTGTTTTTTTCTCTATTATTAGCCAAGGGTACAAATCAATCGTAATTCTCATCACCATCATAATTATTATCATTTCCAAGAGTGAATTTAGCTTTTTTAATACCAATCTTCTTACGCTTACTTGTATGGTCTTTAATTTCATCTAATCTTTTTCTTTGTAACTGAGCATTATGCATAAACAAAGGTTTCTCGTCAGAATAACCATCACATTTCAACCCTAAATTCTCACATTGAATACAAGATGGTTTTTCTTCAGTACATTTTTTCTTGCGAATTCTGCAAGTCCAACAACCAGATTTTGATCTTGGTAGAAATGATTTTTTACGTCTATGATAACATGATGATTTGTTTGAACCACTACTTGATGTTCTTTTAGCTGGTGAAGATGAAGCAAAAGAAACTTGCTGTTTGGTTTGTTTTAAAGATCTTAGAGTTCTTCTTTTCAGCCTTGAAGTTTTAGGAGAATCACCCAATTTATCACCCTCCGTTGATTCAATACAATAATTTACAGGCTTTCTTTTACGTAAAGCCAGTCTTATGTTTGAGGAAACTTCAAATTTTGGACCTTGTGGAGATGATGAATAGACTGGGTTTTTATCAGGTTTCTTCAAATCTTCATCAATCTTATCGCTTTTGAAGCCAAAATCCTCATGATCATCATCTAAGTTTTCAATATCAACTTCTTTTATATTGAATTCCTCTTCCTCATCTGATGGCAAGACTGAATTTGTTCTTTCATCATCCTCTCTTAAATGATCATCCATATTTGGAACTGACTCAAATAATTCATGAATTGGCCTAGGATCTGGGAATCTTGTTTCAAATTTTGGCATTGGAGAGCTTGAAAGAGCTAAAAGATTTTTACTCACTTCGTAATCCAAAACGTTTGAATAATTGTTTGTAAAGAAAGTTTCTCTTTTCATTGATGTTCTAGAAACAAATGGTGAAGAATAATTAGGATCAAATCTTGACCTGTTTTGAGAGCTAGTAATGGAAATATCAACACCCTTTGCAACATGAGATTTCCGATCTTCTAAAACATCTATTGGAACAATAGTATTTGAAGTTTCACCAACATCTGTCTTTTTGGTAGAATCAACCTGAACATTACCAGAATAATTATGGAAAAGAGTATTATTTGCTGTGACTGAAGTTTGATTTATGAAATCCAAAGTTTTATCACCTAGTGGGGACGACTCATGATGAAGAGTTGAAAAATTATTTTCGGAGCTCAACAAATCGTTTATACTGAGGAATTTGGAGTTACTTGAGCGACGATGATTATCATCAAGTTGTAAATTATGAGATTCATCCTCTTGTAATGAAGCTTGTAGTTGGAATGGTTTAACTTGTGATCTCAGGGGGCGACCAGTGATGTAATTCTTTGAGCTTGAATAACTATAACGTTTTGGAGAATGGACTGGTGTGTTTGATGGAGCGCCACTTGCAATACTAGCCAGCGAATCAATTGGTGAGTTGTGAACATCTTTGCCTTTCAATAAACCAGCAATTCTATCAATTTCTTTTTGAAGTTGTTCACGATGTGCCTTCAACTTCGAACGATCATAATCTGTGATTGCTGGGTTTGATTTGTTCTTATTTTTTTTAGATGTGGTTCCAAATGAGGTACTTGACATTGCTCATGAATAAACGGAAACAAGAGAGATCAGTGAGATCTGATAATTAACCGCCAAACTCGATCTCACAGCGGCTTGCCTAATTTTAACAGATATTGCTATAATTTCTTTGAATAATGACCTTGCCTAGTGTAATAGATTTAGCAAGTGGGTCTTTGTCACTAGCCGCTGTGGTTTCTTGTGTACTTTTCCAGTGAAAAATTCCTAAAAATATTGGATTTTCAGTTATATTTGATCCAAAAGCGACTGTCAAAATGTAGCGGTCAAATGCACTCTATTTAACCGAAAACGGAATTTTTAAGGGCAAAATGTTTTACTCAATTTTAAACAATTTTTTTACTTGGAAATAAAATCTGAAATCTTCAGAAATTATTGGAAATTGTTTGAACTTTTCTATAATCTGATTTTTAGACTTGATTTCGAAGAAAAAAAAATTGACATTTTATGATTTTGGACATTTTGAAACTTAAGTAAAAAAATACAAGGTTGATAAATTTTTAAAATCACTAAAAATTAATTTTTTTAATTAAATCCAAAATTTGAGCCTAAAGTACGTAAAAAAAAGGAAAAAATACAAAAAGTATTTCATAATGGTGAAATATTTGATATACAGAAAAATCTCGCACTTTTGCCTCTAATTTTGGATGACTTTCGACATTTCCAAATTCATGACACATTAAATCAAGATCCGGTAACCGCACTCCATCAACATCGGGTGGTGTCAGGATGTCTAAAAGGAATCATCATAATTTAGTTCAAATTGTTAGGGGTGGTACTAACTTTCATTTGTCGAACCATTTTTTCCTTTAATTCAATTCTATCAATCATAAGTCAATTAGAAGGTAATAATTTTCAAACTTTCGCAATGTCATTTGAACAAGCACAAGCGTTAGATAATGAATATCCAGTTCTTTCATCTGATTTCAATATTCCAACATTCAAATCTGTTGGATTAAAACCTACCAAAACAGCCAACGAAGATGATCAAGTTACATATCTTTGTGGTAATAGTTTAGGATTGATGCCTAAATCCACCAAGGATGCTATATTGAACGAATTAGATGCCTGGTCTGCTCGTGGTGTTGAATCTCATTTCAATCATCCTACATCAACATGTTGGATGGATATTGATTTACCAGTGGTTCCGAAATTAGCACCAATTGTTGGAGCATTAGAAGAGGAAATCGCTATAATGGGATCGTTAACAAGTAATTTGAATGCATTAATGGTTGCTTTTTATAAACCAATAGGTTCCAAAACAAAGATTTTATTTGAGAAAAATTCTTTCCCATCAGATTATTATGCAATTTATAATCAAATTAAATTGAAAGGGTTAGATCCAAAAGAAAATATGATTCAATTAAAACCAAGGTTAGGTGATGCATATTACATCAAGACTCAAGATATTTTGGATACAATTGAACAAAATCATGAAAAAATTGCAATGGTGTTATTACCAGGTATTCAATATTATACTGGACAATTATTTGATATTGCTAAAATCACAAGTTTTGCTAAAAAATATGATATAATTGTTGGATGGGATTTAGCACATGCCGTGGGGAATGTTCCATTGAAACTACATGATTGGGGTGTTGATTTTGCCACATGGTGTTCATATAAGTATTTAAATTCAGGACCTGGTGGGGTTTCAGGTATTTTTGTCAATACAGCACATGGTTCAAATGTTGAAGATGAATATATACCAAGATTAGCTGGTTGGTGGGGGAATAATTCTACTAAAAGATTTCAAATGTTGGAAAATTTCGAACCAATTAAAGGTGCTTTAGGTTTTAGACAATCAAATCCAAGTGTTGTTGATGTTGTTTCATTGAAAAGTTCTTTAGAAATTGTGGAAAAATTTGGAGGAATTGGTAAATTAAGAGAAAAATCTATTAAATTAACAAATTTTTTAGAACATGCATTGCAAAATTCTAGATATTATATTACACCAGAAGAATCATTTGACAAAACTAGTGATTTTCCTGAATTTACAATCCTAACACCAGAATCATCAGATGAAAGAGGTGCTCAATTATCATTATTATTCTTCCCAAGAACAAGTGAAACTCGTAAAGGTATTATGGATGAAATTTTCAACTATTTACGTGATAATGGTGTTATCTGTGATGAAAGAAGACCAGATGTTATAAGATTAGCACCTGTGCCATTATACAATACGTTTGCTGATGTCTATAAAGCTGTTCAAGTATTGGAAAGTGCTTTTGAACATTTGTCAATATTACAATAGTGATACGGGTTTACAGATTCAATTGCTGAATATTTATGGATTATTCCAACCTTTTTTTTTGAAGTAAAAGTTTATCGTTATTTATTGTTATTTAATACCACACATGTTTGAGACTATTAGGCTGATGTAGTATTTATCTCGACGTTATAAGGTGTTTGATATTTTTTAGTATGGGGATACTGACACGACAAGTATGACAGAGCCAGAAAAATAGAAATAAACATTGGTAGTATACTACTTTGACACAAAACAAACTTGGGTAGCGCTTGAGAGTTTTAAACGGACATGATATCAAAAAGATTTGCATTTGGACTACTATAGAGTAACCAATACATACGGTTTCTTTAACCACCATGCACCCATCTTCAAATTTCACCTCTTGCTCACAGAAAAAAACATGTATTTAACATCTCATATCCACAAAGAGATGTTGCAAAAAAAACAACACTCAATTCAAAAAAAACCAAATTCAAACCTCTTCACACTCACTAGACTATAATATCACAATCCATCCAACAAAATGTCTGCCCTCTCTTCAAATTCCATAATTCTGAGCAGGTTAAATTCAGGAGAATATAAAACCACATCATTACCAACATCCTTACCATCCACGCTGAATCCATTTCTTGATTTCCAAACATTAAAATCATCAGAGATTATCAAAGAATATGAAAAGACACATTATTATAGTGAGAAGGATAAAAAGATTGATAAGTTATACAAGAGGGCATTAAAAGATCATGAAAAGATTGAAAAAAATTTGATAAAGAGTGGTGGTTCAGAATTGAATAATGGTGAATATCTTGGAAGGGATTTACAAATCAAAGAGATTGAGATTTTAAAATTTGAAAAATTTTATGAGATTAAAGGGATTTATTGTGAGATTATTGAATTTGTTAAAGAGTATGAAGATCCGTATAAATTGCAAAGTGAAAAAGAACCAATTGAAGTAGAATTAAGGAGATGTTTTGAAGAATTTGATGATTTGTTGAGACAGTTGAGATTTCTTGATTTAGAGAGACATGATTTATTAAAATTAAGAAAACAATTGAAGAGACAACATGGTGTTTGGTATACAAGATTATTTAAAGATAAAAGAGAGAAATCAAAACTACAAAAATTAAACAAATAGATGATAAATTAATTATTAGTAATAAGTGATGTGAGTATCACTTGTAAGGATCGAAAAATCTTTGTAATTTTGGAATTTTTTCAAAAACTCTCATACCCATTGTACTTCCCTTTTTAAAATCATTATTTAATCTAGCTTTTATATAATCATGTTCCTTTTTTTTCAAAAATGGATAAACAATTGCAAAACTAATCAAAGCATACCCACAACCTGCAAACAAATCAATTTTAAAATGATGATCCAAATAAATTGTACCCCACCATTGAATATAAACAAACAATAGGGCAGCTAATCTCAAAATTCTAAATCTTGCAAAATAAAATATGAATAAAAACACTTGAACAGCCATTGCGGAATGCAATGAAGGGAAAGCACCAAACACAATAGGACTTTTATGGAACCCCTTTGAATGCATATGAGTCCCCAATGCAACATCAATTCTTGTTAAACCTGCAGCATAACCAGGCATATCATAATCGGCACTAGCATCAGGACCATACATATGAATAAACCAAGGTGGAGCATTAGGAAACAATAAATGTGTTAAAACACCTGCAATGTTTTGCATACCTAGAGCTATTGAGAAAAATTTCAAGGCACCTTGAGGTTGGAAAACGTATAGATAAATTGCAGTTAGAATTGGGAAAGTGATGTGGCCAAGGACGTAGAAAAACCAAGCGATTAAATCTTTTGTTGTTGTGATGTTTGAAGCGAAATGGGATGCAATGTTTAATATTGGCCATATTGAAAAAAATAATATTGGGGTGATGTATAATGAATGAGTTCTTGTTATTGCCTTTGATGAGATTGATAATGAGGATGATATTGAGCCGGATGATGAAGAAGAAGAAGAGTCTGATAAATCAAATTCAGAACTTTCATCATCATCATCATCATCGTCATCATAAAAAGTTTCAAATTCAAAAGATTCTGGGATGTTGGTTGAATTATCTTTTGGTAAGAATTGATAATCTGATAGATTCAAATTATAATAAAATGCATATTGTTTAATTAATAGAAACCAAAGATAAGTAAATGATAAAGATATGATTGACCAAATCAACACATTTATAAAATCAATATCAAAAATTTCTAAATCCAAATTATAAATTAAATCAACATAAATTTTTGGACGAATTTCATTTGGTATTAAACCTGCATTTTTGAAAATTGTTAACCATATAGCAACAGGACTGAAATTTATGAAAAAATTTAAAGCTAATTGGAAAATATTTCTTTGATTTAAACCAGATTTTATGATTTTGATTATGAATTTAACAAAAAACACAGGTATATTTGTTATTACTTTGAACATGATGGTCGATCGTGTGCAATATTGGATATTAATGAATAAAAGTCAAAGTGAACATATAATATAATGATGGGGGAAACCAGAAAACAAGAGATATAATAAAACAGATGGGATGGGTAAAGAATGTGTGATTGAATGAGTAAATCAAATTTTTGCAATGCTTTTCAACTCTGTTTGTTTCGGTAGTTGAGCTTGTATGATCCGTTCGGAATGGCACTGAATAGAAACTTGTTTTTTTTTCTTTCTGTAGTTGTTTGAAAAACAGCAGTAGTGGTGAAATGAGCCGAGGAGGATGTTTGAGGTAGCAGCAGCTGGTGATAAAGATGGTAGCAGTGGTTAGCAGAATGAGGACGTGTGATTGGACAGAGATGGACCGTGAAGCAGCAAAGTGTTAAAGAGGGATGGTGGTGTTGTTGTTGTTGTTGTGGAAGTGAAGAAAGAGGATTTTTGTTTTTTTTATGCTGTTGTTGTTGTTTTCTCGAGGATTTCAGAACGAAGATGTGCTGTGCAGAGGGGCACAGTGGGCTATAAGCTGAATACGTAGGTACTAGGGAGTGGGAATGGTGATGGAATGGAATTGTGTAGATGTAGGATATAGGATATAGGCTTGTAGATAATTATGTTTATGTGATGTGGTTGTATAGGCCTATGGCTATTATGGCTCTCTTACCTCCACTGTTCAGCCCTGTAGTGCTAGCCCTGCCAATGACCCCCCAGTACAAATGGTATTACTACTACTACTACTACTCCTCCTATTAATACTACTATTAACACTACTAATATCACCAAGCCCTACCTCTTCTTCTATTGCTCAAATCTCTGCTGGTCCCCTTTTATTTTCTAAGGTCCCTTGACATAATTTTATGAAATTTTTTAGACCTTTTTTTAAAATTATCGTGTGCCTGGGAAAAAGAAAAGAGCAAGCGTGGCCCAAAACGGATATCCGGTCGCAAAGCTGTGTCTAACACGTGATCACCAAGACGAATTTGATAAGTTTGTTATAACTGGATTTGTAGATTGTAATGTGAAATAATAACTGACTGTTTATCAAGACAACTAATGGTGTTTAGGCTTAGTTGTAGAGTAAGATAATCAAAGGTGTTTAGGCTCAACTAGCTTCTCTGATAGTATAATCAATTAGTATTAATTGGAATACAATTGCAATAAAGTTATAAGTGAATAAAGATAATCTTCTAAACAACAAAAGTACATAAATACAAACAATTCAATTTTCTCATTAGTTCGACGTTCGAACCATAGTTGGTGTGCACCACACACTACCCCTTTCCTTTAGATCAAACTCTCATCCCTAATAATTGAACCATTTGAAATGTCTAGAAGAAACAAGGTTGAAAATCCAATGAACACCAAAAACGGTATCCAAGTACTCTCAAAACCATAAAATAATAAAAATAAATCACAAAAACACACACAGTAGCCATAGAATAAAAAGAATGAAAGAAAAAGCCACCATGTTGTTCACAAAAAGAAATAAGATAGAGGAAAATAAAATAAAAATATCAAAACAGCATGGGCTGAGCAAAATAAAAAACCATTCAAAAGTCTGGAGGAGACTCAATATAAACATCTAAAACATGTTCCAAGAAAGCTAAAGAAGCTGTAGCAGACAAACGATTAGCACTAACGGAGACTTCATGTTCATAACCATCTAACAATCTTTTGAACGTGGAACGTTCTTGAGCACCAAAACGTTGGGATAAATCGGCAACACTCAATAAAGGTGAACCATAAGCCATATAATAAGGTCTTAAATCTTTAGCATTGTAATCATTAACACCAGGTAACAACTTAACTTTGGAACCAGAGATTTGAGACGTTGGAGCAACTGGAACTTTTCCATCAATAGTATTAGGGGGAATATAAGTTTCAGAAGCTAAGTCAGGATATCTCAATTGATACCTGGTGGGACCCAAAATTTTATTAACAATAAATGGACCAACATAACCAGGTTGTAGCTTGTGATTAGGTTTAAAACGACGTAAATAAACCCATTGACCAACAGAATAGGTGAATTTTTTACCTAAAGGTTCAGCCAAAATACGTCTCATTTGACGAGCTTGATATTTGGAGTCAAAATTTTTCTCACGACTTGGTTGAATATCAGAGTTGATAGCAGCAAGACGAATAGCTGTATAAAACATTTCATGATCAAGCACCGACTGAGCGTCCAAAACTAGACCACTATCCAACTTAAACAATAAGACATTATCATGAGGACGATCTTGTGGAATCAAACGTGGAATAGATTGAAGTTCAGGATTCTTATCTTCAGTACCAGGAGATGGAGGAACACCGTAACTCAAATAAAAAGGTGAATAACCACAGAGATTTGGCGTACTGTTATAAATTGACACCGCTTGAAAATAATGGTTAATCCAATCTGAGAATCCTTCTTTATCACTCACTAATGTTTTCAAAACACGTTTCAACGATTGATTGCATCTCTCGATACGACCCTGATTTTGAGGTGTATAAGTTGCACCAAATGTCCATTGCAAACCAAATTTCTGAGCAATTTCAGTAACATAACCATTTCTAAAATGCGATCCGTTATCGGAAGTGAGAACTTTAGCAGTAGGGAAAAGCATTTTTAAAATGTATAATAGGGTAAAAACTGTTAAGGAATCAGCACTCATGGCAGGCACACCAAATAACAACCCTGTACTCATCTCCACTGCCTGTAAAACATATTTATACGGTTTAGATGGAGTAATTGGTTGAACATAAGCCATTCTAGATGGAGGTAATTCAATATAATCAATACTAAATGTGGTAAATGGGGGATAAAAATGAAAACTACCTAATGAACTAGGAATTGTCTTAAATGACATATAGATATCACAAGTTGGGCAATTTTTAACTACTACCTGTAATAACACAATACCACTAGGAGTCCATAGTTTTTTAACATAAAACATGATATAAGCCAACGCTTGGACATTTCCATGAAACAATTGATGTTGTTTGGTAGCGATCGCGACAAAGGACTTCATATCAACCACAGTATTAACCAAAGTTTTGTCAAAAACCACCTTAAGTTGACCATCCAAATGTAAAAAATACGGCAACACATCCACTAAAGTTGATCCTAGAGCTTCTTTACCTACAGATTTGGTAAAATATTTAGAAATTTGTTCAATATCACTTGGTGTAAGGTTATCCAGTTGATACTTTGGAAATCCTTTTTGACCAGGTAACAGTTGGATGGATGAGGCTGAATAATCCTGAAATCCAACTGAACCATGATCAACACCATCAATTCCATTTGTATCATGATTCTTACCAACGACATCTAAGGTCAACAACTTGGTTACCATATGACAAAACGAATTGTAGTTACTTGGAGGATCAGTACCAGAGGATAATGGAACAGCATCAGGATGAACAGCAGCAGAAGCAAGAGCGTTAGAAAGGTTAAAGTCGTCGGCAGCGACTGTAGCAGCATTCACAGATGGTTGGTCATCACCCCAATACCGATCACCTTGATCTAACGACATCTCACTTGTAGAACCGCCATCATCATCAGAAGGAATAGCATGAAGATCATCATCAATATCATGATCAGACAAAACATCACAAGTATCACGAGAATAAACACCATCTATCTCAGCTGGGACAACAGGTAGAACCGGAGCAGCAACATCTGAGTGAATAACCTGAGAAGAGGCAACAGTAGGAGGAGGTAGTGAATCATCATGAGCAATAACAGCCTCATTAGCAAGAACAGCATCATGTGATTTCACCACAGGAGAAGAGACAATAACAGAAGAATGTGTTAAAACATCATTACCATGAACAGCAATGTTGGATTCAACAGGTAACATAGGAAAAGCAACATCAGACGACAACGCTTGATCTGAACTAAGGCCTCCCTTGATTACCATCATCATCATCATCAACAGCGTTTCCATCTTCATCAATCTCTGCAATAGCAAACGATTTAAAATAACTTTCCTGATCAAATTCAAGAGCAGCATGAAGATCATTCAATAACATAGAATTATCTTCAGCATACTCTTGATCAACCAACTGATAAGGACAACCTTCCATAGCAACAGGACTATCCATAGCAATAACATCAGATGGGACATCGACAATATCAACATCAACATTAGCGATCTTGTAATTAGTCTTCATTAACTTCTGGCCAAACTTCTCCCTAATGTGACGACATACCACACAATAACATTGGTTACCAACAGCATTAGATGTATAAGACTTCTTGAAGTTTTTAAATCTTTGGGATTTCCATCTTGAGTAACCACCATGAGAAGTTTGTCTAGGACCTGATGAACTTGAAGAATAATGGTTACGACCAGCACCATGAACTCTACCATGAGATGAATTAGATCCAGAATATCTATTACCACGAGTAGCAGTTGAAGGTTTACCACCAGCACCAGAACGACGTTGAACTTGATAAGCATTAACATCAACTTTATCAGTAGCATCAGCAGTGGCATCACCAGTATCCAAAGAGTTGACTTCATTCAGTATCGATCTATTCTTAGACCAATACAGAATCTGCATCTTTGGATAGTGTGAGAGCCACATGCCAAAAGAATACAAATCCTGAATGTCTTTGATCTCAGAATAATAGTTAACCAGAATCGGACAGTTAAAAGTGCAAGACTCCATCAAGATGGACTTAAACAACTTATTAACCTTCTTGAACCGACTCTGGATTAACCGTAACTGTAACAAAGCCAACATAGTAGGGATGTCCTCGATCGTGTAATGGGAGATGGAAGTTACCAACGTTAGTTTGAACCGATTTAACAGGTGAGCATAGTTGATATCTTTGAGAATGTAAGCAACGATGTATCTCCAATGTTTAGGATAATTGATAACCATGCGCTGATTTCTAAGATCAAGCGCTTCAAATAACAATGTATACCACTCAGCAAAAACAATACCAGTTCCTTTCAATAAGGTTTGAATTTGAACCAAACGTTGATAAACTTCATCTAAAGTAGCAGTAGAATTGATCTTAGGCAACTTAGTTACATCCAACACTGACCTTTTTGCAATCCAACTTTGAGTAAGTGATTCCTTGTTAGGGATATCTGATTCATACATGAATAAAGTCTTATCAGCATTAGAAATATTCTCAATAACCAACTCTAATGAACCAGTAGTAACAGTAAATCCATGTGGAACAACTTTGGAATCATCAACACCAACATGAGGAACCTGACCTGGACCAGCATAACCAAAAGCATTAGAGCCTGGAGTAACATGAGGAACTTGACCTGGACCAGCAGTACCAGAAGCATTAGTACCTGGAGTAGCATTACCTGGAACTTGAGTAGGACCAGTAACAAAAGCAGTAGTACCAGCAGCATAATCAACATTTGGAGGTTGATATGGTTGGTTAACAGGACCTTGAGCAGGTGTAACATGGATATCATTGAACGATGGAGCACTAAAATCATGATCAGGTGTAGTAGTAGGTGGTGTTCTCAATGGAACTTCATCAACAGAAGCAGATTGAGCATTTCCACTAGCACCAGTAGCATTGCTTGAGTCATTTGAGTGATTCTGTGCAACAGCAACAGCTTGTAAACCATTAGCCAAAACCTTCACATCATTCATCAACGTTTCCATTTGCTTAGATAGTTGACCAATAGCATCAGTAGTTTTCTCTAAAGCATCTTTGCAGTTGAAGTAACAAAATTCTAATAACTTGTATGAAAACCAGTAACAACAAATGTTAACATTAAAAGCTTTTAATGTGTCTAACACGTGATCACCAAGACGAATTTGATAAGTTTGTTATAACTGGATTTGTAGATTGTAATGTGAAATAATAACTGACTGTTTATCAAGACAACTAATGGTGTTTAGGCTTAGTTGTAGAGTAAGATAATCAAAGGTGTTTAGGCTTAACTAGCTTCTCTGATAGTATAATCAATTAGTATTAATTGGAATACAATTGCAATAAAGTTATAAGTGAATAAAGATAATCTTCTAAACAACAAAAGTACATAAATACAAACAATTCAATTTTCTCATTAGTTCGACGTTCGAACCATAGTTGGTGTGCACCACACAAAGCAATAAGCATTGCGATGAGTAATATATTATGTAATACTCGGAACCAACTTACTTTTATCTTGTTCCGAAACACGAAAAACCTTTGAAAACAACAACAACAACAATAAACAGACCACGAATTGAATCTTACCGCCATAGAGATATGATCAACAAGATCCCATTGGAGTCGGTCGCTTCAATCACTTCCACTTCTTCAATATTTTCACCGGTTTCAGCTATCAAAGAACTAATAGATAATTCGGTAGATGCTAATGCAAATTCAATCTCTATAGATCTTGACACCAAAACTTGTGGATTACAATACATTCAATTAAAAGATAATGGTGATGGAATACCAAAAGATGATAGACATTTCTTGTTCTTAAACCATACAACTTCCAAGATCTCAAAAGCTGAAGATATATTCACCGTCAATACTTTAGGTTTTAGAGGTGAAGCATTATATTTTATTAATCAATTAACTTTCCCCAATGGCTCAATTGAAATATCTACAAAGACATCAATTGATAAATTAGGTGAATCTTGGAAAATTGGTAAAGATGGCGAACTACTAAATTCAAGTTTGAAAAAAATTTCAATACCAAATGGTACAATTATTAAAATTCAAAATATTTTTAAAAAAATTCCAGTTAGATATAAAATATTGATTAAAAATTCAAAATTTCATAAAGATAAAATAAAGCAATTAATTTGGCAATATTCTTTAATCCATCCAACTATTAAATTTCATTTAAAATTCATAAATTTTACACCAAAAGATCGTCAATCATCATCAATATCTTCACAAGAAATTTATCATTCAAAAAACCCATTACAATCAATTTCAAAACATTTCAATCAATTGAAATTTTTCCATAATTTAACAATCATAAACAATTGGGAAATTTCAATTATTTTACCAAAGATGGATACAGGCCACCATACAAATCTTCCATTAAAATTAATATCAATAAATAAAAGATTAATAACTTTATCAATGTTTAAGAAGCTAAACAAGATTTTAAATAATGTTTATGAATCTTTAAAATTGTTTAAACCTTTAGTATGGGTCATTCAATTAACTAATCATAATGATAAAATTGATGTTAATATTGAACCTGAAAAAAATGATGTTTTGATCATAAATGAATTGGATTTTTTAGAATCTTTAGAGAATTTCTTACTTAAATGTGTTGTGGAAGGTCATGGTTTAATTGAAAATGTTGATGAGAGTGGAAAAGAGAGTGATGAAGATGAAATTAATAAAGAAAAGATGGTAGAGACTGATAATTTGATTAATAAAGAAAAGGAAGTTGAAGCTGAAAATATAGATCAAATTGAAGTTCAAAATCATGACAATATGAGAGATCAATATGTCGAAATCAATAAAGTTGGTATCAATCCTAATCATAATTCACTTGATATAACAAATGATACAATTGATTGGTCACATAATATGCATGATAATTTATCCTCAAGATCAAATACAAGAACAAATACAATTGAAAGTTTACCAAAATCTGATAACCAAGAAGAAGAAGAAGAAGAAGAAGAGGATGAAGAATCTTTTAAAATTGCAAAAGATACAACAATTTCAAACCCTTTCACATTAACAAATTTACGTTATAATTCATCAAATAAATCTTCAATAAATCATTTACCAACTCCAGATAATTCAATTGATGAAATTAAAAATAATAAACCAACTTTCAAATTACCAAATCCTCCAAAATTACTACAGACTAAAACTACACACCCAGTTACTCAACAAATATTGCAAACAAAAAGATATAAATTATCCTCTTTCCAATATTTACAAAGTTTCCATTTGAAAATAATCCCCAAGCTTGATGAATTCATACTTAATGAAGATTATCAAATCAATTCAAATAATGATATTTCCTCAAATATCTTAAATTTTGTTAAACAACATGAAAGTACAAATTTTGAAATCCTAATAGATGAAGCTGGTTTGTTGAAGATCAAGCCAAAAGAACTACAATTAACAGAAACGAAGAATTGAAACATAGCTAATACAACAATAATGACTTAATGACCTAATGACAAGAGAGAGCTGAGTGGTTGCACGTTCATATCTAATTTATTTTTAGGTATCACTACATAGAAAGCAGGCTAAGCATATATGCAATATGTACATCTATTAATAATTATGAAATTAAAACAGAAGATCAATCAAGACTTTGTAAATATCTGCGTGACACGCGACAGTATATTCATCATGTGCTATAATTAATCCTCGTAATTACACTAGAAGTCGACCCTTTGTGAATTAGAGATTTACATTAATGATATTACGATTACGTAATGCAAGCGCGCGAAAATCATAAATGTTCATACAAAAAAATAAAATTTAAGGTATGTAAAAATAATGGATTTAATATTTTTGAAATATATGAAGAGCATTATTTGAGCTTGGATAAAAATTAGGAGGAAAATTTTAGATACTATATATATACAAAAGTTTTGGTATATTGCTGATTAAAACATCATAGCTTAGTCAGCCTGCTGAGAAAACTTACCTAAACTTGCCCAAATCTTACGTAAAAACGAGAGGTTTGCTTGAAGAGAACATTCATCCCGGCAATCTGTTGGAAGAATTTTTAGGTTGAAGAGCTGTTGAAAGTTTACAATAAACTAAGGGCAACTCAGAACTTAAAAGAGTCAATTGATCAATTGACAATTCATATCTCACATTCTATTTGCTGTTGATTGAAAAAAAAGACCTTTTTCTATTTGATTGAACTGCCGTTGGAGGGTTTCCCTGTTAATTACAGTGATAATTAATTGTACTGTTCAATTTGCAAAGCCTCCCAATAACCCGTATGTTTTAGTTGAAACAACATACCTAGTATTTGATAGTCAACAATGTCACAAACATTTGAATTGGATAATGAGTTGGTAAGTTATGCTTATGAGAATCTCAATGGAGTTCCAAAAGGTAATAAAGAATATGAGAAGATGATTTCTGGTGTAAAGACATTTGAATTTTTTTTATGACATGAATACTAATTTGAATCATCAGATATGATTCATATGATCCTCAATTATTAAAAGATCGTATCATGAGACGTGAAAAAGTGATTAAATATTCCTCTTTAGAATTAGGAAATCAAACTACTGAAGAATATATGAAATCAAGAATGATTACTTGAAACAAATCTTTGGGAAAATAAATGGAGAAAACATATTTGTTGAAGCCCCATTCTCTGTTGATTATGGTTATAATGTTGAAATTGGTGATAATTTTTATTCAAATTTTAACTTAACTATTTTGGATTGTTCAATAGTTAAAATAGGTAATGGTGTTGCATTTGGTCCAAATGTTGTTATAGTCGGTGCAACTCATCCAGTAGACCCAATTGAAAGAGTTGATAATTATGTTGAATGGGCAAGAAAGATTGAAATTGGTGATAAAGTTTGGATAGGTTCCAATGTAACAATCTTACCAGGTGTGACAATAGGTGAAGGAACAACTATTGGTGCTAATTCAGTCGTTAATAAAGATGTTCCCTCATTCTGTGTTGCAGTAGGTACTCCAGCTAGAATAGTGAAGAAATTACCAGGTTTTATAGAGTAATTATCGTCAATGTTTATGTGTTGTCTGATCTTGAGTGTAGATGTCTCAATTATTGTCTTTTTGTTCCTTTGACACCACAGTGTCATTGAGCCAATCTAGTACCTGTGACATTAATGAGGTTCAGACCTGACTATAGAACAGCAAATTCATTAAAATGCCTGCCAACTTTAGAAAACCCCATAATTCGTGTGTCAAGTTAATTTAATTCTAGTCTTCATGCTGAACAAGTAGCGATCGCCCAATCGGGAAAATGTGTATACATATTTTCCAAGATAACATAAATTTACAAGCTGATTTAAAGCAGGTATTTAATTTTATGAAAAGTACCTAGGCTATTTTAAACAAGACGAAATAATATACTCATTATATTTTATTGGTATATTGTCTACCAACTTAGAGTATTATTCACCTCTAAACCTTTCATGATTAGTCATTTTGTGTGGTATGATTACGAAAGCTTAGTCAGGATTGCCCTTTCCAGGTCAGAATCGTTTTCCCATCCACTGGATCCACTGGATTTGAAACGTCCCAAAGAGGTAATTGGTTTTATCAAAGTGAAGAAACATCAACTAAACAGCATAATGATTACAATAGAATACTTTGGACCTTCAAAGGACTTTACTTCCAAAGAATCAGAGAAAATAGATTCAATCACAACTCTAAAAGATCTTTATAATCATTTCGTTGAGAGTTATTCATTGGAATTTCAAAAATATGTTGAAGAAAATTGTGGTATAACTTTGAATTATGAATATATTGAAGAGAGGAATCATCCTGAAGAGATACGGATTGTACAAGGTGATGAGATTTGTATCATACCACCAGTGAGTTCAGGTTGAGTATATTGTTAAAGTATTCTACAAAGGTTTGGGGGAACAATCCTCACATCAAAAACATTTCATTACAGATTTGTTATAATACATATCAGCTCATTTATCATTAATATCACAACCTTAAATCACCAAAAGGATTGACCTGCACCTTGTTGAGGACCAGCATTTTGATTAAACATTACTGGTTGCTGTTGTAATTGTTGTATATTTTGTGGTTGTTGTCCTTGCATACCTTGGATTCCTGGTTGCTGTTGACCCTGTGCTGCAAATTGTCTCTTCAATTGTTCTTGTCTCAATAATAAAGTTCTTTTTTGTATTATTTGAACACCTTCTGGGAATAATTGTTGTAGTTTAACATATAAATCAGCCAATTCTGGTACATCATTTGGAGGACTTAATATTGTTGGGAATACATGTTTTGTTGCTACACCTCCATTATTAAATTTTTCTGATAATTCTCCAATACATGTAAGGTTTGCATGTAGTCTTTTCAACAAATTTTGATCATGATTTTGGGTGAACTTATGGAGCAATAACGTATTAATTGTGAGAAGAAGATTGATTCTCTGTTTGTCTATCTGGATATCACCATTGTTCTTATTATTATTACTATTATTCATGATTTTCTGCTTTGATTAACCAATTCAAAATACCTTGAACTTGTTTATTATTGGCTTCGTTTTTTTTCTCCCAAAAAGTATCAGCACATCCCGACACCAGTCGCGAAAAGAAAAATCAAAAAAAAAAATTGATCAAAAAATCAATCATCAAAAGATTAGACCAAAGAAGAGGAAAAACAGGTGTATTAATTATCAGATCCTATACAGGTTGTATTAGTATATTTTCATATTCTATTATATTGAAATAATGGCATCACCATCTACTGCCAATGACTTCAAATTATTGGGTAATACAGCTTTGAAAGAAAAAAAATATAATGAAGCAATTGATCATTATACAAAAGCAATTGAACTAGATTCAACAGATCCAATTTTTTATTCAAATAGAGCACATGTTGAAATTCAAATTGAATTATATGGTGCTGCAATTCAAGATGCAACTAAATCAATTGAATTAAATCCAAGTTATTTAAAAGCTTATTATCGTCGTGCAGTTGCCAAAAGTAGATTAATGAAATATAAAGAAGCTATAAATGATTTAAATATTTTATTAAAATTGAAACCTGATGATAAACCTTCAAAATTGTTATCCAATGAATTGAATAAATTGATTAGAAAGATTGCATTTGAAAAAGCTATTCAAGTCGATGAAGAAGATTTATTTGATTTAGATTTGAAAAATTTAACAATTGATGATAGTTATAACGGACCAAAATTTGAAATAAGTGAAAAACATTTAAATGAATTTGAAATTAATGATGAATTTATTAAACAATTGATTTCATTTTTTAAAAAAAATTCAAATTCAATATTACCAAAAAAATTAGTTTATGCATTATTAATTAATATTAATAAAATTTTACAAAAAGAACCAGCATTTAATGAAATTTCAATGGATAATAAAAATAAAAATTTTATAAATGTTGATAAATTTACAATTGTTGGTGATACTCATGGTCAATTTTTCGATTTAATTAATTTTTTCGAAACAAATGGATTTGTTAATGATAATCATGGATATTTATTTAATGGAGATTTTGTTGATAGAGGTAGTTGGTCATGTGAAGTTATAATATTGTTGTATTTTTTGAAGATATTATATCCAAATAAGATTTACTTGAATAGAGGAAATCATGAAACTTCAGATATGAATAAAGTTTATGGGTTTGAAGATGAATGTAAATATAAATATGGTGAAAAAATTTATAAAATGTTTGCTAAAACTTTTGAAATTTTACCATTAATTACATTATTAAATGATGATTATTTAATTATGCATGGTGGTATTTTTTCAAAACCTGATATAACATTAAATCATTTAAGAGAAACTATAGTTAAAAAACCAAATCCCAAAGAAGGTTTAGAAATGGAATTGTTATGGACAGATCCTCAAAAGGAAGATGGTTATGGAATGAGTAAAAGAGGTATTGGTATTCAATTTGGACCAGATATTACTAAAAAATTTGTTGAAATAAATAATTTGAAAGCAATCATAAGAAGTCATGAAGTTAGAATGGGAGGTTACGAAATTGAACATGATGGTAAATTAATCACCATTTTCAGTGCACCAAATTATTGTGATTCCACGGGTAATCAAGGTGCTATTATTAATGTTGATAAGAATAGTGAATTAACATTCAAGACATTTGAAGCAGTTGAACATCCACCAATGAAACCAATGGCTTATACTAATAGTTCATTTGGGTTCTAGGTTGCTATAATGTATGTTAGTTGTATAAATATAAAAATTTGCATGTGTTATTGATGGAACATGTACTTTCAAGCCTTTTTACTGGAGAACATTGACATGTATCGCACAAAAGACCGATCATCATGTCAAGATTGCACCGATAATTGAACATAAGCTTGTTGGGTTAATCTCTACCCCAGAATCCAAAACTGACCAGCATTGCAATGATCTTCCTAATGATCATTAACTAATTAACTCTTGGATTGATGGGTTTAATTTACACCATACAACTTGGTATTTATGCGATAACTTGATAACGAATCCATCGCTATGAAGAGTTGAGATGACTAAGCAGACCCACCTGTTGAGAAATTAGCGCTGGGGAAGTCAGACAGAAGGAGACCGACAAGAGCAACAACTAGATGAAGGCGAGATTGAGTGGATTAGAAAGGTATCATTCAATTGGAGGACATGAGGTTGTGAGGCTGACAAGTGGAAGTGGTGGTGGTTGAAGGTACTTGCTGGTGATAAAGTGGTGATGTTTTTGTTGGTGATTGATTGTTATTTGATGATGGTATTAACCAAGTGGCAACTATTTAAACCAGACCAATTGTCCCTTGATTTATAAGCTCTGTTCTTCTAATTCATCAACAATGTCTGTCTTCCCAGGTGTTGAAGAAATCTCTCCAGACTATCTGGAAACCGCTTATGACAAAAACATCCCTCAAGAACACATCTATGGCTCATTAAGACCTGATCCTGATAATATCAAACATCATGATGTTAATTCATTAGCTACTGGTTGGTTAGCTGAATTCAATAATGCATTAGCAACAATTAAGAAAGATCCATCTCAATTGGATAAGTTTTTATTATCCCATACTGTTTGGAAAGATCATTTATCTTTACAAATGGATCTACGTGATTTTATTGGTCCTGAAAAGATTAAAGAAATCTTGGTTGAAAATATTGACAAGATTAAAAATTTCCAATTTGATAAATTGGCTGATTATCGTTCTCCAACTGGTGTTCAATTGGTTAAAATTCATGAAGAAGGTTCAAATGGTGAAGTTCCAATTGAATGGATTCAATTATATTTAAAATATGAAACTGATTTCGGTATTGGTCGTGGTTCAATTAAATTGGTTAGTGTTGATTCTGAAGATGCTCCAATTGGTTTAAAAGCTCTAAGTATTTTCACAATTTTGGATGAATTTCAAGGAATCCCAGAACGTGTTGGTAAAAAAAGACCACAAGGTACAATCCACGGTGAAAATGTTTCAAGAAAAACTTGGTTAGAAAAAAGATTTGAAGAACAAGATTATAATGGTGATCATCAACCAACTGCTGTTGTTGTTGGTGGTGGTCAAGGTGGATTAACTATTGCTGCAAGATTGAAAACTTTTGGTTATAATGTTTTAATTGTTGAATCAAATTTAAACATTGGTGATAATTGGAGAAAACGTTATAAATTCTTATCATTACATGATCCTTTTTATTATCATAAATTACCTTATATCCATTCAGATACTTCACCAATTTATTCTTCAAAAGATCAATTTGCAAATTTCTTGGAATGTTATGCTAAAATGCTTGAATTAAACATTTGGACAAATACAACTGTTAATGGTGCTTCATTTAATGATTCAACTAAAAAATGGGAAGTTATTGTTTCAAATAATTCTACAAATGATACCCGGAAAATTTATCCATCCCATTTAGTCTTTTGTACAGGTCATTCAGGTGAACCAAACATGCCATCATTCCCAAATCAATCCAATTTCAAAGGTGAAATTGTTCATTCATCAAAACATACATCTGGAGCAAATTATGTTGGTAAAAATGCCCTAGTTGTTGGTGCTTGTAATTCTGCTCATGATATTTGTCAAGATTTTTATGAACAAGGTGTTAACGAAGTTACAATGTTGCAACGTTCCTCCACTTGTGTCATTTCATCAGATGATGGTGTTCGTGTCAATTGTGAAGGTGTTTTCGATAAAGATGGTCCTGATATCGATACTGCTGATTTATTACTACATGGTAATCCAATTTGGTTAACTAATGCAATTATGCAACAACAATATCGTACTTCTTCCAAATTGGATGCAAGATTATTGAAAGGTTTAGCTGAAAAGGGATTTAAAACAAATGCTGGTATGGGTGGTACTGGATTATTTGGGTTATATTATCGCCGTGGTTCAGGTTATTATATTGATGTTGGTTGTTCAGATTTAATCATCCAGGGCAAAGTTAAAGTTAAACATGGTACAATTAAAAAATTCTTGGAACATGGTGTTGAATTAAATGATGGTACTATTTTGGATAATTTAGATATTGTTGTTATGGCTACTGGTTATTCAAATATGAAGGAAACTGCAAGAAAAGTTTTCGGTGATGATGTTGGTGATAAATTGAAACCAATTTGGGGATTAGATGAAGAAGGTGAATTTAAAAGTATTTGGAGAGATTCTGGTCATGAAAATTTTTGGTTCCATGGTGGTAATTTAGCAATGGCTAGATATTATTCAAAAAGATTGGCTTTGCAAATTATTGCTAAAGAGGAGGGTATAGCTTGAGCTTTTCCTTTACTTATTTACTTATTTATTTATTTATTTATTTTATTTATTTTATTTTGAATCACTGGTTTGGTTCAGAATTACTTATTTATATTGTTTTTATAGTACGTTGCTTATGACTTTATGAATACATATATGATACTGTTGAATTGACCGTAACGTAATAGATTATATTTTCTACAATCATTTATCTCTAATCTAAGTTTGAAAGTTCATTTATCATTACAATATTGTTGTACTTCTTTCTGTTTTTTGTGAGCTTGAGATACTATAGAAATACACAAACTAGTACCCAGCTTTATATGAATACTACCTTTTTTTTTGTTCTTTTTCAGTACTAAACATCTTTATTATCAAAGAGTGTTTCTATTTTTTTGGATTTTTTTAATTTTTTTATCATGAATAAATTGAATAGCTGTAGAGACATTCTGTCTAAACTTTCCGTAACTGTTGAATAAATAAAGGAATACCAAAAACCAGTGGTATTGAAAAATAATGAAGCAAAAAAACCCGAATATTGAGTCTTTCTTCAAAAGAATAATTATGAAAATCAAAAAAACCAAAAAACATTAAGATAACAAAAAAACACACACACACACACAGCAAAAGGTTGGAACCCTTTTCTCTCTATTCTTTCTCTCTCCAGGCATCAATCCATTCCAAAGACAGCCTCCTGTTCATCCTCCACTATAGCATTTTCCAAATTTTCTTTATTAGACTTGGTTTCATAACTAATACTACCATTTTTTTTACCATTTTGTTGTTGACCACCTCTTGGAACATCCAGAAATCCACCAGTACTAATAACTTTAGCAGGAGAATTTGTACCATTCAATCCACTCGGTGGAATTTGACTTATTGAACCGTTTCTATTCTTCAATTCTTTTAAATACGGTGAAGGAGAATTTGAAGATCTATCTCCATCTTCATCTTCATCGTCTTCATCATCTTCGTCATCATCACTATTATGTTCAGTATATTTTGGATTGAATTTGATCTCTTCATCTTCTTTAATAACTTGTTCAGTCAATGGACTTGGACTAACTTCATTCATACTAACTAAAATACTAGCAGCTTCTAATAATTGAACTTGTTGATGTTTCGAAATTAATAATTTTTTAGTAACATTCCATTCTGGTGTATGTTCCCAAAGATGTTTAGCTAAGGATGAAATATGCTTATAACCTTTCCCACATGCTTCACATTTCAGTTCTTCTTTTAAACGACCAGATTCACCTTCACTTATTCTTCTAACGACAAACTCTCTAGATAATACTGGAACTGAACTTGACAGTTGTTGTTGATTAGTTTGACCATTGGCATGATGATGGTGATGGTGGTGGTGATGATGAGGGTGTTGTTGATGTGCTGGTATATGTATATTTGAAGAAGAAGGTGGTGATAAAGGTGAATGTGAATGAGATACTGAATTGTGACGTGAAGGTATCGTATATGGTGCAGTTGCAACAGACGCTCTTCTTGACAAGTGATTGTTTGGATTGTGACTATGTTGATATGAAGAAGTCATTTTTTATGAGTTATTGAGTTCTCCTTTTGTTTATTGTAGTGTCACGCACTGTTGTAAAGTTTTCAAAACAGGTTCTGTTGTTGAAGCCCGCTATACTTCTTTTGTTACCGTGTGACAAGGTGAAGATGGTGGAAATTCTTCTATTTGGTATGAATAAATGAGTCTTTTAGGAATAGTATGGGTATCTGATTCTAACAAGACCGTTCTATATGGATTATTGAGTGGAGTAGTGGCTGATGAGTTGGTTGAATTGTCAAAATGTTTTGTAGTAGGTGATTTTGGTCTAAATTTTTTTTTTTGTTTGGGATTTTTTTTTTTCGAGTTTTTTTTTTTTTTTTTTTGAACAAAAAACACTAAAAAAAAGCTGGTTGCACGTGACCTGATTGTGTTGGGAACAATAGGGAAAAGAGATGGTAATGACTGGGTTTTTGGAGGTGAAGGTGGCAGAGGTTGAATTTGAAGGAGAATATATGTTCTATGTAGAATTACTATGTGATTTGGTGGTTTTGTTGTCGGTTTCAGAGCGTAGAGCCTCACCTTTTCAATTGGCCGGATAAACATCGACTTCGATTCTTCAATTGAGCAATCGTCAAATTGAACTGTGAAGTTTGGAAATTTCATGGTTTGGAGAGGCAGAAAAAGTGTTAGGGCTCAAGGTTATTCAAGTGATGAAAGCTTATTACATTAGTTTAATCTGTGGTGCTATTCTTTTTAGTCTTCTACCAAAGTCACCAATTAGTTGATCTTCACGAGAGGTGTCAAACAAGCATTGGACGCGTGCAACTGATCACCATGAACTACAATGCTGAAAGAATCACATCTCCTTACAAACAACTACTTCAACGTCTTCACCTACTATAAACAATCCCAACGGTCCTTATAGATCTCTTTGGGTCCAACGACCATCCACTAAAATTAAATTTCGACAGTTGAAGCTAGTTTGCTATTGTTCGCGTCGTGCATCGACGACAATAAGATGAAATTCTGTCAGACGACTTAAAATAGAAACGGAGAGGAAGTAGTCACAACATAATAACACTAGTCTTTAGTTTTATATAACCTGATTTCTATCATTATCAATCAAATATTACCTACAATCCTCACCCTTTTCCTTTATCTTTCCAAACTTCAAAACGCAAAAAGCGGCATTAAAAACTTTTTTTCGAGATGCTCCGCTTATCGCTGTCAGAAAAAACACTCTGCCGGATATTGGCGCCATGTGCTACACACTATTGTGTACAAGTCGTTAAAAGATTCATTAATAGTCTATAAATTCCCTAATACATTACTCCATCTTCATCTCCTTCCTCACTCTCACTCACAGACCATGATCCATAATCTGGTCTATAATCATCTTCCTCACATGCAGCCAAAAAATCAAATATATGTTGATGAGAATGTCCATGAGCATGTTGGCGACTTCTCTTTCTCTCTTTACCACCTTCCAAATTACCAGTGCTCTTGTTGAAAATCCGATCCAAATCAATCAAATCTTTATTTTTGGAACTCTTGGTTGGAACTGATGATGCTTCTTCTAAATTAATCACATAAACTTTCCCCTTGTAGTATCTAAGGATTTCTAATGTTAATTTAGTACGAGGATGGAAACTAACACCATATTCATGAATCTTGCTCAATGTCTCTTTGGCTAATTGATAATGTTCTTCATTTTTAAAGTCAACAGGTGTCATATCTTGGAAATTTGGTGAAATTGGTTCGTAAATCATATAAAATCCATCAGTTTTAAAATGTAATTCATCGTCATTATAAGCCTTATCTTCCAAATATCCATAATCAATGATTTTAGCGATAACATCACCTTGCAACCCAACCAGTTTTTCATAAACTTCAACATTTGACAACCATCTAAAATACGATTGGTCCGGTTTAACTAATCCTAAAATTGAATCAAATGAAGCTTTAGATTTCTTACTTTCAATTGAACGATAATATTCATCAAATTCAAAATGATCAGAATCATATTGTGCATCATAAATGGATAATAACACTTCTTTACCCTTCTTATTAGCACCAGCTTTATCAAAATTCAATTGAGAATAATGTAATTTATCCTGGAATAGTTTTTTCAAATCAACACTCAAAGTTTGACATGACCATTCATACCCAATTGCAATGAATTTAATTAAAGATTTCTCTAAATCAACTTTTTGTTTTTGCAGTTGTATCCCTGTTGGTGTACTATATGTAAATGGACTAAATTTTAACCTTTTACGATTATTACTCTTGGTGACAACATGTGAATGTGATTCAGTTTTTTTGAAAAGTTCCCAATCTTTAATCACTTTTTTATTCAATGTTTCCATTTCTTTAAGATTTTTTTTATAACTTGTTGGTGAAACGTTGAAGAATGATGCAATGATTGACCTTATTGTTAAATTTTCATCAATATTTCCACTTTTTTCAAAATTTGAAAAACTAAAATGACGAACTTTAACTTTTGAAATCAATCTTTTAACATCTTCAATTTCACCATCTTTGACATCTTCAATTTCAAAAACAGAGATCCAATAATAATCAGTGATTATGAATCTATTAGTCTTTGAATTCAAACAAATTGAAACACATTTTGTAAAATATTTTAAAAAATTATCAATTTTAGTTGAATTTGTACCAATCAACTCTTGATTTGCAAAATTTTGCTTTTTACTATTGAAATAAAGTTCATAACCTTCACCAATACCTAAATTCATATTAACCAATTCAACATGGACTAGTAAAGCATTCAAAAATTTCGTATCTTCATCACTTATACCAAATGCAAATGGAGATGTTGCAACGGATCCAATTGATTTTAATGAAATATTATCCATGGAGTTCAATATTGGATGATATGAAGAATCTGTATCATTGAAAAATTTCCTTAGTTTGGCACTATTCTTGAAGATGAATTTTTCATAAATTTGTAAAATTGTTTGGAATATACGTTCTTGGAACACATCATAAAATTCACCATTATGAATTGTGAAATAGTTTTGATATTCAACAGGATTTTGAAATGTTATTAAATCTCTAATGTATTGTAATGATTCTGTTGCTTTAATTTCATTTTTGGATTGGAACAATGATTTGAAAAATTTTGAAATAAATTTTAAAACAAATTCTTCATTAGCAAATTCATAACTTTCATCTATATCTGGTTTGAAAAAAGGATATGATTCATAAATCATATCAGGTTTCCCAGGTAGATAGGAATGATCATGAACCCTTTCAACACGTTCTTTTTTAAATTTATAACCAATTTCATTCCCAATCTTTGTATCACGTTCCAATACACCATCATTTGGTTTGAAAATCCTAGTATTTAAAACTTCACATTCATCATCCAATAATTCAAAAGGATTGGCATCATGATAAACAATATATGGTAAATCTAGTTGGAAAAATTTTTTCAATGCAGATTTGAAGTCAGTTTCATTAAATTTTGAATCTTGATCACGAATCTTTTGAAACTGTCCTTCAAGGTTATATGTACAAAAAACTATTTCTTCATCCTCATCTTCTGGATCTAATGAAATAGCAACGAGCTTCCTATCAACCATAATTAAATCAATCTCTTGGTTAGGTTGTGGCAATTACTTTTAAGGTATAAACAACTATCTTTCTAATCAAGTCTTTAATTTTTTTTTCTTGCATATTGCTTACGTAGTTTTGGAAAAAAAGAAAAACGAGGGTAAATCTAATCACGTGAAATTGCCCTCGAATATATAACCTCTAAATCGTAATAAGCATTTTAAACCTACAATTTAGTACATTTTAATTCCTATTTTTCATTATAATTCAAAAATTATAGTTGTAACAAGCATCAAAGAACTCAAACTCCAATTTACACATATCAACAAAGATTTGTTCACATGTTTCATCACCAACTCTATCAACTTCATCTTTTAAGAATTTAACCCATGTACTAAAACCTTCACCACTATGTAAATCAATCCATTCTTTATGTTTCCATTCAATATTTGCAGGGATAATACCTTGATCAATGGCATCATCTGCCCATTTCAAATAAACTTCCTCCATCAAATAATGTGCAGTAACTAATTGTTTATAAGAATAATTGTTTGAAACTAAAAGGTTTCTAAGATATGCAACATAAGTTTCAACTTGTGGTAATAAGACAGATTGGTCAATTTTGGTATGTTCTGATAGTTGTTTAATACATATTTGGAAATAATCATTTTCATCATTTGCGAAAAAACCAATTTGTTTAGCTAGTGTAATTTGTTCAGGATCTGAATCACATAATGAAGCTAATTTACAAGTTAATCTGATACCAACTTGGAAGAATTTCAGATCTTGAATTAAATATAATAACAGTTTATCATCTGGTAATGTCCCTTTACATAACTCTGTGGTGAATGAATGCGTTGTTGCCTTTGTGAATATATCACTGTATTTATCTAAAAGATATTGACTGAACGTGGACATTATGGATGTAGAGATTTAACTTGAGCTGATGGGTTCTAATGTTTAAATGAGGGTCCTTGGGCGATCAATTGGTTTTAAATACTCTTGAAAAGACAACCACCTGTTTTGACTGGCTGAATCAACATGCTCTTAGAAAGTTCACATGTGCGGGTATAAATCATTGGTGGGATCTTTGAACAATAACAAAACGTTTTTAGATCGATGACTTAACGTAGAAGTAGCTTATAAAAATATATCAAACTGATTGAAATCGATTGATAATGGTCACTGAAATAGTCGGAAAGTCAGAGCAGTCCATTTCTTGAAGATTTCAGCTTTGAACAGAATGCTTTTATTGGGTATTCTTTTCTTCTTCACATGACTTCAAAAATACACAATCAATGAGAGCCTCATACATCTCCTTTCAAATTGGCAATATCTTCAAGCTTGAACATCATTTCCATGAGAATAAATGCCGATATTCACCTTCAAAATGTTGACAAATCTCAAAATTTGACTTATTCCATTTTTTAACTATTCTGATTACATAACATTCACACAAATTTACAAAGTTGGAAATTTCAACACCATTTGAAGAAGAAAAATCAACAAAACAAATCATCAAGAACAGATCATATTAGCTAGGAAGAATAATTAGCTCTTTCATTGTCACAATGGTTGTTGATACAGAATATTACGATATCTTACAGATATCAACAGATGCCACAGCTGCAGATATAAAGAAAGCATACCGTAAAAGATCAGTCAAAGATCATCCTGATAAGAACCCAAATGATCCAAATGCAACTGAAAAGTTTCAAGCTATATCACAAGCTTATCAAGGTATGTATCATTATCAATTCCATAAGTTTTCGTGATCACTAACTTGTTTTTCTTTAGTGTTGAGTAATGAGGAACTTAGAGCCAAGTATGATAAATTTGGTAAAGAGTCAGCTGTGCCTAATGAAGGGTTTGAAGATGCTGGTGAATATTTCGCCATGATATTTGGTGGTGAAGCTTTCGTATCTTATATTGGTGAATTGAGTTTGATCAAAGATTTATCTAAAAGTGCTGAAATAAATGAAGAGGAAGAGAAGGAACAAGAAGAGAAGGAACAAGAAGAGAAGGAAAGATTAGAGGAAGAGGCAAAGAAGAAAGCTGATGAAACGATAAATAAAGAAAGCCATTCTAGTACTGAAAGCAAGAAACAAAAAATAGACACAGAGACCAAATCCACAGCTAAAGAATCCTCATCATCTAAAGAACCTTTGAGATTACTACACCATAGTGATAAAACTAAACAAGAAACAACAAGTGCCACATCTGATGAACCTGAAGAGAAGAAAAAATCCAAGCTAGAGGAACACGAAGAAGAAGTTCGTCAAAAGAAAGAAGAAACGGTGAATACATTAGCCAAGAAATTGATTGAAAGATTATCTGTATTGACAGAATCATCCTATGATCAAGCTTGTAAAGATTCTTTTCAAGCCAAATTTGAAATCGAAGCCAATACACTGAAGATGGAATCTTTTGGCTTAGACATCTTGCATACAATTGGTGGTATTTATGTTACAAAAGGTGAAATATTTTTAAATTCTCAACAATTCTTAGGTATACCTGGGTTCTTCTCATCAGTAAAAGCTAAAGGTGGGATAGTGATGGATACTTTCAGAACCGTTTCAAGTGCGCTTGATGCTCAATCCACCATGCAAGAGTTACAGAAGCTACAAGAGTTGAAAAACAGTACTGATGTCCTTAAAGATGAAAAAACTGGTGAAGAAATACCAAAACCAACAGATGAAGAATTAGCAGAACTAGAGAAGATAGTAATGGGTAAAGTTCTAAGTGCAGCTTGGCATGGGTCTAAGTATGAAATTCAATCGACTCTTAGAGAGGTTTGTGATAAAGTTTTAAAAGATGAGACTGAAACAAAGAAAGTAAGAGCAAGAAGAGCCGAAAGTTTGATCTTATTAGGAAAAGTGTTTTTGAATGCTAAAAGAAGTAAAGTTGAACAAGAAGAAGCTCAAATATTTGAAGAACTAGTTGCAGAAGCTACAAAGAAGAAACAACATAAATAGAGTGTTCATAATAAATTATTTATTTGGCTTGTCATAAAAATCTGTAGAACTCTTAAAGACCGGCTCTACGTTCTTTCTGTGAAGGGTTGGCAGGTTTACCATTTGCAATATCAGTAGCCACCAATTGATCAGCTTCGACTCTTTTTGGAATGTAGTTCAAGACACTTTCTAAATCAACAGTCTTTGGTATTCTAACAATCCCATTTTCATCACCAATAATCAAATCATGTGGCTCAATAGTTTCATAAAAGTTTTCACCAATATTGATCTCTATAGGAACCTGAACGCCCACAATTTTAACAACAGATTGTGCAGCTGTAGTCCCCAGCCCATAAGCAAAGACTGGATATTTCAAAGAACGATGCTCATTGACATCTCTTATTCTTCCAAATACCACAGTCCCATTAGCATTCAAATATTGAGCTCTTGTGCTCATCAATCCACCATATAACGCATTATTGACTTTGACATATGGGGCTTCACTTTTCTGTAATTCCTTAGTCAATCCAATAACAACAAATGAACCTTCAGGAATATGATCAATATAACCACCTTTAACAGATGGTCTAGGATCGTCTATTGGAGCAAATAAAACAGTATAAGCTGTACCCACTACTGAACCATCTGTACTGGATTGTGAACTGCTTGAATATTGAGTTAAATTGGGAAAGAATCCACCATTTTTCAATCCTTGTTTAGCTAAGGAATCACTAACGTCACATGGAGTGTATTCTTTCAAGAATTTGACTGCGTTTTTCAAAACTTGGGATGTCATGGCGATAAATTTTGACGTATAAAGTTCTTTGCTACGTCTTTCTTTTTTTTCTCCAAAAATCTGGGGATGTATGGACTCTTAACTATGGTGACCTTAAATCAACAATAATTAAATTTAATTGGGATGGATAGCTGACTCTCTAGGTTTATGATCTAATAAATGTAGCCTTTACACAATAGTTCATCCAAAATATGGGTGTAAATTCACAGTTACAATTCCAGGAGCTTTGGATGACAGGAAGTTTCCAAAATTCAAGGAGACTGCCACAGATTGACGTGCCAGTTACTACTGGACCGACTACTTTTGACAGACTAGTTTTTTGTTTTGAAATTTTAAAATCATTGAAGATTGACAAACAAGTTTGATTTCAACAACAAGAACTGCGACAGAGTGGATATAATTACTATAGATTGACGATGAAGTATGTTGAGATATTGAAAAGCAAAATGTTTTCTCTCGAACTAACCTTATTCACAGCCAAGTACGAAACATAGAGAGATTAAATCAAAGAGAATTAGAAGCTGGTATTTCAATAGAGGCATCATGGCACAACGAATTCAAAGATAGTGCATATATATGTATGTTGAATAACTTTTACTATGGATTTTTGGTATGCTAACTTCAATTAGTCTTTGGCTCATTACCTTATGAATTAACAGAAGGTGACATTTTGATCATTTTCTCACAATATGGTATCCCAGTGCATTTAAAACTTGTGAGAGACAAAGAAACAGGAAAAAGTAAAGGTTTTGGTTATCTTAAATACGAGGACCAGAGGTCTACAATATTAGCTGTTGATAACCTCAATGGTACCAAAGTTCTGGGAAGAATAATAAGAGTTGATCATGCATACTATGAAGAACGAGACCGCGATGAAGAATATGAGAAAATGTTGAATGAGGAGTTGAGAAATGATTTTGCTGATGAAGAGGATAATGAAGATTCTGAAGGTCCAACACAAACTCAAGACGACGAGTTTCAAGATCCATTGTTACTAATGCAGAAAAAAGACGAAAATGAAAAGTCTAGGAACCATTCAAGAAGTCATCACCATCATCATCATAGATCCCATAAAAGAGAAGGAGAAAATAAAGATAGAGAACACAGAGAAAGAGAAAAAAGAAGTGAGCATAGGCATAAAGGACACGATGGCTCTAAACACAATGAGAATAGTCATGAAAGAGACCACAGATCGGAAAGAAAGCACAGAAGTGATCATGAAAGTTCTGATAGAAGAGAAAAAAGACACAGAAGAGAGGATGGTAAAAGTCGAGACAGCAAAGGAAGTAGAGCCCAATCACCCCGTAAAGAAGATAAAGACTACAAACCCCAAGAAGAGGAAGTTTAATGTGAAATGATTAATGTATTTAATAAATACAATGGTTTTGGTTGGACGAAAGTCTATTTACATATCAAGCTTTATTCTTCATCGAGGCCACCTAAATCAATTTCATCAACCTCTTTGCCTACAGCTTGTGCAACCTCATCCTTCAACAACAATGCTAACTTGTGCTTTGTTCTCAAAGAAACCCAATTTGGTTCAACATAATCAAATCTGCCACCTTTGTTAGTAAAAAGTTCTATGATTTTTAAGCTCTTATAAAAACTCACCTATCTGGTCCCGATACTGGACTACTCAACCATATTTGTTTATTTGGTGGTTGTTTGTTAATGACATATGTCCCGTTTGGTGGAAGGACTAAGGTCAAAACACCGTGCTATCACAATTAGTTAGTTGCTGATTAACCCTTGAGGTCTGACCTGACTTACTGAATATTCTGCATCAATTTGTGGATTTTCCTCACTTAGAGCCTCTAAAGAATCTGTCAATGTTTCTAAATAGTCTTCAGAAATTGTGTGGTATGTGTTCATGTCTAAATCAGTGACACCAAGCTGCAAGGCGTCACTATCACTTGAAGTGAATCTTTTAGATATGAGAGTTGGATTGAATCTTGTAGTCTTCAGTTGAATCGTTTGAGGATTTGTTATTAATCTTTTGCTCAAAATTCGTGAAGACTGTTGTGCAAGTCTAGCTCCACCTAATACCCTTCTAGTGCAAAACATCGTTGTTCAATTGGCTGATTGTGTTCAAATGCTTGATCGTTTTCTAATGGTTGTAATGATTTATCCTTCACTTTCGATTTGCCAAAAAAACCATTGCAAAACTTCGCGCCATAGTTCTTTTTTGGGATTATAAGAGCGCTATTTTGCGTAAAATATTGCGCAATTACTTAAAATAGAGAACTACTCGGTAATTGCGCAAAAAGAAAAATCAACAATCTTTTTCAAACGTCTCAGATAAAAAGTCAACCTTTGAATTCTTTCTAGCCAACCTCAATACTTTGTGCCCCAAAAGATGGATCTATTTGTATTTTTAATCGTTTTCGCTGTTGTCATATTCTTCATTGCATTCTTACCATTGTTGTCTGGTGTTGCATCTTACAAGTTACAAGCTACAAGTAAACAAGACTATAAATCTGAGAAAAATGATGATGATGATCAAGTGGACTTCAACCAAGGTTACTTGTCTCCAGAAGAGAGAGCACAACTAGAGGCAAAATCAAGCTCCAGAGATTCAAAGTTTTCAAAACTAAAACATATTCCAAATGTGTCCAAGAGTGATATTCCCTTCAAATTTGCACCAAAAATCAACGATGGGGATAGTAAAATACGTAATAGAAAAGTCAAAAATGCTGATATTGATCTAAATCCTTCACATTATGACTATGATCTTGATGAATTAATTGAAGAGGAAAACAGAGAAGATGCAAAAGAGAAACAAAGAGAGTTCCAACAGAGATTATATAAAGGTGATAATCTTCAAGAAATGGCTTGAGTAATGTTTAATTAGTAATTTTCACGTCGTTATGACCTATTTAATGCTTGTAGATAATGGCTTTGTCCTTCCACAAATAAATGCTTCATCAATTACATATTATTATACAAGTTTTGTTTTGTTGTTGTGTGAGTTTTTTTGATTACACACCTCATTAAGACACTTCAATATTGATATTGACCAGCAGCACCAGGTGTGTATGATTGAGTTTGACGACCACTATAGCCTTGACCATAACCTTGACTATAACCTTGATTATAACCTTGACCATACCCTTGATAACCACCATAACTAGCAGGCTGAGCAGCATGTCTACCACCATCAGCTGGAGGTTGTTGTTTTTGCATCTGCTTGTTTCTGATCAATGTTTTGAACCCATTACACAACGAGTTAACGTCTGGATATTCATAACCATTTAGTTCAAACCCCTTAGGTACAGCTTTGACGTGCCATGTGTACAATGGACTATTTGCATTAGTTTTGAATAACAACAAGAAATAACCAGGAGATTTGTGATTCAATGCAAATGCATAAGATGCTCTCTTTGGATTAGCTTTTGCATAGTTTTCTAACCATTGAACAACTTCATCTCTTGTACCTGAACGGAATTTATCATGGTATGTCATTTCATTAACTTTCTTAACGATCTCACCAATGTACTCTTCAATAATTTCATCCAAATCTGTGAATTCAATGTTACCAATTCTTAATTTTTTACCTAAACTGAAATCATTTTCTTTTTCATCTTCAACAACATCAACATGTTGATACAAGTTGTTGTCAACCTTCCAAGTAATAGCAATATGATCATTACCTTTTGAAGAAGGTCTAATAATCAAACTACCGCGTTCTTTTGGAGCCAAATAGTTTTGGGCTTGAGCTGAATTGAAATTTTGGAATAATGGATGCTTGATAACTCTGTTGATTTTCTTGCTAGAATCTGACTTCACCTGTTCAGCTCTTTCATCATCAGCTTCTTTCTTGAAGTCCCATTGACTACTTTCTTTGACAACAGTGGCCTTAATAGCTGGTGTTTTGATATCACGAGGGAGTAAACTGACAACAGCAGAAAAGGTTTTATAATCAATGTCTAAAATTTTAGCTGGAACAGTTTGTCCATTAGAGAATATTTCAGGTATTGGTCTGTTATCTCTTTCAACAGCTTTATCAGCATTGGCAACACAGTCAATTTGGTTTGCAGTAACACCACTAACTTGATAGTTACCAACTCTCTTAATGCTGATAGGCAAAACCATACCGGTGTAAAAATCATCTGGAGAATCACCAGTTAAAGTGGTGAAAATTTCTTCAGGTCTCAAGAAATGGAAACTTCTTCTAATTTCACCAAATGGCCCTTGTAATTCCTCTAAAATCATTTGCAATGTAGCTCTCTTCTTTTTATGATATGTGAGCTCTAATTGTCTAGAATAATCTTCCAAAATCAAACTTTGCAAGATTTCAGGACCTCTTTCCATCAATCTATCAACAATAGTTTCACCAGCTGGTGCATCTTTCAATTCTTCAATCTCATCTTCATCAAGATCCAAAGCATCTGCAGCCATTTTATCTGCTAACGCATAATCTTCTGGGTGAATTCTTGTATCATCTAATAAAGTGACAGCTTCAGCATCATCATTAGATCTAACAGCAGCTCTTCTGGTAACATGTTGTGGAATTCTCAAGAAACTGGCACAGTTGAGAAAAATTGTTGAACCAATTCGTATATTTTCATCTGTAATCAATGCTTGACGACTGAACAATGGATGTTGTTGAACAGCTCTTAGCAAACCGAACGCTTTACGGTCACCCAAACCTGCAACATATGGCAAAGCAGAAGCTAAATATTGATTTGAAACACACTTGTTAATATCCACACCAACCATATTCACTATATCAACTAATGCTGATTTAATAGCTTGTATCAGTCTATCTTCATTCAATAGATTTTGATGCTTGTGAATTGCCAAAGATGCCATATCTGGACCCAAACTAACATATTCTAACAATGGTGATTGTAAATAACGAGCTAACCCAATAGTGTATCTCACAATAGTTGGTTTATCTGGGAACTCCTCCAAAGCTTTGATAGATAATTGATATCTAGTAGCAATTTCATCATTCACCCATACGACTTCAATCAATTTGGAATCGTCACCTTCAACAGTCAAACGTTGCTCTTCAATGATCTTTTCAAGTGCTTGGAATAATTTGTAACTTTGAACGTTAAAACCATTGATACCAATAACATCTGGTCTCAAGTCTTTCACAATGGCTGAAAATTCAACATCAAAGGCAACTTCACCTTCCTGTAATCTATCTTTATGACGTAAAGGATTACCATCCAATTTACGATCTTCAACAAATTCACCATGTTCACTGAGCAAAGAGCAAATAATAGCGTCAATACCAAATCTACCTTTACCAGCTGTTATAGCTAAGACTCTTGGAACAGTTCCAAATTCAGTGCCTTGAGGTTGATATGGAGCTTGATCAATTTTTTTCAAGAATGCTGCACGAACATCATAAAACAAGTTTCTTTCACATTCACGACGAATATCTTCCTTAATATTCAACACAACTAATGGCAATAATTTTTTCAAAGCAACATCTAAAGCTGAACGACGGAATGAATTCCAATCAGAAGCGACATCTGATTCACCATCTGAAGCTATTAGTCCCAACATTGCTTCAAAAAATTCATCATAGGAAATAATGTTTAGTTTAATTTCAACAAGACGTAATGATTCTGCTTCTAACATTCTTAAGAACAAGTCAGGTTTGGTGTATAATGATTCAATAGAACGGTTGATAGCATATTTGAAATCAGCATATGGACTATTTTTATCAATTTTCAAACGACCTTGTTCAGTCAAAGCAATACTTAAACTTGAATATTGACGGAAAGTATCTCTCAAGTAACCTCTCATTCTGACATCAACAAATAATTCTTCTGCAAAGTAATGTTTAGCCACTTCTAAAGCTTGTGTTGGTTTAGCATATAATGAAGCTGGGTCATCACAAATTTCTTCAACAATTTCATATGGTTTTCTTTCTTCATCATTAGTTGGATATAGTCTAGATTGTTGAATAATATTTTCGGCAGCATGGTCAGCGGAGATACCAATAGCATTGACAGCTTCAAATAATCTATCGGCTTTGACTTTTTCATAGATTGAACTTTTGTTATGTTTCTTCAAACCTAAATCTTTCAACTCGGCAGAATATTTGAAGTTGATGTAATCGTATAAATCTTGTAAATCTGTAATTGTACGAGCATTCGAGAAATAAGTGTTGACGACTTCATCCTCAAGTTGTAATTCATTCATCAATTTCTCCACCTGTTTTCTCTTTTCCAATAATGAATGGAATTCAATGTCCAATTGAACAATTCTCCATAAATCATCTTCATTAAGCAAAGTTTGAACATCTGTTTGAACATCTTCACCTTCACCAATGATTGTGGTCTTCAATAAATGATCACGACGATGTGAGTAAATGAATGGAACCTCCAAATTTTGTTTAGCAATGAACGTAAGTGCATCAAAAACAGATTCTTTGAAAGATTGTTGATCATAGGCTTCGGAAGTTGCTAAAGATTTTTCAGTTTCCAATTGATATGCAATCCATTCCTTTTCGTAATAGAAATCATCTTCATTCAAATCATAATCTTTTATATGTCTTCTCAACTCTTGATAACGTTCAGGAACATCAGTATCTCTAATAACTCTATCATTGTCTGTCAATAGTCTTGCTTTCAATTCTTCTGGTTCATAAATATCTTGTAATTGAGGCTTTGAATCATCTTCTCCATCACCTTCATCTTCTTCACCTTCTAAGGCCCAAGCATAATCTTCACCATCTCCAAAAATGTCATAAAGTTCATCAACTTTTTCAGAATCAATACCCGAGATTTCAGTTGGTTTCAATCTTTCTTGTTTACGTCTTTCACGAATCTCTTGACGAGCTTCTTCATCCAGATCTGAAAATTCATCTTCTTCAATGAAATCATCTAATTCATCTACCATATTTCTTGGTGCACGGTTTGAACCTCTTGATACAGCCTCACCACCAACTTCTTCTTCGTCTTCTTCATCTGAAAAGAAGTCGTTTAAACCACCTTTTGGTTGTTGAACTTCTTCAGCTGGTGCTCTTTTTAAACGTTTGAACTTTGACTTTTCTTTGACCTTGGTTGCACCTGAGTTTTCCATAAGTAAGTCTAAATCATCTTCATCCAATAGACCTTCATCTTCTTTAGCTTCCTTTTCACGTTCAGCTTCACGACGACGTTTATGTTTTTTCTTCTTTCTTTCACGTTCACCTTCTTCATCATCATCGACAATAAATCCATCTCTAATCTTTTGGATTTCTTCTTCATCGTCATCTTCTTCTTCCTCTGATGAATCGAAAGCTTCGTTTTGCTGAAGATCATCTCCTTCTCCTTCGGAAGATCTATGCTTCATCTCTTCATCATCTAAAGCAGACATCTTGATATATCTGTTTTCTTATTGATCAGCAAAAAAAAACACAATGAATCAAGAATCAAATAATTATTAGCCACTTATCACTGATAAGTTGCGATTATGAGATCTTTTGAATGACCAAGTTCTTTGATGATGTTTTGATCAGTTTTTTGGACTCTTCTATGTTGTTTATTCGTTCACTTTCAAAAATTCAATCGAAATCCAAATTCGCGAAAACACGGGTAACACTTTGATGAGGGCGCTCACTACAACACTGAAATTAATAGACTAGTAGTTCAATTATTATCTATTAAACTTCTTATTTTTTATATTTATCGTAGTGACGATTTAATTTCTCATTGAATTGCATATTCTTGTCGTTAACTGGAAAAAAATAGTGTTAGTATTGAAAATGATAAATAACCTCACAATATACTTACTGTATGTATCAGTATCTTTATAATCTTTTCTTCTCCTTAGTTTCCGTGAGTCAGATCCCTTCAACTGGCTAACAAGTCTTTCTATGGCAGCTTTTGATGGTTTGTTGTTGTAGTCAATTTCTTCACTTTCAACATCTTCCTCATTTTCACCTTCTTCACCAGATCGTATCCTCTTTTGTTGAAGCTTTTTCTTTTGGTTGATATATTCTTCTTTATTTACATCCAAATTATTGATTTCCTTCTTATACGATTGCTCTGCTAATTGAGCATAATTGATAAATCCACCATTTTTTTGGTTTTGATTTTTGAGTTCTTGTTTTTTATCCCATTTTTCATTATCTTCAATGCTATAGTCCCAACCTTTCTTCCTATCCCAATCTTCACCCTTTTCTTTACTTTCCAATTCTTCTAACTCTTCCATAGCTTTTTCCTGTTTTAGTTCCATAGCTCTCAGTTTACCTTCTCCAATAGATTGTTTCTTGTGCTCTTTGAAAAGCTCTTCTCTATTCTTTTTCTCAGCTTCATTTTTGCGTTTCTTTAATTGTTGTAGCTTCTGAAGCCTTTCATCTAAACTTCTTGAGCTCATATTTAATTGAATTAACTTTCCCTGTTGTTTAAAGAGATGTGTTTAGGTTCATCACTTTTAAATTTCTTCTGTATTGAAAAACAATCTGCCATTTTTAAGCGGGCGCCTTCGAGCTAGGAAAAAAAAAATTTAAAGCTTTGAAAACGATGAGATGGATCTGTTAAACTATAGGACAACACAACACAAAGGTTCGTGCAAAGGAAGATATAATGTCATTATCTGAGCCATATACTCTTGCTAAACTACCTAGAGTCTCAGGGACTTCTGAAAGATGCGAAGTCTCTAGAAACAGTGACTCAGAAGCTCTTCATGTTGGTATTTCTGGTGCATCTATATCCAATTATGTTTTAAAACCAAGTCCCAAATTGATTTGGTCTCATTCTATTCCACCAAGCTCCATCATAACCAGCTTAGAGAACGATGATGATCAATATTATGTTGGTGTTTACAACAAAACTAAGAAGACACATTCATTACAAGTCATTAAAAAATTGGCAAATGATTCAGAACTAGTCAAAGAAGTTGAAATACAATCCAAAATCATAAATATCAAAAGTTTCACAAACTCTACAATTATTATTACTGAAGATTCTGTTATTAGTTTTGATCCTGCGTTCGAAGTGTCATGGGAAAGCAAGAATTTGTACAAGGCTATATATTCAGAATTCATAGAGAAGGATGTCATATTAGTTGTTGAACATCAAGCAAAAAAAAATAATCTAAACTATAGATTACTCTCTGTTACAGGGTCTGAAGTCAACTCCAAAATATATGAAAACAAAGCCAAATCAACAGATTTGAAATTTACTTATAGTGAAGGTGTTTTATTCCAATATGTTAACAACTCAATAGTGTTGTATCAATTACCACATTTTCAAGAAACTAAAACCCTCACACTTGATCAACTATCAATCAAAGCACCATCTTCATCAAAATTTTCATTCGAATCTCCAGCACCTGACAGATTATTACTAATAATTGACCAAGATTTTTATTTAATTAATACAAATTTCAACATTGTTTTATCAACAACATCATCAACAAAATCAAAAGCTGAAATTTTATCAACTACAAAGGCAGCAAGCAAAAACTCGAGAGCTTCATTGTTTGGTATTGTTTTGAGAGATGGTGATATTGCCGGTGTTCCAATCACTTTAGATTCAAATACTTTAAAAGATTCATTAGGTAAAAGACCAAGTCCAAATGATGAAACTTTCAAAGTTGTCCCATCAATTTTTGATATCAAAGATGAAGTTGTTGATATTGATTCAATCATTAATAGAAAAGATTTTGATTCTGCATTATTAACATTTTTGGAAGCTGAAAATGATTATTATACTGAAAAGGATAAAGTTGTTGATTCGAAATTCATCAAAAGTATTGTTTCACACATTTTCAAACAAAATGAATTACCAGAGAGGGCTATGACTTACTTGTTGACACATCCTTTGTTCCCAACTATTGATGGGTTATTATCGTTGTTGAGATCAAAACCAAGATTATTGAGACAAGCTATTGTTACTGCTAATGTTTCTATTAAAGAATTGAATCAAGAATTAAATACAACTGAAAATGATGAAATTTTCAAAGATATCATTACAAGATTATTGGAATTTCCAAAGGACAAATTGAATTTTAAAGATCTTGATAGTTTCAAGATTGTTGAACGTATTATAAGTTTAGATTATGGTTATGAATTGATTTCCTTATTGATTGATGCTAGTGGGTTATTCACATGGAGTGATGACTTGATTATCAAATTGCAAGAAGTTCTAAGCAAAAAAATTGAAGCCTTGGATAGCGGTTCTAATGCCTTAGCTGTCATTGAGCAAATAGAATTGAAACACTTAAAGACTGTCAAGAAGGTTCCAGTTTATTCCATCGAGAAGTTAACAATTTAGACCTTGGCTCCCATAAATCTACTAATAGAACGTGTACAACATAGCAGTTGACTCGTAGAAATCGACCTTCCTGTCAAAATTTAACCGTGACCTTTGATTGAAAACCTGTCAAGTAAAAGTCGTTCGATCTGATTTTCTTTGTCCCGATGAGAAAATAGAGATGGAAACTTACACAGATGGAAGAGAACAGGGAAGGAATGAAAGCCTTTTGGAATCTATCAAGTAGTAGCATTTGTATACTACCCATTATGTAAATACCCCTTTTCATCATCTCAAGCTCCCAAGGCTCACCTTCTGATCAATCAAATTAGTCGGTTTACCCGATCCACAAATGGGTGTATAAACCTCAAATCTCGATAATTCCCCGGATTCTTGTGAAAATTATGAACTGATCAACATGCTTGCCCTTTTTTAAGAAAAAAACTATATAAGATCAGATTGTGTCAAAATAGTTACAATCATCTGAATCTCATGACAAACCAAAACTCAATACAAAATGATTATGAATCCATCCTTAAAGCAATCAGAAACTCCAGTACGTTAATTCACACTAAGCTCAAAATCGAGTGATACTAACTATTTATAGGAACAAAATGAACTGGAGTTGCTAAAATGGTTGAAAACCAAACCAGAATTACAAAACAAACCAAAATTAATACTTAATGCCATTGATGAATTCGCCAAAACACATAGATTGATAAATATAGGTCCATCAAAAGGTTCTCTATTAGCTGAAGAGATTTCAAAAGTTGAACCAGAAGTGTTGGTTGAGTTAGGTACACACACTGGTTACTCATCAATATTAATGGCCAATGAGTTGAAAAAAATTGGTTCACCAACTTCAAAGATATATACTTTTGAATTTAATGAAACCTTTTACAAGATAAGTTCAGAAATCATTAAACTTGCAGGTCTTGAGGATAAAATTGTCCAAATTTTGGGTAAGGCAAGTGATAGAATCCAGAAAATTTATGAAGAAGAAGATACCAGTATTGAAAAAATTGATTTCTTATTCATTGATCATTGGAAATACTATTATCTACCAGATTTAAGAATAATTGAAACAATTGGATTGATTTCATTAGGTACCACTATATTTGCAGATAATGTTATAAAACCTGGTGCTCCAGATTATGTTGAATATGTTAATTCACCACCAATTTTCAAGAATGAGTATAATACTAAAAATGTTAACATAAATGCGCCACATTATCCTGGTAAATGGGGGTTATTGTATGATTCCAAAACAGTGGAGTCTGTTACAGGAAATGGTGAAAAAGATGGTGTTGAAATAACTAAATGTGTTGGAATTCTTGATGCTTGATAGCAGTTTTGGTTAATTCACTCATTTTTATGACTATTTGCTTTGATTATTTGCTGTTGGTTGGGAATATTTTTGATGTTGCATACTTAATTCATGATATGAACACAAAATAAAATTGTAGGCCCAGTATGACTCTAGACTAGTATAGACACGAGAGGTGGGTTATGAGATTGCATTGGTCTTTACTTCTGATATTGAGCTGATTGAACACTTAAGCCTTAGAAGTTGGAGTACTGTCTCTCCTTGGTTAATATTAATGGACGTTTGGTGATGGCTCCTATATTGTGACAGACAAACCTTAATTTTTTTATTTCCACGGATCTCTCGCGATGGTTCACAAGATCAATCGATATGATGAAAAGATAGCAAAATCTAATTGAAATATCATTATGATTACAAGTTCAATGCAGAAAATCAAATTTACTCTATATTCTATTAAAAAAAGCAAAAACTAACTATATTAAATGTGTTGGTATATAACAATTCAACTAACCCAAAATAGAAAAATTGTTTTTCTAATGAAAAATTCCTCAAATAAAAAAAAGTACCCAAATGTAAATAAAAATTAACCCAATTGTAAATTATTATAATAGTTCAACTATTGAAGAATTCTTCCAACTCTGGCCCAGCTCATGTTTTCAATCTCTTCTGAATTGTATTGTTAATGCAAGATGCAAATGTTAAATTCACTTAGAATTTGTTAGCAGCTAAAGCAGCTTCTGAAGCATATGAATAATCATTGATAACTAATTGGAAAGTATCATTTTCAGCATCATAACCGTTAACTTTAACTTGAGTTAAGTCTGGAACAACAATATCAGCACCGAAACCTTTAACAGTTTCAGCATCATAAGTTGAAGCAATACCAATAACTAAACAGCCAGCTTTTTGACCAGAGGTGATACCAGCTGGAGCATCTTCAAAAACAACAACTGATTTATCAGTAGCTTTGTAACCTAATCTTTCTCTACCTTGTAAGTATGGTTCTGGGTGAGGTTTACCGTTTGAAACAGATTCAGCAGTGATGAAAACTTCTGGTTTTTCTAAGTTGATGATTTTGAACCATTTGGTAGCCATATCATAAGTACCTGAAGTGGCAACAGCAACTCTTTGTTTGTTGTTGTTTGTTTTCAGAGCTAAGATTTGTCTAACTAAAGCTGGAGAACCTGGAATTTCTTTAGCTTTTGAACCATATTTATCTGGAACTGAACCTTCTAATTCTTTAACTAATTCTGGAATGGCAAAGTCTGGAGCATATTTAGCGATAGCATCAAAAGTTCTCCAACCATGGGAAACATCAATAACTTCTTGAGCATTGAAGTATGGTTTGTCTTTACCGAAATCTCTCCAGAAATCACCAATGGCATCAGTGGAGTCAATGATGGTACCGTCAACATCGAATAAAGCAGCGTTTAAGTTAATGGCTAATGGTTGTTTTGTAATTGTCATTGTGAATGTAGTGATTATCTATGATATGAATGAAAGTTGTGTAATAAGAATCTAATGAAACTTGTTTGAATATTCAAGTCAAGATGTGATTCAAGATATCAGGGAATTGATACGATTTATATATTTTTTTGAGGTCAAAAACTTCTCAGGTACACAAAGTACGTTCGGTATCACCAAATGCACACATGCTTCATAATTTTATCATCAACAGTTTTTTTTATCATCAAAAAGAAAAAGCGATCACCTTTCTTGTACAAACTTTATTTGCAAAAGCATCAAGAGATGCCAAAAAGAAACGCAGGCTGTGGCACGTAACAGGTGGTACCGGGCCACACCCAGTACTAAGCGCAGATTAGGTAATAGTCCAGGATTCAACTAATTAATTAATCCAGGGTACGCCAGGTGATCGCGTTTAAGCTCATGATGCTCTCTATCTGATGACTCTTAGCAATTTGGCGTGTTCAGCTGTTTCTACATCGTTTGGTGTGAGTCTTTTGGCTTCTGGTTTGACACCTTCGTGAACGAGTTCAACGGTGAATTTCCAACCAATTCAAGTTGTACAAATCAAAAAGATTTCCAAGGAACGTTACGATGATGGAATTTAGCCTGAACTAAAGATCAATTATTCTGTGTTATGATATCACACTCAAACAAATTCAACCATTTTGCACCAATTCATTTTCTTCCAAATTATGCCCAGTGACGTGAATTAGTTTTTCCGGTAGTTCGGATTTTGTAGGGTGCGGTGCGTACCGTGCTTCTTTTTGCACAACCAAATACAGTAATCGTCGCAGAATTAAGCGCAACAAGAAACGACGGAAAAAAAAATAGCCTACGATTTTGGCGCGAAATTGGCAAACTTGGCGCTGAAGTGAAAAAAGGAAAAGGCGAAAGAAGAAAAAGGCGAAAATTACATAATCCTGGCTGCAATTGGCAATTGCCATATTCGGGTGTTTATTCTCCTTTTTGCCTTTTTTTTATGTTTTGGATTCGAAGTTGAAGTTGATCAATTTGAATTTGAAGCGAAATTACAACGAAAAGCATACACTGGCTACGTAATTCTAGATTTGTTGTGTGTAAAACTTGATACTGGAAAACCAAAACATCAACAAAATCAACAAAAAGGAAACAACAACAGATCAATTGAGGTCAAAAGGGACAAGAGATCAAGGAACACGGGATCAAAGTGGTGATTTTACAAATCGAATCGATCAATTGAGTGGGAAGTGAGCATTTGAGTACTATCAAGATAGTATCAACAGGAACATTCAAGCTTGAAAACAAATAAAATCCATGGATGAAAACGGGAACAATAGATCTAAACTACATCATTAATTAGCACAATGGCCATAACTTCACCATTCAAGAAGTTGTCACATTCCCGTGAGAATTCAAAGGATGAATCTTCATCAGCTTCACCAAATAGAAGTCAACAGCATGCTCGCAAAAGTTCGAAAAATACCAATTTACCCATCAGCCAGAGAACTAGTCAAGGTGCACCAAGTACGAATCTCCACAAGAAATCAAATACAGTTACAAGTGTCAATTCAACTTCATCCATCAATTCCGCTTCATTAGCTCAACAGTATGAAAGTGATAAACAAAGACTAGTCAAATATTGTTTCTCAAAACACGACCCAGACGGTACTCTAACGGAAAGTTATATCACCCATGTTCGTTTAATTGAAGATTCAGCCTATCCCTCATCAAAACCTCCAGCTTCGTCTGCTCCAAAGAACAAAAAACATCGTATATTGGTACTGGCGGTATTGAGAGATGGAACTGTTAGACTTCACAAAGGAAGAGAAAATCCGAATGGCTCTTTCCAAATTGGTAGAACTTGGAGTATAACTGAGTTATCAACAATTGTTAGAGAACCTTCAAGTGAATCTGGATTTGCTGTTAAATTGGGTAAAAACTACTATTGGGAAACAAATTCTCCTAGAGAAAGACAAGTTTTCATTACAAGTTTGGTTAGAATATATAGAAAGTTCACTAAAGGTTTCGTTCCAATTTTGATCAATTGGGATCTCAGCTTGTTTGGGTTAGATGAAGAATCCTATAACACATTTGTTGACAAGAAATGGACTGAAAGAAAACAATCAACTGCTTCAACAACTTCTCTTCCAAAACCTGCTACCCAACCACAGCAGCAGCCAGTACAGGAATCTGCTAAGGATGTTCCAGCGTTCCAATCGCCAAAACGAACAACTGAGAGATCAGAATACAAGTCCTTATCACCTCCAAAGAAAGAGTTGAAGTCATTTGCTGAGCAAAAACAAAATTATACCTCTGATTCAAGCATTCCAACTCTGAGCTCTAAAAGACCTTCTGCGCAGGCACCTACAGTGAATCCAATTGATCAATCAAGCAGAAGACCATCAGAAGCATCATCTGCCAGAAAACTTTCAAAACCACAGCTAGTCCCAAGTGCAACAACAAATTCATCATCTTCATTGTCTGGGAAAGATCCCTCTTTGTTACCTGCATTCTCCACTGCGCAATCACATCCACCAACTACTACATCAAGTTCAAGCTCTAGCTCTGTTCCAAAACAGCCAATTCCTCCAGTTCCACAAATTGATGCAGAGCCGTCAACAACTGGTGAATTTAGCGATGAAATTACAAAACAATTGGACTCCATGGGGTTGAATGATACTACACAAAGAGCTGATATAGATGAAACTTCATTGAAGAAAGGGATTTCCCATGACTCTAGTTTATTAGCTCCTTCATCCACGGAAAGTGCTTCCAGATCTTTGAAAAATGTTGAAATTGTTGCTCATAGAAAATCAATGCAAGAGTTTGAGCAAGAGCAAGACCAAAGTGAAGATGAAGAAGATGATGATGACGATATTACTGATATGTATCAAGATGCCTTTGAAGAGGAGAGTCAAGATGATTCAATTCAACCTGAACCATTTCCTGAGGTTGAAAAACAAGTTACACCTGATGAATCATATGAAAATTCGTTTGATTTGAATAATCACTCTGAAGAACAAATACATGCTGTCCAAACTCCAGCTACTTTAACTAATCATTCAGATGGAGAGTATGATGATCTCAATGAATTACCAGAGACTCCTCATTTACAAATTCCAAAAGCAAGAACACGTGATGCAAGAAGCAACACAGTGGATAGCGCTTTAAGTGCAAACATTATACCTAGGTTAGAATCGGAAAGCTCTTCATTTGATGATATTTTTGATGAGATTAATTGGGAAACAATGGATGATTCAGAAACTTTAACAATTAAGTTAATGAAAGAATTAGCTGATACAGAATATGAAACAACCAAAAATTTAATTGAATTGAAATCTCAATCATCAACTTTAGGTAAATTTACTTCTAAAATCAATGATGAATGTGACAAATTATCTCCATTGTTGAATTTTTTCGCAGTGGAATTAAGTGGGTTTGCAAGAGATATTCAACATGTTGAAACTGAAAGTCAAGGTCTACAAGTGGAGACAATAAACAAAAAAACTTTATGGAATGATTTACAAAAATTGCTAAATACTGTTTCTGTTGATGAAAATGCATTGAGAATTTTACTCACTGCTAATATCGATCATGATTTAAATCAAATTGAACCAATCTTGGCTGATTTACAATCTGCTATTGTGGCAATTAGAGGTTCTGATAAATTTGAAGAAGATCTTGGTGATATGAAGGCATTGAGAGAAAGAAGAACCAAATATGAAAATGTTCTGAATGAGTTTTTGAGCAAGGTGAAGTATGATCTTGATTATAGATTCAATCTTGCTGTTAAAAAAATTGGTGATGAAGAGGATTCAAAATCAATTTTGAAACAATTGGGATGTTTGATGATTTATTCTGGATTAACGTTGTTCACAAAAGAAGTATCCTCAGAAACATTTTATGAATTGGTTGCCATTTACGAGACATCCACCAACCCATTATACCAAAACATCTTTACCAATTTACACAAGAGATTAGCAACATCAAATCAAGAAACGTTTTCCTTGGCTAATGCCAATGCATTTAATGCCTCTAAAGTGAACAGCAAACCTCACAAGAATAGTGTTGAAAGTAAACAAGACAGGCTAAGACAAAGATTTGGATTGTTGGAATCTCATGACACAGCATCAAACGATTCAGTATCATCTATAGCTACATCAAGCTCTGATAATATGGCGGTTTTCCAAATTTTTGATCAAATTCAAAGATTGGTTATATCTCAACAAGATTTTTTGCTAAAGTTTTTCCATTTATCAAATGAAGATTCAACATTGAAATCGTATATTCTCAAATATCCATCAGAAGAGCGCTCTAATTTGTTAAATGGTACCATCCATGAAGTTGACTTTGATAGGGATAATGCTAGAGATATCTACAACTCAATGAGTTCAATTTTCCAACCAACTTTTGATGATTTAATGAAGAGTGTCGTTCAAATGCTAAGATCAAATCAAAAGATTACACCAAGTATTATATTTTACTTGGAGGTGCTAGACAAACAAATTGCTTCAACAAATCAAGAGTTCTTAATGACAATTTTCAAAAGATTAATCGATAGATTAAAAATTGATTGGTTGAAATTCATCGAAAATCAAGTTAAAATAATTGATAAGTCAGTTTTGGCTCACAGAAAAGTAAGGGAAGTTTCCATCATCATCAAGAATTTTACATCATTCGTTTCTGATATTGAGAAATCATTGATTGAGCTGGCTCATGATAATGTTGATATCAATACTTTAGGAGTTAGAACTATCGTGAATAGCTCTTACGAAGGTTTAGCAAGAGCAATTTTGAAAAACTTGGAAAATGAGGAAGATGAAAAATCATTTGGAAGATTCAAGCTACATGATGATGGTGACCATAAAGAGAAAATAGATCATACAGTCAATTTGATACAAAACTCCAATTGGTTACTTGAGTCATTAAGTCCATATAAAATCGTTACTTTGGAACAATCTTTAAGCGTTTTAAAGAAAATGTATCAAGAATCAAGGGATCAATATGTTAGTTCTTTGTCACATCAAAATTTGGCCAAAATTGCAGACTTTGTTAATGAGGTTGAAAGTTTAGTTAATGAAAGTTCCAAATCAATTGATCCTTCAAAGAAAAATGCTTACAACAAAAATGCACTAAACAAGATTCTCTCAAGTTACACTCAATCAGATATAGCTAAAACCGTTACACATTTGAGAGAAACAGTTTTAAAACATTTTGATGATAACTCCACTGATATACAACGCCAATTGATTGATAAGATTTGGTCAGCATTGCAAGGCCAATTTGTTTCTTTAACACTCAGATTATACAATATTACAGAAAGATATTACAGAGATGTTGAACCACGCTTTTCGAAGAAAGATGTTATTGCATTGTTCAATGCTGCAAGAGTTTAGTCTATTAAATTCCAATGACTTGATGCTATTGTATGACTTGCCTATAATTGTAGTAATTTTGGATCCGGTTAGTACACTCTAAAGCGAAATTATTTTTCGCGACTTTGTTTTTTTTTTGATTTCGAGCGCGTTTTATAGAGCAGGAATAAGGTATAAGGCGGATAGAGGCAAATATTATCATATTCAAACGTGAAAACCATATAAAACAGTTGGCTCACCATGTCAGACGATGACTTCAGTGATGATTTTGATGATGAATTGGAACAAGCTCTGAACAAACCAGCAGTCAACAGGCAAGTTCAAGAAACAGTGATACGGCGTAATGAGCCTGCTCAAAGAACACTGATGGGCGCTAGAGTTGAAAATGAACCAGCACAATATGAAGAGATACGAAGAGAAATCACATATGGCCCTACACACCACAAGACAAACGCTTTGGATATGAATACTTTCATATATCCTTCCAATCTGGATATGAGAGATTATCAATATGACATTATTGTGAAATCATTCTACAAAAATCTATTATGTGCTATTCCTACAGGTATGGGTAAAACTTTCATTGCAAGTACAGTCATGCTTAATTATTACAGATGGTTTAAAGAAGGAAAAATCATATTTATGGCACCAACAAGACCATTGGTTGCACAACAAATCCAAGCATGTTTGGGAGTTACAGATATACCGAGTAGTGATACAGCTATTTTGTTGGATAAAACTAGAAAAAATAGACAAGTGATTTGGAATGACAAAAGAGTTTTCTTCACAACACCTCAAGTGGTTGAAAATGATTTGAAAGCTGGTACATTGAATCCGAAGGAAATTGTTTGTCTTGTTATTGATGAAGCACATAGAGCTAGAGGTAATTATGCATACACCAATGTCGTCAAATTTATAGATAGATTCAACACATCATACAGAGTACTAGCTCTTACTGCTACGCCAGCTGCTGATATAGAAGGTGTTCAAGAAGTTGTTGATAATCTACACATTTCTCAAATTGAAATAAGGACGGAAGAAAGTATTGATATTGTTAAATATATGAAGAGGAAAGAAACTGTTAGAATAAAGGTTGGTCTCAATAGTGAAATGGAGGATATCATTGAACTTTTGAGTGATGCTATCAATCCTGTACTGAAACAAGCAAATGAAGCCAATATCTATGATGTTACCGATCCTAGTAAGATCAATGCTTTCCTGGTGATGCAAAAATCACAAGCAGTCATCAAGAACCCTACCTTACACGAAGGTATCAAATGGAAATACTACTTTATCCTACAAGTTATCGGCTATGTTGGACAAATGTTGAGAAGGCTAAAAATTTATGGTGTTAGAACTTTTTACTCTTATTATCAAAATAAGTGCAAAGAGTTTAGAACCAAGTATTCAATGGGCAAATCAACAAACAAAACTTCTGCTGGATTTTTCTATCATGATGCTCTGAAAAAGATAGAAGTCATTTGTGATAAGGTGTTGGCTGACCCAAGTTATGTTAGTCATCCAAAGCTTGAACATATGATTGATGAATTGATGACATTTTTTCAACACAAAAAAAATTCAAGAGTTATTATTTTTACAGAATTGAGAGAATCAGCCTTAGAAATAGTCAAGTGTATTGATTCAGTTGCTGGTGAGGAATGCAAAGCTCATATTTTCATCGGTCAGGCAAAGGGTAAAGAAGGTTTTGATGAAGAAGAGTTTACACGAAAGCATGCTCCTAAAGGAAGGGGAAAACAAAAGAAACTCGAAAGAAAAGAAAGGGAAAGAGAGGCATTGGAGAAGAAAGAACAAAAGAAGCAACTTGAAGCCCAACAAAGGGCAGCTAGTAGAACCGGAACCTCTGAAGAAGCTCAGTTACAAGGTATGAACCAAAAGACACAAAAGGATCTTATCAAAAAATTCAAGAAAGGTGAGTTCAACATTTTAGTTGCTACGTCTATTGGTGAAGAAGGTTTGGATATTGGTGAGGTTGATCTTATAATTTGTTATGATTCAACCAGTAGTCCAATTAAAAATATTCAAAGAATGGGTAGAACAGGTAGAAAGAATGATGGTAAAGTTATTTTGTTACTTGCTTCTAACGAAGAAACTAAATTTGACCAAGCTATGGAGGGTTATGCTTTTGTTCAAAAGCAAATTGCTCAAGATTATTTAGATATGCATAAATCTGATAGAATAGTACCAAAAGAGATTCAACCCAAGTGTGTTAAACAATTCATTGACATCCCGGAGGAAAATTTAGCTATTGCAAAAGGTGAAGATGAAGAACAAGTTATCAAATATGCTACACAAGCAATGCTTGGTAAGACACCTAAGTCTAAAAAGACAGCTACAAAGAAGACAACGAAACAAGGTAAAATTCTTGGTGTGAGGAATACCGTTCAAGCAGAAAAGCAACAACCCAAGGTTACAAAGAAGTTTTTTATGCCTGATAATGTTGAGGTCGGGTTTGTAAAGTCATCCAAACTAGTTAAAAAAGTTGGTGCTACAGGGAATAAATCAAATAATTCAAACAACACCAGTATTTCTTTGGATTCTGATGAAGAAGAATCTCATACTTCTGCAGAAAAATCAAAAGTCAACAACAAAATCATTAAGGAAGGGAAATCGTTCGAAAAAGCGGATCTCTTGGATGATCTTTTCAGTTCTTCGCCAACTAAACCCAAACAACCAAGTATTGCAAATCCAACTAAACCCAGAACATTTTTTAGACCTGATGTCAATGCTGTTGAAGATCCAGGAAGAAGAATTGAACAGGTTGAGTTCTCTGATAGTGAAGCTGCTGCAGAACATGATAACATCAAGAGTGCTGACGGTGATCAAAATGTTATGGATGAGGCTCAAGATGAACTTGAAATACGCAGTGATTCTGAGGATGAATTTCGAAGACCTATGACACCTGAATATGAAAAGGCTGACTTCCTTGCTAGCTCTCCTAAAGAAAATCGAGATGTTGATCAAAGTGAAGTTGAAGATTCAGGATCGGAGAAGGAATCTATTCATAGTGATGATGGTGAACAAGATGATACTAACAATGGAATTGAGGTCTTACATGAAACTCAGGCCAAGTCTATAACTCCACAAAAAAGGTCTTCGGGAACAACAATGAGTGGTAACAAGCATCCAAGGGTTAATAATAATGAAGTTCTTGATTCTATTCTTAGTTTTAAAGCTTTTGAACAAGACAATGACAATGAAGTTTACTCATATGTACAACCTTATGAAGAAGCGAAAAAAATAATGGACAAACAAGATGAAAATGATCCAGCCTTTAGTGAAGATGTGTCTTTTGAAACATCAGAATCTTCTAAACCAAAAGCAAAAACTGCTAAAACTCCAAAATCTAAGAAGAACACAAAACGAGTTGAAACTCCAGCTGAGAAATCAACTGGAAAGAAAAGGAAAAAGGCCGAGAATGTTGAGTCCAATAAGCCCAAAGTTGATATTACAAATTTGTTAAGAGAAAGTTCAAGAAAGCCTGCAAAATCATTAGGTGCAAGACGTCGTAAGGTGGATTTGTCAACAATTAAAAAGGAGCAAATCATAGATTTAGATGATGAGAGTGATCTTGGTTCCCAGCATGATTATCCGAGGAAAGTTATTCCAAATAGAAGAAGACAGAAATCTCCAGAGTTTCCTGCTTATTTATCTCAAAAGGATCGTGTTGTTGGTAATGTTTTTGGTAAAAACGATGGATTCCTAACTGACGATGAGAAAAAAGAATTCTTCAGTGAATATTATACATCAGTTGAAGTCAATCCATTGGGCCCAGATCCATCATTAAGTGCAAGAAAGTTGAAAACTACTGCAGAAATTGGTCATAGTAGAGTAGGGCTAAGGTTTATCAATTTGATTCATATGATAAGACCACCAAATTCAAAGAGCTTAGCCCGTTTGATTAAACAACTGGACCAAAATAAGAACATGAGATATAAGGATGAAATCAGGCCCTCAGATGTAATAGTTCAAGAAGACAAGATTGAATATGTCAAAGGTAAAACTAAACAAAAAGCACCAGAAGTTTCAATTGAAATTGATGATGAATCAGATGATGAAGAGAGTGTTCTGGATACTGATAGACCAGGAGGAGTTGGTTTCACAAGTGTTAGCCTCCTAAGCGATGATGATCATGAGTTTAAGAGTTTATAAGTATAAATTGATGAATTGATGTTTATATGCGTGTAGATCGTGGACCGGTCTGAAATGTACGCCAGTTTTTGCCAGCCAGAAAAAAAAAGTATAAATATGTTGGGATCCGCCCTGAGAACTTCGTTCTCTAAACTATTTCAAATCCTTATCCTTATGCAAGGGAATTACGCATATCAGTGAGGATTCGTCCGAGATTGTGTTTTTGCTGGTTGAAAACTTTAACCACGACCTCTCCTTTCAGTCTTTTGGCCTTGAGCCTGACTATTAGGGAATTTTTGGAATCTTTTTTCACCTTTTCGGTGCCTCTGTGCATCATAAATTTGATTTTTCAAAATTGAAGTTTTCAATGAGAACATTGACTGAATTTTGAATCATTACAAGCTATGAAGAACATCAATGGAGAAGATGTATTCATGGCATTGAATCGCAACTATCGTGTAGTATGATGAATAATTGAATCTATTATAGTGTAAATTATTGTACTAGCGACTGGCGATCACAAAGTAGCAGATTTCAGGGTAAATTTACTGAGAGGTGCAAAAAAATATTTCGCCTACATGTTTTGATGAGTAGAAGAACAACGTAGAGCTCTATCTACAACCATTGGAGCCAGTGTATACTAGATCAAAAAATGTTCAAGAAGTGAGTTCAATCTAAGGTATTCTATCTATTTGTTTTTAAGCTAACCTTCACCCAAGATTCACCAAAGAAGATGTTCACACCAGAACTAATATCAAATCATCAGTGCAAAGAGGTTTGAAAACTAAATTTGTCTCACAATTTGATGATCTAGAGCCTGTTATTGATGATATCATACCGAAGAAATCTCAAGTTGAATTGTTAAAATGTGAAGACAAAATCCAGCTATACATTTCTGATAACGAAGTTGTCTTCTTCCAACAATTTGATGAATTAATTCCATCATTGAAAATCATTCATAAATATGCATCAGCGTTCCCTTCTGTCAAAGTTGATAGAGGTGCAATCAAATTCGTCCTATCTGGTGCTAATATCATGTGTCCAGGTTTAACTTCTAAAGGTGCTGGTTTACCAGATGCTCCAGGTCTTGAGGAAAATACAATTGTTGCTATTTATGCTGAAGGTAAAGAACATGCTTTGGCTATCGGTAAGTTGATCATGGGTACAGAGGAGATTAAGTCAGTCAACAAAGGTATTGGTATTGAATTATTACATTACTTGGGTGATGGATTATGGAACTTCCACGCTGAATAATTTATATATTAGAGTCTATGAATTTTTAACCTTTTTTTTGCATAATGATGAATGAACAAAATAGTTTCAAGTGATTTTTTGTATAAATATATCTTGTCCATCCTCGAATTGATATGATGAAACCAAAGAAAGGTCTTTATTAATGGGTTCTCTATTATTTGAAATCATATAAGATAGTTCCATCTCAGCATAAGAAATCTGGAATACCCGACTTATAGTACCTTTCAGTTTCAAAACTTCTATTGTCTTCAATGTATCCAGGTTGACAACTTTATCTTGATAATTCAGCCTCAGTTTTACCAACTTGGACATGATATTATCTTCGTCCGTTCTTCTAGACTGTGTGACGTGAACCTTATGTTTGATAGCCAATGACTTAACTCTTGACTGATCAATTTCTGATCCACTATTTGCCTTAGAGATGAAGTATAACTCAGCATTTGTTCTTTCATCTTTAGAAATTTCAGTACCATTGACAAACTCCAAATTCTCAAACCTTGCTATAATATTCACTTCCATCTCATCAACTGATAAATCATCAAAAATAGGATTACCATTGATTCTAAGATTCTTTAGGTTTGGAAAGATTTGGTTGAGCAACCCCAATTCCTTAAAATCTGATATTTCATTCCGCCTTATGTCTAAAGTTTCGATATGTGGAAACTTTATATCATATTCTGTAATCTTGATCTTATTGTCAGATATATTGAGTGCGTTAATTTTAGACTGTTGAAGGATTTCAGGCAACCTCGTGAAGTTGTTTAATGAAATATCAAGTGTATTTAAAGAGGTCAACTTGCTAATCCATTCATCTAGAGTATTCAGTCCATTGTCTGAAAGATGCAGTTGTTGTAAATTGGGAAAATGGCTGGGTATAACTTCCAAAAGAGAAATGCTAACTTTTGTAAAAGAGAGGTCAAGAATTTTCAAGGATGATGTATGGTCTGTGCAAAAGTCCTTTGTGAATATATTACCAACTAATCTCAGTTTTTCCAAGCTGAGATTCCTCACTATCTTCAGTAGCTCACTCCAAGAGCTAATCAAATTGAAAGAGAGATCAAGTTGTGTCAAGTTCACCAAGTGCTTTTTGATCAATTCTTCTTCTTCTTCATTGGTACCAATCAGCTCTTTCCTACTCAATGAGATGTTCTTCAAATATGGGAAGTCTGACTGTAACTTTTGAAGCTTATCAAATCCATAACTTTCAACAATTTTTGATCCTATTTTGATTTCTTTACTTTCGACTGATGTTCCATAAGTATCCACAAGCGCTTGATAAAAAGTCCTTATACCATCATGTTTTTTAGATTTCTTCAAGAAAGATCCTGTATCCAGTCCATTAGAGGCTATTATTGTCAGTATGGAATATCGTAGGAAGCATAATCTTATCAACTCACTTTCAAAATATTTGATGCCTTTAAATGACCCATTGTGTTTACCTTTTTGGATGTTGTCCCACTCGACACCCAGCGCCACTTCGTTTGGCCATGCTGGTATCTCTCCAATGAACTTTATGGTACACAGTTCACCACCATATGACAATCTATCACCAATTTCCAGTTCCATTGGTAGTTGCTGAAACATAGAAAAGTTGAATCTAATGAAACTTCATCACTTTGGCCATATAATTTCGCGGCACGAAGTAATTTATGTTTTGGGACGCATCGCTATAAACAGCTACAAAATTTGATTAATAAAAGACTCCAAGAAATCTTATTCTTTCTAATATACAAAGTAAGTCCAATCTAATCAATTTATTCTTCCATGGCATCATTGTTTCTGTTGTCTAAACTGGAAAATAATCCATCAAGATCAAACTCTTTAGACCATTGTGAAACGATAGTGGTTTGTTCAACGGATTCTTGAGGACCTGAAGTGCTCTTTGGAGTATCTTTAGCACTTTCTTTAGATGATTTTGGCAATGTCCATCCTATTATCTTACCGTCTCTCCAGTCATTCAAAACTGATAAACCAGCACTGTTCAAGTTTGGAACACCACCTTTCCCTAATCTACCTTTCTTACGTGCAACATGAATTAAGAACTGTTTAGCGAATTCATTGACATCAGAACTTGGCATTGGTGGTAATTCATACAATTTCTTAAAGTTTTCAGTCATTTCTGGTGATTTAGATAATCTTTTCAATAACATGACAATGGCTGGGAATGGATCTGTAATGTTTTTTGGAGGTAGAGCACTTAATAAAGCTAAATGAGCTTCTTGTTCAACTCTAGATTTCTTTTTACTTTCAGCTGGGAACACTATACCTGGAGAGTCTAAAACTTTCAATTTACCATCAATCTTAACTTCTCTTAAAGATGTAGTAACACCTGCTTGGTTACCAACTGGGCATGCTTTAGCAGAACCACCATGACGAGAGGTCAATGAATTGATGATTGAAGATTTACCAACATTTGGATAACCAATTACACCAACAATGATGGATCTTTTCAAGTTTGATTTAGCAGCATATGATTTCAACGCAGTTAGCAGGTTATTAGCTGATGCAGTTTGAGATAAGGCTTTGTTGAATGAAGTAGCATTAGAAGCACCTGGTGCGGCTCTCAATGGGATAGTTGGGAAACTTGATTTTAAGAAATCTAACCATTTGTTCATAACATCGGTTGGAATTAAATCAACTTTGTTTAATATAAGGATTAATCTTTTACCTTGACTTTGTAAAACAGCTTGTTCAACTTTCTTTGATCTGGTACCTTCTGGATCTCTAGCATCTAAAACGTACAGAATAACATCAGCAGCTTCGACAACTTTTTTGAAGATCTTGTCATAAGCCTTACGTGATTTATCCAACTCTGAGTCTTCTTCTTCATCTTCACTTATTTCGTAATCGACAACTTCTAAATCACTTTCATCTTCATCAATCTCTTCATCATCGTCTGAATCTTCACCTTCGTATTCTTTAGCAGCTTGTTGAGCACTTTCTAACAAGGCAGCCAATGGGTTAGCATCAACTTCTTCATCGTCATCTTCTTCAATAATATCATCTGGGTTTTCACCTGCAGCTTCAAGTTCAGCTCTTTTTTCAGCTTTTCTACGTAACTTTTCTTCAGCTTGAATTCTCTTTCTTTCTTCGATTTCAGTAACAATTTTATCTTTGTATGGGAAACTAGCAGGGATACCTGGATCTTTCTTCTGTTTACTTTTCCATGTTGGATCTTTTTTGGCGTTTTTCTTTTGTTTTCTATTATGAGCAGCTGCCTTCTTTTTAATACCTTCTCTCATACGTGTGGTTCCTCTTTTACTTGTTGGTTCTAGAGGTTTAGTGTTAGTCACTCGGCTGGTTAATTCTAAAGATCAAAAACACTTACTTCTGATTCTCATCTTTCTATTCGAACTCTAATGTATATCAGGTTGTTTGAGTATAATAGTTTCTTCAAATATAAATTGATTAGATCAAGTGTAAAAAAAATTTATCAAGCTCATCGGCCCGTGCCTCAAACCATAACTAATCTAATTCCGGTCATAAGATCACATGACTGATATATTTTATTTCCGGTCTTCGCGAATTCTCTGGAAAAAAAGCTGAAAATGATTTAAACAACTCTGAGGAACAGAAGAATTACAAATCACTTCTTCTCAGTCAACCAACCAACCACCATCAGATATATCATCTTCTGTTGCGATTGATCACATAGATATATATAGAGAGTCTAGATATTCGTTTATTTTGGACTCATTTGATATCTCTTTGTCGTCACAACTTTTCATTGTTTTCCCCTGAGGTTTCAATCAATAAAGATGGCAATGGCACAAAAGAGAGAAGGACCAGATTTGAATATTATCTTATCATGTCCTGAATGTAAAGTGTTCCCACCTGAACTGGCTGAGCGGTTCGCTGAAGGTGATGTTGTTTGTGCTCTGTGTGGATTAGTCTTATCAAATAAGATTGTTGATACAAGATCTGAATGGCGTACTTTTAGTAATGATGATCAAAATGGTGATGACCCAAGTCGTGTTGGTGAAGCTGGTAATCCATTATTAGACGGTAATCAACTTTCGACTATGATTGGGTATGGGCAAGGTGATACTAGAGCAGGTAGAGACTTAAACAAAGCGCAAAGTAAGAGTATTGTGGATAGAAAAGATAATGCCTTACAAGCTGCTTATGGTAAAATCTCTATGATGTGTGACGCAGCTCAATTACCAAGAATTGTCCAAGATGGTGCCAAACAAGCTTATAAGTTAACTTATGAAGAAAAAGCTTTAAAAGGTAAGTCGCAAGAAAGTATTATGGCTGCCGTTATTGTCGTTGGTTGTAGGAAAGCACAAGTTGATAGAACTTTCAAAGAAATCTGTACTTTAACCCGTGTCCCAAAGAAGGAAATTGGCAGGGTTTTCGTTGTTATCAAGAAAATTTTAGAGGAAAAGAATCAAACCTCATCAACTTATCTTGCTCAAGAAAATATTCAATCTTCACAAACTTCTGCTGAAGATTTAATTAGAAGATTTTGTTCCCACTTGGGGTTGTCTATTCAATTATCAAATGCTGCAGAACATATTGCAAAACGTTGTAAAGACGTTGGTGTTTTGGCTGGTAGATCTCCAATCACCATTGCAGCTGCAGTCATTTATATGACTGTTTTAATTTTCAAGGCAGATTTACCACCTTCAAGAATTGCAGAAAAACTGGGGGTTAGTGATGGTACTATTAAAACAAGTTATAAATTCTTGTATGAGAATAAAGAAGAATTGATTGATCCAAATTGGATTGAATCAGGGAAAGTCGTTATGGAAGACATTCCAAAGAGTGGGTGAGTATTCATCATAATTACTATACAACATATTACAGAAGAAATACCATAAACCAAAAAAAAGTGAACTGGGGGAATTTTTATGGCGAAACTTTTTTGTTTTTAATTTTTTTTTTAATTGAGACATGAGTTGGGAAGAAACATGTCTACATAAAGTATAAAAAATGTCTAATTGAATGAACACTATTTATTTTTTAAACATATTACACGTAGAACTGAACTTTTCTCTAGACGTAACTGATCATTCAGAATTAACAACAGATGCACTAACACTTCTCCTTAAGTCATCTCTTTTGAAATTAGTGAAGTCTAAAAAAGATGGTGGAGTCTGGAAATTTTTCTTTGGTTGAAACGCATTTTGCGGTTTTTGAGCTTGATTCAAATTAACTAAACTTCTTGTTCTTAAACCTGAAAATTGATCAGCCGTGAGAGATGGACTTTGAGGTCTGCTTGATGAAGCATTACTATGGACTGCTCTTCCTTCTTCTAAATCTGATGCTTCTTGAGTAGCGAGCTTGGAATATCTATATTGACTATATTTTGTTTTCACTCTTGAAACTAGTTGACTGACATTATTTGGTAGGTTTTTCAGACTTGATTTTTTGTAAAGAAAGAAATAAACTCCAACGGCTGCAAATGAAAAGAACAGGAATATTGGGAAAAAATTCAAACTTTCATAATCTTTATCTGATCCGGTCTTGGTTCCAACTGTACCACCGGGTATAAAGGTTTTGTGTTCTAGCTTAACTTCGTTTTCACTTGGTTGAATACCAACAATTGTCTTGTCTGAGCTTTTTATTTGACTTGATGCATATAGAATCATCTTTCCCAATGTCCAAGATAATTCCGAACCTTTAATAGTGCCTGCACTTTGGAAAGGAATATGATTGTCAAAGTCTTCAACAACATGATCTGGCATCTTGGCTTCGATATCAATTCTTGGTAAATTGAAACCTTCGTGTAAGACATTCAATACCCAATTTGCTTTAAAGCATGCATCAATCAACAAAGAATCTGGTAAATTATGATAATCACCATTCTTACTGTTTTTTTCGATATCAGCCCAATCACTTTCACAGAAGAGTTTGACCTTTTCACTGAATTTTAAAAAACTGTATTCACCACCAGTGTGAAAGACATCATTAGCTGTGTACCAATATTCAGAGACACCCACAAATTTATCCTTGTAAAAATCAATTTCTGGAGCATGAACACCATTGAATAGGCATGGCTCATCTGTACATGGCAAATTCTTCAATAATAATGGATATGTAGTCTTCAAACATTGTTCATAATTCCCAGAACCAACAACATCATATCTGAACCCTTGATATAAATAGTCATACTTTGCATGTTTTGGTAAACAAGGATCAGATAATGTTAATGTATTGTGATCATCCTCGGTATAGGCGTTGTTTCTTTCAAGTAGTAAATTAATCAATTGATTTAGATATCTTTTTCTTGCTTCATTGGCACCAAATCCTAACCAAGTACTAACGAAAACATCCCATTGTTGAACTTCACCATTAACATTTCTTAGGAACACAGTGGAGATATCGTCTCTATGTTTTTCAATTTCAGATTTCTTGTTAGGAACAAATGATATTTGTGTTGAGGCACCTCCCATATCCATAAACCCATAAGATGAATGACCTTGAGTATTTGATTCGTAATTGTCTAATTGACCCATAAGATAATTCAAACCAATCCAACCATAAATACCTTCTGTTTCACCATCGATGATTTGGACTTGATCTTGACAACTATCCAGCTTGAATTTACTTTCTTTGCCAATTTCTTCGCAGATCTTGTTCAATAATTTAGTTCTCTTCTTTTCTGGTAACAATCTCATACCAGCAGTAGCTAAAACAAAGATTGGTGTATCTTCCCAATTCTCACGCGGTATGATCTTTTCAGCATATTCAATCAACGGTTCATAGTGATCATCCCACACTTTTCCTGGTTTATCACCAAATGTAGAGACACCTGGAGTTGTTTTATAAGTCCATGATTCTTCTTGATAAATTTGAGGAACTGATTTCAATTTTAATGGATCTGTTGATTTGTTTGATGCAAGTTCTTCAGAATCTTGCCATTTATAAATCTGAATCCTTGAGCCTGAAGATCCAGAATCAATCACAATACCATAATGATCCTTCATCTTCGAAAGAACTTCAGATTATTCAAAGGAACACGCCAAATTACACGTTTAACTTATAGACAGATGTTGAAATCTAATTTTTGCTTCATACGTATATTTTTATCCAAAACCGACCTGAAATATATTACGAGGGTAACAGTCACATGATCCACATAAAAGAATCACGTGAAATTGTTTTTTTTTTTTTTTTTTTTTTTTTACTT